TGGTTGCCCAGGAGGAAATGTGACATTAGGTTCCCCACCCCCTTACACACACACACACACACACACACACACACACACCCCCCTGCCAATTGAGGACAGCACTTCACACATCTGACAAAGTAGGCTGACAAAGTAGATGAAGCCTAAAGTTATTTACTGAGCTTTCAGAATAGCCAACAAGCACTAGAATAGTTGCTCTATCACTTGTCTTGTCATCAAAGATAATCTTCATAGCCTTACTACCACATTCTGGCAATGTGCTCTAGAAATATCAACAGCTGAAAGAAACAGGAAAGGAGCTATGGGGAGGTGGAGGGAGAACACCGTTTACCCCATCATTATTCTGAAACAGCTGATGTCATCCAATGCCCCTTCAAAATATATTTGGGGGTGTGCGTTATTGGGTTGCTTTTGTTTTTATTTTGATTATGTATTTTGTGTTTTTATATTGTGATTTTATCCTGTGAACTGCCCTGAGACCTGCGGGTATAGGTTGGTATACAACAACTAATAATAATAATAATAATAATAATAATAATAATAATATTTTAATGCCAAATACCTAATAGAGATGTGCCATGCGTCCAAAACTATTACACTGAAATCTGCCTGCAGATTTATCTTTATATGCTGTGACACGATACAGAAGGCTTCAGCACAGTACAACTCTGACAAGAGGATTATACAAATTCATGTAGGATAGGGTTATCAATGGCTATGTTCTACCCCCAGTGCCAGAAACAGTATGACTCTGTGTGCCAGTTGCTGGAAGTCACAAGTGAAGAAAATACTATTGCCTTCAGGTCCTGCTTGCAAATATCCCCTAGGCATCACTGTGAGAACAGGATGCTAGATCAGGTGGACCTTTGTCCTGATTGGGCAGGGCTTTTCTTATGGTCTTATGACAATCCAAGTTCAATGTCATCTATACTCTATGGGAGGAAGGAAAGCAATGGGAAGCAACTACTTGCAAACTTGGAACTCCTATTCAGGGAAGATTCATTCACGTAGTTTGTGCCCCAGAGATCTCCAAAGACTTATGCTTTGTTTGTTAAGTGTGTGGAATTGGCAACCACATTTTGTAAACTCTGTGATTTTAAGGATTCCCACACAATGGGATTTTTTCTAAGGTGAACACTTATCAACAGTAAGTCCTTTTTGTTATGTTTTTGCTGTTTTGGCAGACTTCTGTTGTGTTGCTGTTCTGTATATTGTGATCTACTCTTCTGTTTTCCATAGCTGTAAGAATCCCTTAGTATGCTTTTTTGGGTGTACACTTCCCTTTCAAGTGTATACTTGTTACTGTATAATGCAGAAAACAGACAAGAGTTTGCTAATGGAACAGGGAGCTGTAGAGGCTGAGCTGACCCTGAAAATCAGTTCAATTGCCATTATTAGTCTCAGCCTGAACCAAAACACAAGGACCCACAGATGTTCTGAGGTTGATGCTGCCGTTGTGCATACATGCTCTTTCAATTCTTCCTAGTTTACTAAATAGTTGCTAGTTTTTGAGAAGATACAGGTGGGCCAACTGTCTGTTTTACTGATTGACCTGTTGTGCCTGCTTGTTCCCGCTAGTGATTCAGACTGAAACAATATACATCAGATCAGGATGTCAAGTACTGATAGAGTCCAGTTCTGAACATTGCATCTGAAATTGTGTCCAAATGGTATTTGTGGATCTTCATGAACAGATGGAGACACAGGCAGAAGTAGAGCATTGACAGAATTTTTATATCAAATAAATAAAAAGATAAATGGAACACTTTTACAGAATACGTGCTAAAATTAAGCTGCTGGTCAGACAGATATATGTGTTAGCATAGTGGAAATAACTCATCTTATGTACAGTCTCTGAATAGCAGTAACAGATGGAGATTATAGTGCTGCTCCAAAAGGTTTTCTTTTTCTTTTTCCTTACAAGCATTTCTAAGGGCAAGCTAGATGTGGTGTTAAATGTATCTTTGCATCCAGTGTGCTGGCGTGCTGCTGTTGTTTTAAATGCAAATAGCATCAATTGATAATAATCAGGGCCACAGCAGATGGAGAGTTCAACCCTTTCCACACCTGTTGTGGTCCTTATGAAAACCAGCCCTTTGAAATTGCTATTTGCATTGGTAGGAAATCCAAATATTAACAGGGGGGGCTCTCTCCAAAGCAAATTAGGAATTGATCTCAGAAGAGCAATAGTTCTTAGGACTGCAGCATGGGAGGAAATGGTTAAATTGCCTCTCCATGCCTGCTGTGTCCTTCATAAATACAGTGGTACCTTGGGTTAAGAACTTAATTCATTCTGGAGGTCCGTTCTTAACCTGAAACTGTTCTTAACCTGACGCACCACTTTAGCTAATGGGGCCTCCTGCAGCCGCCGCGCCGCTGCTGCACGATTTCTGTTCTCATACTGAAGCAAAGTTCTTAACCCAAGGTAATATTTCAGGGTTAGTGGAGTCTGTAACCTGAAGCGTATGTAACCCGAGGTACCACTGTATCCTTCTTGCTGATGCTGTCTGCACATACATGAAAACTTCAATGCCAAGACACATTTAATGACACATCTAGACACGATAATCATAGAATTGTAGAGCTGCAAGGGACCCCGAGGTTAATCTAGTCCAATCCCCAGCAAAAAGAGCTATTTTTACAATGCAAACCCACATCCCATCAGCAGAATGTGCAATGTCCAGTGCAATGTTCTGCCCACTTTTGTCTCTGGCATGCAGCCCTCTGGCTGAAAAAAGTTCACTACCCCTAATCTAAGCATGCATTCATTGGAATAAAACCAGCTCAGCGTGTCTTTTCTTCAGTCTTCTTTGCATCTTAAAGAAAAAAACCTCATTCTGAGACCTTACCTAATCTGCAGGAAGACCTGCTACTGTGTGGTGCAGTGTCTGATCAAAGCTGAATAAGATTTAGGGGAATTCACAATGGGTAGAGATCCTCATTGCACCACCTGTTTGAAGTTCCCGTCTTTTGTTACCTGTTGAAGACACAGCATCTCTTCCAGGAACAAAGAGATGGCGAGCCTACATTATGCTCAGCACCTGACAAATGTAGATTTCAATGGAGCTTCCTTTGAAATGGTAATAGCAGCTTCAGAAAGTGGGGTCAGGAGCACTGGCAGCGAGAAAAAAACCAACGAAACGTTTATTTTTCAATCCCATCCCACGGTTCTGAGGCTTTTGCACTGTTGCTTTTTTACGTACTCAGAAACATGCATGCTCCTTGCATCATAGACAGTTTGGGCCCTCTCCTCCAGTGAAGCTTTCTCTCAACAAGCAAGCCCTGGACATTTGCCAGATTTCAAAATCTAGTGAATATTTTGTACACTTCTGTCCCGTTTGTGGTTAAACATTTGCACGAACTCGAGCATGAACAGGAACACGGCAGTGTGAGCTGCACCTGCCTTCTTCCTCCTCCTGTAGTGTATCATTCAAGAATCAGAACACACAACAGTTCTGTGCTGAAAACACACTGTACCCTGCAGTTCAAGTGCTTGAGATGTCCTTTTGTTTAAAAAGCAATTGAACAAGAACACTTGCTATACATAGATCTGGATGATTGTTTGGGCCATTCAAGCCTTGAATGTCAAGTGGCAATATCGGGGAAGATAGATCCCTTGTCCTATGAAAAACTAAAAACCAAAATGTATACTGTGAATCTCTTGATGCCTGTAAGAGCAGGGCTGTTTCATATTAATTTACTTAACAAATGCTTTGTTCTACACGCCATAATTAAGAGTTACAAATTCACAAAGGAGCCAAGGCTGAATTCAAGGGGAAAGCACTTCCACTGATCTTTACAGAGCTAGAAAACAGGGTAGTCGTCGTCCCCCCACAGCTGAATCTTCTCTCTATATAAGGTTTTTTGAGTGCAGCACAGGTTATGTTAACTGATTTGCCCACTAAAGAAGGGGCTCAATGTACATATTGTAACATTTAGATTTAAATTGAAATCAGGTGGTATATAAGTGGTGTGAAATATATATATATATATTAGTGTTACTTATGGGGAGGCTCTAGAAAAGTGGTGGATCATCTGTGCGCCTCCAGACATTGCTGACTGCAACTGCCATTATCCCTGACCACTGGCTGGGACTTATGGTAGTTGAAATCCAACGTATGAAGGGCTACAAGTTAGTCACCCATGATGGGTGGCGCTGTGATCTAAACCCATTGAGCTTCTTGGGCTTGCCGATTGTAAGGTCGGCAGTTCTAATCCGCACGGCGGGGTGAGCTTCCAGTTGCTCTGTTCCAGTTTCTGCCCACCTAGCAGTTTGAAAGCATACCAGTGCAAGTAGATAAATAGGTGTGGCAGGAAGGTAAATGGCGTTCCTGTGCGCTCTGGTTTCCGTCACGGTGTTCCGTTGCACCAGAAGCGGTTTAGTCAGGCTGGCAACATGACCCAGAAAGCTGTCTATGGACAAACACCGGCTCCCTCAGACTAAAAAGCAAGATGAGTGCCACACCCCACAGTCACGTTTGACTGAACTTAACCGTCCAGTAGTTCTTTACCTTTATCTAGATAAGAGCCTCCCAATGGTAAGTGTTCCATGGCAACTTAAATGCATTGTTACAGCCATGCCATCCCACAGCAAGCACAATTGGTTACTGGGATGGAATGATTATCTTGTTTTAAGCAGGTTGGATTGTGCTGATTCAGCGATATGTGAGTTGCTACACAAAGTATTCCTTTTATCTATTGGGGGGATAAATCAGTCAAAAATATTCTGCCACCTCCTCCCTACCATCCAACTGTTGAACAGGGAAGACAAAGTTCCGCTCTTTCAGATTTTATATCTCTGAATTGGGGAGAAAGGAAAATCATAAACCCTAGTATATGATATCTAAAATGGCATAATGGCTTAAAAGACTGAACTTTCAGCAAGAAAGTCCCTAGCACGCATGAATGCCCCCTAGTGCCCTCCATCACTTTCTGAACTCCAAGAAGCTTTTGTAGTGCTGTTTCCTTAAAATGTGGGTTTTTATTTTATTTTTTATTTTGGCAACAAAGTTCTTTAATCCACATGAAACCTATATTTCCAGTATGCGACTGAATCCCTCCCACAAAACACAAGCAGTCTGGGGGCAGCCCAAGTTAAACAAAGGTGTGGCATTTCACAAGTGCAGCTTTATATTGTCAAGTATGTGAAGCCTTATTCTAGAAGGCAGGGACAACAATGCAGAGACTCTTTCATTATGAGTATTTGATCTCCCCAAATGAGACTAGAATTACCAGTTAGGTAGGTTAACTTGTTCTTGATTTGAATGGCAGGGTGCCCTAGGCTGTGTTCAGCATGCAACAAAGAGCATCTACTGTACCGGCCAACTTTGGAAAAGAAAAAAGATTGGTTCTAATATAGGTTCTTCCCACTGATAATGGAGTGCTTGATCTCTGATTTCAGAAAAGCTAATAATAACATGGCACCTTTTGTGTATTTATATCATGTTGCTAAACGTAAGGTAAAAGATGTGTTATAATGCCATTATTATAACAGAATCCCCTTTTTAGCTTGTAATTGATTTTCTGATTAATTAACTGGGAAACAATGAGCAAGATGATCGTGTTAAAAACACATTATCTCAAGCTTAAAGGGAGAAAATGCTTGCTCCTCTAACATTAAAAAACCCCCAAAAAGACACCTTCTTATTTTTTTAACTGGTAACTCCACTGGCCTTCATAAAGTAGGCTGCCTCAACATAACTCATCTCCCTGGAGGCAAATCTGTGCCTTGTTTTTGACAGCCTCACTAGTGCTTTTTGCGCTTGCAAAACAGACTTAGCAAAGCTGAAAAGGCATTTGAGCTTTTGTTTGTCTCTAGCCCAGCAAATTACCTAGACATCTCAGGTTCTGTCAGATTGGTCTCATTTGTCTACAGTGCTATCCTGGTAGAGAAAACCCTGGTTGTGTAGCTGTTTGCTGTTGTGATGAGCTGTGCCAGCTCAGATCCCAAGTCACTATATCATCTGTGCATCTGTGTTCATACACAGGCCCAGGTTTAGGAATACAGCTTAACTTCCAATTGAGTCACGGCAGAGCTGGGGTGAGGGGCTTACGCCCCAAGCATATCTCCAGTTCAGTTGGGGTGAACGATTTATGCCAGTGTAGCTTTGGCTAAGTCAGGAAAGCCAAAAATCAGACAAATCCAAACTCTTTTATCCTAGTGAGTTTGGTTTACTCTGTTATCTGTTGATCTGCCCATTTTTGCCTCTGGATCTGGCTAGTTTTGCCTGTGAATAGTACTCCATGCACTTTTGCGACCAAACTTGACACAATAGGAATAAATTACATTTTATTTGTTGTGCAACACATGGAAAATTTCATCAGGCACCACACAAAAAGTTTTATTCCACTCCTGTTTAACCTCATGCTTTATACCCTCAGGCATTTATTTTAGTGTGCCAAAGGATAATTTAATCATTGTTTGTAATTTCCAATAAAGAAAAAAAAAAAAGTTGAGCCACAGCCAAATGAAGAAAGGAGATTTGTGTTTGTGTTTTGTGGGTTTAATCTGATTCTGATTACAGTCAGCATTCTAAAAGCAAGGGTTAAAAAAAAAAACACTTCACAGTGGTGAACAGCAACTTTTGAACTGGCGAAAGAAATAATTAAACATCATTAACTAAACAATGTGTACAAAACAACCCACCCACTTAGGTTGTAAGCCTAAAATGATACAGCTTCTACTAAATTTATTTGTATCATATATTAGTTTCCAAAAGGAGTGTTGGACACAATAATGCAGGTGAGAAATATATCAACTGCCCTATTTGCCCCACAAAATAGGTCTGGGAGTGTGGCATCATATAACCTTATGCTTTGAGTAGCACCAAGTCATTTTCTGCCTTGTCATGGCTCCTACTGGAATAAACAGCAACACCCCATCCATTAACTTCAGTTGAGGCATGTTTCGAAAAGGAGGCTCCATTTCTGAACAAATGGCTTCTTGAATTGTGTCAGTAATCCTATACACACTTACTTGGGAGAAAGTCCCATTGGAATAAGTCCCTGCTGGACATGGACCTGGTCTAGTTTGCCACTATGCCCTTCCCCGTGGAGCCATGTATATGGTGGCAATGGTATTATAGCTGCAGATATGTTAACAACAGCCTGCTGTTCAGAGTAATTGCAAAATGAACATCACATCATTAGTGCCACCTGTTTGCATGTCCAGATTTCCTTTCATGTCAGGAGTGCATGCAGGAGCCAGGCCCTGTGACCAGTAAGGCTTTGCAGGACTGGGGCCTTCCTAAGTTTGTTCAGGTGAGGCCGCTTGGTAACTCACTGCACCTGGTGGCAAGAGCCGGGAAGGGATATAAGGTCAGCATTTCCCTTCAGCTCTTTGCCACAGAAGTACGTTTCCTGCCTTGCTGCGTTTGGCTTCCTGCTTTCTGATCCTGGGACCTTGGCTTCTGGACTCTCGTTCCTGCTCCCACCCCGCCATCCTGCCCCTGGTCCTGACATCCTCAGCTGGGACTACGATCGCCTGTAGACCAGACCATGACATTTCATTGACTGCCTGTATGTTTGTCAAGCATCTAATAAAAATAAGAACAATCAGAGCTGAACTGGGTTTGTGGCTACAGGTGCTATGGGTAAACATCAATCTGCCTACTAATTTATAGTTCACACTAATCCATGGGCTTGGAGATAACACCTCCAGCTGGATAGATGCTACACCTGGTGGAACTCTTATCTCAAATACTAGGACTTGTCCTATTATAGTTCTATTGTGGTGAAATATAGGGCAGAATTATATTAATTTTTATTTAGGCTTCAGATTTTCATCTCTTAATTTGAAGACACAGGGTGGAATTGTGTTGAGCTATGTTGATTGTTCCGTCAAGGCAAGCTTCTCAGATGGAACTTTCCTCGCCTCCGTCTACGCGCTGTTCTGGGGCTTCTCCCAACCACTGCTCTGAACCAATTTGTGGGGTGCAAGCGGAGAGAAAGGGGAAAGCCCCATTGCACAAATGGAACTCCCTGTGCAGGGTTTCCACTGACAAGACTTGTGAGTTGAATCTCAACTAACTTTTACTCAGTCTACCCCTATAGAAACTAATGGCTCTATGACTAGCTTAGGTCCATTGAAGACAACCCATATAACTATCTATGTGAGGGAGGTTACATCATGTCTCATTCAAGCTCCCTTAATAGCTAAATATCTTACTGTCCAATACTGGAAGGCCTGACGCCAGCACTTATCAAAACTTGGTCAACGGACCTTCAGGACTGGAAGTCAAAGATCAAATCCTGCAATACTGAATGGGTGTGATGCCAGCACTGAATCCAGTGGGTCATGCTGAGAATAAACTCATTGGACTTAAGTCCATTGATGGTTTGAGCATGACTAAGACTTGATGCAATCTACAACGAACAAATCTTTTCCCATAAGGAAAAAGAAGCACACTTATTGCTTGTGTGCTTAGGGGGGATATTTGCCATCTAAAATTAGATAAATATAGTGCAGCTTGAGGTTTTGGTCACTTACGTTAGAGAATTGATGCACAGGGACTTATTAAAATATAAGTCAATCAAAACTTAGACATCACAAATTTGAAATATGAGTTTGGGAATCCTTTGATTTTTTTTTTTAATGCATGAACATTCAAAATCTAAAACAGAAGCATCCACACAGGCATACTTGACATCCAAGTATGTTTCATTTAACCTGCATTAGCCGGTTCAGGTGTGTCCAGGGTTGTACTAGCCATTCATAGGCTTTCCTGAAAAAAAGCTTATACAGTCTTTCAGCAAGTGTTCACTTCAGATATCTAAACACAATTAAGCAATCTCCTGAAACAGATGTTATGGCATCAGGTGGCAATGGCTGGTTGCCGAACACCCAAACAGCAGAAGTGAGAAAGCACCGTACTGTGCAGCACATGGCCAGGATTAAGAATGCTTTATACAATGGCCAGTATACTTATCTGATCCTTAATATTCGCGTCGTGCAGTCAGTCTATTTAACTATATAGAGAGACGGAGATATATGCTACACACACGCGCAAGTTCTAGTTTGTTATAGAAACGACAACCTACCTTCCCTCCGATCTCACACTAAGGGTCAAATTCTTTTTTCCTTTTAGGTCCTCCCATGTCTCCTCCTCTTCCTCCCAGACTCGGGTGGGGGTGGGGGCAGGTCACGTATAATGTTTGCTAAAATATGTAGGTCAGTGGAACATTTCCTGCACTTGTGCAAAAACAAGAGGAGGGACCGCTTTTTCTCCCCCCCCCCAGCTTTCTCTCTCTCTCTCTCTCTTTCCCTACCCCCCCTCCAAAAATCTAAGCCCACCCACTTTTTCCGAAAGTGGGGGAGGAAGGCTGGGTGCGAGGACGGGAGGCGGCGATCCGAGAGTCCCATTCCACCTCGCTGACCCATTTCGCAGCTTGGCTCGGAGCTGCTGCTGCTCACCGGCGACTCCCGCTCTCCTTTTGCTAAAGAGCCTGGTTTATTTCTCTCTCTCCAACAGCAGCAGCAGGGACCTCCCCTGCTCCCCGCCCTACTAAATCGGGAAGCACACGCTTCCTACTCTCACTGGAGACGCCGGCGAGGGAGCGCGAGCAGGGCTCCCCTGATGGTCTGAGGGGCGCCGGAAGCCGCCGAGCGGCCCCCCAGCGACTCGCTCCCCCTCTCGGCTGAGAGCGGGCGCGGATGAGGCGCTGCTGGGGAGGATGCCCCGCTCTTGCCCCCGGGGCAGCAACTTCCCGCCTAGGGAGCCCTTGCTGGAGCCGGCGCGCTCGCAACTTCATGCCCCGAGAGAAGCCCGCGCTAGCAGCAGCTACCCAGGCGCCCTCAGTCTGCGTCTCCCTCCTCTGGAGGCTCCCGGCCGCTTTCGCGCCTTTGCCGAGCCGCTTTTCCCGCCCGTCTCGAGGCTGGGCCGGCGCTGAGGGGGAAGCGGGAGCCCGGCATGCGGAGTCTCCCCTCACACCATGAGATACAGCCGGCGGAGGTGCCACAACAGCAGAGACACCGCCGCTAGCAGCAGCAGCAGCCCCGGTCGAGAAGCGGAGCCGCAGCCGCCTTCTCCCGCCGCTTTGGCGTGCGCCACCGAGACTTGGTCCGGAGACCTCTGGCACGAGTGGAAGAGCAGCAGCGGCGACGGCCCCGGGGAAAGTGGCCGCCGTAGCAAGCTCTGCAGCGGCGCACAGGTCGCCACCGCGGACAGCAGCAGCTGCAGCAGCAGCAGCAGCATCTGGCGCGTGCTGGCGGCGCGCGCCCACCTCTCCCAGTACAGGCACTTCAGGTAAGCCCAAGCAGGTGGCGCCTGACACAGTGACACAGATAAACAGCAAGAGCAGCGGGTCACTCCGGCCGCCTCTTCGCGCGGCGAGCGTTGGGGGGCGCCCTCGCTTTCTTTGAGGGGGGGCGCGCGCGCGCACAGGTGGCGGCAGCTCAAGTTAGGTGCAAGGTTGAGGGAGGAGCTGGCCTGGCAACTTGGCTCCTCCGCCGCGCGCCGAAATCGAGGGTCGTGCATGAGAAAGACACACATACAGAGAACAGCACCTTAAAGCTGATAAAGATGCTTCGCCAAGTCAATGGTACAGGCAAATTGATGATGATAATTCTTGAGGGGTGCTGAGTCAGGCTAATTTTCACCAGAGGCTGTGAATTTGGTTGTGGTTTTTTCCTGGCAGCTGCAGTTCAGATGTAATTCCCACGTTGGCCAGAACACACTTTGTATTAAATACAACTCTTTTTTTAATAAAAATAAAAATACCGTAAATCGTATGAATAGCATTCAAATGGGTACACTGCGCTAGATGATCCTCATGGTCCCTCCCAATTCTACAGATCTATGTTCCACAAACAACGCAGTGAGGCTGAGAGGTGATTTTAAAATGCAGTTGTGAAAATGGCCTGAGGCTGTGAGGGTTAATTTTGTGTGTGATGGTCTTTTAAAAATAACACCTCAGTGTAAGTTTTAAAGAAAGATCATCATAATACATACATACAGTGGTACCTCGGGTTACATATGCTTCAGGTTACATACGTTTCAGCTTACAGACTCCGCTAACCCAGAAATATTACCTCAGGTTAAGAACTTTGCTTCAGGATGAGAACAGAAATCGTGCTCCGGCGGCACAGCAGCAGCAGGAGGCCCCATTAGCTAAAGTGGTGCTTTAGGTTAAGAACAGTTTCAGGTTAAGAACAGACCTCCGGAACGAATTAAGTACGTAACCAGAGGTACCACTGTATGTATATATCTTTTTGTGTTTCCCATATATTATCTCGGCAGTCCTAACAGCAGTACTGGAAGGTAGGCCAATACTGGTGTATCATGTTATCAGTGGAAGCCTGAGACATGACCACTCAGTGATGCCACTCAATAAGTCTGTGGCAGAGATTACAGTTGAGGGAAAAACTTCTTGGTTCCTAATTCTTAGCTCTCATCGTACATTGACTCCTTGGAAGCTAAATAGTGCTTGGATCGTGGGTGGTGCTGTGGTCTAAACCACTGAGCTGCTTGGGCTTGCTGATCAGAAGGTTAGCGGTTCAAATCGGGGTGAGCTCCCGTTTCTCTGTCCCAGCTCCTGCCAACCTAGCAGTTCGAAAGCACACCAGTGAGAGTAGATAAATAGATACCGCTGCGTTGGGAAGGTAAACGGCATTTCTGAGCACTCTGGTTTCCGTCATGGTGTTCCGTTGCACCAGTAGCAGTTTAGTCATGCTGGCCACATGACCCGGAAAGCTGTCTACGTACAAACACCGGCTCCCTTGGCCTGAAAGGGACATGAGCACCCAAACCCATAGTCGCCTTTGACTGGACTTAACGGTCCAGGGGTCCTTTACCTTTACCTTACTGCTTGGATCTATGACTGGCTCTGGAAATGGTGTGTTCTAAATAAAGGCTGTCTGTTTCATTTTGGCCTAGGCCTGTGTAATTGTTCTGAAAGAATATATGTTAACATTGTTTCAGGGGGTTCATATTAAGGAATAAGGATTAATCCTTTCCAAAAGCAAATGGATCTCTGTTACTAAGAGACAATCCTGCATCGCAGCAATGGATTTGGCCGAATTATGTTATTGTCCCATTGTGTTTCTTTGTATGATGATCAGCTCAGGCATTTTCAGATATGTGTGGTAAAACCATCTCCAACCATACCTTATAGAGGACACCTAAAACATCCAGCTGTTGGGGATGGGGCTTGAAATGTGAGTTGCATTGACTTTGCATTACATTTACCAATGACAGTTTATTTGATATTCTAGAAATGCATTTTGGGTGTTGTAGATACTGAGAATTCTTTATTTCCAAAAACAACATTTCTGAAAGGATGGTACACATGCAATCTCTAGTTACTTGCTTATACTATGACAGTATGCAACGTTGCATTTTGTTGCATTTGCCTCTAACAGGGAAGGCTTTTTTTTTTTAATAAGTACACCTGTCAATAAAATGATTCAGTTTATCAGTTACTCCGCCATTAAAGCAAAAACAAAACAAAACCATCTTCATGTATTTTCAGCTTACGGTTGCTATAGCTTCTGGGCTACTTTGGTTATGCTGGAATAGCCAACAGGTGAAGTGCTTACGTTCTCCTCACTTCAGAAGCTTTTATATAAATTGCTGTCATCAAGCAGAAACTGTGGGTCAGAGACAGAGGCTGTAGTCACAGAGAGGTTAAATACTCAGGCAGGGCAAGGCTGGGTGGGTGTGAGGCAATGATTGTAAAAACGTCTTACAATATACTTTACAGTACTGTAAAGTATGTTATATGATATTTGTATAAGATAATGCTTAATAAGTTTTCCTTTAAAATTCATGAATTCATGCTGATATTTATTATATTGTTACATTGTAGGTAAGTCCACAGATATTACTAGTTTTTATTACAGTGTTAGATTGTCTTGTCTATACGTAGCTACATCCTTAGTGGCCCAAGAAAAACAAACAAATGTTTCTAAAGGTTCCCATATGGAGGTGGGAAATAGCTGCAGACCATGAATAATTGAAAATAAATCCTGTCTGTGTTTGGGATCACTGTGCCAAAGTTAAAGAAGCATTACAGTATTACAGTGGTCTGGAGTTTTCTGTATGTTTTGTCGAAAAGGGGGAAAATATAACAGTTTTTTTGCAGTTTTCATATGTGTAACGTGCCTTTGAAAGGTGCACATATTTGGGTTTTAAAAGAAATTCAGTTTGACAGAGCAATTGCAAAAGTCCTCTGTAACAGCTCGGTCTGAAAATATGCAGGATGCTTATTATTTACACTGTGAACAGACGTCAAATCCTTTTTTGTGAGCTTTAAAGAAAATCATGTCCTCCTTCATATAATGTGTGTGGAAGACAAAACGTAGCATGAACAGTTCTGTCTGCGATGCCTAAATCAATTCAGGCTCTGAAATTATTATTTTTAAACATTTTGTAACAAGAGGAGTTAGACTCTAGATGTGTATTTTGCTGCATGAAGAGGGAAATAATTTAAATGACTTTTAAAAAGATAGTTAGAAATGTCTTCTATGCGCTAGCTCATTGTAAATAGAACAGGTAGGAAAAAAATTCTGCCTTCAGCACATATTCTGTGTAATATAACACTTGTTTGTACTCTCACGTTTATTAAGGGCAGAGTTTACAGAGAGATCTGTGGTTCTTTGAAGTTCTGTGCCACGCTAGATAGAATAATTATGCTTTAAAATGTATTTTATACACTGTTAGGCTCTATACACATGTAGGCTTCGAAATGTTCAGGGGTCATCTTTTGTAAATAGCAGTTTGCAGTTGTTTATACCTTCACGCAGTAAGAGGCAACTACTATCTATGCAAAGGGTATTCTCTATTCCTCTCTCAACAATTAGTGTTCCCACAGGTCTTCCCCACAAAAAAATAAAATATAAAAAATTCTCACCATCTTTAGAAAAAAGAGTCTGAAGCCTATGTGCTGAGTGATATACTGATGTACTTATGTATTGGTATATAGAAGTGACAAAGTTACTACTGTACTGCTTCCCATTTTTAACTATTTCATTCATAAACAAGTTAAGTATGGCGAAGGAGAGTGGCACAGTGCTGCAACATGTGTAGAACTACCTCAATTGGAGGTGATTGGAGAAAGCGCTCTCTGTGTACGCAGAGCTTGGGCTTGGGCTTAGCTGGCTTAGCTGAAACCAGTTCAGCCAAGACCAGGGTGTTCCAGGGGTCTGGTGGGATGGGACAGTGGGACACTTGCCACTACTCTGTGTTCAGCTCAGTCACATAATCTAGCGGCCCTATTTTAAAGGCTTGTTTCCCCCCTGCCAGGCTCAGGTCAGCTCAGTTGGCAGTAGCCCTGTTGTTGAACAGAGTTTAGGGATAGGGCTAGATTATGCTGGCATAATTTAACCCCAGTGTAACTTGTGCTAGCTTCCTGCAGTTTGAAATGCTCTGCCAATCTGTTCCTTTCCTTACATCTAGTTGCACCTTGGTCAGGGTTGGGAAACCTGCGGTCCTGCAGAAGGTGTTGGACTATAGATCCCATCCAGTGATCAAGGATGATGGGATATGTAGTACAACACTCCTGGTCTTGGTGCAGTTTTATTTTGATACATAGTTTTGCATTGTTTGCTATGTTGTTTTACCCCCATAGTTTTTATTTATTTAAAAGGAAATCGATCTGAATAGCATTGTTGTATTTTTATTGTTTTTCTGTATAAGCTACCTAGAGATTTTTTAATTATTATATAAAGAAGTACAGTGGTACCTCGGGTTACATACGCTTCGGGTTACATATGCTTCAGGTTACAGACTCCGCTAACCCAGAAATAGTGCTTCAGGTTAAGAACTTTGCTTCAGGATGAGAACAGAAATCGTGCTCCGGCAGCGCGGCAGCAGCAGGAGGCCCCATTAGCTAAAGTGGTGCTTCAGGTTAAGAACAGTTTCAGGTTAGGTACAGACCTCCGGAACGAATTGAGTACTTAACCCGAGATACCACTATATAATGTTTTATTAAAATAAATAATAAATATTGTTTGCTTTTGCTCTTTGCTTGCAGTACACAATTTGACCATCACGGTCTAAATTCAGCAGAGGTTATGGGCAGAAACAAACTTGGTGAGAGTGCCTTAGAAGAACATGATTGCTTGTCTAATGTTACTGTTTTGGAAGAGCTAAGAGTTTCAAGTTGAGAATAACGAGCTAGCCAGTGACCTTGAGGTTCCTTGCTGCATCACACAATGACCTGGTTTGCACGCCTGCGTTTGGATTACATGACACGCCAGATTCCGGCTTAATTCCTGGAATGAGTGGGGAAGGAATGGAATAAGGGCTTTCCAAGTAGCATGCACCAGTATGATGCATGTTCACTTTAAACCACAGATTGCTTTTTAAGTATGGCTTAATGTGGCATGTGAACAAAGCCGGTTAGATTTCCTGGCGTTTCCCTATTTGCTAAAAACATTATTTTACTTAAAACTATGTTGAAGTTAGTTGAAATTTCCTGCTAAAGAGCTGGGAATATTTGGAATTATTTACTCAGCCAAGAGAGTTTTGTTTAGTGAGCAGAAACCTGAACAAGAAGGCTAGTTAACATTTTGTGAGGTAAGTGCAGCAGCTGCAACGTATGTCGGTTCATTGTTGTCATGGTAATACATTCAGTGGCATAGGAAGGGGGGGTGCAGTGGTTATGGACCGCCCCAGGGTCATTACTGGGGTGGTGGTGACAAAATGGCAAAAATATGTTTTGGGGTTTTTTTAATAAAAGATTTGGGCTCACGACACTTTTTTGAAAAAATAACTCCAGCACCCCCCTTCCTACGCCACTGGAAGCTAGGTGAGGCGGAGGGCACTGGGCACCACACGCAGCGTGCCTGAGCCACGTGTCTCTCCTGAGGGGGAGGCGGTGGGCGGACTGCCTGCAAGCTCCGCGCTGCTTTTTTGAGCAGCATGGGGCTTGCGTCGGCCCACTGCCTCAGCGTGCCCTGCCTTGGCTCACCCCGCCCCCATGGGCAGCTTGCCCCGCCCCTGGCAGCAGGATGCATGCGCTGCCCCAGGCACCCGAGCGGCTAGCTACGCTGCTGAATACAGTGGTACCTTGGGTTACAGACGCTTCAGGTTACAGAAGCTTCAGGTTACAGACTCTACTAACCCAGAAATAGTACCTCGGGTTAAGAACTTTGCTTCAGGATGAGAACAGAAATCGTGCTCCGGCGGTGCGGTGGCAGCAGGAGGCCCCATTAGCTAAAGTGGTGCTTCAGGTTAAGAACAGTTTCAGGTTAAGAGCGGACCTCCGGAACGAATTAAGTACTTAACCCGAGGTACCACTGTACATTAGTAAAAAAACTGAAGGGGGCAAGAATCTCCCTGTATCTCTGTTCTTTGTAAAAGGAAAAGTTTTACCTTGGATCTAAAACGGAATAACAGATACGTACTTAGTTCGTTTCGTGTCTGCATAGAAACACACTTGAGCTGTTCATTTTTAAGCTGCTTTAAGTATTATATAAATAAATATGCAAATGAAGGGCCAGTTTCTGTGTAATGCTGAGTCATGTTTCTTTTGTGATGTATTACAAAAAACCATCTGCACAGGCTGCTTGGAAGGATCTGTATTTCGTTGGGAGTAGGTGGGGATTTTTTAATAGGGCTGAGCTAAAAAGTAAACTTTTTTTAGTTCAGAAGAAGGGGGGATGGGCTTTTGTGGGAGACTGCAAGATTTTACAAAAGGCCATCCCTCTGCTCACCTTTTTGTTTATGATCTTAGCAATGGAATTGACCTTGCTGCACACTGCTGCTTGACTAGTCTGATGGGTTTAATTCTTCCATATCCATTTCCATTTAGAAATAAATATATTATAGATCACATTCCCACTTCTGTATATACAATTATATGATGAGTAATTTAAATTAAGAAAAGTAGATATATTTTCATAATTGGACCTTTTATATCCTTAGAGGTTAATAGTAGTTGCTCCTCGAATAGGAGTGCGTTTCTATAGACGAGCATTAACAATATTTCTTCCTTGAAAGTGTTGAAGTTACAGAGGTCTAATGCTTTCCGTTTTCATAATTACTTCTTTAACAAATTCATGTCAGTCTTATGAAAATTCATAGTGTAGAGTTCATGGATAAGCTGCAATGATATATCTCAATAATGTTCATCCGAAAACCATCAAGATAATAATTCCCACTCGCAGAATAAAGAGCTCATAACCCAGCTCCTCTCAGCAGCCAGAAGCATCCTAGCTAGACAATGGAGAGACTTGTCAGGAGTAAACATGGACCACTGGTATCAAATTGTGTGTGAAACAACCTTACTGGAAAAGCTAACCAATAGACTGAAGCTGGAATGGGAACAAATAGAAGAGGACACCTTCACTCCAATATGGCTCCCCTTTTATCACATACACAGCCCAACAAGACAACAAGAATCCACCCACAGCATACAAATCAATATGGCTAACTTGACTCCCTCCCCAATCTCACTGCAGCCAACTAAAGACAACCAACCATGCCCTAGACCCCCAACCTCTCTCACTACCAAGGAAATATAACAAGCGAATAGAAAGAGAACCTACCCAAGTGATGCTGACACAAAACCCCACACATACACTAAAAGAACATGAGTTTTACCACTCTACCCCCTACCCCCCTCTTTTCTTCCCCAACCTTATAGATAGTACAGTGGTACCTTGGGTTACATACGCTTCAGGTTACAGACTCCACTAACCCAGAAATAGTACCTTGGGTTAAGAACTTTGCTTCAGGATGAGAACAGAAATCGTGCAGCGGTGGCACAGCAGCAGCGGGAGGCCCCATTAGCTAAAGTGGTGCTTCAGGTTAAGAACAGTTTCAGGTTAAGAACGGACCTCCAGAACGAATTAAGTTCTTAACCCGAGGTACCACTGTATGTCTCACAACAAATGTAATTGCTCTGTAGAAAACACAATCTGAAAAAAGAGGCAATGCATAAATGGGAATGTGATCTATAATATATATTCAGTGGTACTTCAGGTTAAGTACTTAATTCGTTCTGGAGGTCCGTTCTTAACCTGAAGCACCACTTTAGCTAATGGGGCCTCCCGCTGCTGCTGCGGCACGATTTCTGTTCTCATCCTGAAGCAAAGTTCTTAACCCGAGGTAATATTTCTGGGTTAGCAGAGTCTGTAACCTGAAGCGTATGTAACCCAAGGTACCACTGTATATAAAACTATGTGCTAGTTTAAAACTAAAAGACATTCCCAGTTACAATCTTTTACCTACTTACCTGGGAGTATGCCCCATTGAGCTCAGTGGGGCTTAGTTATGAGTAGACATGTACTGTAAAAGTTAAAGTACAATGACAAATGTGTGTCCCTATACAGGATATTATTTAGCTTGCCCTTATAATATTTATTAGAGTGCAAACTGTGAAAAGAAACACCCTATTCTTACTGTTCACCCTAGAGAGCATTTATTTGAACCGCTTGGTGATAGCTGTGGATTTTGCTGCATATTAATAAATAAAGTGGCAGAAAACCTGGGCAATTTTTCTTTGCTGGATAAATTTTATTACTTTTTCAAGGCAATTGTAACCTGAGGTGGTGGTTCCGTGGTCGATCTGTTAGCAAACCCTAAGCCCTGTTTTCTGCCGGAGCATTTTCCCCTTCCATGGTTTCCCCTGGCCTGGGAATCAACAACACCAGCTCTAGGGTTGGTATAATTCAGGGTCATTGGAGGAACATGTCTGGGCAACGAGGTGGCAGATCCATAGCCTTCCTCTGACACGCCTCCAGCATGCTGAATCCCAGTGGGTGGGTGACCAGTCTGCACATGCTTTTAACACAAGATATGATTGTTCAGAATCCCCTGCCATGTGTTTTGCAAGCCATTTTTAAAATTCGTTTGTAGCTGTCTTTCTGTCAAGAAAAATGCTGTCAACAAAAGTTCACTCTCTGATGGTTTGAGATTTGAGCTGCAATCCAATACCCCAGCCGGGCAGCAGTGGGACCACCGTGGCCTCATCCAGAGTCCTGTTGCTCATGCTGGCTAGAGCACAAGGCGGAAAGCAGGGAAATTGCTGTGCCAGCCTTGAGTTAGTCTGCTAATTGGGCCTGATCTTGTTGCATGAGAGCAGTGGGGCTGTCCTGGCATCCAGTGGATTCTGGGCTGGCTCAGCCCCTCCTGACCCCAGAATGCCCTGTTTGAAAGCTTACTGTGGGCTGCCACCAACAGGGACCCTCGCCAGCAGCATTTTATACATAGGTAGTATGGGGGGTGCGAATATTAGGTCAGAATACATAGTCTTTCTGAAGGCTGCCAGATATGGATACCATATTCATGATTGCCACCTGTTGTGAGACTCATGGTTCTTTTCTGTAAACTCAATCCTGCAAGTAGATTAAGTATTTGGATATAAACATGTCCCGTGTATTTTTCTGTACCTGGGATAATAACTTCAGAGCAAATCAGTCTGTAATTCTGACAGTAATTCTGAGGATAATAGGGAAGCATCCCAAAGGAGAAGAACACACCACAGGAATTCCCGATATAATTTTTAAGGAACCTTAATTACTGTCTGTTGTTATCTTGACAGATGATCTCTTCGTAGTAATAAAAATACTTCTGAGTTGTAGGGAAAACCGCTTCTTCCATTGAACCTGACGTTTTTCTACAGAAATATTAGTTTTGGCAATGCCTCTGCACTATTTCATACTTTATTCGGGGCTCTCTGCTTTGGGACATAGACCTGAACTAAAACTAAAAATAGGGTGGTCAAAAGGGTGGTTTATAATAATAAAAGAACCTTCCAAACATCCAAAATCTTATTAATCTACAAAACAATAGTTGGGCCTCAATTTTTGTTCATTTGGAGTTTGGCCCAATTATGAAGTTGAAAATTAATTAGATATTTCACAAGTGAACCCAGAGCAAAACCCAGAGATTTGTATAGCTATATAAAGCCAATTTTGTGGTAGACACAATAACCTTTTCCTGCACAGTGATGACACCAACCCGTCTCTGAGAAAACAAATGCTTCCTTATGCTGCTGTATGCAACCCAGTCGGATGGGTATGGTACAAATAAATAATAATAATAATAATTAGTAGTAAGTGAGATAAGTTTGAGAGAATAGGGAAACATTGCAGGTCTGATAGAACGGCTCTTACAAATTTATTTTCTGCTGCTGTTTACAGACGAATAAGGAATAAATATACTATACTTAAGAGTCTCATCATCCCATTTGATCCTGGCAGATAATGTGGTTCCACTAAAGCAGGTCACTGCACATTCTCACTCGCAGTTACTTTGGGACAATGCAAACTTACTGTTGCATGAAAAAGTGCATTGCTGAATATGGCATCTAGAAGATGATATATGTCATTGTGGCAACTTTTATTATGCCTACTTTAGTACACAGCTTTATTTGTTTGTTTTAAAGGCACTTACGTGGAACCGTAAGGCGTTGCCTTGATGGTCTTAGTTCACACATTTCAGCAGTTTGTGAGAGAATATCTAGGGCAGGACTTTCGTGTTATTTTTCTAGGTGTAGACAAGGTTGAACCTATCACCCTGAATGTGCCAGTACTGCTGTTATTCATGTGCCCCCCTCTTCTTATCTGCCTTTTGCAGAAGAGTTTTGCGAAGAATTAGGGTGATATCCAGTTCAGTCACACTCAGAGCAGACCAACTGAAATTAATGGACTTCAGCCAGTTATGCCCGTTGCTTTCAATGGGTCTACTCCTGAGTATGCTTTTTGTCTTGTGTCTTTTACACTTTAAGCCTGTGGACATGAATTGTCTTGCTTTTAATCTGTGTACAGCATTTAGTAATTGTTAGTGCTGGATAAAATCCTAATGTCTAATAATTTAGATTAGAATTAGGGATAGAGGAATCTGCAAATTTCGATCTATCTCTCGAACTTCTCATTTGTCTAATCTTGAGTTCGGTTCCTACATCAGTTTGCACTTTGAAAAAAGTCCTCATGAAAATTAGTCAGCAGTTTCATATTCTTCTTCCCGTAATGTACAAGTTTTTGTTTGAAATTCTGCTTAAGATACACATTTTTGCATGCATTTCCCCCCAACCTGAACTTTTGTATATTATTTTCATTAATACATGCATTGGTTTTCCTGTGCTATATGCATTCTGGTTGGAAAACCATATGGCAACATTTGTAGAAGTGTTTTGAGACTTTTGAGACAGCTACATTTTGGTTTTTGTATTCTTACAAGCGTTGAAACAATTTTCTTCCCATTCCTACTTGAAATCAGTACAGTGATTAAAAATATTTACAAGTTTAAGAAGGGTGTAATGTGAGACATAGTTGCCAAATATTTGTTTCATCATAAACTGAGGGGGTGTGTGTGAGTTTTTAAATTTGCAACCTCAAGATTACTCTTTTGTCTTCAACCTTTGTGGGACTACATGATAACATGACTCACCTTCTTTGGCCTTCCACACAGCCACAAAACTTACACACCTCAGTTTTTATTTCTCATTTGGTCACATAAAAACCATCAGCACTATGTTGCAATTCCAAACAAGCCATTGGTATGCTTGGTTGCAGAGGGATGATATTTCTGTAGTCAGAGCTCAGTAGACAAATTACTTAATGAATGACGGGAGAACTGGAACAGCTACTAAACCACCTGTACACATTCTTTCTAGGAGAAGAGAAATCTTTCTCATTCTATCAGCAAAAAACATGGAATGATATGCACATTCCATGACATTACTGGCATGTCTACAAAGACAGGTCATTTCCTTTCTGCAGTGTTTGTTTATAGACTCATAATGACTATCCCAGTTATCTATCAAATGAAATGCATGTCACAACATATCTTGCGTTACCTTGAGATAATCAGTATCTCCAGCTGTGTCAGGAGTTTGATGGCATGCTTACAATATGCAAGTGTGAAGTGCTTTGCTACCAAAAATTACAGGTATGCGCTTTCAGAAATTACATGTTTTTAATACTTACTTTAATGCTTGTATGTTATTGTATTGCAGTTTGCATTTCATAGAATTCAAATTGTAATGCAATATAAATCATGAAATAAGCAACTGAAATGCGGTTAAAAATAAATCCACAAGAGACGCCATGAACAGTGTTTGAAATTCCCCAGGCACATTTTGCTACTAGCGCGGGTCCAATTGTGACCACATTGAGATTTCTTGGTGCCAAGGTTGGCAACCACAGTTTAAAAAACTTTGCCTTTAGTCCATAATGAATACCATTTCCACTGTGTGTGTTTCTCCTTCTTGCATACTGGGACAAATGAATTGTTGTAAGAGCAAGTTGCAGACAAGCAATGTAGCCTAAGTCAGCCCTGTACAGGACCCAGTTTGGCCCACAAGACAGTTTTCTGCAAACCATGCCCACTTGCCCACCTGTCCTCACATGTGACTTAAGGAATTTATGAGGGTGGAACATGAATATAACAGGAAATGGGATCAATAGGTAGATGTTATACTCTACTGGCTTGTTTGACATTAGAAATATACAGAGAAGAGACAATGAGATCGCTTATATCAGCCTGAAAGGAGAGAAGAAGGAGTGATACAGCAAAAAGTTTGAAGTAACTCATAGGCACCTTCATCATGTAAGAGAGATGCAGGCTAGGGTTTTGCCTTCTGGAATATAGCTATTTTGTATGCAGTCAAGACTTCCATTGTCCTCACTCATAGTTTTTGTTATCAGTTCAGTTCATTACAACTGCATCATCAATAAACTCTTTCTTAGTTTTCCACAATTGCTTCCCACCCTCCGTGTTTTGTAGCCATTGGATGGGATCAACTAGTCAATATTGGGAGTTCTCCTGGTTCCTTCTAGAAGTGATGATCAGATTGGTAGAGGCCTGGGTGGAGCTTGCTTTTGTCTCAGATCAAGAAGGGTCAGAGGGCAGATGCCTAAAGAGAGGGTGAGTGTTGGTTTGTGGGTGGGGAGGAGGGCCAGTCTAACTCTGGGGTAGTAGATCAGGGGTCAACTAAATCAGGGTTAGCCCTCCAGGTGTTGTTTGACCACAGATCTCATAATCCCTGACCATTGACTACGCTGGATAGGGCTGATGGAGTTGATCCAAATAACCGTTCCACGTCACTGATACTTCTCCAGGTATTATTACTACTCTCAGTGTTTTCACCTGATGGAGATATGGCAGTTGTTTACTAGTGCAAGGTGTTTTTTGGTAGTGGCATCCAGTTATTCATTGCCCTCTGAAGAAAACTGCCTGCTGACTGCTCAGATGTTCTTTCGGTGCCAGGCAAGCACGTTTTTATTTCCCCAGGCATTTCAACTCTTCCTGAACCCTTACGAAACCTGCTTTTGCTTGTATGCTTCCCCAGTCTTTGATCTGGAGCTTAATTTTAAGCATGTATCACATTGTATTATATTATTCATTTTACTGTTTTCATCCTCTAAGCCTTCCTGAGAACAACTATAACAGTTATAGGGTGGCACGTAAATAAATCTCTCTTCTCTTTTCTTCTCCTTTTCATAATCCAAATTTCATATTCACTTTTCTTTTTGCAGTATAGTCAGACCTTACGTTGCATCTACAGAACTACAGAACTAGCTCCCACAGTCTGTATTATATCTACAAATCATCACTACTGTACTGATGATTCAGAAAGTGTACAGAAATCTACAGGGCAGTTGTGGGAGTTATTCATGTCATGTCAACTGCTTTCAGCTTCAAGCAGTTATTTTAAGACGGGTGCCCTTTGTATGTACAAAGTGCCACATTATAATTTTATTAACCTAGCAACAGAAGTTAATATCAATCCACAACCCACTGGCAATCTCTCTTGCATTGTTATGCACCAGAGTTAATTGAAACAAAAGCACCTAACTGTGCCTTTTCATATTTTTGTACAGTTTTTAAGAGGACTCTAAAAATCACTTCCCGTTTTTATTCTGCCGCTCGCTACCAAATTGCCAGCCACCATTTTCCAGTACATGAAATGCATTACTGTTGGGTGTAAACTTTCAGCCAAACCCCTCTTGGGCGATTTACAGTGTGGCATTTGTTCTAGAAACCAAGAACCCAGCAGCACCCAATTATGAAAATCAAACAGGGATAAGATAGGGCAAAGACAGATGTAATATTAAGGAGAGAGAGGGAGAGCTCACAGCAGTTTCTTCAGCGTAACCACCTTCTGCTCCATTTCACAATTAAAATGGGAGGCATACCTATCAGTGAACCTAGTGCTGTTATAGCTATCAGCCATGCCCTTCTCCCATGCTTCAAGTGGGTTACTGCTTTTTTGTATTTTTTTTTTAAGCACCGCAAGTACTTTTATTTATTCATTTGTAGATTTCTTTTTTTAGGGAAATGGGAAACCTTTTTTTTAAAAAAATGCAAAACTATTCTGGGGATTTATGATGAGTTATTTTGGTGAAATCATGGCTGCTAGCCAATTAGCTCCATCCACAGCCAGCTCCTGCTGCAAACTTGAAGAACCATTTAAAATTTACTTTATTTGAGGAAAGGTTTATTTTTTAATTGAGCACAATGAGTTCATTTCCAAATTGGCTCTACTGCTCTCAAAATGTTGTGACTGTTTGTGCATGAATAGGTGGCAAAACGAAGGTTTTGTCAATGTATTGGAGATTGTTTGAATCTATTATACTTGGGCTCAGTAGCGTAAATTACCTGACTAATCCAGATGGTCTTGCCTAGGGCTGCAGAATAGTTTAGTTCAGGTATCTGAGTCCCCATTTTTATTTAACTAAATAATGGTGGCTTCCAGCATGGGGATGTTCCTCTTTGGCTCTGCATCCAGTGTGTTTCCACTACTGCTTTGGGAAGCGGTGTACACACAACATTAGTCACAATCCATACCTATTCTGTTTCTATGCTGTAGTTTGATAGGAAATACTGTGTTTTGATGCAAACACCCCCCCAAACCAGTTTCAAACCGAACAGAGAAAAATAAAAATCTAGCTGTGTTTTAAGCAGGTAATGTGTAGACAGTCTTGGAAAATAGCCATGTATTAAGCAGGGTTGTTCTCTTGAATTTGGTCATGGTTATTCCGTCATGCCCAGAAAATGCTGTAATCCTAACACGTGGTTGATCCCATGCCCATGATTCAGTTTATTTGGGTTTGCTTCTTTCATAAGGTAGGGCAGAATGAAAGGATAAGCACTGTTTTGCCAACAAGTGGAGCTCCAGAAGACATGGAAAGTCCTCCCATTTCTCAACCTTTTACCAAACTTTGCCCCTAAAATTTCCTCAGCGGTTATGTAGCACATGCTTGTTTTTATTTGTTTATTTTAAATCAGAACACCAGGTGCCACTTGAATTACAAGCTTATGAATGTATAGAGCTCATGCAACCTTTATCAAACCTTCTATGACATATCTTTGTATGGTCTTTCAGTTAACTGCAGTCAGCTGAGAAAGAGAGAGATGACTGTGAGCAGACCATTACAATCGCATCATCAATTTATCACATGGAACAGTGTTGCCGAAGTGACCTACTTTTTCCTGTTTTGCGTTCAGAAGGCTAATCCTGTTTACCATTGCTGGGAGGAGGGAACGGGCACACACCAAAGAGTTCTTTTGAGTTGTGCAGATGGCAGTCTTCACCGATGAATGTTCGTTTAAATTTGTTCTCTCTTTTTTCCCTATACCGTATGTAAAGTTTAGCGCAGAGGGTTATCTTGGACGGCTGAAGCAACCCATTTGTACAGGGCTTGTTTGCAACAGAAGTATCCGTTCATAGATGTAGCACTATAACTTTATTTGAGAGAGAGTTCCCAAAACTATTGGGCAGGAAGGTGTAAGTAAGCAGACAATCAGACTTCTTGTTCTTGTTCTTGTTCTTCTTCTTCTTCTCCTTCTTCTTCTAACTCAGGGCTTAATTTTGCATCACTGATAAGGGATAGGCAGCAGCTTGATTTGCTACTGAAAAATATTCAGGGAGAGTACAGTGGTCATTTAATAGCTCAAAACAATAGCAGTTATGGTGGATGTATTTATCGTGTTTTAAATATTCTATTGGGAGCCGCCCAGAGTGGCTGGAGAAACCCAGCCAGATGGGTGGCGTATTAATAATAATAATAATAATAATAATAATAATTCTAGGCTGGTATGAAACACTGTTTCTGGCTTGTCTTAGGGCTTATCCACACTTCCACTGCTTCCCCCACTCTGCTTTTTAGTGCTCAATTGGAGCAAACTACAATTCTGGTTTCCCCCCAGATTGCCATTTATTCTGATTTAACGCTAAAGAGCAGCTTTTCCCGGGGAAATGAGCGGACCAAAGGGGAAACTTCTTAGAGCATTGCCTAGGTAGTGCAGGTAAATCAGAAAACTGCTCAATCACGTTTGTGGTTTCTGGACACAGGGCAAGCGGAAGTGTCGACAAGTCATTAGTTGTACTTCGGAGAGATTTGAACAGTTTTTCTTTAATTAGATAAGCTTGTTTCAAGCACACCGGAGTCTTTCACTGCCAGTTTTGGGAAGCCAAGGCTCCCCAGCATCTCACCTTAAGTTAACCAGGAGCTTGTTCTTCCCTGGTGCCCAGGTGGCCTCACTGCTGCTGTGTTGCAAGCAGCTTTTGTGTTGGGACCCTTGAGAACAAGCCAGCTGTTGGGAATGCTTCAAGATGCCTATGTGGAGTCCCTCTTCACCCTGTTCGCTTGCAGAGGATTGCAGTCCAAATGTTGGCCAAAACAAGCAGAGAGAATGATGAATCATAGAGCCACTGGCTTAAAATACATATAGGTGTCGTGATGAATTAAGTGAAGCAACAATGATTCTGTTTGAAACCTAACCTTTCTAGAAATCTAGTGGAAACATGTGCTAAAGCTACCCTGAATTCTTTCAACAGGAAAAGCTGCTTAGACAATCTAATGGATGAGGATGAAAAAGACAGGGCAAAGAGGTGAGTACCCTCTCCCCTCTTCATCTCCTTTTCCTTCAATACTGGGAATTGTCAGCTTCATGAGAGCCTATTTTTAATGCATAACAAAGCTATTTTACTCTCTCTGTCTCTCTTTCTCGTTTGACCAAGCTAAGGAGAAAATAAAACCTGGCGCAACATGAAAAACAGCTGAATCTCAAAACATGTGATTCTTCTTGCCATGCTTTAAAAGCAAAGGGCCATGGGAAGCCCTTCCCATGTCAAATGCTGCACTTGGTTCCCTTAAGAGAGACTAGAATCTGAAGTGAAACAGAGACACCCGCGGGCAATGTTCGTGCTTCACATGAAACACATCTTTCTAGTACTTTAAAAGCACCTACAAGAACCAACAAAGGAAAATGTTAAAAGGCAGGTTATCTGTGTCTTAATTACCTGAAAAACAGTACAGGGTAAATGGGATGCAGGTGCTTATTTTAAAACAGATTCAACTATCTTCCCTGCAGTAGACTACGTCAGGCACTGCAGAACTGAGAAAGCAATCCTGGCTGTGAACAGCGGACAGGAACAGAGCTGTGGACCCACCACTGTATCTTAAATCCCCACTGCTTGTGCCTGGCCAGGATGGAAGCTGGCTGGGTGGCCCTTATTTTCCACTTTTTTTGCTGCCCGACTCCTCAGGATTCTCTCCAGCAGATCCTTTGCTGGCCCTGCTCTGTGCCTGCCACTGTGATGCCCCATTTCAGGGCCTTGTGGTGGCTATTGTGGCAGGAACACCACCAGCAGTAGCCTTTGCTCTGTGGCACTCTTGGCAGGTGCGGGGGGGGGGGGACACATTCCCGGTGGCAGAGCCTGGCGAAGGAAGGAGCACCTCCGCCTCTTCCTAACCCCCTTCAACAGTACAGGTATAAGGGGTTAGGAGTGTTCTGCAGTACCAGTCCAAATAACTTCCAGTGGCCATGACTAATCTGAATAAAAAATAAACACACGTAAAGGGATGTCACACCACACATAATAGTCTCTATTTAGATCTCTGTGTCTCCCTTACAGATCAATGCTATTTTGTCCAGGGTCTTCTTTCTGTTCTTTTTGGCCACCAGAGCAAAAACAGGCAGCTTTGTGAGTCGCTGAAGCGTTTACATTTCTAAGAAGCCAGATGTCAGGGACTGGGCAGAGGCGGAGTGGTGGAGACCGTCTCCCCAGCTTGACCCTTCCAGGGAGGAGGAAGAGGGAGACAGTTTAGATTTGCAACAGGGGTTTGAGGGAGGTCCCAGCTCAGAGGCAGATGAGGGGAAAAGCTGGAAAATAATGGGAGAGAGGGAGAAGGAGGAGGAGGAGGAGGAAGCACCAGGGCGGCGACAGCTGACAGACAGTGCCTTTAGAAAGCATTCCAGACCCCCACTCTCTCAGAACCCGGTGAGCCTTGAAAGTAGGAGAGCAAAGAGCTCAAAGACAGAGGACACTTATTAGCAACCATAGAAGAGACAATGCGATTGACAAATGAGGAAGTGGGAGAGACGGGGGGGGGGGAGTAGAGATTTACTCGGGACAATGCCGTTATCCAAGGGGCTGGGTTCTATAGCCCCTCTCTGTAACTACTGAATAAAAAGCGGATGGTAAGAAACATTTCCTTGTCTTTGTACATTCCTGGGCAACTGGCCAGGAGTTGCTGGCAGCAGTCTTGACACCATAGGGCCTTATCTGCTGCAATGAGACATCTTTCCTGTATGGGCAGTAGGGTGAGAAATCACCTCCTGGGTCCAGTGTATATAGTAAATAGTGCAAGATGTCTTAGGATTGTTCTGTAAAAAAAGGAGCGGTAAAAAACCAAACATCATCATACAGCACCGTCATACTTAATATTTGTATAGCACTTTCGGGGGGGGGGGTCAATACACTGCACATGCGTTATATAAGTGCAGTCCTTTCAACCCTCCTGTTATGTAAGTCCGCATTATTGCCTCCTATATTGCAGATGTGACTGAATCCTACCTGCAAAATAGTGAAAGTCTGGATGTGCCCTTAGTCTTTCCTCCACTCTTTCCAATAGGTAGAGACAAAACTTTGTAGGAGGGCATCTAATATTTTAATGAGGATTGAATTCTAAGCCCTAGGTGGGAGACAGGAGAAGGCTGGGGCTGCTCTAGCATAAAGGTTTTCAGAAAGTTGCTTACAGCAACAATATACAACAGGCAAATGTAATAAACAAGTATTGTTTAAGAGGTGATTCATCTCTTATGGGGAGAAAACTTAGGTGAGCTCTTCTGTATTGAAGGAAGATGCATTAGAATGCTATACTAGGTAAAATAACTATGTTCTGGTCAGGGACAGACCAGAGGGGGGAAATTGAAAGCTAGGGACACAGAAAATGCTCTCTGTATTAGGGGGACATTACATATTTTATATTGTGCCTGAAATTGGCACAAGTATCCGGTATTACATGCTGGTACAACAACAACACTGATAAATCCACACAAAGGAGATTGCTATCATCTCATTTGGGGTGCCCGAGGAAGTGTAAAAGATTGTTGAAATGAAAGGCTATAATAACTGTCAGATCTGACTGGCATCTGGAGTTTCACAGCAGCTGTTTGCTAGTAGTTTTCTCTCTCTTCCTGGATACTTTCTCATTTTTGTGAAAACAGGAGATTAATTGGCTTATACAGAGCCTTAGATTGCATCTGGTTTAGTTTTCACCATGATGCTTTTCTTTAATGAAAGAATTTCTAGTCTGGCCACTATTTGATTTAGCATCATCTCTTTTTTAGTTTCTTTGTTCCCTGCAGCTTTCCTCTACTAATATAGGTCATGCTATTCTGCTGCTTAGATCAACTGTCTTTTTTTCTAATCTATGTGTTTTCAAGACACAGAAGCCCACTATTCCATATGAAAAAAGAGTGTGCTAGATAATGTGCCGAATATGGGGTGAATAAGTGCATTCCCTTAGAGTCGACAAGCAAGATTGGGCATAAATGATACAACTAGATACAGGAACTTGAATTCAGCTTTCTTTATTCATGCTTATTATTAACGCACGGGCCTGAGCCTTTTCCTTTGTCTTGTAGTAATCAAATAAACAAGAAACACCCATTTGCCATTCTTTCTTACTGGAAATACTTCTTGTGCAGGACAGCACACCCTATCTTGTTGAATCCTGACAAGACAGAAGTACTATTTGGGGGGGACAGTTGGCGGGCGGGTGAAGTACAGACCTCACCTAACACTCCCAAGTTTAAAAAGTGGTATGAGGTTTGGTCGTGTTAGCCCATGGGTAGGCAAACTAAGGCCCAGGGGCTGGATCCTGCCCAATCGCCTTCTAAATCCAGCCTGTGGACGGTCCAGGAATCAGCGTGTTTTTACATGATTAGAATGTGTCCTTTTATTTAAAATGCATCTCTGGGTTATTTGTGGGGCATAGGAATTCATTCCCCCCCCCAAATAGTCCACCCCCCCCACAAGGTCTGAGGGACAGTGGACCGGCCCCCTGCTGAAAAAGTTTGCTGACCCCTGTGTTAGCCGCTGAATGTGGTGGTCGAGCAACTTTGGCAATAATATTATTCAGTGTCAATCTAGTGTAGCGTCTAAATTTGTAGAGCAATCCAAACTATAGGAAGCCAGTGTAATTTATGCTGGGGTAAATTATGCCAGTCCAGTGTAATTCATTCTTTCCAAGCTCTGGCAGACAGAAAACAGGTCTTTAAAATAGAGTTTGACTTGTGCTACTCTTTTTGCCAGTGGGTTGCTATGTCATGTAACATTTGGAACAGGAATGGTCTCCTCCTGCCACCCCTCTTTTTCGGAACTTGCTTCAAGCTGAGCTGGCTGAGGATGGAGAACCTAGACCAGTGTACCTGTGGTTGAGATGGGGTAAGGAACGTAGGCTCAGCCAGAGATCCACTTATTCCAAACCTCCCTCATCCTTGTGGTTCTTGGGTTTGGGCTGCTCCCCAAGTGTATCTTTTCCTTGTAGTACATCTCCTTTTGTGATCTCTGAGAAAATACAGCATAGCTTTAGAAAATCTTATTTGTTGTAAAAATGAATATAAAATTACATGAAGAAGAACTTTTGTTTTATGTCAGCTTTCTTTGCTTTTCTTAGTGATGAACCATAATGAGAAATAATTTTGAATAACCACGCTCTGTGTGTGTGTGTGTGTGTGTCTATTAACAGTTTTCTCCTGTTTGTAGGGCTTCACGTAACAAGTCTGAGAAGAAGAGGCGTGACCAGTTCAATATCCTTATCAAGGAGCTCAGCTCAATGCTTCCAGGAAACACCCGCAAAATGGACAAAACTACAGTACTTGAAAAAGTCATTGGCTTTCTTCAGAAACACAATGGTAGGTAACAGAGCCATGCCCACTTATTCATCCAATTACTGTCCTGGGTAATGGTGAGGCTTCTTCAAACAGTCAAAATTTCATGGTCGAAGTTTTCCAAGATAGATGACTGTCCGTTTCCGAAATTATATAGTTCCTCCAACAGGTCTTTCCACAGACTTACAACCATCTAGAACTATTAACAGAAGTCGTGTTCTTTTTTTTTTTTGCCTAAGAAAGTTCCAGTTTGCCCCTCCCCACCCCCATGTTGGATAACATATTGGTAGATATATAACAGAAATGTTTTCATTTGTTTAGAATTCTCGACACAAACAGAGATTTGTAACACTCAGCAGGAATGGAAGCCTTCCTTTCTCAGCAACGAAGAATTCACCCAGCTGATGTTAGAGGTGAAAAACTCAATTTTTGCAAAGTTGTGAACGTGTGTGTTCTTCCAGTGTAAACTGTGGCTACAGCCCTGCAAGCCATATAATTTCCACATGTAGTTCTATAGGTCGATAGAGCTCAGCAAGAGAGGAGAGGGAATCAAAACCACAGCTTGTGCTTACTTATGCCCATGCCCATTGCTTGATTGCCTTCCTGGCTTTCATATTAGGCAAGCAAACGCAAGCTGGCTTTTGCAAAATTATTGTTTTTTAATAGTTAAAATTTCATTTTAATGTTGTGTGCATACAACTCTGAACCAACCTGGGATCTTCTGGTGAAGGATGGATAATGATAATAATAGGCAACCCCACTAACTGGAAAGCAAGTGTAGGGAAAAATTCAAAAGGAGCTCACCTGGTGAAGTGTTGCAGTGTCGCTGCTGCTTAATAAGAAGGAGAGGTTGAGGTACAAGGTTGTAGAGAGGTCAGTGCACCAAAGGAAGCAGTAGACACTACTCTGACCTCCCTGCCTTTCCTTCCCAGTAAGCAGCAGTGACCTCACTACCTCATCTGATGTAATTTAATGTTGAAAATAAAAATTCAAAGCTTGGAATGCTATACCGCATGCTTATTGGCATGTACTTTATATTTTCATACGAGGAAGAGGAGCATTTTCAATGTAGCACGCACGCAACAATTTTGTGTTCCAAAATGCCTTACACATTAGACTAGTCTTATAATCGACATTCCGTTAATAAATTGAGGTGGTGGGTTCTGTTACAGATTCACATAGATCCCACATTTTCAACGGGTCCAGTCTAAGCATGGCTATCTGGACACAACCCAGTAGCGTTTTAATATCAAAATGTCTGAAGGCCTATTGTTAGATACAGAGTAGATGTTCAGAGAATGTCTTTTCCAAGCCTGAGATGCCTCAGGGAAAATCCTGCAATACTGTTTATTTGCTTGCTTGTTTAATTTCTATACTCCCTTTATCCGAGAATCACAGGGCAGTTTACAATATAACAACACAAAAATAACAAATAAAAGCAATATCTCCCCATAGGCCATAGATGGATCAATTAGCCAAAGGCCTGGTTGAAGAGGAATGTTTTTGCCTGGTGCCTAAAGATATGTAACAAAGATATGAGCCTCCCTGGGCATTCCACAAGCGGGGAGCTACCGCAGAAGAGGCCCGTTCTCGTGTTGCTGCCCTCCAGACCTCTTTCGGAGGAAGCACATGAAGAAGGGCCTCAGCTGACGATCATAGGGTCTAGGTCAGTTCATATGGGGAGAGGCGGTTCTTGAGATACTGCAGTCCTGAGCCAGTCTTTGTTGTGTGGTCTACATATGAAATACAAGTGAAATTATAAAACTGAATGTTCCATCCTGGGGTATGAGTGTATTGATAGCAGTGAACTGAATTGCCTTGAATTCTCTTACGATGATATTATTAGTTGCTAACGTTTTTTGGAATTGCTCTTCTGTGTTTAAGCAATTTTTCTCCATCACTATGTTTGTTTGGCAAAAAAAGGCTTCACCTGCTGAATTTCTGCTTGGCTCACAGCTTGGCTCACAGCTGTAACCAGCTTGCTTTCGTACAAATGAGGCAGTTTCAGCAGAGTTTTTGCAGAAAAGTGGGCCATCCTTCTGTTGCACGAACTGTTTGCAAACAAAGAAGTAAAAATAGTGTCATGTTTGGATACACTGATCAGATTCTTCCATAAAATCCTAATGAGAACCCATCTGCAAAATGTACAATGTATTAAAGATAAATAAACTATTTACTCAAACAAATCTCCACTGTAACGAGCTCAAAACAGCTATCTCTGGGGGATTCTTTCTTCTCAAGATTTAAGTATTTCAAGAGTAGAAAAATGTGTTCTAGCCAAATGTGGACCATGAGCTTAATTAATGTAGCTGTCAAAGGCATCTCACCTTCAGTTCTGGGAGAAGTGAGCATTTACGGCTGCAAAGAAAAACTTGGGGAAAAGTGATACAAAAGAAGAAAGGTGTTGACTGTCCTGCTGGGTGGTTGAGGAAGGAGCCCTAAGTTGTTACATAGATTTTTTTGGTTATAGTCAATTAGGGAATGAGTAAATGATGTAATGAGACACTCTTTAGCTGTAATGAGGAGCTCTACAAATGCAGTCAGTAAGTGTCCAGAGGCTGTATCAAATTAATTTCTTGGGCCACTTTTGTGCATCCCACAGATTCTGACTGGAATTGTTTCTTTATATATATTTTTTAAAAGTTAAGGGTATAGTTGTGGTAGTGGCAGAAGCAGTTTAAAAATGCAAAAAAAAATTGGGAACACAGAGGTAAGGAAAAAAGAGGAGGGGAGAATGATAAAGCTACCAGTGATAAAATTTCAATTGGTTCTTAGTATGAATAGCACCCTTTCCCTTAACTTTTCTTCAACATATTTCCTTTCTTTTCTTGAGAGTCAAGTGTGTAGCTGTGCGACCAGACAGACCAGCTCCATTTGCAACAGCTTCAAGTGCTGAAGGGCAATTAAACCCAGGCTCTTAGGAGACAAAACAAATCCTGTCTGATCTCCAAGAGCTTCCTTGGAGCTACAAAGTTGAAATAAGGAAATATTCTGTGTAAAAGGATTCAGCTGAAAGGTTTGAACCCCCAGTTTTCACCTAACAATGCTCCCACCCATTCTATTTCTTTCTTCTTCTTTCTACCAGGCATTAGATGGATTTGTAATAGCTGTTACAACAGATGGAAGCATTGTGTATGTTTCTGACAGCATCACACCTCTTCTTGGACATTTACCCGTGAGTAGCTCTTGTGGTTCCATATTGAGGATCTCTGAATGAGAGTTCCTCACACGCAACAAAGGGATCTGGCTGTGAGTACAGCTAATGTAAAATCCTGGAACATAACATTTGAGAATTAAGAATGCAGACTTATTATACATACCAACTCAGAAAGGAGCTCTCCTGAGTTCCATGGGATTTTCAGGCCCAAATGTACTGCATGGTTTTTGTAGATTTGCATTTATTTATTTTTTTAATTGTGAAGTGATGGCAAAGAATAGGGATACCATATTTTGGTCATTTCTGTAATGGACACTTTTGTTACTTACAGTCTGACGTGATGGATCAGAACCTGTTGAATTTCCTCCCAGAGCAAGAACATTCAGACATTTATAAAATATTATCATCTCACATGCTACTGATGGATACTGTCTCATCAGAGTACTTAAAATGTGAGTATTACTTCTACTGCGTTCATGGGACAAAAATTAACAGGGCAGTATTAGCATCCAGGGACATGGGTGGCGCTGTGGGTTAAACCACAGAGCCTAGGACTTGCCGATCAGAAGGTCGGCGGTTCAAATCCCCGCGACGGAGTGAGCTCCCGTTGCTCGGTCCCTGCTCCTGCCAACCTAGCAGTTCGAAAGCACGTCAAAGTGCAAGTAGATAAATAGATACCGCTCCGGTGGGAAGGTAAACGGCATTTCCGTGCGCTGCTCTGGTTCGCCAGAAGCGGCTTAGTCATGCTGGCCACATGACCCAGAAGCTGTACGCCGGCTCCCTCGGCCAATAAAGTGAGTTGAGTGCTGCAACCCCAGAGTCGGTCACGACTGGACCTAATGGTCAGGGGTCCCTTTACCTTTAATAGTATCCAACTAATAGGTTTGGTCAGTGCAAGGATTTATGCTAGTGCAACAGAACTTTCCTCACCTCCTCCCTCCCCTGTGTGTGCCCCTCACCCTGCTCAGATCTGCTGTGGATTGTTGCAGGAATCCCTAGAACAGATTTAGGGGGTGCACAAGGAGAGGAGAGGAGGGGAAGTTCTGTTGCACAAGCATAAATCCTTGCCCTGACATATTAGTTGGATCCCACCCATCGGCTCTGAGATTTATTTATCTCTTAAGGGTCTGTACAGTACACTTGAAAGAATGCTTTGCTTGCAATGACATTACATATGTTTTTGGGAAAGAATAGTTCATGTATTATATTTTTTGTTTTGAAGCTAAGGGAACCGGTCCATAGAGAATTCTTCTTCTATGCAATATAAAATCTAGAATAATTGTGCTTATTGTACTCAAAAATGGGACTGTTCGCAGCTATGTTAATAATACATTGTTGAATCTTAAGGAAAATTGTTATTTTAGTTGGATATACATTTAAGGAGACTTTAATCAGATCCTGTTGTAGTCACCTGTTCATAAATTATTATTTTTATTATTATACATGAGAACTTGTGGAATTTTTTGCATATTGGTTTTAAAATCACAGTGCTTTGAACTATTAAAAGGGCAGGCATGGGAGAAGGATCAGGGATTACTAGTTAATAAGATAGATTCATTTTAATCAATTCTATCTATGGTTAACCTGTTTTAAAGACTAGCAAAATTATAATGGTATAAGCTTCCATAGTCTACAACCTACATCATCAGATGCATGGTGCCACAAGATACTCTTCTTATTTTGCTGCAGTGTAAGAAACTGTTTTAATTAAAAAAGAATTTTTTTCCAGAATAAATAAATAAAGAATAATTTTGTTATGCAGGAAAAGGAAAAGACAATTAAAATTGCAATGTGAAGTTGATTTTTTGCATTGGATTGTTTGCAATCGCATATACGTATATTAAGCTTGCGTGATTTATTTCATGGAATGGTACTGAAAAATGGGATTAAGAGTCAAACTCAATCCCTGGCTTGAAGTATGCATGAGAAATACCTATTTATAGTTCTGAGCAGCCTAGGTTTATGCAAAGATTCATCTAGCAGACTGTGGGCCTTTGTGACTACAGACAGCATTGTTGAATTCATTGCGGTTCTTCCATTTGTCTCATTATGTGAATCTCATTGCGTTTAGTTTACAAATAATATTTATCTTGTCTTTTTTGACACGTGTTTTTTAAAAATTCCAGCTGACGAAGATTTGGAATTTTGCTGTCATCTTCTGAGGGGAAGTCTGAACCCAAAGGAATATCCAACATACGAATATATAAAATTTGTAGGGAACTTTCTGTCTTACAGTCATGGTAAGTCTCAGCTATTCTGTAACTATAACCAGTGACTAAATAAATGTATATAGTGGGTTGAGCGTTCTCTCTGTGTGTGCATGCGCATTTCCAACATTAACAGAGCAATTTCAGACAGAATGACAATAACCAGTTGCTTAGACCACAATACCAAGCATTGAACTAGGTGGGATTTACTTATGAGTAAATATGGTTATGACTAGACTGCAAAGCTGCAGTTCTAAGCAAACCCAGAGCACTTGATCCATTTTCTTGTGTAATGAATGTGACTGTTTTACGCTTACTTGTGGAAGGTCCATCCATGCACCATCCTTCAAAGATCCACCTCTGTTGCAAGTACATAACATTTCCGTGAAATATAGTCGTAACATTTTCATTCTAGTAAAATGAAGTAGTCCTTCCGCATAGCACATTAATTGCTAGTGTGTTGTGTGTAGTAATATGCGCAGATGTCAGAGGCATTTCTTATTTCCTGTGTTATAACTAGTGGTGAGCAACACAATTCCCCCAACCTAGGCCTGGGCCATTTTGGTGGTTGTTGTTTAATTTTAAAATTCTCTTGGTGCTGCATGTTCACATGTAGCCGCTGTGCAGGAGCACTTATCCAGTGATTTCTTTTCTTGCAGCAAAGCTGATCATCCACTGCAGACATAGCCAACATGCTGTCCTCCAGATGTTGCGGGACTCCAAGTCCTATCAGCCCCAGCCAGCATGGTCTGTGCTCAGGGATGATGAGAGATGAACTCAACATCTGGAGGACACAATATTGGTTACTGCAGAACCACAGCAATGCTCAGCCATTTTATTTAGCTTTATTTGGGGTTCTTTTTAATGGTCTGGAAATTATTCATTTCCCTTATCTTAAGCTGGAGCATGCAGCTAGCCACATTTTAAAAAGCCAGCAATAGCATATCTTTCTTCCCCACAGCCAGTCTTTCCTTTCCACACTTGAATGCGCGCTCCATTGCACGAGATATTTCTCTAATGTTGCTGAAAATGAATGTTAGCACAAAGTCTAAGGTGAGGCTAAGCATTCTCTAGAAAGGCCCATTGAGAGAATTTAAAATGTTGCTGCATTCAGCTAGGAATGGTTTCAGCTCCTCTGTTGATGGGCATCATAGAAACCTAGAACTGCAGTGTTGAAAGTTCTATACTATGCAGGATTCGGTCCCTTGCCTTGGTCAGTTATAGTTTACGTAGCAAGTAAAAAATTCCATCCTATCAAAGTATTCTTTACTGCAAGCTAGATTAACTTTGCAAAAATTCCTTATTAACCTGTGCTTTAGGATAGTTTATGGTTATTTCCCTCTCTTTAGCATAATGTTTGCGTAGACGTAAGAAGCTGGTGCTATAAAGGTAGGGGATTGCAGCCTAGCAGGGCATGGTACTATTAGGATGAGCTGTCCCTGTTGCTCACTTTCATGCATTTTCTTCTTCTTCTTCTTGCCTATTGTCTCTGTACAATTCTTTACAATCCAGCTGTAGTATTGAGCAACTGGTAGCACCTTGTGACCCAGAGGCACCCTTATTCCCATGCCAGTTCAGTAGGTATTGGATGAGCTTCACAATGGAGATGTGTGTTGGCACCAGCATCTCTCATTGGCAACACCTATGGAAAGCTCCTTATACACATGCACAGAGAGAGAAGATAGGGAGAGGGAGTGGGAGACATCTCTCTGTCTGGATCCAAATAATTCTGTCTTCTTTCTAGTGCTTAGTAGTTTGCACCCACCAATTACTGAGATAATATTTTAAAATTAAGGAAGGAAAGTTATAGGTATACATATATGGTCTGGGACATCCCAGTTGCTTCAGAAAAATATTGAGGTAGGTATGCAGACAGCATTAAAAAGAAAACACATGCCAAGAAATTTACAAATAACCAGAGGCAGCTGTTTTGTAAACCAGAACCAATTCACAGTGATCCTTGGCATACTGATGCGCTGTGGTTTATTAAAACGGACTGTTATAGGGTTAGAGCGGAAGTGGCGTAAATATCCCTGCCCCACTTCCTCAACACTGTGTGTTCATACAGTAGAATGTTCTTACTGAATGGAAAACAGCTTTGTATTTCTAATACGCACTAAAAGGCTGCTTTGTGGCAATATAATAACGAAAGTAATAATTTGTTTAATTACTTCCAACTATTTCTTGGATTTCACTTCAGTTGTTTGCCTGAATTCATTCTAGGAGTAATGTTTAAAAAGTTGATGATATTAGCTCAAATGGTCATATTGTATTCACACTGTGCTTGTCAGAACTCACAATTCCACAGTCCACAAGACTGTATAAACCCTGCATAACTGGTTGGTGTCAGATCATATAACTAGCAGCATTTTTTTAAAAAATTGTGGTGAAGCATTCTTTTTTCTTAGTTTCATATGAATCTGAATTTACCAGTATAAAAGGACCATCTTATCAGACGCACACCAATGCAGAAACCCCTTTTAGCCATTACATAAATGTTTAAAAGCATCTTTGTGATGCACAAGTGAAAATGGGCACAGTGGTGATGCAACAGCAAATACACAACTGCATTTTTTATGCAGATGCATTTCTGCATGAGAAGCGATATCTGTTTGGCTGTGTGTCTCTGTGAATTGAGCCTTTTTTTATTCAGTCATGGCAAAATGAATTAAGATGTGAAATAATAGACAGGTACTGTTATTTGATGAAATAGATGCTGAATTCAGCGCGGAAACAAATGGAATATAATTTCGACATGAAAACAAGTGTTTTAAAAACTATATCCTCTAGGGGGTTTTTTATATAACCTTTTGGTTTCAGGCTAGCAGCCAGAATCTCATGCTGTGCTTTTTCCAGAATTGCACAACTCAGAGCGTAGGTAGCAGATTGCATATTTCAATACTCATGGGCAGGGCAGAAAATATATCTGCACACAACTAGCCTGTAATAAAGGAGATAAATATCAGCCAGAATTGGATAGACCAGGAAAAACAGAATCATATTCCACAGCACTGAAAGTGACAGATTTCGCTAATAGGGAAGTGGAAGCTTCTCCGAGAGTGGAATGAGACGTCATGGTCACACATTTCAAATCTGTGCTGTGCTGAAAACCTGTAAAGCTAGGAGAGATTTTCCTGGGGGGGGGACTGAGTTTGAGGGGAATAGTGATCTTTATCTCTTCTTGCTACTTCTATCTATCCCAACCCCTCCCATCTATCTTGAGGGGGTTCAGCATCTCCTCCCACCTATTGCTTCTCACTTGACATCGTTCTCCAGCCCATCTGCTATACTGTTGTTCAGCAATGACCAATTTTTAAAGACACAATTTATTGGCAGGGAGGGGGTACTCAACTAAGGTGCACTCAAGAGTAGACCCATTGAAATGAATGAATGAAGACTATACGTTCGGGCCATTAATTTCAGAAAGCCTACACTGAGTAAAGCTTAGTGTTGAATACCCTCCAGTTTACTTTCTGGCTTGACTTTAAGTTGTGACTTCATTTTTTTTTTTTAATTCAGCTAATTCCTTAAAAAATAATACATACATATACACATACATAACCTTAAAAGCACTGCCCAGACACATACCTCTCTGAGTGATACCTAGTATCGGCGCATTTCTATATGTATAAAATAGTGGGAGGCTAAATACACTAAAAGGCACAACTCTTTGTCTCGCACTTTTCTTATCCAGTGCCTATATCTGCTTGTAATGGCTTTGATGGTGCTGTTCCAAGAGGTTACAGAACACCACTAGGAAAACAAGTCTGCTTTGTCGCTACTGTTCGACTGGCAACACCTCAGTTTCTAAAGGCAAGTGTGTATGTCTTAGAGTCTGTTAAAAGTCTTTGTAGTCGTATCAGCCCTTTCAGTCCCTTATCTTTCCACTCAGGAGTGTGTACAAGGCGTTAGGGATAGGCGGAGCCTCCTCTCTCCCTATATGGTGGCTCCTCCCAAAGCCATGGCTTGCAGAGCAGGGACATACATGGTACCTTGGCATAACGGAATGGCCATCGGTAAGGTGTTCAATATTTCTGAAGGTAAATCGGTACAAAAAGCAGCAGGGGAGCACCTTGAGGCTCCGTGAGGCAATGCATGCAACTTTTCAAGTCAACTGCCAGCAGGCATCTTGCAGATAATAATGCAGGCATCTTGCTGAAGCTAAAATCAGGTGTTGTTGGGCCGGAGCCCGGAAAGGGAGGATATAAATGTTCTAAGTAAACAAGTTGTCAGAAATACCTCTCTGAGATTGCCACCACCACCCCATCCCTCTGCTGCTGGTAAATCAGCTGATAATCTGATCCTGGTCAATTTGATACTTATCCAAAACATCTTCCCATGTATGCGGAACTAGGGATGGAATGCAGTTGTTGTCTCATGTCTGCAAAAGCAATCTGAGGGGCTTTCTTCGCGGAATAGAATGGGCCAATGCACATGTTACATTGCTTCAAGAGCAGACCTCCCTGTGGAGAGTGATCTCTGCCTCAGGAGCAACGTTTAGGAGTGCTTATCATAGGATTTGTCATCCTTGTGTTCAGTCTCCAAATATGCATGCCAAAAACTGCTGGATCTAGGGACTCTCAACAAGACTCTGTGTTAAGTAAGTTTTTTTTAATTTTAGCTGGAGTGGACTCCACTCAACAGAAAGAGGTCATCTTCATCAGTATCCATCTAGCTGTAAATTTTCCCAAAACAATTAATAGAATAATAGAAATGTAGAGTTGGAAGGGACCCTGAGAATCAACTAGTCCAACCCCCTGCAACACACAAATATACAGCTGTCCCATAAAGGGATCAAACCTACAACCTTGGTTATCAGCACCATGTTCTTACTAACTGAGCTATCCAGGCTGAACTATATTAGGAATGAAAACATTTAATCTGTTTTGTCATTAGGTCCAGAATAAGTAGCCCAGCACCAGTTAAAACTAATAAACTGAATGGAGTTGATATTTAGCTATTAGACGGAGATATTTAATTTTTCTTTTCTATTCCTTTCACATGTTGTTCACTAACATTTAAGAAGAAAAAAAAGCAAATTAAATGGCAATAAAGGTACTACAGTCACTCAGAATTTTATTCTAATACAGGAAATGTGCATCGTTGAAGAACCTTTAGAGGAATTCACTTCAAGACACAGTTTGGAATGGAAATTTTTGTTTCTGGATCACAGGTTGGTTAAAAAAAGAAAACGACTATACTTTATGTTTTCTTAGACAATTTACTACTGTTTATTTATCATATTTATTTGAAGTTACTTAATTGTCCATCAGAGGATTACAGGGCAGTGTTCAAAAGTGTGAGAATGATTCAGACACAATATATTTATGCAATGAGTGACCTATGACAACATCTGCCTGATTGCACATTGTGGCTTCAGATTTCTCTTCTGCACCATCCAGCCTTCTGTGTGCCCCCAAAATGTGTTCCATATAGTTGTGTTGGATCTCTCACAATAATATATTTAAACTAACAGACTTGACAAGCAACAAAATCCAGACCAAGCAAAAAAACACCCACCACATAAAACTGTACTAAAGGGAAAAAAATCTTCTGTCTTCATGTTTCCATTTTTAATGTGCAGTAGCATGCATCTTGCTGTCCATACAACTGAGGTAAACGTGGTTAGTTTCACCTATTTTTTCATGTACCCTTTCCCCCTGTTATTACTTACAATTATGAAGAGTTATCTTGCTTTAATGGGTTTTAAGGTAGGAACAAGTGATGTGGGTGGTGCTGTGGTCTAAACCACTGAGCCTCTTGGGCTTGCCAATCAAAAGGTCGGTGGTTCGAATCCCCACGACGGGGTGAGCTCCCGTTGCTCGGTCCCTGCTCCTGCCAACCTAGCAGTTTGAAAGCACGCCAAAAAGTGCAAGTAGATAAATAGGTACTGCTCTGGTGGGAAGGAAAACAGTGCTTTCGTGCGCTGCTCTGGTTCGCCAGAAGCGGTTTAGTCATGCTGGCCACATGACCCAGAAAAACTGTCCGTGGACAAACGCCGGCTCCCTTGGCCTGTAAAGCGAGATGAGGGCCGCAACCCCAGAGTCGTCTGCGACTGGACTTAACTGTCAGGGGTCTTTTACCTTTTGCCTTTTTAAGGTAGAAACACTTTAAAAACTCATTGCAACATTTTCCCCAAGCCACTGTAGCAGCGCTTTTATTGCTACATGGCATCTCAATCTAAACCAGTGACTTAAAAAACAACAACAATCTGGAGGATGTTTGTTCCTATCTCTGAGACACATATTTGGAGGCCTGTCAACATACTGTGCACATTTGAGAATTAACCAGTCCTGTCACTCTACAGAGTGAACTTGTGTAAACCTTCCTGCTTTATTTCTACCTTTCGTTCTACCTTTCTGCTTTCCTTCGTTTATTTTAAGCACTTTATTTTAAAAAATGGTGAGTTGTGCACAAGAGGTTTTCCCTCCCTGCTGAGTTCCAGTAATACGAAGCAGTCCCAAATAGTCTGTTGCCCTGCTTATTGTTTTAGTGCCTAGGTGGAGTAACTTCCAGAGTTTTTGGGGTGGGCAGAGAGAATAAGGGTTGAGCACTACTGATGATATTTTTAATGGTTTAATAAAATCATTTGCATTTTACCGTGAAACAGAGCACCACCGATTATAGGATATTTGCCTTTTGAAGTGCTGGGAACTTCTGGATATGATTACTATCATATAGATGACCTTCAGCTCTTGGCACGGTGCCACGAACACTGTGAGTATGACATTACCTACAGTAAGGGGAATTCAGTTTGTTTCCGTGTGATAAGCAAAGATAGAAATAAAAATCTGAAGACATTGGGTTGCATCCAACTCAATTAAACCATTGGTTTTAGCAATGCAGCTCCCCCTCCTTCTGCCCACACACAGAGAGAGAGAGCCTGCTGGTGATACTAGTAAACCTGTTAGTGAATTATATTTATTTTTGGTTTAGGTTTTACAGTAGAGATGGGTAAGATGTGGACTTCCAGATCTTGGTGGACTACCCAGCATCCGCCATATTTGATGTTTGACTAGGGCTGATGCGGGTTGGAATCCAACAATATCTGGAGGGCCCTAATTTAATTTAATACTTAAATGCCCATATTCTAGAGTTCAGAGAGTATTATGAGTCCCTATCAGGGAAAAAGGCAGGATATAAATAAATACATAATACTAATACAGCATTATTATAAATAATAAGTAGTCATTTGAGGCTAGCCATTTGTGTAATGCAAACTGATTTGTCTACATTTTATTCTTCATGTGGATTGACTTGCTTAACTCCTCATTGGATATGAACTCTTGGGAGGCGGAGTTGTCAAAATAGTACAAATATCCAATACTACTCAACAACTGCTAATTAGGCGAAGCTGAAGCATTAAATTAAAACCTCGAACGACTCAACACAAATCAGATCTAATATTGCTTGCCATGTCTGTTGTTTGTCCGTAAGTGTCCTGCTACTCACATGAATGGCGCTGTTCAAAATTAATTTTCAGCCTTCTGGTGCAGAATACAAAGTTAAGTTCATCAGTCAGATCATGACTGATTGGAGATTAATCTGGCATAAGACAAGCCAGTATATCTTGAATACATTTGATCACAGACATGGTGCCGATGAGAGTCCAGCAAAATTAATTTAAGCTACGCTGTCTCATAAAGTTCAAAGTCTTTAAATATTAAATCATGTTCTTTTGTTAACTTATTCCATTAATAAGACACTTCAGTCCTGTCTGAATAAACCATCAGTGGTGTCTGATGCCCATTGGGACATGTAGGGCAAAAGGCAGAGTGGCCATCATTGGCAAGAGGGGCCAAAGCCAATGGCAGATGGAGCCAACTTAATCTACATTTGTCCCCATCCTCTTCTCTGCTGAGTTCTACAACTGTAACTGAGACTAAGAAGGGTGAAGCTGACAGCCAGGACCATCCCATGGACTGGTTATAAGTATAAAGAGCAAGCGGGGGACTGGGGGCTGGCTAAGGGCAGATGAAAAATTGCCACCATAATAGACCAGCCTCCTCCATCATGCTGCTGCAACCTTTGTATCTCTCACTTAGGTTGTGACATGACATTATTATTACTATTAGAATCATAGAGTTGGAAGAGACCACAAGGGCCATTGAGTCCAACCCCCTGCCAAGCAGGAAACACCATCAGAGCACTCCTGACATATGGTTGTCAAGCCTCTGCTTAAAGACCTCCAAAGAAGGAGACTCCACCACACTCCTTGGCAGCAAATTCCACTGTCAAACAGCTCTTACTGTCAGGAAGTTCTTCCTAATGTTTAGGTGGAATCTTCTTTCTTGTAGTTTGGATCCATTGCTCCATGTCTGCTTCTCTGGAGCAGCAGAAAACAACCTTTCTCCCTCCTCTATGTGACATCCTTTTATATATTTGAACATGGCTATCATATCACCCCTTAACCTCCTCTTCTCCAGGCTAAACATGCCCAGCTCCCTTAGCTGTTCCTCATAAGGCATCGTTTCCAGGCCTTTGACCATTTTGGTTGCCCTCCTCTGGACACGTTCCAGTTTGTCAGTGTCCTTCTTGAACTGTGGTGCCCAGAACTGGACACAGTACTCCAGGTGAGGTCTGACCAGAGCAGAATACAGTGGCACTATTACTTCCCTTGATCTAGATGCTATACTCCTATTGATGCAGCCCAGAATTGCATTGGCTTTTTAGCTCCCGCGTCACACTGTTGGCTCATGTCAAGTTTGTGGTCAACCAAGACTCCTAGATCCTTTTCACATGTACTGCTCTCAAGCCAGGTGTCACCCATCTTGTATTTGTGCCTCTCATTTTTTTGCCCAAGTGCAATACTTTACATTTCTCCCTGTTAAAATTCATCTTGTTTGTTTTGGCCCAGTTCTCTAATCTGTCAAGGTCGTTTTGAAGTGTGATCCTGTCCTCTGGGGTGTTAGCCACCCCTCCCAGTTTGGTGTCATCTGCAAATTTGATCAGGATGCCCTTGAGTCCATCATCCAAGTCGTTGATAAAGATGTTGAATAAGACCGGGCCCAAGACAGAACCCTGTGGCACCCCACTAGTCACTCTTCTCCAGGATGAAGAGGAACCATTGATGAGCACCCTTTGGGTTCGGTCAGTCAGCCAGTTACAAATCCACTGAATGGTAGCATAGTCAAGACCGCATTTTACCAGCTTCTTTACAAGAATATCATGGGGCACCTTGTCAAATGCCTTGCTGAAATCAAGGTAGGCTACATCCACTGCGTTCCCTTCATCTACCAGGCTTGCAATTCTGTCAAAAACGAGATCAGGTTAGTCTGACATGACTTATTTTTCAGAAATCCATGCTGACTATTGGTGATCACAGCATTCCTTTCTAGGTGCTCACAGACTGTTTGCTTAATGATCTGCTCCAGAATCTTCCCTGGTATTGATGTCAGACTGACTGGGCGGTAATTATTTGGGTCCTCTCTTTCCCCTTTTTGAAAATAGGGACAACATTTGCCCTCCTCCAGTCTGCCGGGACTTCGCCTGTTCTCCAGGAATTCTCAAAGATGACTGCCAGTGCTTCTGAGATCACATCTGCCAGTTCTTTTAATACTCTTGGATGCAGTTCATCTGGCCCTGGAGACTTGAATACATCTAAACTAGCCAAGTATTCTTGTACTATCTCCTTAGTTATTCTGGGCTGTGTTTCCTCTGCTGAATCATTTGCTCCAAATTCTTCAGGTCGGGCATTGTTTTCTTTATCGGAGAAGACTGAGGCAAAGAAGGCATTGAGGAGTTCAGCCCTTTCTGTGTCCCCTGTTTGCATTTCACCATCTTATGTGCCACATTGAAGAAAAGGGTCTTCAGCTCTGGCACTTTCCAAATTCATATTTGTTCAACATCCTTGGGTTGACCCAGATTTGTGTTGTACCTGCCTGAATGGATCCATGTCAGCTGGAGAGTAAACAGTGCTAAACCTACAGGTGTATTGGGAAGCTGTCGCGTATAACCCGTTTCTCCTTTTCCCCATATTTGATGGGCTATCACATAGGTGATGGACCCAATTTGTTTAATAATAATAATAATAATAAATTTTATTTATATCCCGCCCTCCCCAGCCAAAGCCAGGCTCAGGCGTGACTGTAGATAGGCCAAATAATCATTCAATCCAAATAATCCAACATTCTAAGCCAATTTCATTATAAAATTGAGTAAAATCAAATTAATGGCAACCGTTAAGCACAAGTTCTGTGCAGGTTGCAGTGCGAGTCAGGCTGGGCCTGACCAAGGCCTGGTGGGACAGCTCTGTCTTGCAGGCCCTGCGGTAGATGTCAGGTCCCGCCAGAGTTATCTCTTGTGATGAGCGTTCCACCAGATTGGAGCCGCGGCAGCCCTGGCTTTTAGTTGAGCCAGCCTAGCCTCGCTGAGGAGCCTGGGACCTTCAGGATATTTTGTTGCAGACCGTAGGTTTCCTCTGTGGGGCATGCCAGGAGAGGCGGTCCCGGCAGGTACTTGGGTCCTAGACGTATAGAACCCCAAAAGGTTAAGGCCAGCACCTTAAACCTGATCTGCTACTCCACGGGAGCCAGTGCAGCATGGTATAGTTACCGGTTAGATGTGATCTGCAGCGAGACCCCATAAGGAGTCTGCAGCATGCTAGCCGCTGGAGTTTCTAGGTCAGTCTCAAGGGCATTGCAGTAGAGCGGTTACAACAGTCCAGTCTGGCGGTGACCGTGGCGTGGATCACGGGTGGCTGGGTGGAGGCGAGAGAGAGATAAGAAGGGGCCAACTGTAGCAGCGGAGATGAAAAATGCCGCCTTTGTTATAGCTGCCAGTCTGCGCTACATGAGGTATCGAAGATACACCGCCTTAACGGACGGTGCTGGCACTAACTGCACCCCGCAAAGAGGATGAGGTGCCCCCAGTCCCATATCGTCCCGATCCAGCCAGAGGACCTCTGTCTTGAAGGGTTTACTTCAGCCGGCTTCCGTCGTAACGATCCAGCCTGGCTTCCAAGCTATCTGGTCAGTGTCTGGGGCGGTCAGGCTGGCCATCCGTCAGCAGATAGAGTTGGGTGTCATCGACATGCCGATGCCTAGGACCAAACCAACGGCTTCAGATTTCAAAAGAAGGGTTTCCTCTAAGCAATAAGAACTTATTGATGGCACATGCTGTTTGACAATCCAACAAACATGCATCAGAGGTTTTTAAGTGGAGGCACTTATCAGGAATACTGTATAGTGGATCTCCTGAATCTGCAAAAGTTGGACCTTTGAGATACCTCTAAACACTGTGATTCCATACGTGCTCTGTTTGTCCATCTTAGCACCTCATTGCTAAGTAGCAAGCAAAATATAACACATTTTAACTAGTACATTTTATATGTATTTTGTTTGTTTCTCTCTCATTGTTACTGTACAAGAATGGAATTTCCACTGCAGAAGTACTAAAATGCCTTAATTCCTTTAACTCTTTCTTAAGTGAATTATCAGTTATACAGGATTCCAAATTCTATTCTCTTTTTATTTCTTCAAATATCATTCAGTATTCTCAGTTAATATACCTATGAATAATTTAGGAATGAATCCATTTTATAGCGTTTGTGGCAAAATTCTGTTCTCCGATCAGCATCTTGGAGGATTTAATCACATACCCTAAATGGTACTGTCAGGGGTTCAGGGAGAGAGGCACAGGGTAGGCAGGAGATGGAGAGCGATGGGGAAGAATTACAAGCCAGCGAGGAAGAGGATGACAATGACTCAAGAGATTCCATGAGTCTTTCCAGCGAATCAGAGGATTCCCAGAAGGGGCGCCGGTGGTCAAGGCCAGGAGCCCCAGGGGGGACGTGTCAGGAGCAGGGGGCCAGCGGAGGATCCCAAAGTGGCAGCTGGGCGTCAGGACCAGCCTCCCCACCAGAGTGCAGCGAAGGGGGTGGAGTTTCCAGTGTGTCAGAGGAAGCAGCTCCGGCAGCAGAGAAAGGAGGGAGGTCAGAGCAAGCCGCCCTCCCAGAAGGGGAGGGGAGCAGTGAAGGGAGTAGTGTAACTGTCAAAAGGAAAGTTAGAGGTTTGGCGCGCGCGCCTAGTTCAAATGTAGAGGCGCGCGGAAGTGCAGGGAGCCCGGAGGAGGGGCCAGGTCCCAAAGCCCGCAGGTGGTTTGAAGTGCAGTCTGATTCCGCGTCAGAGGAATCCAGGAGGGGCGAAACCCCAGTGGGCAGAAGGACCCTGCGGAAAAGGAAGGAGAGAAAGAGGTGGAGCAGCGCAAGTCTCTTAAATTGGTGCAGGGAGGAACTGACTCAGAGGGGACTTCGGCGGTCTAGCGTAAGAGACGTAAGGCTGCGCGCCTAGGATGTCAAGCAAACCATGAACTGCAATAAACACTTTTGTATATAAGAAGACATAGGCGTTGGTCTTTTGTGAGCTAAGACTTGAGGCAGCCTTGACAGGTACACTTTTTGTTTAGCAACTAGTGTAATTCTAACCAAGAGAAAATGTGCTCCCACATGCATTCTTGCTGCTGTGTCCTGTACCAAAGTGAAGTTTCCGAAGCCCCTCTTAAGAAAGCTGCATGTAGATCAGCTAAAATCATTTTTTTTTGGAAAGGATGTTTTTCAGATCCTGAAATCTTTGATGCAGTGTGCATTTTGTGTGTGTCCACAAACAGTGATGCAGTTTGGCAAAGGGAAGTCTTGCTGCTACCGGTTTCTGACCAAAGGACAGCAGTGGATCTGGTTGCAAACACACTATTATATCACCTATCACCAGTGGAACTCCAAACCAGAATTCATCGTATGCACCCACACGGTAGTAAGGTATGGAGAAATTGAGTGACGTTGCTGTTGTGCCGATCAATAGAGTCTTCATTGCAGGACAAGAGCAAACAAAAGCTTGGTTAAGAGACGCACATAGGACAACCACTGTTCCTTATTTTCCTGTCACATTGAAAAGGAACGTCCAATATGTTATGAGCCCGGGGGAATTTCTTACTGAGCTTAGTGCAAGAATAAATTCATTCTTTCTACCGTGCTAGCTTTAAATGCCACATACGAAGACATTTGTGAGGGGACTGCATATATAACACAACCTTGCTACAGCAAAGGCGGTGTGAAGCTGACCAGTGTGTTGATTGGCCAACTCTGTAGCATGCCACCCTCGTCTTTTTCTTAGTCTGCAAAGATGAACATTGCCAGTGCCGCCTCGCGAGATAATGTCGCACAAATGTCTTGTTCCACAGAGAAATCTGCATACAGTTGCATTACAAGCAGCCACCACAACATTTCTTGCATGTGCTAATGTAGTCTTTGAGGAAATTTATAATTCAACAGGGCCCTAGTTTGGTTCTGTGGTAGTTAATCTAACTTTTAAGGGCAGTCTTAGAGATTTTGAGCATGCGGGTGCAATGGAATAAAACTACTCATGGGTCACAGGGAGTACAGTGGTACCTTGGTAGTTGAACGACTTGGCTCCGAAACAAATCTGCTCCCCAAAACATGGGTGTTCAGTTTGCGAACGTTTTTCGGAAGCCAAACATCCAACGCGGCTTCCACGGCTTCTGATTGAGTATAGGAAGCTCCTGCAGCCAATCAGAAGCCGCGTTTTGGTTTTCGAACAATTTCGGGAGTCGAACGGATTTCCAGAACGTATTAAATTCGAGAACCAAGGTACCACTGTAGTTAGACTAAGGCCTTCTTGCTGAGGTACTTGCTTCATTGATGAACACTCTTATTTGGAAATAAGGCATATGCTTTACGATACAATCAATTGTTATCCAGCCAAATTGTCCCTTTCATGCAAGGACTTCTGCTTGAAAATTGGATTTTCTCCCCCCCCCCCCCCGTGTACCCTCCAAATCTATTCCAAGGATGGACGCGGGAAATGGAGACAGAGGGGAAGCTCAGTTGTGCAAGCAGAAGAATTTGTATAGACAAGATGACTTTGTTGGAAAGAGCCCAATATTTTGTTACAAACATTAATTCTGTATTGGCATGCTAATTGGACTCTAGAGAAATACTCTGATTAGAATCATATACCTGCTAATGTGGGAGGTAGAACAATTTCATGCATAAGCCTTTCTGCAATTGCTAACCTGTACTTGGGGTGTGGTAGGGACAAGGCTAATCATGAGTACATGTACCAAAATTGTATACAAGGTTGCAAATACGTGTTTACACGTGAACTTTTTCCAAGTATGTATGAAGCGCATCATGTGTAAAGCCATGGAACCTAGCCTCAAGTAATTGTATAATTACAGATAATGTTTTCTTTTTGTTTTGAAAACCGGGTAAAAGTGGGCAGAAGCTAAACATAAAATGTAATTCATTACATTATTATACACATTTGGATTATATGACCTGTGGATTTTAACTGCACATAATTTCTGGAGTTAATCATGTAATAAACTGCCAGTTGCATTTAATAGTGCTTTCAGAATAGTGGAATGGAAGGTAGATCTCCACAGAAAATAATAATGTTCAGTTATGCAGATGTTCGAGTGGAAAGGCGACGGAATATGATTTTGGAAAATGCACCTTCAGAGATAATCTCTTCAGTACTAAAGGTATGCTAAAATGGCTGTTTTAAGAGGTTTTTCTTTGTTTTCTATTTTATGCAGCTCATATGTCGGTAACCTTGCATATCATTATTTAACTGGTATAAGTCTCTATGTGAACTTAACTTAATGGAGTAAGACATGGCTGGGAATACATTCCCATTCTATTTTCCAGAATACTGTTGCAGAAATGAGGGAATGGTAGCTTGCAAAATAAGAGATATCCATTATGACCTTTGGGACAATCATGTGCCTCTGAAAGGGAATAACTTTTTAAATGTAAAGGGTAAGACACATAGGGTGACTTTAGCTACTGTGTTCAGATGGTAATAATGTGTATTAATTTGACCACTAATCTTGTCCCATATAGATGGACCTGGGGTTTTCTTTATGTCTTCCATTGCTTGTTCCTCACCATGGTCACTGCCTGCTAGGTTCACTGTCCCGTAGTTTATAATCTCAGATAAGCCTACTTTCCACCTGATTTATGTTGAGGGTGTTCTTGATTGGTTGCGTGTGGTGTTCTTATGCAATTTTTTTTCAATCCCTGTGTCAATACAAAGTCTACTGCAGTTGTGCAAATGTATACCTCTTTCGATTTTTGAAGGACCAGTCACGGGAGGTGAAAGACAAGCAAACCCCCTGCCCACATAATCTCATGGTTGAGTATAAAATTGAAAGAATATGTGAATTTGAAACTAGAGCATATAGGAAGAAGCAGGCAATGAAAGGCAGATGCATTATAAGTCAAGAATTAAGAATCATTTCTTTTGAAGTTCTCTGGGGATTGGCCTGGGCTCATTCCTGAGTACATAGCTTCCTTCCTATTAAAGCAGATTATACAGTAGCTGCATCTAAGGACTGAGTTCTTGTGATTTTCACTGCTTAATAAAGTTAATAACTGAGTCTTTTATGAGTATCTTACAGAAAACTACTTGAAGCTTCTGTTGCTCAGAAACGTGGATACAAAAGGCCAGGCTAGATGTGACGTTAAACGCTGTATTGCATACTGAAGACTGTAAAAAATGGGTGCACTTTAACCATGTGACACATGGAGTTAAAACTGCAATTCTAGACACACATTATTATTGTTATTGTTGTTATTGTTATTATTACTGTTGTTATTATTATTAATTCAATTTATGAATCACTTCATGTGAAACAATCTCAAATCAATTAACAATGAAGACATAAAATCCTAAAAGATACACTAAAAACAGTTTCAAATCCAGTACTTGGATAAGCAGCTCCACACAAAAGGCTTCTGGGGAAAGGAAGGTCTTCAGTAGGCTCTGAAAAGACAATAGACAAGACACGTGGGTGATATGTAACAGCAGGGAGTTCCAAAGGCCAGGTGCTGCCACATTAAAGGCATGATTCAGACATTGTGCGGAACAGACCACCTGCTGAAATTGCATCTATGCAATGCTGTCCTACACAGGTTGAGGCCATCTTTTATGTATCCTTGTTCCGAGCTGCATAGGGCATTGTACACCAGTAACAGCACCTTCAATTTAGCCTGGTAGCTAGTTGGCAGCCAGTGCAATTCTTTCAGAAGCAGAGAAACATGGTGGCAGTATTCTGTCCCAATGAACGGTTGAGCTCACTGGGAATTTCTAGGGAGTTGCTTACTTCTGAGTAAGTGTGTATATAGGGTTGTGCTGCGCATAGCTGATACCGAAAAAAGACCTCTCCCTCAATAAACCCAAATGATTTATAACCAAACTCATTTGTAAGTTCGAAACTTTCAAAAACGTTTAGGATGTTTGCTTTGTTTTTTAAGGACAGTGGATCAGAACTGGATCCTCAACAGCACTTTAATGCTCTTGAATTAGGCACGTCAATCCTCGACACCAGTCGGACTCTTTCTGTATCCTCTCAGGGCTCACACAAGTCTTTGCCTACATCCTTGCCTGACACAGCATGTAAGTTGTTATTATTTATTAAATTTGTATACCGCCCTTCAGATGTGGTCTCTATGCAGATGCTACTTTGAAACTGAGAATTTTATATTGTTATACTGCCAGTATAAGCCAGAATGGTATGGAAAGTGTAACGCAGGCCTGCACACATGGAGCATGACCAACAGAAAGGATAATTCTAACACAACAGGGCATTGTCTTATTTGAAACATTTACTACCTGCTAGTTATTGGAGTGCAATTTCAGAGCGGGTTACAACATCAACTCCCTTCTGCTCCAGCCAGAGCTGTAGTCCAGAACTAGAGGATGCAGGTTGACAAAAGCTGGTACATTTGTTCTATAGTCAACTTCCTTTATTGCCATTCTAGTGATCCAGTCTTTTTGTAGTCATTAATAGAAACTTTTAACAACTCTGTTCTAAATGGTAATTTAGTAAATAAATGTTATTTTATAGCTGCAAGAACAAAGCTCATCCCAGAGTCTCCCTCCCTGCAAAGAAGTCCCACTATGCAGGAGGACTTGCAGAGATCTAGCCAACCTGCCGCTGCTCAGGTAAGGTGGAAAAAAAGAGAGTTCCAGAAACATTAAAAGAAGTTCCATGAAATAGATTGGGACACAGGTGTGTACCAAACTGACGGAGGACAGGAGCTTTAAATGGGTTTTAAGTTAGCGAGAGTAAAACCATTTTTTTGTTTTCACTTAATTGAATTGGGAGGCATAGCAAACTAAAACTTTTCCATTCATACTGGCATGACATGACCCTCTTGAGCATGCTCAGGAGTGTCTAGATGAATCAAGGGCTTTTCTTTTCTATGTCTAGGAAGTCCTCTCTGCCACTGGTTCCCCTGAAGTTAGAGACAATAAAAAATAAATGGCAAGACACTTGTATGGAGGGGAAGGTACACACACACACACACACACACACACACACACACACTCTAATGCATTCACACACACATTGGGGTTATCAGGATCAGAGATAGGTGCTCTAACTCTTCTGCCCAGACTCCTTTTTCTAGCTATCAAGGAATATTGGCTGAAGCCACCTTCTTTCACACTCTTGTATTATTTTGACCACAAGTGGTCTGCACTTGTGGTCAAAGAGATATTAGTGCTGTAACACCAGTAATCAGTATGTGCTTATCTTGCGAATGATGGGAATTGTTAAGAGAATATATTAATTATATTTAATCCTCTAGGTACCCCCATGTGTGGTTAAAAGGAAAAGAAGAATGGCTGGTGCCTGTTTTTAAAAACATGGGGCTAGCACATAGAGAGCCCCAGTAGTAGAGTATTAAACCCCATCATTATGCATATTAATGAAGCATAGGAATAGCTTATTAAACCTTCTTTAACTCGATTCAGCTGCATGAAGCAGCTGATCCCCATTTTGCCACTTTTTCAGTGAAACCCTACAGACTGCAAAGTAAGTTAAAAATGCTTTACTTACAGCTTCTAGGTCTCGGACATGCATCGTTCCTTATGCAAGAGCAGTAGTATAATGCAGGTAACAATATTCTTAGAAATACAGCAAAGCATCCTCGTGGAACAAAAGTTACTGTACTTACTAGAAAAGTAACATTGCTCTTGGTTGCCTTGTTTCAGCTCTCATCCCAGTTTAACATGTTCCAAACTATCAAAGACCAGCTTGAGCAGAGGACTCGAATACTGCAAGCCAATATTCAGTGGCAGCAGGAAGAGCTGCAGAAAATCCAGGAACAGCTGTGCATCGTGCAGGATTCCAACATACAGGTTAGCGGGAGAACATATTTTTCAGACAAATTACTCTTGATTCAGTGAGTAGCAGAATTCTTGAGCAGAACTATATTTCCACGCTCAAATCATCTTGATGCACCATAGGCCACCACACAGAGGAGGGTTTTCTGCATCCAGCAGTCCAGCTTACACAGCTGCTTCTTCAAGGGGCATTTTGCTTACTTCCGATTTCGGAACCTGGCTCAGGAAAACAACACTTTCTGCCAGCTATTCTTCCTGCAGTTCCCCACTTCCCTAGTTTACATAGGAATACATAGTGTTGGAAGCCCTCTATTCCCAATGACAGAATAAAAGGATTGGCGTTGAAAGACTTAAGAGAAAAGTGTAGGTGCGTGGTCTGAGTTTCAATCTGTGGCATTTTCACTTAGGAAATAGCAAAGCTGCCAAAGACTTATCCCTGAGACCTGAGAGAACTGTTGCCAGTCGGAGCAGGAAATACTGGGATAGATGAACCTATGATCTGATTCCATATAAGGCAGCTTCCCAGATTCATTTGGTCAGGAGCCCCTTTGGTTACACTCTTGTTTCTGATACATAGCAGAGAATGGACTGACCTAATGCTTCCAGTTAGTCTAACAACAATATTTCAGTATATTTAAGGCAGAGAGGACTAAATAAGTGTCAAAATATGCTGATCCATACTGCAGGGGGACAGAAACTTCAAGAGTGAAAGAAATGAAAGGATTGGATAGAGCAGGCATGTCCAACAGGTAGATCGTGAAGTTGGCCACCCCTGGGATAGACATGGTCATTATTCCTTAATAGTACCTTGTAGAGAGAGAAATATAGAATGAAACACAAGAGCTCAATTTTAACCCGTGCTACAGCACTGTAGCTGTAGCTACAGACGCGGGTGAATACCACAGAGCCTAGGGCTTGCTGATCGGAAGCTCAGTGGTTCGAATCCCCGCGACGGGGTGAGCTCCCATTGTTCAGTCCCAGCTCCTTCCAATCTAGCAGTTCGAAAGCACATCAAAGTGCAAGTAGATAAAAAGGTACTGCTCCGGCAGGAAGGTAAACGGCGTTTCCGTGTGCTGCTCTGGTTTCACCAGAAGTGGCTTAGTCATGCTGGCCAGATGACCCGGAAAAACTGTCTGCGGACAAACGTCGGCTCCCTCGGCCAGTAAAGCGAGATGAGCACCGCAATCCCAGACCAGAGTCGTTCGCGACTGGACTTAACTGTCAGGGGTCCTTTACCTTTATCTTTTTACAGCACTGTTAGGGATATCTTCTTCTTCGACGATCGCTCGTAGCTGGGTAAGATTGTCTTCCATAAACATGGTTTTAACAATGAGTCCGTTGGTCATGGGGCTACATGGAATGTATGCAATTTATTAATGCAATTTGAAGAGACTTGCTGGGACCACAAAAAGAGAATTAAGGAGCTATATTTGGCATGTAGCAGAAAAGCAGCCCGCCAATATTATTGAAAGGAAATAATATGGGTAGAACCAAGCCTTACAGGGAAAATGTCACCTTCAGCAGTTTGTTAGAAATGGTATCTTTGAAATAAATGTCTCATAGCTATAAATTTAGCGTGGCATCCTTGCATCCTTATTTTTACATTGTAAAAATAATTGCTGTTGATAAGAGCTTCCTGGTTCGATCAACGCAGATGGTTAAAATGTCTGGTTTCCATAGAACAGCTTTCTTTCGTTGTCTCCCTAATATGATGCTGTCTGTTTCTAGATGAAAGAGGTGTTGTGATTTCATGTCTTTTGCTTCTTTCATGAGAATACTAATGAGACTGCCAATTAGAAGAGATTAGTAATACTCTTCTCATGTCTTGACACCCTGAAAAAGTAGTCGTGAGATTCTGCAGTGGTGTTATCTACTTAGACTTGTTTACGATGTTGAAGGGGGTGGGGGGAGGAATCCTTTCTATTCAGTGGCATTTTAGTTCTTCTTTAGTGGTCCAGTCATGACAGGATGGTAAGAATCTTGGGCAAAGCCATTGTGAATGAAATACTTTGTGTTGGCACTTTAGTGTTGTCCTTTTCTGAGGAGAAAGGCTTTGACACTAACACTCTTGAGGTGCCTGACTGTCAGTATTTTGCACGAGAGGTTCCAAGTGCATTTAGTCTTGCACAATAGAAGTGGGTTAGTGCAACAAGTGCACTTAAAGAAAACAACGGACTGTTTGCTGTTAGGAGAGTGACAGGGAAATGCATTGAAAAGTGTGGAGTGAATGAATGAGAATAATGGGAAGGTTTATAAACACCCCACAAGCAAATCACGATGAAAGCTCATTATCATATGATTGGTTGGAGGCAATCTGTCACAGTACAGAAATTAAACAGCATGACTCCTATTACAGTGGAACCTTGGTTTTCGAACGTAATCTGTTCGGGAACACCGTTCAGCTTCCGAAATGTCCGAAAACTGAATGCGGCAGCCTCAATACAACAGGGAAACTCAAAACGGAAGCTGCATGGCACATTCAGCTTCCAAAAATTGTTCGAAAACCAAAGCAGTTACTTCTGGGTTTTCGGAGTTCGAAAGCTGAAACGTTCGATTTCTGAGATACTCGAAAACTGAGGTTCCGCTGTATTTGTTTGTACTATGTTCGTAGCTCATGGGATCATGTATATGTGCTGAGGCAACAATATCACACTTAGTTTTAGGATCTTTGCACACACATGTTCTCACTCTCTTGTGCTCCATTTCAATGGCTTCTCATCTTCTGTATTTCTGTTTGTTTTTCAACATTTTTGTGTTGCTAGATAGCTAGAATTCCTTAAGTTGAAGCCTCATGCTTTATATTTTTCTTGTTCTATTGCCTTCTGGACGGAGGCACAATCCACCCTGTTTTCATAGCCAGCAATAGGAAGTTGTCTTTTCAGAAAAAAAGTATAGGGATATGATTGTTGGAGGCTGTCTTCTTCTTCTTCTTCTTCTTCTTTGGTGATCACTTGTAGCCGAGTAAAATTGTCTTCCATAAACAACAAGCTACTTATTGGACAGGAACACATTTGCTAAAATTCCAGGGAAGCTTTTTCTATCTTGGGGTGAGATGGGGATAATGTAAGCAGAAAAGTGTGTGTGCTTAACCTCCTTTCCTGATAACTACTTTTTCCCCCTGTGGGGTTGCACACACATTTTTCCATCTGGAATCCCATGGAGAGGGAAGTAGAAGAAAACAATTTGAAGCAGAAAAACTGGGGACAGGGAAGAGTTTACCACCAGCAGCCATCACTTCTCTGCTCTTATTTGCTCCCTCCGAAAGCTCATTTCCCATAAACCAAACCTTCGTCGCCAGTGTTAAGTTGTGGGCAAACATGTCAGACGACACAGTGATTCTTTAAACAGCTCTTCTTTATTCAGATGCCAGAACAGAACTAGGCTGAGGAGCTCAGTCAGCCTGCTTATATAGAGCTCCAGAACAATGCAACTGTTGCCATTTTCTAAAACTATCCAATCACTGAACGTCACTTTTCGATCCTTCATTTGCATAACTATCTACAGTATCCCCCTGCTGGCCCAGGGTGAGAACTTCAGTACATAACACAAGTGTTAGTTGCGATTTAGTAACATGTGCTCGCTTGTAACATCTAGTTTGACCTTCAAATATTTGCAAGAATTAGACATGTATGTCAGAGGTTTCTGAGTGAATAGGATGACGAATGTATTCTGTTCCTGAATAGTGGATTTGGTTTTCTAAACAGTGTCAGTCCTTCCACAGCTGGTTTAAGGTGCATTGCACACGTAATATTTGAGCAATTCTTATCCAATGCTTGATTTGGAAAGAGGTGACATGCGACATTCCCTGTAGAAACTTCTCTGACAGCCCCAGATGTGTGAAAGGTGCTTGTGCTTATGCAGTTGTGTGGGAAATGGACTCTCTGTGTACTCACAAGCAACTTCACACAGTCTTCTAGCATTAAAAGCATTTTCAGCAACTGAGGCCTGGATCAAGTTGAGCTCCCTAACGATACACATTTATAAGCGTTAAGATATGACAACTTGAAATTGGAACTGTGAATGTATTTCTTCCATTGATTTGCTTAACAAGGAAATCGAAAAAGGAACCACCTTTCTCTTCCAGATGTTTTTACAGCAACCAACAGCATCTCTGAATTTCAGCGGCATGCCGCAGCCAGAACCTCAGGGGAAGCCAGCGGTTGAGTCTCAGCAGCAAGTTGTGCCGAGGCCTTGTCCCCAAGAGCAGATTGCGGCTCCTCAAGCAACAGACCATCAAATGTTAAGAGAAGAAAATGTGTTATCAAACCAGGTAAGCAGACCTGCAATGGTCTTACAGCCATCTTTTTGTGGAAAAAATGTTCTCTTCTTTAAAAATTACTTTAAGTCTTAGGTTCATCTTCAATCCTACCTCTTTTTATTCTTCATTTAGTTCTTCCAGCATTTCTTGTACTGTGGTTCTTGTTTGCCTTTAGGTATTACGGCAATATTGCTTGCCCTTTCGCTCTTTCCAGTAAGCTTTGTGTGAATCTGTGTGTTTGTTCTAGCTATCCATAATCACCATTCTTGTAAAAAAATAAAAATCTTTAGAAAGGGTAAATTACCAGACCTACGTTCAATGAATATGAATTTATTTCCCTACTTATTGGTCACTTTACATAATTACACCTTTATGAGAGGATGGAATGAACTAAATTTGGATCTGGTAATTTGGCAAAAAAATATTCACAACTTAATTCTATGTGTTTTTACAATATACCCAAAGCTTTTAGTTATTGTTTCTGTGGGTGCTGTTATTTTTAACTGTTCTAGGATCAGAAATCAGCAAGAGCCTCACAAGGAATGCAGGATAGCTGTCAATCTTCCAGAAGCTTAACCTCACAGTTTAGCAATGCCTCTGTGCTCCCACAGTCTTTGAGCAGAGCTCCACCTGATGCCATTCTACAGGATAACAGCCACCAGCAGAGCACTCCAGATTTCAGTAATGATCGACAACTGAGGTAAAATAATTGTAGTAACCTACTTTAAAAAAAAAAAAGTTGAAGAATTAAATACTATTTTTTACAATGGCACTATTTAAATTTGCGTGTTTAGTTTATTACTATATAACAGGTAAATACTGTACTTTGAACATTAAGAAAATACTCCATTTTATCAAGTTACAGCACTAGATTATTAGTAAGCTTGAAAGAAAAATAGAGGAACGTGGTGCTATTCTTGTTTATTCAATTTCATACCCATCCTTTACCACAAGGTTCCAGGGTTGGGTTCCAGAAATGAAAAATTCAGTAGTAAAAACAGTATCAGAATGGGGATGGAGCAAACAGACTTGTGGGTTACAGGTAGGTAGCCATGTTGGTCTGCCATAGTCGAAACAAAACAAAATAAATAAAATTAAATTAAAAAATTAAAAAATTTCCTTCCAGTAGCACCTCAGAGACCAACTAAGTTAGTTATTGGTATGAGCTTTCGTCTGCACGCACACTTCTTCAGATACAGACTTGTGGGTTGTTGTTGTTTTCTCTAAATGATGTTAGTACTATGTATTTGCCTTAAAAAGAGAAAGAAAAGATACTTTTTACTTCTTTGCTCTGTTTTGAAAAAGTTTTAAAACTGGTGACTGGAAAGAAAATACAAGGAACAATAAGTAGCTTGAAATAGAAAACATGTCCCTGTAGGAAACATAATGTGAGGGGGGGGAGAGGACCTTACATCTCCACACAAAGTTAGCTGCCGTTTCAAACTACCTGGAGCAGAAGAAAGCATGTAAAGCCTACTTTATGTTCTGGATTGGCAAACTGAATGGAAGCACTAATAGCCAACTTAAAAATCTAATAGCCCAATGCTCACTAGATTTCATCAGAATGCAGGACTGTCATAGAAGATGGCTGTTACTTGAGGCAGGAACATCCACCGCATCACAGGTTGAGAGCATGAAAATGTTACAGTCAAGCACTGTGGCAGATAATCTGCCACAGGGAATTTCAGCGATCTTTGTTTGCCAACCACAGTATGCAGATCCACTCCTAAGAAGAATGAAACTCCTTGTACAGTCATACCTCGGGTTAAATGTGCTTCAGGTTGAGTGTTTTCAGGTTACGCTCTGCGGCAACCCGGAAGTAACGGAGTGCGTTACATCTGGGTTTCGCCGCTCACGCATGCGCAGACGGTCAAAATGCCGTCACGCACATGTGCAGAAGCGGCGAATCGCAACCCGCAGACGCAGGTTGCGTTTGTTTCAGGATGCGAATGGGGCTCTGGAACGGATCCCGTTCGCATCTAGAGGTACCACTGTATAAGAATGGCCACATTTGATCATAAATCCTGAGCTACCCTTTTTTTACTACAACTAATTACACTCTATCCCTGAGCCCACTGCAGATTTAACTCTATTGGCTTCTGAGCATGCAACTACCTCACACGGAAAAAAACCTTCCGACCCTTTCAGTATCTGCAGGTTAGTGTCATTCTTCACTGACATTATTTAATTTCCTGTTTCCTAGACTGTTACTCAGTCAGCCTATTCAGCCAATGATGCCTGGTTCCTGCCATGCGAGGCAGACAACAGATGTTGATGTGACTGGACACGAAGCTAAGTATGTAGCATGTTACTGGGGGCAGGGGTAGGAAGGAAAAGTTTGAAACTATACTGAGAAATGCCACTTAGATGGAGGTGGTAGAACGGCAACTCATCCAGAGGTAGTACTTGGGTTAAGCAGTCTATGTCAGAGATGGAATTAAGGGTGGCTGCATATTTTGAAAATCCAGATGTTGTCCTGCCATATCTTATCTGCCCCACTGCCAAGCTCCCGCAATTGCACGGTTTTTCAGATCCCAGTTGCCCCAGTACATTGTTTCTCTCGTGCATCATGCAATGCTATTTTTCTAGAAAAAGAGGTGCCAGAACTCACCATGAACAGCACCCTTGTTCTCTTAGAATGGCAATGGCGCCTACCAGAGAGGTGCCGGAACTCAGTTCCAGCGAGTTCTGGCTGGAAAAATGCCCTGCCATCATGTACTGGGGTTCTGTCATATCAACTGGAGAATGACAGGGACCAGGTTTGGTGAAAGTGTTGCAATCAAGGAAATCTGGAGCCTGCTACTTGGAACATTATCTTGCTGATATTGTATCAGAAATTTCTAATATACCTCCTATGGCTGGTTCTTTGATTTTAACCCATAAACTCGCCATTTCTAAAGATGTGTCCACATATTCTCAGCCCTCTGGGCCGCCCCAATAAAAAAGGTAAAGGGACCCCTGACCATTAGGTCCAGTCGTGGCTGACTCTGGGGTTGCGGCGCTCATCTTGCTTTATTGGCCGAGGGAGCCGGCGTACAGCTTCCGGGTCATGTGGCCAGCATGACTAAGCCGCTTCTGGCGAACCAGAGCAGCGCACAGAAACACTGTTTACCTTCCCGCCGGAGTGGTGCCTATTTATCTACTTGCACTTTGACATGCTTTCGAACTGCTAGGTGAGCAGGAGCAGGGACTGAGCAACGGGAGCTCACCCCGTCGCAGGGATTCGAACCGCTGACCTTCTGATCGGCGAGTCCTAGGCTCTGTGGTTTAACCCACAGCGCCACCCGAGTCCCATGGCTACCCCAGTAGCAGCAACTAAAACAAAAATGCTTAGTTGCCTCACCCCCTGATCAGCTTTTTCCTTTTCCCCCACTGTCCCACCCCAGGTCAGTCTTCTCCACTTCCAGGATGCCACTAGGTATGCACAATATATATGCCCAGGAGTTATGTGTAGTAATGAATGTGCCTGGCTTTTTCAATGCATCTCCCAACAATCGGCATATCTGCATAGTCCCTGAGTCAGCAGCAGCACCTGCTATTTCTCCCAACCGTTGTCCATAATACATTGCAGTATGACATCAGTGTTTTAGTCGCAAATTCTTGGCTGCAAAACTTAGGACTGTTTCTTTGAATAGATACTTTCAAAGCCTACAAGCGTTCCAAAGTTTGGAAGAGCAAACCTCTGGAAGCAGTACAGCTATTGTGCTGATGGGACAAGCAGTGTTGCCCCCTGGGTTCTCTGCAGCACAGCCATCTCAGCCTTCAGCTTTGCAACCTATGCATCAGCACCAGCACCAGCAGCAAGGCTACCTTCAGGTGGGCTGCAACAGAACTGACAGTACCTAAATGGGTAAGCCGCCCTGAAAGTATTTTTTTCAGCTGAAGGGGCGGCATACAGGGTTTTTTGTTTTTATTTTATTTTTAATTAAATTGTGTAGTTATTCATAAAGTAATAAAGACCCTCACCTTATTTTAAGAATGGCAGAAGAAATATGACATGGTTGTTTATAAACCCTTTTTTATTAGGAATGCTAAAAAAATAATAATACAAGAACTCACAATGAAAATGCAGGAAGTATATAAACAACTAAAATATTTCTTCAGTTGTTATCTATATCAGCTGTCCAACTGATTTATCAATGTTCTCAAGCCACAGCTAGCACTTCTAGACGTACATTTTTGGGGGTGTATTGCAGTTCTAATATCATTTGATCGGAGTCCACAGTGTCAACCATTTTGTTTTCTTTATTTCTTTAAATACCCTTTGTAAATTAGTCCATAGTTGTCTGTGTTGCAGTCTAATGTTAAATCTCATATTCCCAAATAAAGTAACCATAGGCAGGAATAGGAATACAGGAAGCTAGCTGCCTTTGGTTGGACTATTGGTCCATCTAGCTCAGTATATTCTGCGACTCTCCAAGATTTCAGATGGCAGGGATCATCTGCACACAAAGCAGGTGCTAGACCACTGAACTTTGACAAATGGAGTCTCATAACCAATAATCACTATACAAAACTCTTAGTGACTCCCAACTCAGGCCCAGAATACACTGGAGTGTCTTGGCATATTACCAAGGATGTCTTAAAATCCTACTTGAATATTCTATCTGTTCTGTTTACATAATTCTATGTGCCTTTTATAATTCTATATAATTATATATAAAAGTCTATATAATTCTATGTGCCTTTTAAATATGATGGAGGAACTCAGACTCCCAGTCAATAATAGCCTCTGCTCTGGATACAATTCCGAGTTGACTGTGCTCCTGATTTGGAATATCACTGAGGAAGTTAGGTTTCAGGAGATTGTGGCTTCTGTGTATTGGAAACATCTGCTCACATTTTATGCACGTCAATATGTGATCTGGAGCAGACACATTTGATTCTGCTGGAAACTTTGCATTGGGACACAAGGTTCTAAATCTAACTTCAGCACAATGTGAGTGTCTGGTGTATTTCCTTTTGTTTTATGGATCCTGCTAATTTCCTTGTTCCTTTTGTTTTTTCCTTTTGCAACACAAAAGCTCCCTGAATAATTATTGTATTGTCATTGACTGCTTTTGGCTTTATAGCCAGTAACTTCCCTTTTGAAAAACAAACAGCCATCATTCCTCCCACTAAAATGGTAAACATGAAGTGTGGCAATAAGGTAAAATGTGTCCCATAGGGGGAAAAGACGGGGTATAAATGAATAAATAAATAATTGCACAAGCCCAAATATACCAACTATAGGAATACAAAACATACCCACAACAGAAGGTTGTTGACAGTAAGAGGCCATTAGCCAAAGGCAGTTTATATAACAAATTTGAATACTACAGTCCTAATTTTTTTACTATGAATTAAGTTAAGCCCCATTGAACTTAGTGGAACATATTTCTGAATAAACATACCTAGGATAGTGCTGCAAGTATTTTCATATGTGCCCATGACAAACATGATAGTAATGAAACCATTGAAAGAGAAAGTGGAATTAATGAGCATTGCCAATGGAGGACAGAAAAGGAAGCTCAATTATTGGACGAAATGAGTAGGGAAAATCCACTTGCATTTTGTGATTGACTAAATTTCTGACAACTAGGGCTTATCAAAAAGTTCTCGTTCAAATAAATCAAGGGCCACCAACCTTTTCATACCAGTGGTTGTTGTTGTTTAGTCGTGTCCGACTCTTCGTGACCCCATGGACCAGAGCACGCCAGGCACTCCTGTCTTCCACTGCCTCCCTGGCACACAATGACTGCTATGGGAGTGCAGTATAACACAACATGGCAGCCATGAGGCATGGCATGGTGCAAAACTAGAGAGAGTACAGTCATTGCTGTTTCCCATCCTCCCTCCACAGACTACCTCTTATTTGCTACAGGAATTTTTATTTGCCATGTTCTCCTGGTCCTGATTGCAGAGATGACACAATACTGATGTTCCACAAACATAAGAGTGCTGTTGCTCATGACAACAGGGAACATTCTGCAGTACCAGGGGGGAAAATACACAAAGGGGCCATCACATTCACTCTTTCACACACACACACACACACACACACACACACACACACACCACTTGACCATTGCCATTTCCCAAGAATTCTTTTTTTCCTAACAATATAAAATCCAAAAAATATACAAGGGCCGCCAACCTTGCAATCCTTGGCATAAATGGCGCAAAGCTTCATTCATTGACTTAGCTAAGCACATTTTAAGTGTTCTGCAAACTATTGATCCTAGTCCAACAGCAACACTTCCATAGCAAAGTTTTTCCACATAAGCAGAGGGCACTTCTCATTAGTGGCGCCCACCCTGTGGAATGCCCTCCCATCGGATGTTAAGGAGATAAGTAATCATGAAACATTTAGGAAACATCTGAAGGCAGCCCTATATAGGGAAGATTTTTAATGTATAATGTTTTACTGTGTTTTTATATATCCTGCCCAGAGTGGCAGATGGGTGGGGTACAAATAAATTATTATTGTTGTTATTATTATTAATTAACAGAACTACTGTTTTTGATCTGCTAAACCATTATTTGACGGCATCCACTTTTGTTTCGCATATAGGTAGAGTCTGCAGGCCCTTTGCACAGTGAGCAGGCAGATTCTTTGCTCTTGCCTTCCTACCCTCGACAGGAAGAAAGCGTAGAGTACCATCATATGCAGTCACAGCAACAGCAGCAAGAACCTGCTCCCAGGAGGACTGTCGGTTTGCCTGAATCCTCAAACATGCAACAACATCTGCAGTAGAATCTGCTGTAACAATCAGTACACATTTAGCTTTATTGAATGGTGGGTGACTGGGCAGGAGGGAAGTCCAGCATTTGCATATGTGCTCATTTCAGAGTTTTGTGATGTAAAGAGATTACCAAGCACAGACCTTGGTGGATAGTGCAATAGGAAAGGAACGGGAATTATTTTGCAGATGTTTGCACTATTTTGTGACTACATTATGTATATTAATACTAATACATACCATCATGTGCAAACTGGTATGTGTTGGTAGACGATTCTTCTGACTATTTTGACCAGAAAGTATTCTGGCTATTCCAAAAAAAAAAAGTGGATACGAGTTACTTGGCCTTCACTATTTTGATCTTTTGAATATGAAAAGCACTGGTTCAGAGAAAATCTATTGAGAGAATGAGAGATTATTTTTATTAATATTATTATTATTTTGCACAACTGCACAAAAGGCATAACCTAGCACTTTCGGTGAATAAAAGTTTGTTCTGGTGGCCAGATAAGCACTTCCAGTGAGAGAACATGTTGTCCTTTATTTAAATAAAAAGCACCCTGCAGTTTATAGACCTTGGACTCATAACCTGAAAGTATTAACTTGTTACCTCTCCCTCTTGCTATTTCTAATGTTTCAAAGAAATTACACTGGACATTTTCCTATTTACTTAGTGAACTACAATTGTAAACAGTGAACCGAAGCACAATCATGCAGCTATTATTCCAATGTACTAGTCATGCTCTTTAAACACTTTGAAGAGAATCTTTTCTACTAACTGAACAGCCCCCTCACAACTGTTCATAGAACAAACACCTGAAGAATATGCACTGTGTTACAGCCCATTAAGTGGAAAAATGCTGCAACTATATTACATATCTTTCATTACTTACATTTAGGTTTGACTTTTCCTCCAAAGCGTTGCACTTTTGTATGCTTTATGTTGATGTTTCTAAAAAAAAGATTTTATGTAATTATCCAATAAGTAGCGTATAAAAAAAGTTGTTGTAAACAAAACAAAACCCCAACCTTGACCTATTTCTATATGAAATAAAATTATATGGGATTATGTGAACATTATTCTGTTTATGAAAGACCAGCTCATTTCACAAGTGAAAAGCGTTTTTTCTCTCCATGCTTTTTAAAGAATTAATAGTTTGTAAAAAACAAACTGAAATATAGAACTATAGCTTCAGGCCTTTAGCTTGGACATACGGGTGCCTGAAATATAGAACTATAGCTTCAGGCCTTTAGCTTGGACATACGGGTGCCTGAAATATAGAACTATAGCTTCAGGCCTTTAGCTTGGACATACGGGTGCCTGCAGAGAGCTGTTAATACAGCACCCTTTGCACCAGGCTTATATGAAACAAATGACTAGCCTGATGTGGGCTTTTTGCTAACCCTTTTCATTTTTCATTGTTTTACAGTCTGTTGACATGTTGATAATTGATGGGTAGGGTCTGTTGCAGTGCTTATTAATGCAACAATTTATGAAGTATTGAGCATGTAGTATGGTGTTTGGTGGATAGAAGTATCTTGTTACTATGGGGAACATACTGCAGCATACATACCGCTAAGGGATGTGGCTGGCGCTGTGGTCTAAACCACTGCCAGTCGGAAGGTCCCCTGTTCAAATCCACTTGATGGGGGTGAGCTCCTGTTGCTCTGTCTCAGCTTCTGTCAACCTAGTAGTCCAAAAGCACACCAGTGCAAGTAGGTAAATAGGTATCGCTGCGGCGGGAAGGTAAACGGCATTTCCGGGCACTCTGGCTTCAGTCACAGTGTTCCATTGCGCCAGAAGCGGTTTAAGTCATGCTGGTCACATGACCCGGAAAGTTGTCTGTGGACAAACACCAGGTCCCTAGGACTGAAGTGAGATGAGCGCCGCACCCCATAGTTGCCTTTGACTGGACTTTTAACCATCCAGGGGTCCTTTACCCGTTTATTTTTCTTTACATACCACTTTTGTCCATACCCTCTTCCCATGCAGTGAGAATTTTACTACACCTCTGGCTACTGCAAATGGTACATGAGGCTGTATGCAATGCATTCTGCAGTAAAACACTCTTTTGTAAAAATTTAGTTACCATATATTTAGTTACTTTTACTAGTTTATGCTTTGTTGGGGCTGGTGGAGCAATCAGTTTTGCCGCTTAGTATAGGTAAGTATAGGTATAGTATAGGTATACTATAGTATAGGGATGCGGGTGGCGCTGTGGGTTAAACCACAGAGCCTAGGACTTGCCGATCAGAAGGTCGGTGGTTCGAATCCCCACGACGGGATGAGCTCCTGTTGCTTGGTCCCTGCTCCTGCCAACCTAGCAGTTCGAAAGCACTAATGGTCACGGGTCCCTTTACCTTTACCTTTATAGATAATTTTGAATTGCATTGCCTAATCACAGCCTTTCCAGCTAGGTTGTAACAAACTCACCGGCCCCAACGCAACGCACAACCAAGGTTTGCGCAGTGTAGAGACTGTGCATGCCATTTGTGCATGCCATTTCAAACCAGGTTGATAGGGTCTGGAGGAGCATCACAATTTGGATGTTCATTTCTGTTTCTATCAGTCCCTTGAGAAAAATATGACTGCAGGCACACACCTGGGAGGGAAGAATTGTATTCCTGCTTTAAACAATCCTCTAGGAATAACAAGCAATTGTCCCTAGCAAAGGATGAAGAGTTGATGTCTACACCTTTAATCTAGAATTTGGCTTCCTCTCAAACAAGCTTTTTATAGGGCTGAAAAGCAGTTATCACACACTGGAACCTTGATAACAAAGCCTCAAAACATCTAAAAGTCAAACAAATGTATTGAGGTCAGAGCCAATTTCTGATGTAGGATTGTTGTTCTTGCTTCCAGAGATCTTGGCTGCAGCTCCAAACATGCTTAATAAGAGCAAAGATTCCCAAGTTGTGTGTTAGGTTAGAGAGGGGGCATAAGTGTACCTTTAAAAAGTAAGCCTCTTGGGTTCTACTACCTTCTAGTGGGGTGACTAATTACCTGTGGTCTTCCAAATCTTGCTGGACTACAACTCCCACAATTCTTGGCTATTGACAATGCTGACTGGAGCGGATGAAAATTGTGAGTCCATCAACATTTGGAGAACTACCCTTTAGCCACCCCTGGTTTACTTAGAAGCATACATGCAGACATAATTTGAAGGGAACGATTTCAGCCCAGGCTACAGCTGACAAGCATGTGGGGGAGTCTCAGATGCATAACTGTTCTAAAATCAGAGTCCCATTTTTCAGTCCTGACTTCAGTAAAGAGGAGATTGGCAATATACTGGACTGCCAATCCAATTGCAAGGAAGCTGCCTAACCGCTGTTACAGGAGTCGGAAAAGAAAGTGGACTGGGAGATGGGATACTGGTGTGGAGACAGGATAAGCAGGTGTTTCCATCCTCTGTCATGAAACCAGAATCAGTGTGTCTATGATTTTAAAGACGGGAGATTCAGGACAGACCAAACTTGGTTCTTCACAAGGCACAACCACTAGGGCAGCTTTTAACGGTTAGATCACGATGATTCCTCCAGTGTATGCCTCTGAATATCAGTGATTGGGCTTTATAAAAACAGGAGTTGGGGGCCTGTTCCGCTCATATCTTGGTATGGGATTCCCATAGGTACCTGATTGCACCACAAAAATGCACACACACCAAAATATTGGACCGCCGTGTGGGTATAACGGCAGCCGACTGCAATTGCATACACTGCAAAGTTGGCTTGAGTCGCTCTCTGCCCTAGTTTGCAATTTGGGGGTGTTCATGATGACCACAGTAATCATGCAAAACAAAAAAAGCGCCGTAGTTTTTAAAATCACATTTATCACAGGCAGAAGAGATCCTTTATGATTTTGCATCACCGCCGCCACCAAACCAATAAGTCTCCATTAAGCAGCTGCCACCTCTAAGGAAAAGGTGCGCGGGCGGGGAGGAGAAACCACTTTTTAAAGCGTCACTAGCTCCTCCTCCAACGTGCCCGCCATAGAGACGGCCCAACCTCCCGCCGCTATCCCCTCTGGGAGCGCCGCTTAGCAACTAGTGATTCCTGACCCGGAAGCGCTCCTCGTATTTCCCTTTGCCGTCTCTATGGCTGTTCCGGGTTCCTTGGTTTCCTCCCATAAGCCCCCGCGCCTTCCTTTCTGGTCTGGTCCTGAGCAGGGTAAGTAGCTGCTTTGGGAGCGGTTCTTGTTATCCGAAGCCATCGGCTTCTGTGGGCCTCGCAATGGCGAGAGCCCGGGTTGGGTGGCTGGCTGGGGCGAGGAGGAGTATCGGGGGACGGATATTTCTGGGCCTGGCCTTGAAGTCTCGCCTGGCGGGATTGAGATTCCGCTCCCCCCTCCCGCCGATGCCGCCGTGGTTCCAGCCTGGCCTAGGCCTGATATTACCTGAAAAGGCAGTGAGGACTAAAGACACAGGACTTGGAGGGAAGTGAAGCTGTCCAGAAGGACTGTTCTTTGAGCACACGTGTCGTAAAGGACATGGGGACGTGTGTTTGCAGCCTCAAAAGCCAACTGAAACAAAATCCGGCAATTCCATTCATATTAGTGAAAATTGGGGACAGGAGTTTTCGTCTTTAGTGTTAATTAACATTTTGTGTGAGGAAGCAATAGCTTGGTACCGTTTGCACGTTGTGCGTATGTCGCTGAATCATGTTTCAGTGCTGTATTTTTACAACTTGCAGTACTATATTCTTACAAAGGTGGGGTCTTCAACAGAATATTAGTTTGTATCTTCTGGCAGAGTTTGAACCGGGCCTTCCTTCACGAAACTCAAGGTGTAAGGAGCTCAAACCGGGCTTTCTACTCCAAGACTGTTGTGTGGCATAAGATAAAGTTGCTGCTGTGCTATAAATTCTGTCTCTGTGTGTCTCTCTCTCTATGTATGTATGTATGTATATACAGACACACACACACACACACACATATATATATACACACCCACCCACCCCAGTTTTATGTCCCTCCCCCCCAAAGTGCTACAGCTGCAACAGCTATTACACTCTGGGTCTGTTTGTGGTCTTCACATAAACCACCTGCTTGGCCACTATGAGAGCAGCATGTTGATCTATATGGGCCTTTGGCCTGATCCAGCAGAGCTCATCTTGGCATTCTAGCTGACACTCAGCGTTCTTGGATTACTGGTTGTGCTTTTCCCTCTTTTTTGGGGGTGTGTGTGATTTTGTCCCTAAATCACACCATTGCAACTCTAATCTTGTTGGCACTTTCCTTCTGTTAGTGGAACTAGAGCATATAGAGGAGAGCAAAGGCAGGGAGTAGATCGCACAAAGGAAGAATCTTTCCATTCACAATGCTGGAGTTGCAAGCGTACTTTCAGATTGTGGCACAAGTTTGAAAGTATATCTGCTTTTTTCTTAATGTCCACATTAGATGCTCAGGTCCTGATTGCAGATTTTCCACAGGCATCTCGTCAGAACAGGATATTGTACTAGATGGGCTATTGGCATGATCTGACAGGGCTGTTCTCCTCTAAAAAAACAACATTTTTGAGATTCAGCAGAGTCAGCTGCTTGTTGTGTAGTAAAGTAATTTTAGCAACTGTGGACTCTCAACATGACAGGAGGCTGGTAGAAAGTAAGACACTGGCATTAATAAACTGGAAGCTTTAGGGGATTTGCTCAGTGATGGTGAAGAGTGTGAGCCATGCTGATGTTGGTCTAAGGTAAGCCACTATTTCTGAATCCTCCCACAGTTGAAATATGATAATATGCACCTAGCTCACAAAGTTTATGTTAGCATTAATGGAATAGTCTGTGTGAAGTGCTTTGACATGCTACAAGCATTGCGGATAAATGGTAGGTATTAGCAGAGCTGGTTTCACTTCTGTGAGGTATTTGTTACCTGTGCAGGTACTGTGTTCTTGCACATGAATGGTCAGAGACGAGTCATGGATGAGAGGGACTCCTTTATATGATTAGGATCACAGGGCGGTTAACAATATAGAAACATAAAAATATATAACAGTAACAATTGAAAACAATAATTCCCCAACAGTTTTAAAGGCCATGGAGTGTTCAATTAGCCAGAGGCCTGGAAGAATAATAATGTATTTGCCTGGTGTCTAAATATTAATAGCATGTCAGAGAACACAAGGAGAGACTGCGACCAGGCTTTTCAAAGTCTTTTTAGAATTTTAGTCATCAACTAAAATTGTGGCTTTACATAATGGATGGCCTAAAATCTAGGCCATCTATTCCAGGAGGAGGAAATGCTGAACTCAGAGCCTCTGCATTTGGCAGATGTCTGTTTCTGTCATTTTTGCTCTTATCATTGCTTTGTGGAGCTACTATTTAAGAAACGATGATGATAGTATGTCATATTGTGCTGTGTAAAACAAGGCTTTTTGTGTTTTGACATGTGCAGATGGCTCCTGCAAAGAAAGGTGGTGAAAAGAAGAAAGGACGATCAGCCATCAATGAGGTGGTTACTCGGGAATATACTATAAACATTCACAAACGGATCCATGGCGTGTAAGTGGCAGTCCTTATTTTTTGTTCTTTCATTTTTTGAAAATGTGTTACACTGTTACTCAGTGCAGAAATTGGTCCAAGCGACTGTATCATCAAACATTACTTTGGAGTTAAAAGCTTTGTTAAAAGCTTAGAAGTACCATACTGATTGTTGCCTTGTAAAGAATCAGTTGTACTACAGAATATCTCAAGTTCTGTTGTAAGCCAAAAGGGTTACAGGTGGTCCTTAAGGCCCTTTTATATTCATGTGCAAAGGAAAATTTAGCTGTACCAGATTTTAAGTTAAACAACCAAAAGTGTACTGATTTGAGTTAGAAATAGTTACCTAATATTATAGTTTACAGGAATTGTATTCACAGGTTTTAAAGAAAGCATTTGATTGTGAAAATAAATATGAATACTTATTTGCCGAAAAACGGCAAAACCTACACACACACACTGGTACCTCAGGTTACAAGCGCCTCAGGTTACAAACTCTGCTAACCTTGAAAAGTTACCTCGAGTTGAGAACTTTGCCCCAGGATGAGAACGGAAATCGTGTGCTAACTGCACAGCAGCAGCAAGAGGCCCCATTAGCGAAAGCATGCCTCTAGTTAAGAACAGCTTCAGGTTAAGAACGGACCTCCGGAATGAATTAAGTTTGTAACTAGAGGTACCACTCTGTGGGTGGTTTGGGCCTCCCTTCAGTGTTCCAAGATGTGTGATTGGGGATGGGCAGACAAGTAAAAAGCCTGGTAGAAAACAGCTTGAACCAATAAGTAAATGCTTATAATGAGGCTTTGCAAATGCTTGGCTAAATAACATAAATATGTTGACACTGCTATTGTAATTAAACTCACTGGTATCCTGGCTTTGGGTTTAGGATGCAAGGTCACTGTTAAATTCAAGAGACATTGGGTAACTTGTGTAATGTTGGCACTATGATTGAGGGGGGGAAATAGTCTCTTGGGTGTACTGTTGATGTACAATGGAACAGGTTTAGCGTTCTTCCTGTTTATAATGGGAGGTATTCGGAGTTCATGCTCTAGTCACAAATCTGAACAGGAAAAAACAGTAGCTTAATTTCTGTACATCCATGAGTTGTGGTGAAGCTGATTGAATCTTTCTGTGCTTTCATCTCATCTCTGGCTGAGCTGGCTTACTTTGTGTTTGAAGTATAGTTAATGGAGTGTGGAAAAGCAAAATTTTTGCAGAAGTCAGTTCTTAGCTTTGACTTTTCTGAAAAATCTTCCCTACAGCAGGCCCAGAATGAGCTGGGTATTAGAAGGCAAATAAGGAGATTCTAAAATGTATGATTCATCAGAAACTCAAATTTTGCCTTTGTAAGCCCAATTATCATAGCTGACCCTCCTCAAATTACTTCTAGGCCTTTTCCTAAAAAGTAATAAATAGCATAAAAAAGAAAAAAGCCTAGCTTTCTCTACCAGCCCATCTTGGTAACTAGTGGCTTTATGCAGGTTTTATATACTGTAGGTGTGGATGAGGAATTTTCTTCACAAGGGACCCTGTTCCCTTCTAGGAGCTGCATGCTGATAGTGGCGAGACCAAAGTCAGAAGTGGGCAGACCAAGAGATGCAACTTGCCTTTGAAGGGCAGGGAACATTCCAGCCACACAAAACTCAGGCTGTTATATATGTGCACACATCCACCCTACTCCTCCCACAGGGTTAAGACTCATTTCTAGTCAGGCGAAAGCACCTGAGGAGCAAGAAAGATAGGGGAGTATGGCTTGAGGAGTCCTGAGTCCATAGAGAGGCTTGGATGACTACATTTGGCCCCTGTTCCAGAGGCTCCTCATCCCTAGGGTATGCTATTCAGATGCTGAAGTCTAGGCACAAACGGGGGTTCCTGAGGTTTAGGAGTAGTGTGTGTTTGTTTTTTCATTTCGCCTACTGGATATTTTCTGTATTCTCAGTGGCTTCAAGAAGCGGGCTCCTCGTGCTCTCAAGGAGATCCGTAAATTTGCAATGAAGGAGATGGGGACTCCTGATGTACGCATTGACACCCGCTTGAACAAGGCTGTCTGGGCAAAAGGAGTAAGGTATCGTGATGAACTTTTTTTTAGTACAGAGGGACACTCTAATGTTACTGCACTAGTACACATGTGCTTAGGATATGGTGTTAAGACATTACACGGTATATTGGTGCAATATTTCAAAAACGCACCATTTGCCAGTCATTTTAGTGGTGGTTCAGATACATCTAGGCACTGCTTCTATTTCTATTTAATATCCACTTCGGCATTGTGATGTATGACAGAAGTTACTAGGGGGATTGGCAGCAGCATTTCTATGCTGAGTACAGAAGAGAGAATTATTACCCTTCTCTGTCATGCATGGGGTTTCTATCCATCTATTGGTACCAGGCCAAAGCTTAAATAAAAGGCTGGTATCATAGTACTATAATTAATGGGAATAATGTTGCTTTGTTACCTAGGATTATGGTTCTCAAATCCCTTGAAGAACTGTGGTTCTAAGTATGTTATCTGGGCTGAGCATTCTGTATTTTCCTGGAGAATTGCTTCACACTGGAGCAATCTTCATTCTTAAATGGATTATGGAACTAATGCTGCTTTTAGAATACACTGCTTCTGGGCTAACAGGATGTGTTACAAGAGTAGGTCTGATCCAGGGGTAGCCACAGTGGTGCCTTCCAGATGCTGCTGCACTCCAGCTAGCATCTTCAGCCAGCATGACCAATAGTCAAGTTCTTTTTCATGCTGCTTATAAATTGTGTTATTTTAAAAAATGGCTAAAATGGCTTTTCTTGCCCCTTGGACATGAAGAACAGCCTTGAAGGGGAAATTATTAAATGTTAGGATTGCAGAACTGGAAATAGGTGGAGTGGAACTTCAGTAAATGTTGGTGTTGAAATATGCCAAAACAAAAAACAAAACCACTCATACTTTCACCCTTTTTATAGGAATGTTCCTTACCGTATCCGTGTGCGTTTATCCAGAAAACGCAATGAAGATGAGGATTCGCCTAATAAACTGTATACACTGGTCACATATGTGCCGGTTACCACTTTCAAAAGTAAGTCGCTCCCCCCACCTGATTGTAGAATAACAAGGAGGATTGCTGCCCTGGACTGTATTTCTCACAATGTCAGAGATATTTTGTAAAGTCTGTGTGTGTGGCTGGTCGCCATTTGTTGTCCCTACCCTGATGAAAGGTATCTATCTGCAGAACAGGGAGGGGGAGGCATTTCCTCTTAAAATCTCCAGGGAGTTAGGGACCTCTGGACTTTTGGGAACCTGCAGGAAGGGAAATTGCCTTCCTTCCCCATTCTACACTATAATCTAAAATTAATGCATGCTGAATATGGATTGTGTGTTCAACTTTAACTAATGCAACTTCCTCCTTCTTTACAGGCCTACAGACTGTTAATGTGGATGAAAACTAATATTTCATTACAATAAAAATGTTATGACATTACTTTACTCAAGTCTTTTTTAAAGTCTAGTTATGAGGCGATTCAGGTTGCTTTGGCTCCCAAACTGGCTGGCTAAATATTTCTTCACAAAGCTCCCTAGGATGTGAAATTAAATCTTTGGTCTTCTGTTGACTGCAACTCCTGTCAGCCTCAGCCAGCACTGATATTCCTTTGATGGTCCAGGAGCAACAGATCAATTTTAAGACAGCAGTGTGGAAGAGTGAATGACTGCAGATTCATTTTGAAGGTGAAGGTGCTATTTGAAAAGCAAAAGTTACAAAGGCATTTTTATTGAAATGTGCACACACAGAGACATGAAAAGCACAGTCCATGTACACTGAACATTCAGCAAGACATACAAATCTTGATGTCTTGATTTGTATATATTAATATATTAATGGTTTCAATTACCAGCATTGAAACAAGTATTCGGTATTAGTGCAAAAAAGGCAACTGTACATAAAACCTGCAGTCAGGCGACACTTTCAAACCAGGAGTTCAGCTTTTTGTCTTTGAAATATTAACACATCTGCAGCAGTATTCAAAGGGAAGATGGCCTTTTCTTCCTAAATTACATTCAAGAAAGCAAATGTCAAAACCACATTAAATGTGTTTTGGTTTTAAAGCTCTTCAACTGAAAATGTATCAAAATAGTCCAAAAAACTTAATGTTGCAAGATGCGCTTTGGTGTAACATGAACTGCCTGGGACATTTGCTATGGTACACTTAAAGGTTCGGTCTCACCTCGTGATGATTGGCTGGTGCCATTTGTTTTGAAGGTATATTGAGCTACCCTTGCATTCTCCAGTTTTAATTTCAGGTCTAAGGATTTTTCAAAGAAGTTGACAAGTGACTGTTCAGTTAATAGTGAAGCCAAGATGTGTTCAAATGAAACAATCCAATCCCCATCAGTTATTGGTAAAGACTCTGCATTCTTTGGGGTCTTCACAGTGTCAGTAAAAACCACATCTTGATCAGAGGTAGATGCCTCAGTCTGGAAGTCCTCAGTAAAGTCGTCTGAGCCTGAACTGCTGCTTCTCTGACCCACTTCTCCAATCTGGAGTAACAAAGTAGTCACTGTGGCAATGGCTTGATACAACTCGTTCTCCTCTGGGTCTTCATGAAACATGCTGTACAAGGTCTTGCAGAACTGGATGAACTCTCGCTGAAAAACATGACATGCATTTTTTTGTTTGTTGCCTGCCCTGCAGCCTTAAAAATGGAAAGACTATAATAGATAACTAATACTACCTGCCTGCAAGGGAAAGGAATTAACATGCACATTTATAATCCTCAAAGCAATTACACAAACTTTGCTTATATGGTTCACAAACAGGCAGTTTAATGGTTAATCGGTTCCCTAGCAGTTTGTTGGGAACCAAGATGGACCAAGTACTAGAATGTCACTTCCTCAGAAATCCCTGTTTAATGTTTCTGGGAGTAACTGTTGAAACAGGCACACAGTGGTAACTCCCAGAGTAAACTCCATTGCTGATGCTATGCAGAGTGTTCCAAGATACATGGCAAACACAATGACTGACACTTTTCAGGAATTCTCACAAGTCTACCTAAGACATTTCTTATACAGGTGGCAACCATTTTGTGTGGGGTTCTGTTCCTGCTGTGCCCTTCTCCCATTCTGCCCTATTCTAGGTACAAAAGGACCTGCATATCAATTGGACATACCTAAAATGGTAAGGCAACAAGTGATTTAATTTATCCGCAGCCCCCAAAAGATACTTCATTAGCCCACTTCATATGTTAAAGCGAAGGAGGGCTATACAGCTTGGGAGGGGGGGCTGACATTGTGTATCTCCCCAAATTGAACATGGGACAGCGGAAGAAGGGAAGCCTAGATGCGTAGGTTTCTGTGGAATCAAATTGGACTGCACTAGGACCAGAGTGTGCAAGGCTCCAAGGAAAGGCTTCTCTTCAGACATCCATTCTCACTCTATGTTGGGTCAGGGAGCGGCCTGCATTACTGTAGTTGGTTCCAGTTTAGATATGGTGACATCTAGATTGTTTTAATTGGCCGGTGGGGGAAAAGAAGAACCACCGTCTCCACACACCCCACCACTGCCAGATGTTTGTCAACAGGTTTCCCATCCCTGAACATAGATTTTGTCCAAATAAGCCAACTTCCCTTGAGCGTTGAGCATTTTCATGAGTATAATGAGTTGCTAGAGGCTAACGTTACATGTTTGCTCCACACATAAATAGGTGACCAAATGCAGAAGTGGCTTAGGCAGACCGATAAGATGCAGTTCTCAGAGTTTTGACAACGTAAGCATCTAACATCTCATCATGTCTTACCTGGCACATTTTTGGTAGCTCTTTCTCAGCCTTGGCATCTTTTTCTTTGGCTAAGTCCTTCAGCATCTGCTTCAGTTGTTTCTGATAATCTATGGTGTCACCTGGAGAGCAGGATATAAATGACATTACAATTCATTTCAACAAAGGAGGAAGGAAAATGTAAATAAAATGAATTTCGGGAGCTCTGGTGAATCGGACCAAAGTCTAGTCTAACATCCTGTTTCCTCCAGTGGCTAGCCAGATTCCTCTTGTGAAGCTCAAATACAGGACGTGGGGGAAATAGGTTCTCCAGGAACAAGCTCACTGGCTTACTGCCTCTGAACCTGCAGATATCATGTGTAGGATATAGCCATCCGTCACTGACAGTCTGCTTTTGTTTTAAGCCCTTTTAAAAACCATCCAAGGTGGTGGTCATTAGCACAGCTAATGAATTCCATATGCTAAGTTGGGGCAGGGTAGGTGGAAGCAGATACCCATTTGCAAACCAGATCACTTACCATTTGATTTTCCAATTACTAGCGGCCTTGAAGTTGACAACAAAGGATTCTTCAGTGGTGATTGGCTGTCCCTGTCTTTTTCTGTGAGGGCTACAAAAAAGACCATTGATGATCACAAAATGTTTATTTTAGGCGTAACAGTTCCTTGTGGGTTCCTACATTTTTCCTTGTTTTCAGTTGTGGCCCCTAGGGCTGAGGGAGAGGCTCAAAAGCCTCACTTCATACAAACATTTTGGACCCATCATGAACAGCCTGTTATAGGAGGAATGTTACTGGTTCATATAAAGGGAGGGCAAGTGGTGCTGCAGGAAGAAACTGCAGGATATCAAAGCTGAGTCACTGTATACAACTGCACTTTAAACACACTGGCTTACCATAATATAACAAAAATAGGATGATGCAAGCAGTACAAAATGGGAGGGGGATCCTGTAAGATTCTTACCAGGAGGAATGTGCAGCTTGTACAACAGTTTTATCTTTTCATTCATTTCTCCATTATACATAATATCTGTGTGAGGAAGAAAGTGTATCAGAGGCTCGACCTTCACACTTGAAGCACGAAGGAATAAAACTCTTTATGTGAGAAACCATCATAGTATCCGCAGACAATTTCGTTTAGAACTTTATCTACGCGCTTGATCCTTGTGTAAATATCAAAAGTCATATAACTGAACTGTGGGCTGGAAAGCACTTGATTAAGAATGCCTATTGTCCCCAGTTTGCATCTCAAAAGCCTCCTGAGACTTTCAGATAGAAATAAGGCCTTGTGCTGAAAAACAAAACACTTGCAGTTTTTAAAGACCAATCTAAGCCACCTGTAAGGGAAGCTACTTCCTATCCTTTGGCCAGGCTAAGATTTTAGTGGTTCCACAAGCACTAAGGGATTCAAAGAGAGGACTGTTAAATTAATGTAAGTCTTGTGGAAAAGCATATTTGAAGCTTCCACATTTTCTTTGTACACAACAGCATAAAATCTCGGGACCCATTGCAAGGGTGTCACAAACAGTTTTGTGACCTGGAAGAATCCTAAAAAGAGACAAATTACCAGGAACACGCACACCACATGACATTCTGTCATCCTGACTGGTGTATTTCTGCACACCCTCTTCTGATAAGTTCCCAATGGCAGTTGCATCTTTAGAGATGTATTTACCTAAACAGCCAGCGAAAGCTTTGAATTCAATGAGATGGTCCATGTTTTCATCCAAAAGCCGGAATGTCCTTTCTGCTAGAACTTCAGTATGTTCACCACATGTCCAGGGTGAAACAAGTTTATACAGGTTAGTGAACTGCAGAGAGTCAATTCTGTATTGCTCTGCGTAAGGTCTGCTTGGATTGTGGCGCTGAATTACAACTGCACTATTCCATTCCCAGTAGCAGCTTATTAGATGTTCTTTCTAAGGAGAATTTTTTAAAAATAATGAAACATTAGAGGGGGAAAGACCCAGATACAATTACAAAATCTAGACGTAAAACAATGAACCTGCAGGCACTCTTGACTATGGCTCTTGCCTTTGCACAGTAACTACATTCCAGTATGTTTGCTACGTGCACCCCTCTCAATGCAGCCAAGTAGGAGGCATTTCCACCACCCTAGAACACATTCCATCCACACAAAAGCAGCCAAGAAGGGGGCAGAGCAGACTATGGCCTGCTGAAAGTTGCTAAGGCTAGGCAGAGGAGTGCTGCAAATGGCACTCTGGGCCTGTGTTCTCCATCCAACTTACCCTATACCTTTTTTTAAAAAAAGACATTGACAGGGAAAAGGAGCAGTTTCAAAGGCTCCTTTAGAACAGGAGAAGGGAATCTGACCCACCAGCTGCTGTTGAACTATCATCCCTGACAACTGACCATGGGAGTTTGGGGTCCAACAACATCTGAAGGCATGCAGGTTCCACACACACACACACACACACACACACACACACACACACTTTTTACATCCTTGAAAAAGCTACCAAGGATAAAAAGGAAATAGCAAAACTAATAGTATGCAAGACAGAATTATCTGGTTGCTTTCTAAGATCCATAAGCTTAGATATAGATCTATAGATAGACCTGAGTACAGTGGTGCCTTGCAAGACGAAATTAATCTGTTCAGCAAGTCTCTTCGTCTTGCGGTTTTTTCGTCTTGTGAAGCACGGCTATTAGCGGCTATTAACGGCTTAGCGGCTATTAACGGCTTAGCAGCTTTAAGAAAAAGGAAACAAACTCGCAAGAACTCGCAAGACGTTTCGTCTTGCGAAGCAAGCCCATAGGGAAATTTGTCTTGCGGAACGACTCAAAAAACGCAAAACCCTTTCGTCTAGTGAGTTTTTCGTCTTGCGGGGCACCACTGTATGGCTAACACAGAATATAACCATACAATATTCTTTTCTGGGATTACATGCATTTTTTCAGTGTTTTGCATACCTTAAACAAGCCATACAGTTCTTCCAAGTCTTCTGGAGCGATGGAGACATCCGGGATGACAACTCTAAGCTTAAGAGAAAACAGGAGTGAGCCTAGTGGTAACCTGGCATAGCTGCTGGCAATATCACTTCTCACAGCAACTTAGTATAGTTAAAATCTGGAATGCTTAGGTATTCCACCTTTCTTGTGTGTTACCTTCTTGTCTTGTTTTAGAATCGTAATCTGACACCTGTTTTATCAAGTCATCTCTCTATCTCTTGCCCACCCAACACTAAGGATCAACAACTTTCTCCTACACGGCAGAAAAACAGGGAATGAGAGATAATCTATTGCTGCCCTCCAGTGCCAAGATCCCTAGCCCTTTCAGTTTACAGCAAGGTGTCTGCCGCTTGCTGGACTAATTTGCTCACAAGCAGAGCTACCAAGTTCACCTGCCCAGATTTTGTCCCCTTGCCCTATTTGTGAGGCAGAGAAGCACTTTCCCATTTGGACAAGAAACAGAACTAAAAAATCACAAGTGGCTTAACTCCTCTCCTTCCGCAGCTTTAAAGCAGAGACTTTTCATATGGATTGTGCCATTCACAATACTGAACAGCTCTGTGTCACATTTTGCTCCTTTTAAAAATCAAAATTAATCGTTAGGTATAATTTCATATGTTTCAATCTATGAGCACTGTAGAAAACCCTGCTTATGGCATGTGCCTAGCACAATTTTAAAATAAATGAAACATTCTAACTTTTGAGCATTCTCACCACGTTCTGTTTAGTGGTTTCTTCGTGGCTTTGCAGAACACGGATCCTGTGCTTGTAGCGCATGTGCTCAATCTGCTCCACAGAATGGTCTCCAAATTTCTAAAATACAAGAATCGATTTTTGCTTCAGCCTGCATCTCAGTGTACATTTTAAAATATATAATATAGTCAGTATGTTTAAACCAGAACATGTACCATATTCACCACAGTTGTGCTATCTGTATTTTGACTCAAGTTAACATAAAACTGATATTTGGTGAGTTTCCAACCAGAACTTCCAACTACCATTTCACTGTTACCTCATAAGAATCCCGAATTAGGTCTGCTATTTCTGTTGTAGGACAGGGCTCTATATCATCACTGAAAAAGGCATGCTGGTTGCCAATCAGGGGCAAAGGGCTTTCCTCATTCTTAACATGATCTAAGAACCTGAAATAAATAAAGAAAAAACATTTAAATCCACTTTCTGTTAATGCACTCTGTTACACTCAGTGGAAAGCAGTCCTAGATTTCACTTCTCATTTTTTAAATAAACACCTTACTGAACCAGATCAGGCTTGTTCTCTGCCTAGAAGCTGTTCCCAGGTGATCATATCCTTTTATGAAGCCAGGAACTGCAATTTTTTTTGCTTTAGGGAAGAAATTAAAAGTAGCAACGACTTATCAAGTTTCTGGAATATGTGGTTCTTTTCTTTGAAAACAGCTACTAAAAAGCATAGTAGGGAGGCAAGCGTTGTCATTAAATGTTCGGAACAAGTTTCTCTGTATCATTTTATTACTGTTAAATAAACAATTATTTCTTTTTGAAGCAGCAGTGTTAGCATTGCAGCACTGAAACATAGTAGTCAGAACAATACCTGCTCAGAATCATCAAGGCATGTCCATCATCTTTGCTGTTGCACAGTTCTACAGCATTGGCTTCAAGGATAGCCAAGCCAAACTGGAAAATGGCTTTGATCCCATCAAAGAAGAAACAGTCGACAACATTAACAGCACTTTCTAGGGGCATGATACTGAGAAAGAGAGTGAGGAACCATGACAGGGAAACGGAAGCCAGTGTGGAAAGGTCTTTCATATGTTCGGCCAGTTCTGGCAGCCGCTCCTTGATTAGCTCTTCGAATATAGACTGATCCACCTGAGCACCTGGAAATCACAGCAGATAACGTTAGCCAAGGTTGAAATAAGTAATTCCTCTAGCTTTATAATTTAATACAATTATTTTATGAATTCAAGCCTCATTCCTCCTCTTAACAGATACTGTTAACAATACTGAGTTATTGAATGGTCTCAAAGCTTTTTAAAAGGGGGGTGGGGAAAGCATCTGTAACACCCTTTGGGGAGCATCTATGAAATAATAATATGGCAGAACTTAACACTTCAATATAAAAAGTGCAATAAAACGTAAGTACTATCTGAAACGACTGTCAAAAGAAAGTGGCAACAGGGGATTGATGAAATAAAAACAGAGCACAGTATTTCCCTCCGCTACACATACAATACGCAACCTAATCTCAACTATGAAAAATAAGCCATGGAGCCGTTTTTATACTGCCCAATATAAAGAATCCAATGCCCATATAAAAACTTCAAGAGAAGAAAGGGTTTAATATAGAACAGAGTTTATGTCACCAAATTCAGTTAATAGAAAATCTACAGGAGGGGTTGGGAACCTGTCCAGTTTTTGTTGCTGGACAAAAACTCCAATTATACCTGAGCACTGGCTATGGGGACTGGAGTCCAACAACATCTAGAGAACCAACGTTTCCCAAGCCCTGATATACAGCGTGTTGACTGTTTTATTTCCCTGGGAATCAGTAGAGAGAGTAAGAAGCGAACCGGAGACTCTCACCTATCACCCTGTGATTAAAGTAATCTGGAAGCATCCTCTCGCACACAGCGACGAGCAACCAAAATGCTTCTTCCTCTTTGGCATACAGCAACAAAACAGAGGCTAAGATATTCATGGACTGTTAGAAAGTCAAAGAAGACAATTTTAGTTGCCGTGACACCTTTTAAAAACATGTAATGAGAGCTTAAAAAAAATAAAATCATTAGAACTGAGGTTAAATAACCCACGTAAAGGTTATGTACAGACATTTCCCCATCAAATTTGAAACCATACTGGACCCTAGTTAGCTTTGAAAAGGTGCTAGCAGTTTTATTGCTGCACCACTAGGAGCACAAAACGTATGGATATAGCTTTCAACCTACATAGCGAGGGACTTCTGTTAATTTAGTGTTTGTATAACAATGTAGGAGTAATGAAATAGACAACAAAAGCTTGCTCCAGAATTGAGTTCTCACTCTTTCCCTATAAGCTTCTGAAAGTGACAAAAATATGGTGTGGGTCTCCTCAACTGTAACCCAAGACAAAATATCTTCTCAAGGCGAGGGGTCTTAGAGTTCAGCAACAGCACAGCTGCTTTCTAGCATCTCCATTTAACTGATCTCAGGATACAGAGCTGAGAAAAACCTTTGCTCAAAGCCACCTACAAACAGAAAGAACTCACAGAAGCTGAGAGGCATTTCACAGGTAGTCTCCCTAATGGCCACATTGCTAATGAAGAGAAGAAATAAATGAAGCACAGCACAGTGGATCCATCTTAACTTGCACAGAGAGTAAGCTGTCCAATTACACTTCACATAGAAAGTGACACTGGGGAAACGGTGAGACAGAAGCTGTCGCCTTTTCTACTGACCACCCCCCTGCCTTAGTGCATCTCCCTTAACATGCTGAAGCCTGTCATTTTCGAAGGAGTTCATCTGCAAATTGGTGGCGTAACGGATCTTTCTTTACCTGGCAGTACCCAATTTTGGGGTTTCTGTGTGCGTAAGCTGTCAAAACTCTCCTCAATGCAGCTATGCCCGTTTCACTCTGGAAGGCAGGGTGCTCAGGTAACGAGCGATGCAAGTCACGTTCTATTTCCTCTGTTGCTATGCAACACATGCCCAGGGACACCTCCACTAAGTTTTCATAGTAACCAGGGTGGGTATACAAATCTGTTGCAGCATCTGAAGAAGAGGAAAAGCAAGAACTGAAAATTAGTTATGAATCCAAATATAATCTTAAAACTATGTTATTTGTCAAAGGAACAACTATGTGAAACTAGATACTGAATATCAAACATTTTCCTAAATCAAAATTACTCAGGAACACACAACTACATTTTTGTAATATGAAACACTGTGCAGAAGAAGGAATGTGAGTTTGAAAATACTTCAATAACCTAACTTGCTATATATGGTAAAACTTGCTAATTTACATAAATATGGGGCCAGCAGTATAAGATTCTCTGTCTTAAATCCCATTTCAAATAGAAGGGTTTAATCGTGCAAGTGTTGCATATCTGAATCACAAACACTGTATCAGAGATTGTTATCTTATTCCAACAGTCCTGCTTTTAGCTTGTAGCAAAGGAAATGGCAGAGGAAGTCTTAAGCTTCTCATTTCAGTTTTTTGTGCCAAGTATAACATCTCAGCAATGTCTGCTGATATAAAGGCTATTATTTTGGTATAAAGACCTTTATTACTTACCATTTGTATGAAACAAATGGGTATAATTTAATTACCTATAGTCCTAAGTAGCTAGCAGCGAAACATTTCTCTCTCTATGGGCTGTACCCAAATCACCTGGTTCTTTTCCATTACTAGAAAATTAAATGGGGCCATAAATCTAGCTCATTTCCCTTTCTCACTTGCTTCTTTCCATGGTGAAATACAGTGGTACCTCGGGTTAAGTACTTAATTCGTTCCGGAGGTCCGTACTTAACCTGAAACTGTTCTTAACCTGAAGCACCACTTTAGCTAATGGGGCCTCCTGCTGCTGCCGCGCCGCCAGAGCACAATTTCTGTTCTTATCCTGAAGCAAAGTTCTTAACCTGAAGCACTATTTCTGGGTTAGCGGAGTCTGTAACCTGAAGCGTATGTAACCTGAGGTACCACTGTACCTGGTCAGGTTTCTTGGAAAAGTCACACCACAGAATTCTCACCTGAGAAAAAGAGCCACAGTTTGCCTCGTAAAGATTCTGGAATTCCCATAGCAACCAATTTCCTGATTTTTTCTGTTCGGAACATACAGACAGTTCTGCCATACTCATCAAAGTGATCATTCCACAGGCTCTCTTTGATTTGCTCCCTAGACTGAAAGCCAAGAGAGGAATGTTAAATCCATCATATTTATACAAGTCATGATGCAATGGAATAGCCTCTCGTTCAGAGAAAGCTATTTGTTTGTAGTGATGGACAATGCAACAAAAAATACACTACAGAATGCTATTACAGTCCTGTATATTGGTCAATATTTATGCCGCTCCAAAGCAGCAGGAAGACAGCTGCAAATATGAATATTATCTGGAAAGCCTGTATGCGAGCCATTATCCAGTTATGCAACAGGGAAAGCAGAAAATTAGGAAATGTCTAATTTCCTTTAATACTTATATCCTGCTTTTTCCTTCTAGCAAGAAGTCTAGAACAGCTGGCAAAAAGTGCTAAATCATCAATTTTAAATATCAAAATTACAATCAATGTAGGAAAATCCTAGAATTGTAGAGTTGGAAGGGATCACAAGGGTCATCTAGTCCGACCCCCTGCAATGTGGGAATCTTTTGCCCACAATGGGGCTTGAACTTATGTCCCTGAGATTAAGAGTCTCATGCTCTACTGACTGAGCTATCATTCTAAACAATAAAAAACAGTTCAGTACAATAGCACAGGGAAAGTGAATATGCAGATGCTCATGAAGTCCAACCACAACTGAAGTCCAACCACAACAAGTTCTCCATCCCAGCCATACCAGATTCACAATGACAAACTAACATATTATTATTATTATTATTATTATTAGCCAGGCAGGGGGCCTTCTCTGTAGTGGTGCCTGCCCTGTGGAACACCCTCCCATCAGATGTCAAGGAAATAAGCAACTATCTTTCTTTTAAAAGACATCCGAAGGCAGCCCTGTTTAGGGAAGTTTTTAATGTTTCATGCTATATTGTGTTTTTGATATTCAGTTGGGAGCCACCCAGAGTGGCTGGGGAAATCCAGCCAGATGGGTGGGGTAGTATTATTATTATTATTATTATTATTATTATTATTATTATTATACCGCCCTTCATCACAAGATTTCAGGGCAGTTCACAGGATACAAATACAAGGTAAAGCTGCTTTACTAAAGCACAAGTAAAAAAAACCAACAATAACCACCCCTCCCACAAACACATTTAAAAGGCTGCAGAATATTACAAATACAAAATACAAGTTAACATATAACACTTATGAACAATTTATATAAAACACAGCAGTAACATTCAATATTTAACTAACTAAACATCTCATGTAATCCAATAATAATTGTACAATTGTAGATATTGTTTTATTGCTTTTTAAGCTCACTGAGTCATTTGCATTATATCTTATTTTTATCTTATTATACACCACTTTAGCAGCTTTCGACTGTGAAACAGTTTCTACGCAATCACAAACCATCTTATACAATTATGATGAAATGCACCAAAAGAAAAGTCAGAGCATCACACAGTCTCTTGGGACTATTTCCTACACTACATTTTTAAGACGCTATAATGAGAAGCTTTTGTAACAACTCATTATCATATTCTCAACATAACCTGCATCTGTTTTGAGGAGGTATTAAATCATTCCTATGGAACAACTTGCAAAACCGTTTCTACAACTTCGATTTCAAAATGAAGAAATGGTCCTTGCTCAGATACAGACAGTATCTGCTCGAACCTATAACATTTCCTATGTACTGTAGGAAGTATATACTATATATGCTACAAAGGAATGGGCTAAGGAGAATAGATTGCAGAAGGAAAGAAGTCATTAATGTAAACAAAGGAAGGAAGGCCTCAGTCCTATAGTTCAGACAGATGTTTCTCTCTCTATCTTTGAAGAATTTCAGAATGCCACCTCCCAAATAATAATTAAAATGAAAGGTTCATCATCATTAACAACAACAATTAGATTTCTATACCGCCCTTCATCCGAGGATCACAATATGAACCCACAAAAATATAACATAGTAGCAAACAGAAGCAATAACCCACCCACCCCATTTAAAAGGCCATAGATTGTTTAATTAGCCAAAGGCTTGGGGGGGAGAGGAACGTTTTTGCCTGGTACTTAAATATATGTAATATTAATAGCATGTCATATAATGCAAGGAGAGACTGTGAACAAGCTTTTCAAATGTCCCCAATAACTAAAATGGTGGTTTTACATACCATCCTAAAATCCAGACCATCTATTCCAGAAGGATGAAATGCTGAACTCAGGGCCTCTGCATTCAGCAGGTGTCTACTGCTGCTGTCATTTTCATTCCCGTTATTGCTTTGTGAAGCTACTATCCCCAAGTTCCCAAGTTCATAATCGGCATGTGTTGAATGAGAATTTTGCTGCACAAGTAAAGGGGGGGAAACAAAGAGAATCCGTTTGAAAGCTTTATTGTGTAGATCCGATAACAACAACTAAGCATCTACTAAACTTGTTTATCAACTGACTTTATTTTCTCTGCTTTGGAATAAGAAGCACCTGAAGCCAGCTGAAAGCACATTAATAAAAGATCCCATGAACTGCCTCTAATCCATACACAAAATCCATAGCAAGTAAAAGGAATTTAATACTCCAGTAAACGCAAGCCTGTCATGCCATCTCTTTAGATATATATTTCAACTATGCTCACTACACTTTTTTGCTCTTCTACACTATTTGGCAAATTAGATGTGAAACTAATTATGTAGATGATGAAAATATAAACTAAGGAGTGTTACAGCTATAAATTTACACAGAACTATAGTAAGTGCACACACGGGACTAAGCAGATGTCATGAGCGCAACTACTAACTTTTCTTCCTTATATCTTCAAAATATACCATCCTCTTTCCTCTAGCTAGAAGTGGATTACAAATCGGGGTTATCCTCCAGCTTTTTCCCTACTAGACCTGCATTTCTTATCTCTGAAGCCACATCGGGAAAGGGAACATGTTTAAACTTTTTTTTGTTACACCTTATCTTTAAAAAAATGAACCCATTTATAATACTAGTAAGCCTTTCTTCTAGTTTAAAAGGTACTAGCAAAATATACTGAGCATACAGCTGGAACAGGTTAGACATTTAATACCGTCTCTTTGCTTTTCAAATTTCTACGGAGCGATGCGTTGCTAGCCTTCACTTTCTTTAATCTTAGAAGCAGATTCTCTACCAGGGTATCTCTGTCCTTCAGCTCAATGAACTGGAAGGCCGTCTTGCTTTTTATGCTAATAATGATAGGATTGGGAAGAAGGCTAGTGTCCTCCATCTTCTCAATACTAGCCACCTGTTAAAAAAAATGAACACAATATATATATTCACATCAGAGATCTTTCCCAATGCCAATAAAATTGAAAACCTAGTATAAGGTACAGAAAAAAACAGCAAATAAGTCTGTGCTCTTTGTTAATGGGTCAGGGAATGTAGGGGTGGAAACAAGAAAAACCTGTCTAAGGTAACTATTTTTTTATTTTGAAAATCCTGTGCTGTACATTCTTCCCATGTCAAGAACCCCTCTAACTCAATATGCTTTTTATTTTTGAAGTAAACCAGAGAGGATCTGGTTGCCTTTGACATCACCAGTGTGAGAGTCAGTGTGGCTAGAGTTACCAGACCTAGGCCACAGGAGACCAGAATTTGAATCCTCACTCAGTCATGAGGTTCACTGGGTCAACCTTGGGCCAGTCACAGTTGCTCAACCTCACAGGGTTGTTGTGAGGATAAAATGGAGAGTGGGGGGAAGTTGTATACAACACCTTGGGCTCTTTGGATAAAAGGTGGGATATAAATAGAATAAACAAATAATGTACAAACTTGAACGTCTATGCTTTTCTTCAGGTAGTTTGTGATAAACTTTATGATGGGGAACACCAAGGTCTGCATCCAAAGGACCATCATACTGGTTCCATTGCCCAAGAGATCTTTAGACATAACAGCAAACCCTTTTTTTAAAACCCAGAAAAGTATGACAAATAATTTGATTCTGCACGAAGGCCTGCCTCTCAAAGGACGAAAGAACCCACTTGCCTGAGTACTCAGGAGTGCCTGGAGTAGCTCTTTATGTGTGTCAGGATCTAAGCAAGATCGCTTACCAGACTCCAAAGGTGCAAACCAGAAGAACTCCCTACCTTCATCCCCGCAAGCAGCTTTTAGAAATCCCACTTCAACACATAAGCATGCATGGAAAGGGTAGGGAAAATTCATTGTGAGCATAGCAGATTGGCTAAAGATTGTTAGAGTGTAACTGGTTTGAATTAAGAATTTCTACAGCGTTTTCACATTAGCTGGTGGCAAAGTTTGCTGTGAACACATTTTATAGAGCTGCACATCCATGATTAATATTGCTCAGTGGAGAGAAGCCAATTACTTTTTAATTGGCAACCCTGGACTGATTGTTAAGTACCACATAACTGCTCAACATTACCTGAAGGATATGCGCAATGAGTTGTTAAACAGCTTAGGATAAACAAATAGATAGAACTGTTCTCACATTTAAGTATCTTTTTAAGCAGAAAGGTGGTTCGTTAGAAGAATTATGGATTTTTAAAGTGACAAAAGACTAACCTCTACAAGCGGAATTAGAACATTACAGCAGCCATCTTCTTTGCTAGCAAAACAGATATAGCTATCTGAGGCAAACATCCTTCCAACTGTGTGACAGCGGCTAAAGGGAGTCCACAGGGAACAATCTGCAACTTCGTGCAGCTTTTCCTTCTTTGGTAACCGGAAGAAAGCTCTGAAGTACTCATTCCGTGCTCTGAACTCAAGATCTCTTTTGAAAGAAGCAACAGAACAAAACGTTTTTCAAAGGCTGAAACTTAAAGCAACTTGATTTGCTTTCTTATTTAACAAAATAAAACTGCAGTAGGCCAGTTCACATGTCATGGTAAGCCATAGGCTCAACAACAGATTCCTTACCATGAGCAAGAAAGCATGCCGATAACCAGGGCTCGAATCTCACTTCCCCCACCCTTCTCCCCGTGATGTACCCAGAAGAAGCAAACCAGAAGCTTAATATTACATATGAACCAGCACTCATGGTTTGTTCCTACCAAAGAATGAATCTTTGCTTCCTTTCATGGTTGGTTTGGCGAGAGATAAACCAAGAGCACTGGTTGGCACTTAACACCACCCTAGTGTTCTGGGAGGAGAGATGCAGCACACTTTGAGCAGCATGTATTAGCACACTTGCTCATTCACTGCAAGCTGTTGTTTGTTGAGTCTTATGTCCTGAGTAAAAGCGTTTTTTAAAAAATCGTTTCCATTAAGCTTCAGCTTCAACAGGCTAATGGCATTTTGCCCGCCTTTGGAAGATTCTCACTGGCATATTTACTGCAGTGGCAAATGAGATCCATTTCTATTAGCCAGGATTTAAATAACCTCAGGTTGTATTCAACGCTGCATGTGGGGCGTTCCACTCACAAAACTAGAGTTTCCCTTCACCTCCTCTCCCCATGCACCTGCAAAATCTGCCTCAAGGGTGCCCAGGCACATATGCATATGCACACAAACCCCTTACCCTATATAAGCAACACAAGTATGGTATGGGTGCCTATGAATATACCAGTTTATCACTTAAGTTCTACAGTTCTTTTCATAGTACATTATTTTTTTCCTCAAAGCAGTTCACTTTAAGGAAGAAATAGTTTCCCTCTCTGTTTCAGTAAAAGAATGCAAAGTGTGGGCTAAAGAATCTAAGGAGTGCCTTCTGGCATCTGTGCTTCATTTGACAACAGAAATCCATCAACTCCCCCTGCTCAAGTAGTTTTAAGAATTTAGAATGCCTTTTTCATTTGTGACAGCAGCTTAATAAAACAGCCTGGTGGGCCATTTTGCATAGTACAGAGGACAGTTTTGCAACCATTTCAAAATCCAGAACACATAGGGTTGCCATATTTTAAACAGTGAAAATCCACAGATTGATTAATTTTGTCAAAGTTGTTTTGTTGTGGGGGCAAAAGCACAAAAAATGCTGTTTTTGAGCTACCTTTATGGAAAAATGGCAAAAAAGGCACTGCTGCCATGGGCTGCCATACGTCCAGATTTTCCCGGACATTTCCCCAATTTCTGCCTGGACACTGCTGCTGACTGCGGTATTCCAGATATGTCTGGGAAAAATTTGGACGTACAGCAACCCTAGAACAGACTAGCTGGGCTTCTGAAGCAAGTCAGAAAGTTTTTATTTTGTTTAAAGACAAACAAGAGAAAACAGTACTTAAAGGAAAAAAAGATTGTGTTTACAGTCAAAGTTTCCTCACAAGAAAAAAAATAATCACCTGACAAAGTCAACTAACAATCTGCTAGTATGACTAAGTGTTGCATTGGCTCAGCACAAAAATATTTTTCCATTCTGACCAAAACAGAGTTGAATCAGTGACAACATCTCCAGTTCGTTTTGTAGAAGCCTCTTTGCCAGTATCTATATGAAGGGTGGGTGAACTACTCTCGCACGAAAATAGTTTCTAAAATGCTTGCTCTTGGAAAGACAACAGATACCACAGTATACTTTGTACAATCACTGTATATATTAAGTTTTAAATATGGGTATAAAATCCACCTATATAGTACTTTTTAAATTTAGGGCTTTTTAGCAGAGTTGAGCTGTTAGATGCCACTCATGCTCAGTGTAAATGAAGAGATTTTGTTACACTTTATGGGAGAGTTGTGATGACTTCCCATTTTTAAAATTCTATTTTGTGCATTTAAATATAGCATTAGAAGTATGCATTGAACAAGGGGGAAATACAGAGAATAGTTGACCAAAACATTTAATATCATTAACTGCTGAGTTTCTAAAGTGTAGCACAAACTAAAGTGTAGCACAGCACAAACTAGAGCCTTGCACTGGGATGGCATTTCCAAAGGGCTCTCGGTATTTCAGAAACACATCTGTTGGGAGGGCCATCCCTCCATTTGCGCTGAGCTACACAGGTGTGCATAGGACTTCTAAAGTGCAGCATAGCTGCAGTGATGATCTCTCTCCTTGCTCTTCAAGTCAAACTTGATGGTGATGGAGCTTGCAGTGCGCCATGGAATGAGGTGTAAGGGGCTTTGGTGGGAAGGGGAAATCAGCAAAAATCAGACTTCTTCTTGCATAAGTGGAAGTGCCTTCCACTCACACAAGGAGTGAACAGCTCTGTATTTAAGGCATTGCTTTTAAAAAGACTTAATGTGGTTCAATGTGAGAGAGACCTGCTCTATTATAAGGAATGTGCTTATTTTTGTACTCTTTGAAAAAGCTGCAGCAGCTGGAAATGTGTTGGGCCAACAGAATGAAGTAATCCTTTATAGCAACTTTACTTAATTCCATAATTCTTTGTCCACTCTGTAAACCTTTGCTTGAAATTTCCTTCTAAGCAAGAAATCAATTTGAAAGCTTTAAGTATAGTCCCACACAATAGCTATAAAGAAAGAAAATGTGTTGGACTGCAAAGAGCAAACAAAACTGAATAATAATCCTCAGTACTAAAATGTTTAAGAACCACAGGTATGTGACATAAATAGCGTAACATATAAAGAATTCTGAAGTTTAAGATGGCATTTTGTTTAATACCATATAAACAAAGAAATTCATGCTGCTGATTTGCAAAACAATTCTAACTTATTCTGAACACAGAATTTCAAGGGGGAAAGGTAGACTTTGGAGAAAGTCCAGCTGTGCCTCCAAACTGCTGCTTTTAATACAGGACTCTTTAGAGTGTGGTTGCCTACTGCACTAATTATACACACTAAGAAAATCCAGGCAAGATTATAAGAAAGCAGCTGCTCAATCATGCAATTCAAACCAGAAAATGTTCATTATAAGTTGCAATATCACATAATGTAGCAAAATAAAATGCACAAGCAATATCACATATGTAGCAAAATATAATACACAACGTTTTTGTGCTTTCCACATTCTGGGCAAACAGTCACACAGAGTCCATTAATAAGAGGACGTTTTAAAACACTCATATTAAGAAGATCTTGTGTCTGGGTACCGCTGAAAGCATTTCGGGGCATTTAAAATAAAGAGCTTTTGTGGTTATGTAATACTTCAATCTCTCTTTGCTTTTGGGAGCAAATGCTGGTTAATTCTTCTGTAATTCACTGCCTGAGCATTATCCTTTATTAACCTAGGGGTGGGGAACCTGTGGCCCTCCAGATTTTGATCGACCACAACTCCCATCATCCTTGTCCATTGGTCATGCTGGCTGCAGGTGATGGGCATTTGGAGTTCAACGATCTCTGGAGGGTTGCAGGTTCTCCATCTCTGCTTTAGTGAAAGTTGGCTGGAAATCCCATCTCTTCCCAAATGATGAACTACAGGGAAAAACACAACTGGAATAGATCCAGACATATCCCACTGCAAACGGAACCGCTGTTTCCATTCGTGGATGGGACCCTGATTCAGTGGAGGTTGTTGCAGATGGAAGTGGGAGGAGGCATTTTCTAGTACTCTCCTTCCCCCTCCAAATCCATGTGACATTTATCCACTTTGTTCTGAAGGGTCTTCAAACCATCCAAAGCAGATCTGGGGAGGAATCTGGGGTTGGGGGAAGGAAGAGTTGCTGAAAATTGTCTCCCCACTCTTCTGTCCCAGGGTGCATGGAATCAGCAGAGTTCTGCCAAATCAAGCCTGGATTCAACTCAATATATTTCTTTCTTTTTCTTTCTTTCTTTTTAAAGGAAAATGTACCGGCAAGGCAAGATATTATACTACATAATGGGGAAAATGTGTTTGCTTTGGCGGAAGGTGACTCGGAAACTACAACTAATGCAGAATGCAGCTGGGAGTGGCTGCCGGGACCATATAACACAAGGCCTAAAGGATCTACACTGGCTCCCAGTACATTTACAAGCACAATTCAAAGTGTTGATGACTTAACGCCCTTAACGGCTTTGGACCTGCATACCTGAAGGAGCGTCTCCACTCCCATTGTTCAACCCAGACACTGAGGTCCTGCTTCAAGGGTCTTCTGCTGGTTCCCTCACTGCGAGAAGTGAGGTTACAGGGAACCAGGCAGAAGGCCTTCTCGGTAGTGGCGTCCACCCTGTGGAACGTCCTCCCTTCAGATATCAAGGAAATAAACAACTATCTGACTTTTAGAAGACATCTGAAGGCAGCCCTGTACAGAGAAGTTTTTTAATGGTTGATGTTTTACTGTGTGCTGGAAACTGCCCAGAGTGGCTGGGGCAACCCAGTGAGATGGGCAGCATATAAATAAATTATTACTATTATTACTATTATTATTGCTTCCAAAAAATGCAGTGTGAAGTTGTACAACAAGGCATTACTCTGCAAAGACCTTGCACAAATTAAGACTCCCTTTTAATCCAATAATGCTGGCATGTGGCCTCCAGGAGATTGCTCACAACAAAATGTGACCATTGGGCTGAAAAAGCTTGTGTGTCTTCCTGCATTACAGAGAAATGCTAAAGATGTGACTGGTTCTGAATAATACCACAAGGGTCACAGGACTTACTTGATTGAAGTTATTTTTGTATTTTGTTCCCCGCCCTTTCCCAGATAGATTTGCTCTTTATTTAGACTTTATGTCACAGTAGTAGTGGGGTGGGGTGGGGGTGGAATACTACTTAAAATATGAGACCCCTTCAACAAAAAGCAACAAAAACGATGTCACTATTTACCTCTTGGTGATCAGAGTAGGATCTTGCAAACCTGGATCCAGTTCAAAGACCTCATTATCCAGTAGCCTGCGGAGAGTTACATCTGCCAACTGTTCCATTATCCTGAATGCTTCATCAATATTAAGGAACATAGAGAAATCACGTTCTTTACTTTGAGTGGTGATGCGGATAATGTCAGTCATCAAGATATTGGAGGTTCTTTCCAACTTCTGGACATCAACCCAGGGAATGATAAGTTTTACTGCAACCAGGGAAACACAAAAAGATCTATTGAAGTAAACATCAGAATCCAGCAATCTATGTCTCCCACACATACATATATACACACAGTTTCTCCACATATCTTCTTCGAAGTAAATTCATGCTGGATTCAGTGATACTTCGCTCCAAGTAAGTATATATAAGATTGCAGCAATAATAACAACAAGAACAACAAGAATTTTATTATTCATACCCTGGCCATCTGGCTGGGTTTCCCCAGCCACTCTGGGTGGCTTACAACATATCTAAAAACATAAAAACATCAATCCTTAAAAACGTCCCTAAAGGAAGTAAAAATTCATGTTGGGTATTTTCTCCTCACTTTAGTTTATTCTGAACAGTCAGTAAAACAGTATTAATCCAAGCAGGCCATATGCAGATTACTCCATGGGAGGACTGGCACACCTACGATGTGGCAGTCACCTCAGGCACCAGATAAAGGCTTGACTAGTATGCCGCTCTGCAGATGTGCCACCTCCTCTGCCACAAGCTCCTCCAAACCACTGTGTGCCACTCCACCACGCCAGGGCTTCCCTGGGCTGCCTCCAAGCAGCAACAGTGGAAAAGGAGGAGGCAGCAGGTGGTGGGGAGCTGATGAAGCGACTGACAAGGCACCAGGGGCTTTTGCTTCAAGAGGCAAAATGTCCTGCGCTAGCCCTGCTCCATGAAGATTAAATCTGTAGCCCCTGTAGGCAGAATTTTAGGTAACTTTATACAATGTAGTTAAAAAGCTAAAACGGGGCCATGGGTGCAGACAGAAGGATGTTGCAATGCACAATAATCCATTCTGTTTCTGGTGAACCCATGTTAAGAGTAGGCTTAGAATGTGAAGGCTGCTTTGGTAAATGAGGAGAAATGATAAAAGAACAAAAACATCTGCAAGGACTAACTGTACTTCTGTCAAAAACCATGGATGCACTGATTTATCTTTCAGGAGATTTAATGAGCAGTAATGCAAATTGCAGGATTCCTTATAGTCACAAGGCTTCAGTATGATACAAAGTTATATTCTTCAGCCTAATAAGGATAATGAATCCTTTGTGGCAAGTCTGTGCAAAGCTGCCCTAAGATAAAACAAGGGACAACGTCTATCATACAAATCACCATAAGCTTTTTTAAAGTATGCAGTAATGTTTCTTACCTTAAAAACTTAGGCGATACAATTAAATGAGTTTTACAGTTTTGAACTAGAAAAGAATGAGGAAGCCCCAGGTCACCTCATATAAACCCAGAAATTCTATGTCTCAGGCTTGGAAGATGATCCCATCCCCTTACCACCAGTCCTACTCCTTGTCCTAAAATCAACATACTGATTTTAGACACCAAATTTAGAGTGCGTTTCCTCCCCTTATCTATACATTCTTGAAAAGGAGAAATTACAGCTGATCATATATAAAATTGACTTCTGGGGTAATTCTTTTAATTTATTTTGATAGTAACAGACACTACTTTTTTCTGGGGGGACACGGGGGGACACATACCCCTAAACATTTAAGTTCTGCCTCACTGAGGGGCAGTATTTCAATATGAGTAGGAAAATGAGAGTACCCCTAAACATTTTTTTAGAAAAAAACACTAGTAACAGATACAAAATGTATTCATATATTTTTAGTTTACCCCCTTTAAGTCTTTAAATGTAGGATAACATTTTAAACTACAAAACAACAACTGGAAATTAAGAATATAATGTTTCTAACCATGAACTGTAACCAAGGTTTCTTCTTGGTTTACACAGCTTGTGGTTTGTCTGGATTCAAACAAACCACAAACCCATATTCAGACAACACACTAAGCCTTGGCTCACAGCAGTGCAGCAGCAGGACCAGAAGAGCAAAACAGCCACAATTTCCCTCCCAGGAACCCACAGCTTATGTCTTCATGAGAAGCCATAGTTTGGTCTAGTGATACATGCGACCTGAGCCTTAATTTACAAGGATGAGCAGAAAGCTCCCTGGTGGTTTGGTGTGTGTGTGTATACATGTGTGCATGTAGACAGAAATATGTGCACAAGTGTGTGTACATACACACACATCCCAGTACAAGGAAATGCTCCTCTTTGATTCACAAGCATTCTTTTTTGCTTTAATCACGTTATAATGACTTTACAAATATGTTTGCTTGACATTTTTTAAAACGGGATCAGAAAAATGCATGGAGGATAAGTCTACCAAAGGCTACTAGCCATGACAGATATTTTCTATCTTCACTGCCAGAGGCAGTATGCTTTTGAATACCTGTTGCTAGGAATTGCAAGTAGGTTATGTGGGTTCCCATAAGCATCTGGTTAGCCAGCGTGAGAACACAATGCTGGACTGGATGGGCCTTTGGTCTGATCCAGCACAGCTACTGTTATATTCTTGTCCTGAACTCACAAAGTTAGAGCAGGTTACAAATCCAAATAAATGGTCTCTTATGAAAATGTGCCTACTTAAAATAAAGCTGATCATCTCTGATTTAGCCAAAGGACGAAATAACTACACTTTTACGTTCTTCCTTAGGGAAACCAATTCAGCAGTTTGAAAAGCAAGCGTACAAATCAGTGAGATGCGTTATTGCAGGCTCATACTTACATTCCTTGCCGAGAAAGAAGGAATAGAAACAGAGGTGATTGATGCTGAGATAAAGCCATCCCTGCCGAGGAACTTTTCCCTTCCAGCAGCAGCATGAGTAAAAGGTTATCAGTTTCTCTGCCTCGGGGAAGTTAAATCTGGTCTCAAATTTCACTAGTGCTTCTCTGAACTTCTCAGGCTCCTCTTCCTGCTCAGCTAGCTTACTGCTGGTTTCTTCTGCTATTAATGCCTAAGTCAATGGCAAATTAATGCATTAGAGGAGAAACTGAAGTGACCACATGCAACTTAATAGTTACAAGCAACCAAATGATTTACAAGATTTGCTGTTCAACTTAATAGCTTACATTACATATTTAATAGCAACTAATAAATTAAAACTTGGTATAGTGCTTTAAAGCAGGGGTGGTTAATTTTTGGCCACCCCACTGTTGGTGGACTTCAACTCCCATCATCCCTGAGTACTGGCTGGGCATGATGGGAGAAGGAGTACAACAACATGAAAGGGCAAGTTCCCCATCATTTAGAAGAGGGTTTCCCAAACTTGGGTCTCCAGCTGTTTTGGGACTACAACTCTCATCACCCCCAGCTACTAGGACCAATGGTAAGGGATGATGGGAATTGTAGTCCAAAAACAGCTGGAGACCCAAGTTTGGGAAACCCTGTTTGGGAAACATTCAAGGTGCAATTTCAACCATCCTGAAATTAAGTTGGTATTATTCTCATAATACTCAAGAATGCAAAACCACAATTCCTTAAGCGTAGAGTCTGATCATATACCAAATGGCTAATATGTTTCTGCTCCAAGAAATACCCTAGGGCAGGGGTAGGTGACCTAAGCCCCATGGGCCACAAGCAGCCCACGGGGGTCATTTAACCAGCCCGTGAGCCGCCCCCAAACTGCACCGCCTGCACGGCAAGTCCCCACCCACTGCACTAAACCAGTGCAGTGTGGCACAGGGACTTGCTTCTGCGGTGTCGGAAATCACATCTGTGCATGCTCAGACGCTGAAAATTGCAGATGCAGATGCTGGAAATCGTGGCCACGTGGGAGCCAGTGTGGTGTAGTGGTTAAGAGTGGTAGTCTCGTAATCTGGGGAACCGGGTTCGAGTCTCCGCTCCTCCACATGCAGCTGCTGGGTGACCTTGGGCCAGTCACACTTCTCTGAAGTCTCTCAGCCCCACTCACCTCACAGAGTGTTTGTTGTAGGGGAGGAAGGGAAAGGAGAATGTTAGCCGCTTTGAGACTCCTTAAAGGGAGTGAAAGGCGGGATATCAAATCCAAACTCTTCTTCTTCTTCTTCTCATGATCCATCCCAAGGAGGGATCTCTGCTGGAGTGAACCAGCCCAGGCAAAGTAAACCGTGCCAACCCCTGCCCTATGGGAATAGATGTCTCTGCTCCTCAATACTGTTTTGCCCCTTATAAAACAAGTGGAAAGAATGAAGGCCTACCTTTATTTTACCTCTGACAAAGCTAACAATATCTTCTTTATTATCAAATACAGACAAGGTGTGGAGTAGGTTTTGTTCCAGCCACTCCCAGTGATGATTTATTTCCTCGGTTGTGGCACCTGACATAAGAAAGGAAGAGAGGGGAGAACTGAGCAAGATACCAAATGTGGTGAGGAAGGTTTTCAAATTAAAAAGGAAGAATAACACAAAAGTATATTAAAAGTGAGTGTTGTACAAACAAATTCAGACCAATCCAAGAATCTGTAGTAACATACAAACTTTAGTAACTGGCCATGACTTTTTCTGTTTTCGTATCTCTAGTTTAATGCCTGCTTCAATAGCCCTTTGTAGATGTATACCACTATTTAATGCAATTGGGGCAGCAGAACCTGTTATTTCACTTTTGAAGGTAGTCTCTGTTATGGTGAATTACTGTGGTATTTCTTTGGTTATTGTGACCTTTCATTACTGTGGTATTTTTAAAGCAGCAATATTAAAGCACTGAAATATTTACCTGACTACCCAATCCATCAGGTAGACATAATTAAGGGATGGCTTCCTCATAAGGACATTTTGAAGATGAAGCAACTTGGGTTATCTGAAACCTGCCAAATCAGACCAAAAGCCTTTCCTACTCCAGCATCCTGTACCCCACTAGCTGTGTCCAGCCAGATGCCTCTATGAATCTCACAAGCAAGACATGAGGGCAACAGCCCTTTCCTGGTGCTGCTCCCCAGCAACCGTCAGCGCAAAACACAAGGTATTGCTGAGGCACTATCTGCTGAGTTGACTCCAGACTCTTATTTATTGAAGTCTGGTCTATGGCTATTGCAGACTAAAGGGCAGAACAGACATATAATACTATGCTGAAAAAGGAACAGGCACTGAATACCATTTTGAGTGCTTGCCACATGATAATCGGAACACCACACGAAGCCTCCCCGCAAGTAAATGCAGAACAAAACTAACACGTTAGGAAGCAATGTTATAGCCTGGGTCACTTTGTGTTGTGCTCATTTTCTACTTGCAAGGATATTTTCACGTAGGGGAGCATTCTGCAATGGTACAGTCCGCTCTACCACCATATTCTGCTATATGGGTAGGAAAGCCTTCCTACTCATACGGCAAGTAAAAAATGAGCACAACATGAAGTGACCCAGACAGAGACAGGGAGCAATAGAAAATGAATGCAAGAGCAAGAGTGCTACAAAGCAAACAACCATCCACCTACTTGCAGAGAATAAGTAAGGCTACAATCCTGTAGACATGGCAATAGATCCCACTAAATACAAACACCTAAAGTACTGTGTTGTAAATTAGCTGGATTACAGGAAGAGGAGGAAGTAACAGTCACCCTTTCCAGACCATTACCCCAAGTGACAGAGGAAAAAGAGAACATCTGAGGATGGTAGGGGGACAGGTAAACATAATCAGACCCAAGTACTGCAACCATTAAAGATACTGCACATTGCCACACACAGCAGAGATGATAAATATAGTTAAATATTTTTCCACTTTCCTCTGGTAGGTTTCCCACAGAGAATGCCAATTGCAAGGGAAACTTTCCAAGAGTTAACTTCCTCAACAGGAAGACCTCGTGATGGCTCTTGATAAACACTATTAATCAAGATAACTCCTGCTCAAACACATGCACACACACAAAAACATTAGTATTAAAAATGGCATTTGATAGCTTGCTTTAAAAAAGAAAAAAAAAAAAGCTTGCATAGCATTGTTAGAAGCTGTGGAGCTATATCTGACCAATGTTGAACTCAGTGACAAAACAAACAGAACTGCTGCCTCTTACAACACCTTTATATGAAAGAGAAGAGATGGAAGCAGAAAGCTTTCCCACGGAAGTATTTATACATGTATTGATTATGTTTTTATTCCTTGGTATGGGGAAGAATAAGGGGAAGGTAGTAAGGCCCTTATACAAAATGGGGAACAGGCAAGAAGGGTTTGTTTCTTGATCATCCTTAAACTCAATACACAGCAGGGCAAATGTTTAATGCTAATGGAAGGGTTGATATTTTAGTAACTAATATGTTTTGTATTACTAGCAGCTTTAAATTCTGTTGATCTGTTGCTTTATCACTGCAATCTGCTTTAAGTGACTTTTGAGCAAACAACAGTGACATATGGGCTAAGGTGTGTAAATTGACTGATAGGTTATAGTTATATGCTTAATTTTACAACCAGTTGGTTTGGAATTGTTTCATTTGTTGGTTTCATGATTCTGTATGTTGTAACTTGCACCAGGATTGCTTTATGATGAAAGGAGGGACATTAATTTTATAAATAAACAACATCTGCATGCGACCACTGCCAGAGTCAAGTCTCTTTTCGCTTTCATTATGAGCTAAATTTCAACCACTTCTCTTTGTCCAGATTTTCACTCTGTTCCTCTTTCAATTCCATATGTAGTTATTAAATCAAGCAGCTGAATTAATCATTTTGGATTTTCTCCCACTCACCCTCCTATCTCACTGTACAAGATAAGGAGGAAAAAAAAGATTCATTTCTACCTGCAACATAGCATTCAAGATTACAAGCTGGAAATTGCAATTATTTTGGCATTACAATCATTGTGGCATTCCACAGAGTAGGTTTGCAGAATCAGAGGTTGAGAATCATTAAACAGTTCCAGGATGTACAAAATTCAGACTTTTCTATTTCGGCTGTATCTAAAGTTGTGTGGCAAATCTCATTACACTAACAATAGCAGCGTTGTTAGAAACAAGAACTATGAGAGGGCAAAAAAGGAAGATACATAACTGTATCTAGCATCATTACATTGGTCCAAGGAGTAGGAAAGGATGAAGGAGCAGTACAAGTAAGCGGGGGGAGGGGGGGCAACTGACATCTACATAATTATTTACAGGGCTGACCTCATCTTGCCTCTTACAGTACATTCTGAAGTAAAGCAAAGATACCAGAATGCAAGATACACATGTATTATATCAGTTATAAAAACATCACGTGTAACTAACTCATCAACGTGTAACTAACCTTAAAAATACTTGAAATAAGAGGATGGATTATTTCTGGCTTACCACTTCTATTTTAAAGGAAAAGCGCTTCCTGCACATGTGTACCCTTCATCACCAACACAGTGACATATCTAAACCAAGCACAAAAAAATCTAGTCACTTGCAGTGAACGCAAGAGACAATCTCGGTGCTTTTGCCCTTCACTTTCTACAAGAAGGTCAAAGAAGCAGTATACAAAAATCGATCCTCCTGGCTGAGAGAGAGAGAGAGTCCACCTGTTGTTTTCCTGACTGCTATTGTCAAGCCTGGAAACGCTGTTTCAATGCTGCTGGTGGCAGCATGCAATGGCAAGCAAATTTAAATAATTTATGAGCCAACTCCACACTATCTCACGAACCTCTATGTAGCCATAAAATTGCTTCGGCTGCACACTTATGATCGATACAACATTGATCCTATAACTATAAATTAGTATCCTACTAGCTATATAAATTAACTTATCATAATCTTCTGCAGTGAAAAGGCCTTGATTTTCAAGCTCTACTGAGGAGAAAGAAAGGACAGGAGACTGATTCAAAGAGGGTGCTGTAATGCAGCATAGGAAGCTACACACTTTAGGGAGAGGGAACACAAGTATACAAACTGTGGCTGTTTACACGGCACTGTAAACCAGCCAGGGTTGCTGGTTTAATTTGCAGGAGCAGTGTTCTGGTGCATGCTGCCTAATTACTCCCACTTTACTCCTACTCTGTTGCAAGCTGTGGGAACTGGAAAGTGGTAACTGAGCCTGGATTTCAATTGCGTCTGTGCCTGGGATTCTAGTTCTAAACCATGATAGGCCAGAAGTCCTTGTCTACAGTGATGTGAACAACATCCTTGAACAACAGACAGGGGAACCAAACATTATTAACGTTGCTTTCAAATAAGAAACTGAATCATGCTAGTAGCAAATATGGCAAGGCAAGGAATCCTTTTAAACCCAAAGAAAGCAGTAAAATTCCCTACAGCCTTAAAATGCATTCTGCTAATCAAAGGGCTTGAGTAGCTTTAAGAGAAGGAAAATCAGAGTATACTAAACTCACTTTCTCATACCTCGGGTTGAAATAGCTTCGGGTTGAGCGTTTTCAGGTTATGCTCCGTGGCGACCCGGAAGTAACGGAACACTTTACTTCTGGGTTTCGCCACTCGCGCATGCACTCAAAATGCTGTCACAAGCATGCGCGGAAGCTGCGAATTGTGACCCATGCACGCACAGACATGGGGTGCGTTCGCTTCAGGATGTGAACGGGCTCCAGAACAGATACCGTTCGCATCCAGAGGTACCACTGTAATGACAAATAACAAGAATGGGTTGTATCCCATGCTGTTGATTCACTTGCACAACAGATTTTCATTTGTACAATGAACTTTCCCCTGCAGCCCGCTATGCACCCTCAAAATCTGCTCCAGAGCATTGGGGGACCCTACAGAGTAGCTTCTGTGGGTGCACAGGGACAGAATAGGGAGAGGTGCAAATGGAACTAACTCCATGTGTACAGTGTAAGATGCAACCCAATGCCTTCTGAGCGTATGTTACTTGTGTCAAACTTAAAACTGCTACTCTGAAAACCAAGAACATTTGCACCACTTCCAAAAGAATCCTAAGAATAGGCTCTGTGTGAAAGGTGACATGGGTTCTACCAAAATCCAATATGTAGCCCAGGCTTAGGCAAACTTTGCCCTCCAGATGTTTTGGGACTACAATTCCCATCATCCCTGACCACTGGTTCTGTTAGCTAGGGATCATGGGAGTTGTAGTCCCAAAACACCTGGAGGGCTGAGTTTGCCTATGCCTGATGTAGCCCTTTCTGCTTGGATCTGATTAGCCTTCAAGAAGTACCAATGACTTATGGACATAATGGGATTTCCAGAATACTTTCAATGCCAGAGATAATCCATTTTACAATAATAACACTCATTCAGAAAATATATAAAGCATGATACACTAAAGCAGCCAATTTACTATAGAAGCCCCATGTAATGCATCTGTTGCTAGGCTGTACCATTTCAGAATGTAGGGAGGGTCTGAATGTTTAAATACTATCAACATAAACTATCCCCTGCTCATGTATAGAAACCTACCATATTAGGGTGAAGATTATAAAGCCTCCCCCACCCCTTTAACTGTTTCAGCAGTTCCCAGGATACAGAAATGTGCGTGCTCCAGTATGAAAAGCCACACCACTTCCCACAACTGAAAGCTTTGGGCACTTCTAATGTTGTGTCAACAAGCATTTATATTACCCATACATGGAAGTTACAAATTATATGTTGGTTGTTAAATAAGCACTTATGCACACTGCTGTGTTATTAATTTGAGTTACCTTCAGCTTCTTTTACATGCAAACCACAGCATGCTCAGACTTTATTTTTTGTCTGGTATGCAACTCACCAATGGCTATGGCCCAGTAAACTTCTGATCCATTCAATAACTCACCACAAGCTATGGCAGAGTAAATAGGTGATCCTGGAACTTGAAGCAAAATTCGAAATGGAGCGACACGGGCATTAGAATCGAGCACAGCATCCAAAGCACCTACCAAACGACCTAAACAATTATACAAAGGAGAGGAAAACATGTTTTAAAAACAGAATATTCATTATCAATCTAACCTTTTAAAATGAAAATTGCATACTGCTCCTTCAAAATTGACTGACCTAAGAGAAATATGGGCAGAAAGAGTAATAAAAGAAAGCAAAACAAAAAAAAACCAGGTGTACTAAGTTTACAAGGTAACATCTGATTAAAAAATTTGATCAAAGTTTGATAAATTCTGCAATTCAAAGTACTCTTTAGTCAGAACACTTAAACCTTGATTATTATTATTTTTAAAATAGTTCTCATTGAAGATAACAATTGGCTCTTGAGATGCATTAGTTCCAAGACATCACTACTGGCCTATTAAACTACTGTCAAGTCTGAAATGCCAATTCTCTCTATATGTCCAGGACTGAGTCTCATTGCCATATGCGCACACTAGGTATTTTTGTTGGGATTCAGACGCGCTAGTCAACACACCTGATGCTTACAAGCCATTGTACTGATCCCCACTGGCTCACACAGCAAACCAAAGTATCTCATCATGAGCAGAACAGCGGAATGTTTCAAACTCCCATGTGACATGTTGCCTCCGCCCAAGTCCACCCACTGAGACTATGCCTTATGCTTCTGGTTTGATAGTAAACCACCAGACAGGTCTTTAATTTCAGTGGGAATTACTTTCAAGCAAATGTCTGGAAGACTACAACCAGAGATGTGACAAAAATGACAAATCATATCAAAACACCTGTACTAGCATGGGATGGGGAACAAAACCTACCTCACTGCAGAATGCACATATACTTAAACTCAGCTAAAAGGATGAACTGTGGCTTTATTTTATTTTTTTATTACAATAATTAGAAACCAGTTAATTGTCAAAAGTAGTATTCTTTGCACCCCTCAAAGCACTATAGCATCCTGTTGTAGGAAATCAAATGCCAGGCAGGCAGCCGCTGTCAATCAACATGCAGCACAGGCATAAGTTGTATCAGTACCTCAGCCTACATGATCTTAAAACTTGGACACAAGGATGCAGGCTTGACAAGTATCAAAACTGAATTCATCATGGAAAGTCACACATCTACCTACACTTCTCTTTTTTTATTGCATTTAATTCCTCTTCCTCCTACTGAATGACTGGACTCAGCAGCCAGTTCCCCGTTTTATTTTACTTCAAACTAAGCTTTCCATCTCTGGTTAAAACACATGAAACCTTCTGTGTAAAAGGAATTCTACAGTCAACAGAATCTGTGTTTCTGCATACTTTTTTGTTTTTTCCATTTCCCATTGTACAAATTTTACAAATTGAGAATGATTTTGACTTGGTGGCACTTCCCCAAAACCTTCCACCACATTAAATCTAAGGTGTAAAGAATCATGTGGACAGGACAGTAATAATATATTTTGCTGGAAGCTGCCCAGAGATGGGCAGGGTGTTATAATAACAATAACAACAACAACAACAAGAATAATGATGTCAGAAAAAATAATTTCTGAATTGGCCCTTTACCCCAAAAATTGTGCTTGTTTTTGTAGGACATGCAGCACAATCATATACATGTATACTCAGAGGTAAGTCAGAGTCCAGGGAGGCATACTCCCAAATATGTATGCATACGATTGCAGTCTTATGGTTGCAACTAATGAAGCATTCAAAGAAGGACAACTTCCTCCCTACTGTAGCCCTCAGAAGGGGCCTGTAAAGTGAGACAGAAAGAAGGGCTGGATAATTTCCCTTGCCTGATCATCACTGCAGAAGCACTACAACGGATAATGCACTTCATACATTTACAGCCCAATCCTACACAATACCCGTTTACTGAGAAGCCCTACGGGAGTGTTTCTCAAAGACTGGGCTTGGGACCAGCAGTGGGCCACTTTCAGGTGGGCAACAGTGCCACAAACCACCCACTCCCTGCTCATTTCCTAACCCCATAACTGGCCATGCCATAATCTTCTGGTTGGATTGACTGCCCACATGCTGAATAAAAGTGGCCGAAAGACAAGAGAAGCTCGGTTGGAGGGAAAAGAGCCAAATCAGATGCTGAAGGAAATTAGATAGAGGCTAACAACAACAATGTGGGAATAGAAAGGAAGGATATAAGAAAGAAAGCTGTTATGGTGGAGTAAAGGTAAAGGGACCCCTGACCATTAGGTCCAGTTGTGGGGTTGCCCAAGGGAGCCGGCGTACAGCTTCCGGGTCATGTGGCCAGCATGACTAAGCCGCTTCTGGCAAACCAGAGCAGCGCACGGAAACGCCGTTTACCTTCCCACCAGAGTGGTACCTATTTATCTACTTGCACTTTGGCGTGCTTTGAACTGCTAGGTTGGCAGGAGCAGGGACCGAGCAACGGGAGCTCATCCCGTCGTGGGGATTCGAACCGCCGACCTTCTGATCGGCAAGTCCTAGGCTCTGTGGTTTAACCCACAGCGCTACCCACGTCCCTATGGTGGAGTAAGAGACTGTAAAAAGAATGATTTTGTTTTGAGGTACGTATATGAAACAAATTAAGTATGAAAGGTTAAGGGGAGAAGAAGTGACAGGAGATGAGTAAAAATACTTTAAATGGCATGTGGGCAGAGGGAAAATATAAAATTAAACGCCTTTTTCACTTAAAGTCTCTGGATTTTCAAATTCTGCCTAAAATGGAGAGGTTGAATCATGATACCTACACAACCAATGTCTGTGCTTTGCCTGAAGAAAACTGAACTATGAAATTCTATCCCCTTGCCACAAGGAAATTGCAGTTGTTAAGGAGAGATTAGATATCAGTGATGCCAGCAATTACCAGCTGATCAGGAAAAACTCAGCTTCCATCCACCACCATTTTGTTATTGGCACCACCCCAGACTTCTACTTCATGAATTTGTCTAATCCTTTTTTTAAAGCCATCTAAGTTGGTGGCCATCACTACATCTTGTGTAAGAGAATTACATACTTAAACTGTGTGCTGTGTTAAAGTCTTGTTCCTGGTCGGTCACCACCAGTTCAGACCCCATGAGCATATATGCGAAATTTAGATATATATTTTTGCCCCCCAACTGCAATATTTTATACTTGTTTACACTGAGTTGCATTTGCCATTTTAATGCCCATTCACAATCCCTTTTTAAAAATCACCCATAGCATTTTGATCACATCAGCAAACTTGGCTACCTCACTGCTCACCTCTTTACAGTCTAAACCATTTAGGAACAAGTTAAAAAGCAATGGTCCCAATACCTATCCTTGGGGACTCCGCCTTCAACATTCCTCCATTTGGAGAACTGGCCATTTATTCTGGCTCTCTGCTTCCTTTTTTCTTAAAAGCAAAGGGACCCCATACCATTAGGTCCAGTCGCGGACGACTCTGGGGTTGCGGCACTCATCTCGCCTTACTGGCTGAGGGAGCCGGTGTTTCCGGGTCATGTGACCAGCATGACTAAGCTGCTTCTGGCAAACCAGAGCAGTGCACGGAAATACCGTTTACCTTCCTGCAGGAGTGGTATTTATCTACTTGCACTTTGATGTGCTTTCAAACTGCTAGGTTGGCAAGAGCTGGAACTGAGCAACGGGAGCTCACCCCTTCTGATCGGCAAGCCCTAAGCTCTCTGGTTTAACCCACAGCGCCACCCACGTTTTCGTTTTTCTTAACCAGTTACTAATCCACAAGTGAACCTCTCCCCTTTTCCCATGCCTGCTAAAGCTTACTCAGGAGACCTCAAGTACAATGAGACATATTCACAACTAACTGCACATAGGATTTGTCTTGTTTCATTAAACTGAACTTTAAAGTTCGTACTGGCTTGGAGTCTAAAAGGCAACAGAAAATCTAGAAATATCAGTCTCACACCATTTTACACAAGACACCTGGTCGATGTATTGTGATGTTTAAAGTATTGCCAAACCACCAAGGATTTGCACACCTTAGTAACAATGTTGGGAAATATCTATTTGGTTACTCAATCTGCACAATTCCAGTAATGCCTTTCCAGTTACTCAGCAGCAGCAGCTCTGGGACTTCACATGTACCTGTTGAAAATACTTGATCTACTTCATTGTCCTCATTTACATCTGGAATATTAATGGAAATTGAAAATACAAGAAATCCTCTAAAGCAAGACAGACACAAGTTTTTCTCCTTAGATATCCTGTATTTCCCAACCTTAAAAAAATACTAATATTTGAAGCAGCAACATCTGTACACATTTTGCACTATCAAAGTCCTGCAAACCATACTGTGTGTGCCCATTAAGTATCTATACATAAACCTGCAGGCAAGAGAAGGCTATTTACAGACCTTGCAACCGCACAGACAATCCCTGCTTTACAAGGAGCTGCATGTAATCTGATATGCTACATAACTGCCTGATTAGGTCTGCTTACATTTTTTTAGCTTCTGTGCTAGAAAGCTGTGGCTGCAAGCAGAGGGTGGGGAGCAGACATGCAGCCAAAGGGACTACAGAAAAGACTTTACAACCTGGAAAAAGGAGACAATGCGCGTACTTTTGTAAAACAAGAAAATCTTTAATTTTTTGTTTTTTGTTTTGAGAGACTAAAGAACAGCTAAAGAAATCTTTGAAGTTTGAGCTGATGCAATAGAGACTGAGCTACCAATAAGGAAGTCCCAAGTTCAATTTGTGCTTCTGTTCCCTTAGCTGGCCTTGGGCAGGTTACTGTCTCACACCCTCCGCCCCCTATTTGCCATATGGGGGATAATAATACTTATTAGACTTCCAGGGTTATTGCAAGGCAAGGATTGCAGATAGATAATGTAGTTTTCAAATATTCAAATTGCCAAGCTTTATTATTTCTACTTCAGCCACACACTCTGCTGATCAGAGAAAGGTCTTATGTGTGTCTGTTTTAGTAACATGATTCTTCAGCTATGTGAAGCAGCAGGGACTTCAAAGACATTGAAACACCATGTGCATTTATTCCCCTAAACACGATCTTCTAAGAATTCAGCCATTAAAGTTCTAGTGGAAAATATGGCTTTAACGTATCTCTTCTGAGGAAAAAAAGTGACGAGAACACTTGACATTTTATTTGAAAAAATTCTGGCAGGGTAATGATATTAGTCTATTTCAAATAACAAAAAACTGCCCAGACTGCTACATTAACTATTTTACATTCAATTTAATCTCAGTTACATAAACACACACTCCAGTGAAGGGATACAGATTGTGATAATCATATTAGTTGGATAAGATGTCATTAATTTTTTATTCACCTTTCAAAATACTAGATTCTGTAGTTTGAAAAGTATCTTTACTCATATTTCTTATCCTATGTAGATAGAAAGTATCATAAGACCATTATAGTTCATAAATATATTTATAGTTCATAAATATGACAATCACACATTTTTGTATAATTAATTGCATATATGAACATAGTATAAAATATACGGTACTTGAGATTTTAAAGTTCCCAAACCCAAACGAAGCTTCCAGGCCTCCAGTAATTAAATTGTCCTCTTCAAACAGCTACCCCACCTCATGTTAGCTAACCACATTTAATCCACAAAACCTTACTTTGTCAAATTCTCCATAGGCAGTATCAAGTATGCTTTACTATTTTAATGCCAGAATTATTTTAAAGGAAAGGCAGCTCAAATTGTGTGGTTTCTCTATATAAAGGAGATAATTAACAAACCTTCTTTCTTCCCCTGTGGACAACACCTACCTACCTTTGAACCACAGTCAAGGTAACTGCAGCACTCACATATTCTTAAATTTTGACATGGTGCTCACTTTAGCCAGGGTTTCAACATACTCATGATAAAGCAGTCATGAGGACATTTTATCTTGAGTAGCAGAGAGGTATTTCAACATTGCCATTCAACTCACTTTAGCAAGGTACTGTATTTTTCGCCCTATAGGACGCACTTTTCCCCCTCCAAAAATGAAGGGGAAATGTGTGTGCGTCCTATGGGGCGAATCCATGCTTTCGCTGAAGCCTGTAGAGCGAGAGGAGCCGACCCCTCTCGCTCTCCAGGCTTCAGGAAGCTATCCGCAAGCCTTGGGAGCCCGCGGGAGTTCCCGCCGAGCTCCCTATGCTTGCGGATAGCAGCCTGCACCCCGAAGCCCGGGGCGTGCTGAGCAGCACGCCTCGGGCTTCGGGCAGATATCCGCAAGCCTGGGGAGCCCGCAGGAGTTCCCGCTGGGCTCCCCAGGCTTGTGGATAGCAGCCTGTTCTGGGGGCTGGGGAAGCTCGGGCTTCCCCCACCCCAGCCCCACGCCTGGGGGGGGGGGGGAAATAATTTTTTTTTTCTTTATTTCCCCCCCAAAAAACTAGGTGCGCCCTATTGGCCGGTGCGCCCTATAGGACGAAAAATACGGTACTTGTTTTGAAAAAGAACAATTTAGTGCTTGGATTATAGGGGGCAAGGTAGGGGAATCGTTAATAAATCTCACAAACCTCCCTCTGACTCACGGTGGTTAAAACTTAAAACATTCACCCAATAGCCTTTTGAAAATAGCAGCTAAAGACAACAAATTAAACACCCACCTGGTAGCCAAAGGGGATCAAGAATCCAATGCAGGTAAATGAGTGAACTGGTGAAAGAGAAACAGATCACTTCATTTCATCTGCCAATTCAGTTGGCTTCTTTGGCAATGGCAGAGGAAGAAAAGCCCCTTCCCTTTGTAACCAACACAGAAATGCAGTGAGCTTGTGAAGGAGAATGGATCTCTCATCCCAGTCCTCTTGGGAAAAGGCAATGGAAAAAAAATCAGCCCACCAACCAGCGGCGGCTAAGAGGGCTTTTCCTCCTCTGCAGCCAGTATGGAAATGGGCTGAGAGCCTCTTGGCATGCTAACAAATTTCTTTTGGAGGATAGTAAATTTGTGGCAGGGGACGTGGGTGGCGCTGTGGGTTAAACCACTGTGTCGCTTGGGCTTGCCAATCGAAAGGTCGGTGGTTCGAATCCCTGCAAGGGGGTGAGCTCCTGTTGTTCGGTCCCAGCTCCTGCCAACCCAGCAGTTCGAAAGCACGAAGTGCAAGTAGATAAATAGGTAAACAGCGTTTCTGTGCGCTGCTCTGGTTTCGCCAGAAGCAGCTTAGTCATGCTGACCACATGACCTGGAAAAACTGTCTGCGGAAGCGGACAAACACCAGCTCCCTCGGCCTGTAAAGCGAGATGAGTGCCGCAACCCCAGAGTAGTTCATGACTGGACTTAATTGTCAGGGGTCCCTTTACCCTTTCTTTTGTGGGCTTAATTACAAGAGGGGATATCCCAAAGGAAGGGATACTCCTGTCATCTGTGCACTGGCACAGTTGATACATGTGTGACAAACTGATTATATTATTGCTCACCATAAGCAAATTGCATGTTCAATCCAATAGCAAGCAGTCTCACCCCAAGCAGTGGTGAGAACCAGTGGTGGTACAGTAGTTAAGAGTGTCGGATTAGGACTTGGGAGACCAGGGTTCAATTCCCCACTCGGCCATGAAGCTCACTGGGTGAACTTGAGCCAGCCATTGCCTCTCAGCCTAACCTACCTCACAGGACGGTTGTGAAGATTAAATGAAGAGCGAGGGAACTGTGAAAGACACCTTGAGCTCCGTGGAGAAAAGGGTGGGATATAAATGCAACAAATAATTAAAATAAGTAACCTGAATGGCAGTCCGACTCTGATCTCAGCTTCAACTAGAAGACATCTGAATAGATATATCACAAAATTATAGAACTGTAGAGTTGGAAGGGACCTCAAGGGTCATCTAGTCACCCTCTGCAATGCAGGAATTTTGGCTAAAGCATCCATGACAGATGGCCATCCAACCTCTACTTAAAACCCTCCAAGGAAGGAGAGCCCACAACTTCCCAAGGGAGACCATTCCACTATCAAACAGCTCTTACTGTCAGAAAACGCTTCCTGATGTTTAGTCAGAATCTCCTTTTCTTGTAACTTGAAGTCATTGGTCCGAATCCTACCCTCCAGACCAAGAGAAAACAAGCTTGTTCCCTCTCCCATGTGACGGCCCTTGAGATATTAGAAGATGGCTAGCATATCTCCTATCAGTCTCCTCTTTTCCAGGCTAAACCAATATCCTGCTATTGGTTTCGTAATAACTGTATTTGTGCGTTCCTCGCTCTACCTTGGCATATCCATGCATTTTGAAAGCACGTTCATTTTTTAAATATTAAAGATAAGCAACTATATGAAAGTCATAACTGAGAGAGAAAAATAAGAGCAAGTAACTAAAGAGGTTTCAGGGTTACAAAATCTTGCAGTCTTCGGCCCCCCCGTCTTTCCAATGCCACACAGTGAATTCAGAAAACCTGTTTAACCAGTTTCCTTAGTCTTTACCTTACAAAAGACAATACCCTGAAGAGCCTGGACCAAGGGGTGTGTGTTGGGGGGTGGGGAACAACTATGACAAAAGTTTTAATAGGATCTAGGACTTACAGATGTTTTTAAAGTCCTCACAACACTTTTTCTAAGGACCAATAATAGCACTGTTTTCAATTTAAGTTTATGCTGTCATACTTGGATCTCTTCAGGTAAAAAGCTGAAGACAGAAGTTATAGCCCCAATATTTCCAGGCTAAATGTGAAAAAGGTCCCATATGTAGAGAATCACAGCTAATAATAATAATAATATTTTATTCATATCCCACCCATCTGGCTGGGTTTCCCCAGCCACTCTGGGCGGCTCCCAACAGAGGACTAAAAACAGGAAAAAAATCAAACATTAAAAACTTCCCTAAACAGGGCTGCCTTTAGATGTCTTCTAAAAGTCAGATAGTTGCTTATTTCCTTGACATCTGATGGGAGGGTGGGCGGGCTCCACTACCGAGAAGGCCTTTCTGTGGATAAAAGGAGGGAGGGAGTGAAAAAAACCCAAATGCCAGGATTTTTTTAAAAGCATACCTCACTTTTTAGATGTGTCAGCTAAGTGTATAGGATATGAAGCATTAGGGTAAGACTTCCACATTTAAAAAACAACTTAGGTCCAAATTAGGTGAACCACAAATTGCTTGTTCAATGTATTCCGTGGAAGAAGCTATGCAAGGCAACCTGAGAGCCCAGCACAACTGTAGGGAAGATCCCCATTCCAAGGCAGAAGAAGACTGGCTTTGTCACTATGGTATAACTAAGCATCTCTGAGCACCTACATGACAACAACAGGGCACTCCCAAGGGAGATGCACCTCTTTCATAAAAAAGAAGTAATAGTCACTACCTCCGTGATCTCCCTGGCTTTGAAACCAAAGTCATAGCTACAGAATTTCTTTAGAGTAGCAAAGTATCACTCCAAATCTGCTGGTCTCTCCCAGCAACTCATCCTGGTTATTATTCCTATTCCCAAATTGGATAAACCTGCAATGGAAACTACCCAGATTTTTCAAAACACTTAGTAACTTCCAAAGTTCTAATTTAATTATTTTGTTAGTGCCAAGATAAAGTGTGAGAGAAATGATAAGGCGGAAATAAAATTAAAAACAGGCCTATATTGCTTCTGAATTTAGTTTCAGTAATTCACCATGTACAATAGATATAGTATAGACATTTCGCCAATACTTCCTTCAGTGCAAGCCCTGTGGTAGAGAAGTATCTGGGTTGAGAAGGGAAAAAGAGGATCCCATAAAGGAGGTGGTGGTTCATGGGAAGCATTGCTGAGAAAATATTTATAGTAGAGTATGCAAAACTTGTGGCTTTTTCTACTAGTCTCACTATATGTAAACTAAAACCAACAAAAATTACATGAGAAATTTTGGTATCCTTCTGAATAGTTATCTGTGTTTCTTACTGCTGCCTTGGCTGATGACAAAGTATTATAACTTGCACCCCAGCTATACTTCGTAAGTTATCAACTTCAGGTGGAGGTGTGAAGGAAAACAGGCGATCTTATTACTGTAAGTATTAACTCTTAAGATGTTACAGTTAAAGATACAAATCAAAGAGTGATTAAGGAAATTTTTCTCATCTCTGAATTCCAGTAACAGACAGGTTTAGAATTAACATTTTGAAAAGCCATGAATGTTCCAAAGTTATTTGTAAGCATAGTTTTCTGTGATGAAAGGAAAATATTATAAAGCTTTTGAAAAGGGTCATTGATAAGAAAATTAGGACCGTATTGAAATATTTTAATCAATTTCTACCAATAGTATCACATTGTCCTCCCTTGTATAATAACTTCATAAAAATAGTAATAAGTTGTAACTAAGTTTTTGATGTTTTGAAACACAAAGAAAACAGAACAATAGTCTGTAATAATGCTACTTTATTTTTAATAGCTACAAATCACTGTAGCACCAACTTGGAAAAGACATAATTACATAATATAGTTTGGGAAAGGGTAAGGAGAGGAAAAAATAAAGCACAAGCACTAAGAAAAGGAAACCACCATGGAAGGCAACTCTCAAGGAAGAACAAAATGACTCTATCAAAATCAAGATAATAAAAAAGCCCAACACTGTTCAATATAATGTTACCTGGGAGCAACAAGATCTGACATTCCAAAATAAGGATAAAATCCTTTCTAAAAGCAATACCTCCCAAATAACCTTCTCTGAAGGAAAGATATAAGATACCTCTACTCCCAAGGAAGATTTTATTGAAATGTATTGGATTTTTAAAATAATGTTGATTCTGGTAGAATAACATTTCCTATCTAGCTGCAGCTTATTTGAGGCTTGTCTCTTTTTTGTGATAACTAGGTGCACAAACCTTAAAGTCAAGAACTGGGATTTAAGTCAATTTATACACACTAACTTCACATGGACTAACTAACATGTCGATCAGCATCAGAGAATCAAGGCTGCTTCTAGACTGGTGGCTCCTAGCTCTACTCACTATCAAATTATTGCTCTTCCACTATAAGCTGCAAGTGGAACTGCAGTTTACTTTCCAAGCTGGCATCACACCTAACCCCTGTGACGGGTACTTCATCACCCTAATTTTTAAATCAGTATTTTAATTAGACCTAAAATACTTTTATGCCTATTTCATTTTATGAAAGAAAGGTATATACCACCATAATGGTGATGAACTTCTCATCTTTCCTCCCATGTGTTCCCCTGAAAGCAGTATCTCTGTCTGGAATTCTCCAATTTTGCTTATTCTCATCTCACAACACCTTTTAATGTGTTTGGTATCAAAATACCTTTCCTTTGCTGGCAGCAATATTGCTTCCAACAGCACAATCCTACACATATCTACTTGGAAATGTGCACCATTGGGTTCAATGGAGTTTATACCATATTATAAAATTGCAGCCTAATTGTTCTGGATGCAGAGAAATGTCCCTAAGGATCTTATTTCTGCGGGGGGCAGGGCGGAATGACTTCTTATGCTTCTTATCTAGACTTGAGATTTAATTAGACAGAACAATTGTTTGAGAGTGGACTAGACCATTTGTCAAATTCTTCTCTTTAAAACGAAATTAAAAAATTCCTTCCAGTAGCACCTTAGAGACCAACTAAGTTTGTTATTGGTATGAGCTTTTGTGTGCATGCACACTTCAGATACTTCTTCAGACAGAGAGAGAGAGAGACAGACAGACAGACAGAGAGATGCAAAGGACAAAGTTCTTTGACCTTTAATAGCTTTGTAGAAGGTATTTTGGTAGGTGTGGCTTTTTACAACTGCATAACAGGCTCAACCAGCAAAAAAACCCTCCTTTTGTGCTACTATTAAAAACATAGAAGCCCCATCTTCTTTTACATATAGTCACCCTAAAAAGATGTGAAAAACCAGGCATATGGTAAAAAAGTGAAGTGGAATTAAATGTGGGTCTTGGGTCTGAGAAGTTGAAGACTATAAGGCTAAATTACTATTTATAATCAACAGTTTGGGTGTGGAGAATCTTGACATTTTGTAATGATCAGTATTAGATTTTATCTGTGGAACTGTTTCCATTGCTAAGGACATGCCTATGATAATAAAAAAGGAAATAAACTCCCTAAAGGATCAGTTGAAATAAAAGGCACATGCTATAAATAGACATTTTTACACAAGAAAAGTTTACAAACCTAAATAAAACTAGAAACATTAGCCATTAAGGAAGTTTAGGAATCAAAGGATTCGGGCTGAATTACTAAATCACCATGTTATTCTGAACTTAAACTTATGGAGAGATCAGGTGACAAGATTCCCCCCCCCTCCACGAGACTGCAAAACTAATGAGTACATAAACAAAATTTAAAACGGGGGGGGGGGGGAGGCTTTCATTATTTATTTATGGCTGGGATTCATGTTAACCTTTTATTGATTTCTAGTACTGATGATTAAAAATAATGTTTTTGTTCTATTTATCTATATCCTCACAGTCAAATTTAGATTTAAGCAGCACAAGTGGAACGTACTTCTGAGTAAATACACATAATTGTGCTGCTAATCACTCAAACTTCTGTATAAAAAAAGAATGCCATTAAATTAATATTATGTACTCTTTTCCACAGTGAACGCCAAAGATGGAAAATATTTTTGTTCTAGAACACTACCATTGTTTTGTTCATTTGACTCTTATTTTGAGAGTGTTTTCTTTCTGGGACAGAAAACAAATGGAGAATAAAAGGGCAATTTGATAAGACAAAGCTAAAACCCACTTGGACTGCCTAACGCAAACCATATAGTAGCTTCCATAAAAACCCTAAAAAGTATGATCTACCAAAGCAACTTTATTTTTCAACTTCACACCCTTAGGCTCAGTGGCACAGTCATAACGTTTGTCAGTTATTAAGATACTTCAGTCATTGGACAGGGTCTCTAGCAGCTGAGAGACTATTTTTAGATCTGAAAATTAATCTCTCTTAACACAGCAATTAAAAGGGGCAAATGGAAAAGAGAGAACAAACAACCAAATTCTATGTATATTCCGTGGGAGAGCAAAAGAACGTGGTGAAATACGGAGACCAGTAAAAACCTCCCAGACAGGTTAAGCAAAGGCATAGCTTTGAAAGTGAGATACTGGGAGCACTGGTAGTTAAAAGTTCAATAGTAAAGTTCAACAAGTCAAAAAGTCCACATCAAGTCTGACTCATGCATGCCTTATGAGACTTCTAATGTCAAACACCATTTCATCAAAAATGTGTCTCAAAATTCTACAAATGTGTTATGCTTTACCCATGTCAATGAATGTAGACTGTTGTTTCTTGTTTCTACATTACGTTTCCCTTGTTTCTACTTTTCATTTCATCACTAACACAGCAAGTAAACCCAATATAATGGTATCAAAACCACAGAGTGCTGTATACTTTTTATTATGAAACACATATACATCATGTTGAGTGCCTCTGGAAAACCAGGTTTGATGCTTAAATTCTAACAACTCAAAATTAAGGGCTCGAGTCAATCAAAGATAAAAACTGTTAAGCACAACACATTTCAGACCAAACCTAAGTAACGGATTGGAGACTCTCATCATCCCTGAACATTAGCCAAGCCAGCTGATGTTGATGAAAGCTGGGCCCAAAAACACCTGAAAGGGCCAAAGCTTCCCCAACCCCAATTTAAGTACACCCAACCATCCTAATATGCACACTATTCTTGTTGGTTTTTTATGGTATATAAAAGCAAGGGAAAGGAGTAGGAGATCTGGAGCTCCTAGGCTGCCTCCGTATAACACCAGTGGGAGAAAATAGTGGTGGTAGGGATGGTATTTTGGCCTTTTCTTTAGGGGAGGGGGAAGAGTAATGAGAGGATTTGTTGGAAAAGGAAATACAGCATTTAGCTCTGGGAAGGAAATAGATTTAGAGTGGAATCTGGCCAACCAGATGTCTCTGGAAGCTCACAAGTAAGAGCAGGCAAAGGAACTTCCCTTTTGATCGTCTCTAGTATTCAGATGTATACTGCCTTTGGAGAGAGATTCCATTTAGCTATCACAGGTAATAAGCATTATTTTCCAAGAATCTCTTATTCATTTTGTAAAGCCTTCTTAGTTTGTGGACATTGCCATACCCTGAGGCAGTGAATTCCATCAGTTCAATTATGTGGAGTGCAGCTTAATTTCATGTATCTGATGGAGCAGATTGTGGTCCAGGAGCAATTCAGAGCATGGCACTGCAGTAAATGTTGGGTTGGGAGTGGGTACAGAACATTATGTTTAGGGGTTTGGTAATCAGACCCCAACTATGGGCGGTATTTAACTAAGTTTCATTCAGAATAGATATATTGAAATCCATGGAGTTAATTGAGTCAGGTTCATTAATTTTAATGGATCCACTCCGAGTAAAAATTAGTTGAATGCCACCCTATCTTCTGTAGTCAGTTTATGCTTAAGAGGCTTGTCTCTCAGGCTTGACTGCTTGCCTTCTGTAAGTGTGTTGTTTTGTTAGTCTGAACAGCAAATGTGAGGTCAAAGGTACAGCCAATGGCATTTAGGGCCCAGACAGTATCTTCTATTCTATTTTGTAGCCTTAGGTAAGGCACTTGCTTTCATCTTGTTCAACATTCTAGACTGACTCAGACCACTGGCGCATCTATTTTGGTATTATCTACCTCCCAGACTGTGATTCGTGGACCACCAGTGGTCTGCAGCATATCCATATTGATTTCTACATTTTTATTGTTTCTTTTTAAATATTGTGTTTTATCGCATTACAATTTGAGTTCTATGGAAAGTCAATGTCAATGCAATAAATTACAATATGTAAGATATAAAAGCAGCAATAAAAATACTATTTAAAATCATCTAGTGCAGCACATTACAACTGCTGCAACAGACAGAAAAATCATCAAGTGGTCCACTGAGACCATCAGCAATTTTCAAGAGGTCTCTGGGAGGAAAATAATAGAATCCTAGAATAGTAGAGTTGGAAAAGTGTGGAAACCACTAGTCTATGCCAATAGTCTTCAATATTTTCAGACCTGGCACTCACCTTTAACCCAAACATGCATTTGGAGCCCATTTCTCAATTTTTTTTACCATGTATCTGTATGCTGGAAGTGCTGTATTGCAGCCCATCTGAGATCAGACTGCAACCCAGTAGTGCATCCTAACCCACCAAGTGGACACCAATAGTCTGACTGGCAGCGGCTCTCTGGGGTTCAGATAGAGCTCATTCCCCAATTCTACCCTGGAGATGCTGGGGACTGAAGCTGCAACTTTCTGCATGCAAAGCAGATACTCTACCACTGAGCTATAGGCCCAGATGTTGTAGGACAGATTGGACTTCTAGCATCCCCACATTTTGAAAGCACTAACTTACCCTGCTGCATGTTCAGTGTGATTTGATTGCATTACAGGCTGGACCTGCACTGGGCCATAAAAGTTATTATTAACAACTGTTGCTTAAAAAAAATAACAAAATGATCTGCACTGCTTATTATTACAAGTACAGTGGTACCTCGGTTTAAGAACAACCCTGTTTACGAACTATTCGGTTTACAAACTCCGCAAAACTGGAGGTAGTGTCCTGGTTTGTGAACTTTACCTCGGTCTAAGAATTGAATCCGAACGGTGGAAGGGCACTGGCGGTGGGAGGTCTCGTTAAAGAAAGTGCGCCTTGGTTTAAGAACGGTTTCGGTTTAAGAACGGACTTCTGGAACAGATTAAGTTCGTAAACTGAGGTACTACTGTACTCAAATGTGAAGAAAGTCCCAGAAGCATAATTGCTTGGTTTCCTGAAAAAGTTGTACTGGCGCTTCAAGGTTAGAAATACTTATCTTGCCTGATTGCTACACAGGCATTCTGTACTGGAATTGTGCCTGTAGTTACCCAATAGTGGAAAATCTAAGGGACTTTCAGAAGGAAAACCAGTAGGCCATTATCTTCCAAAGCACCAATATATTAACAGAAATGTCAACATAATTAAACATGCCAGCAGAGTTTATAATATTAGCCTACATAATTGTACAGCAGAAATGTACTGCTGAATGAATTCACCAGAAGTTTTATGAGTGTCTTACAATGCAATCCAATATTTGTCTGCTCAGAAGTAAGTTCCGTTGGGATAAAGGGAACTTACTATTCACTTGAAAATGGACAGGACTGCAGCCCTACTGTTTATCAACACCTGTGGCCCTCCAAATTCTGTTGGACTTGCAACTCTCATCAAGCCCTAGGCAACTCTGCCTAGGTCAGGGATGACAGGAGATGTAGACCCACAATGTCTAGTTGAGTCTAGAGGGTCACGGCTTCCCCATCCCTGATTTACACACTCAAGGGATAATTAAGCAATAATTAAGACTTTGGGGGCACTCATTTCACTCTCCAACTTATGATTCCCCTCCCTTTCCCAAATAATCTGTCCCATATGGAAAAATGTCCTTCATGTTTTGTTTTTACTACAGTATTCGTCTTTTCTATTATGCCACCATTAAATTAGCTCAAATAAAACAATGCTTATTAGCTTATTTATGGACATCATTGTGTTCTAAATACCAAATGAAGCACTGCTTTAAAACCTTATACACAATATATACAGCCCTGCCCATGCTGTTCCATATGGAGAGTCCTAAATGCAGAGCTCTTTTCAAAATGTCACGTATTTTTGTTTCAAGCCGCAGTCTGTCTTAAATATAGCCTTCCACTGCCTTCTTATTCTACATATCTTATCTTGGCAAACTGGTAAAATCCAGCATCTCATGGGCTCAGGCTAAGCTCTTCCACGTTTTCCCTCTCTATCGGATTTCCTTCTTTCTCCCCCATTAACAACAGCTGCCGCAGGCACCTGAACAAAAAACTCGAGTTGAATCCCACTCTGAAAACAATGGATTTGTTCAGAGGACAGAAACCTTTTATCATACGCCAAGAGGCTTAGCAAAAAAACAAAATATGGGCAAGGGGAGCTTCTATCTGCACGCAGGTTACAGCTCCTTCCTCTACTCCACAGTGACTTTTTCCAACTATAAGGTGTGGGGAAAAGTGACTATTTGCAATCCACAGCCGGGGAGGGGGGGCAGAGGTAAGAATTCAGGTTGTCCCTGAACAAAGAGCCTGGTTTCTCCCCCCCCCCCCGGTCCATCTCCTTCCCCCCACCTCAGGGTGCAGGGCAGCAGCAAAAGCTCCTCCACCCAGTCCATCAAGGTAGGGGGTGCCCCCTCACACTATGGGAGTTACTTCCTCCTCTTCCTCAGTCCCGACCAAGGAGTCAAAAGACGACAGAAGTATAAAAGAAAAGCAACAAAGAGAGAGAGTCCCCACTTTCGGGGAGGTCTGGAGAGGGATCCTCCTGGAGGCTAATAATAATATCGCGGCCACGACAGACCCACTCCTTTCCCCCCGGAGGGCTTGGGAAGGCGAAGGGCGGCTCGCACTTCCACGCCTGCCGACCTGTAGACGAGCTTTCCCGGCGGGGGTCGCGGCCCGCTTCCAGCCCCGGCCAAGCCCCTCTCCCGCCGTTTACCGGTGAAGCGCCCGCCGCCGCCTCCGTGGCCCCGCCGCCGCTGCAGCACGAAGTAGCCGCTGCTCTTCTGCGTGACCCACAGCTTCAGGGCGTTTTTCAGCAGCACCTCCTCGGGCTTCAGCCACATCTTGACGCCGGCCAAGCCCCTCCGCCGCCAGGGGTCACATCGCCCGCTCCGCCGCCGCCGCCGCGGGACCCCGCCGCCCGTCCACTCGCCGTCGCCGGCGGCAAGGCGAAGGGGGCGCCCTCCGCCAACGCCCGCCCCGCGGGGAGGAGCTCGGCGCTGGGCCCGAGAGCCTGCTCCTCCTCCCGGGGGAGCGGCTGCTGCTGCTGCTGCGGTTGCCTGAAGCGAAGGGCGCCCTCGTCCTCCTCCTGCCGCCTCAGAGGAGTTTCTCCTCAGAAACGAGAGAGGGAGAAGAAACCTGGCCTGGCCTTTCCAGGACGGGTGGGGGAAATGGGAGCGGGAGGAGCCGAAAGAGGAAATCCCCTGCCTCGTTTCCCCACACCGCCCGGCCTTGGCTTCTTCGTCCCGGCCGACCTAGAGCAGGCGCGCCCTGCAGTAGCTGAGGGAAAGAGGAGGCAACGCCGCCGCCGATGGCGGGGACGTTTTCCTGGCGTATAGGACTAATTGCCTCCTTAAATCCCAGAGGCGTGGAGGTTGAAACGCCCACGGGGCAAGAGCACGTGCAGAATGCGCGCTTACTGGGTGGGTTATGTTGGGCGTGCGTGTAACTAGGGCACTGCTTCCTAGGCAGAGAGAGAAGAGGGTAGGTGGCTTTCAAACCTTGGCACACCTCTTTCTTTCTTTTTTTTGGAAAAGAGCCCGTGGGAATGGGACTTCTGCGAGAATGCTGAGACGACAAATCCGTCGAGGGGATTTTGAGAAGTTACTTTAAACGCACCTTTTGTGAATGTAAACTATTGTGAATGTAAAGCTTCTTTCTGCCAGCCGGAATGTTTATTTGACGTTTTAAATGGCTCTCTTCCGTTTTCTAACATTCCCAAATAGCTAGAGGGAGGCTCCGGTATGGTTTTACTTTAATGTGCAAAAATGCACATTATATCTACCACACTCATGAAAAGAGAACCGTGATGATCCATCACAACCATGGGAAAGGGAAGAACTGCATGGTGTGAAACATGTCCAATGCCCATGGGGTTCAGCAATGGTCCATCAGGACCTTTTTCTGAGGCTTGTTCATTAGGAAGAACCAGAATCGCCACAGAGCAATATGCCCCCATCCTATCTCAGCCAGGTGGCTCAGAAGGACTTCATAGTTGATCATTATGAAAGCTGTTGAGAAGTCAAGCAAAACTGTCCAGGACAAGGGTTACCAGTGCAGAGTGTGTGGCACTACTTTGCCCACAGAATACTTCCCTGGCACTCACAGGGTCCCCTTCTCCTGCTGAAATCTAGTTTGAAAGATGCATTCTATTGCAACCAATAAAATTGGATGTGGTGTCTGCTTGGTTGTAGTATGTCTGTGGTTTGACTTATTGTATTTCTCAGGTTTGCACAGAGAGTTCTGGAGTTGGAAGAGACCTCAAGGATCATTTGTCCAACCCCCTGCAATGCTCCCACAAGCCAGAAGAAGCTGACATTTGCCCCCTACTCTAGAGTGACCAAGGTTGCCTCCATCCTAAAACTGAGTTGGAAATGGATCTAGATAATCAGTATTATCCAAAAATACCTGGCACTGGACCACCACACACTTAAGCATCTTGCCCCAAAACCACATGAAATGACATGGTAACAATCCAGAACTCCAGGATCTAAAGAAGGCTTATTTGACAAAGCTCTTCCCATACATACCTTCCTTTAAGGTAGCAAGTCTCATAGTCATCATCTAAACTTTTCTGTTCTGTCTTTCATTAAACATCCCATTGTGGTTTACAACAATATTGAACAAACTCAATTAAGCAATAAATACAACAAGCAACTGCCAGAAAAATCACAAGAAGCTAGGTTGGTAATGATCAGCAAATGCTTGGGCAAACAGCTGTATTTAAGAAAGCACCAAAAATGCATCACAACTGGCTTTTATTGTAGAGGGGAGCTTATTCTCAGTGCCACAACAAAATAGGCCTTTACCATGGAGGGCTTCTGTGAGATGGACTGTGCCACAGACAGAAGGGCATCATCTGAACAGATTGATTACTGCACCTTCTTTCAAGGAAGCATTCTCTTTGCAACCCAACCAGTCACTCTGATTCTGGCAGCTACTGTAATTAACAAAAGGAGCAAGCCTTAGGCTGCACATCTAAAAGGTATCCATAGTAACAGAACAAGCAGAAGCCAAAGTCCTGTTATCCTTCCCTCTAGTGTTATTTTCCTGTGTAAACATGAAAGAGGGGTAATGGATTTCAGCACACTACAGTAGTTTCACCACCACCACCTGTCACCCTCCATGACTTGGAGAGTGAACTTTTGAAGTGGGTAGCCTCTCCTCATGGAAGCAATGTGCAAGGAATCTCCATGAGCAAAAGCCTCTCCAGTTCAGAAGTTCGCCCTCCAACTTGTGGAGGGTGTCCAGGGGTGGCGCTAGAACATTAATCCACATGCCTCCTCTCACTTGTTTATTTAACTTGTGTGAATGCTTGAAGAGGATTTATGAGTGGCTGTTGCTGTATTTGTGTTATGCTGCTAAGCTGGTGCCACATATAATAGTGATGAGTCTCAGTCAGAGTGGGGCCATTGTAGGATCAGGCTGAAAAATTATTGCTCTCTGAATCTTAACGCAAGTGGGAAGCAAACTGAACTGTTTCATAACATCAGTGGTTTTAGTTGACTTATTTTTCTCCTAAGGCCATGTATTATTTCTGTGAGACCATTATCCTGCCAAAATGTTGCTTATTTGGCTAAGATCACTCAACAGGATTTTGAAATTAAAAAGGAACTTGTTGCCTCAGAGATTAAATAGGTACAATGTTACCCTGCTCAAGATATTATATATCTTCTCATGTGAGAATGTTCTAATCTACAATAGCCTTGCTTCATAATTCTTGCACTGAAATATAGCTGATTTCCCTTCCCTCTTTTTTAGTATGATGGAAAAAAATAGGCATATACAATTCTTTAGTGCTCATGAATCCTCACAATAATGCATTTTCTTTACATTATATCCCATTATGACTATTTGGCAGCTGTACAACAAACAGTCTCTAAACAGCACTTACACAATAAGAGCACACATCAAGTTTCATGGCCGTGCTCAAAATCTGAACAATGTCAGAATTCATCTGGTTTGTATCAATGTTATTACTGTCCACAGCAATATGGAAAATGTATGCCTTGTCCTGCAATCCTGCTACACCAAGACATTTCCTATTATATTTCTAACATGCCACCTGGGGATTTCAAAACTGCAACAGTAGAAAGCAGCTGCAGAGGGCAGAAACATGGAATAAACATATTCTGTTATCTTGCCAGATGCATTGTGTGTCTCAGTAACTTTATCCATTGGTTTTCTTTAATATTATTGGCCAATGACAATATCACCAAAAGGAAAATGCCCATAACCAAGAGATGCAGAGAAACTCCACATTCCTTCCCTAAATTTCCATCATTCATTAAGATACATACACACTTTTAGTTCCTTTCTTTACAAACATAAGAAAAATATGCAGATAATGTTGCACCCATGGGTGGATTATAATGGTGCAATTGGAGTAATTGCACCAGGGTCCTTTACTGCAAGGGCACCCAGACTCTGACCTTTCATTTAAAAACAAGGTAAGTATGTAGTCATCCTGGAAGAAAAGTTAAAAAGCAAAATGTGTAGGCAACCAGTTCTGTGAGATGAGCCAGGTCCTGCATGTCAGTATTTTTAGCCAGACTTCAGTGAAGTCAGAATTTTGACAAGTAAGTTGCTTGGACACCAAGCTATAGGAATCACTCACTGGGCACCTGCTCCCTTTTAGTGCACTTTATTTCTTGCTTCAGTCTCATTTTCTAGTCCTTGGAATCTCGTTTGCATTTCTTTCCTTTCTTGCAACCAGTATATCTTTCCTGTAGAGGATTCAACCAAAACCAAGTACTCCCTATACATTAGTTTCTGCACATCTACTACACAGCAAGTGTAGTTACCCTTTTAATAACCACAGTATACGTAGTTACCCATTAGTAACTATATTAAAACACTTTATTCAAACACTTTTTCCAGACTCCCACTGGTCCACTTCAGTGAAGCCTCACCAGCTGACTATAATTGAGGGCTTTTGTTGAATTCCCATGATTCAGCCGCTAGTAAAGTGAAAGTCTGTTTCTGCTGCCTGTCCTGGAATCTTCCTCTGGTTCTCCTACCAGACAGACACTATAGCCTAGCACTCCATAGTGTCCCTCCCTTCTCTCTCAGTGGCGTAGACAGGTGCTCTTCTCATCTCTTCAGTCTGATCCAAGTGATTCAGCTACCCCAGGCAAGTCATCAGTCACCGATACACTCTGTCTTCCTTTCAGATGTTCTTTTTTCTTCTGCAATCTTCTTTCTCTGCTGGCTTCATCTTCTGGTTGAACACCATGAACATCAAGCACCAATCAGCATGGACTAACCAACTAACCCTCCTGCTGACCACCACATGGCCATATATATATTACTACTAGTCAACTGCACCGATTAGCTAAGAATTCTAAATCTGCAATAACCAATCTGAATATGCAAGTCTTCTATTCTTCTTTTGCATACTGCGAGTTCTATTTCCTCCTTGCTGTCAGTTGAGATCTCCCAGTGACAGTTAAACCAACTTCCACATAACCGGAGGATTCCCCCATCAAACATATTACAATACAAATGGCAGAATATATTACACAATATCCATTAAAACACAATTAAAATAGATAGGATTTCTTCACAAGTGCCAATGAAAAGATGTCCTTGCCTCAGTATGTTGTGTTTCCTTAGATTTGTAGTTTAAATTAATAATAAAAAAGCATTTCCAAGTGGATAACCCTCTCTGACTTTTGACCCTGGTGTTGTCACACTGTACCAAAAGCATTATTACAATGTGGGTTTGTTCCATGGTGACTTCCTTCTGGACTGAGATCATTATACATATTAATCTAGTTTTAGAATCTTCTTTGAAATTCACTGATATATATTCAGTTTTGAATTACATCCCGGCACTGTGGGAACTATCAGATGGACAACATAAATAGGTCCCAAGGGCTTTCGTGGCAACAAAAAGATGCATTCTCCAGCACTCGAAAGATAAATCCCCACCTGCAATTGTACAACGGACAGAGGACATTAATGTACTTTCCGCATTTGGACATGCAGTTTTTAACAGACAACAGATTCCAGACTCCAAGGGGGCATTTGGATGGCAGATAATGATGTTAATGCTTAGACAGTCTGTTAATGGACTTTTATAAAGCACTCTTATTTTTTTATATAGTTGTTACCAACAATTATTTATCTGCAATTTTTTCTAATACCAACCCGTTCCCTTCTCCTTTCCTTCTTTTCTCTTATTTTGAGCTATGTTAGAAAAAAAATTGTACTGCAAGTATAAATATAAAAAAATAAGCCACTTAGGTTGGCTTGTTTTAAACTAACCATAGTTAATGTTAGGCAGTTTATTGATTCAGACCGAATGACTAACAGCAGTTAGCAAAAGCTTTTTACTACCACCTTGTCCTGGCTAGATGGGAGGAGGAAGGGGCAGCATGAGGCCAGGAGGGGGCTTCATCCAAATGCAGTAATCACTGTATACATGCCTTCCAACATTATCTTTCCTCAAGTCATCAGCCTGCAATTGGTCCCATATCTACCATTAGCTATCTACATAGCTCTTAGCTTCGCTTGCTTATCACACTTCTACATTTTGACTTTGTAAATGTAAAAAAGTAAAGGTAAAGGTACCCCTGACCGTTAGGTCCAGTTGCAGACGACTATGGGGTTGCGGCGCTCATCTCGCTCTATAGGCCGAGGGAGCCGGCGTTTGTCCGCAGACAGCTTCCGGGTCATGTAGCCAGCATGACTAAGCTGCTTCTGGCGAAACCAGAGCAGCGCATGGAAACGCTGTTTACCTTCCCGCCACAGCAGGAATTTATCTACTATTTATCTACTTGCACTGGCATGCTTTTGAACTGCTAGGTGGGCAGGAGCTGGGACTGAACAATGGGAGCTCACCCCATCACAGGGATTCGAACCACCGACCTTTTGATCGGCAAACCCTAGGCTCTGTGGTTTAGACCACAGCACTACCCGCATCCCTTATGTAAGGACTACTAAATTTGACTTCTGTTTATTAGGAGGACTCATTCAGTACCTGAGAATGGTCACTTGATACAGAGGAAAGAGCTAAGTATAATTTGGGCCAACATGTCCTCCTAAACCCATATTTGGTGACATAATGGGGACACAGAGGGGCACTTATTGGGAGAAGTAACAGTAGGCAGAAAGGCTGCTCAACCCTTCCCACACTTGTCATTGCCACACTCTTCATGCCACTGTTTCTTCATTGGCTTTTTATACGGGGCTGCTCACTGCTCAGAAATAACAGTCAATGTCACTGTAATGAAGATACCAAAACACACCCTCTTTAATGGCTCACTTAAATTAGTCCCCTTCCCACAAGTAAAAATACTTTGTTCTACTAACTTTCCGCTCTGTTTTAAATATGAACACTCACTGCAGTGTTCAAATAACAGGGCTGCAGAAGAAAATCAATAGTTTTCTATTACATGCATTATACCACTGCAATATATTGTACAAATATGTGTAATGGCTTTCAGCATTAAGGTAAGATGGAAAAAGCATAGATACACTAAAACTACATCACACTTCAAAAACACCAAAGAACTGACTGTGGAAATATGGCACGTTTCCAAAGTTAGTCTTACTCCAAGTAGATCCATTGATCTTAATGGTTTATGATTAACTTAGGCCAGTGGTTTTCAAACAGGGTGCTTTGAATGATAGTCAGGGGTGCTGCGGGCAATACTGGCCTCTGTCCCTCTTTCCTTCCCTCCCTCCTCTGATGCCCTCTTGCGTCTCTGCCCCCCAAACTGGGCTCCTGAGCTGCCTCCCAAACTGGACATAACTGGGCTCCTGAGCCCCACAGAAAGAATGTAGTTGGTCAAGGGAGCCATGGACTCAAAAAGGTTGAAAACCTCTGACTTAGGCCCATCTGAACTGTTATTGAACTATTTGTATGTGGTTTAATGCAGAATAAAAAAACAAACAAATTGGTTTAAACTGAGGACAGATGTAGGTGACATATTCCGATTTGACATGCATGGAAGCTACCACCACAGCCTAATCCTAAACATGTTTACTCAAAAATAATCATGCTGCAAAACTGATGCTGCAATCCTATAACTATTTACCCCGGAGTAAGCCACTGGAACTTGAAGAGATTCACTTTGAAGTACGCATTAAAATGGAACCTCGGTTTTCAAATGTAATCCGTTCCGGAAATCCGGTTGACTTCCGAAATGTTCGAAAACTGAGGATCAAAGGGCTGTCAGCAATGTCAAGGGGGAAAACAGAAAATCTGCCTCAGAAGCTGTTCGACTTCTGAGGCTCATTCGAAAACAGAAGCATTCACTTCCAGGTTTTCAGCATTTGGCTTCTGAAACCTTCGGCAGCCAAGACATTCGAAAACCAAGGTTTGACTATAAGATTAACTGAGAGGCTCAAATTTTAGCAAACTCATCTGGGGGTAAGACCTGTTGAACTTAGGTTGTGTACACAAATGGGCTGCATATCCCACGAGTTTAGTGGATGTCTGCTTCACCTCGCCTCATGGGTGGGCCGGCTTGTGTACACACTCCTGTCTTCTATATCCTGTGCACTCCCTCGGCTGTTTTGTGAAGCCCTCTATATAGGATGCTAGTCACAATCCACATCTAAACCCTGTGTTTTGATGCATTTCCTCCCAAAGCAACATAAGCCATATGAAGCCAGAATCTCCACCCTCTCTCCACCCACCAGTGCGGACAGACAGCGGGCAACTTGGAAACACATCCAACTGCAGGGGCAAATGTGATTTGAAACACAGAAGGATCAGAGTTGGAAGGGACCCCCAGGGTCATCTAGTGGGACTCAAACCCACAACCCTGAGATTAAGGGTCTCATGCTCTACCAACTGAGCTATCCCTCAAGACCTCGTTGCATCTTAAGTCGGCAGTGCACCTTATTTCGGAGGAAAGGTGCACAAGATGGTACTGCGAGTCAAGAATCACTGCATAACCCACCGAAATCGGAATGGGTTGCACTTCTCACGTGCAAAGACACTCTCAAGGCCTCAGCAATGTACATTAAAGTTGCGTTGCTTCAGTTACCTTTCTTCTTTAAAAAGAAAAAACCTGCTTGGAAATCAGACTACAAACATCGAAGCAACACATTACTCAACAGTCCCGGCAAAGCGCTCCACCTCAAAGGAGGAAACAGCCAATCACGTTCCTCTCCCTTGAAGTTTTAGGTCTCCGAGCGGCCAATCCCGCTTCTCATTCCAGTATCTGGGTTCGGAAGAGCCCAATCCCTTTCGCCGAGGGGGAGCTCAGTTCCCAACCACTGGAGGATCGCCGCTCTCTTCCGCTGCTTCACGCCCCCCCTCGCCGCCTCCCTTTGGTTGCCCGGGTTTCACCGCTCCTTCCCGCTATATAAGCTTTGCGACAATGTTGGAAAGCGGGGCCCGCTATCCGGCGGCGAGCGACTTTACGGTAGAGCCCGCTCGTGCGGAGCGATAGCCGCGATGTCTAGATAGAGCGTGGGCGGCAGAACGTTGCGGGAAACATGCGCGCGCACGGAGGGGGGGTGAATAATGAGAGGAGTAGCTGCTAGGTAGGTAGGCGGGCGAGGTAGCGCGCGCAGGCGAGGCGAGACAGAAGGAAGGGGGCGGAGCTGGATGCCGGCGGGTGGGGCCAGCGTTAGTCCCCCAGCCCGGCTGCGCTACGGAGGCCGCGGGTTCGATACCCGGTGGGGGTTGTAGTAGTAGTAGTAACAATAGTAGTAATAATAGCAATAGTAACAACAGCAGCACCGAGGCGGAGTTCTCTCCTCCTCCGCCGCCTCGTGGAGAGATGAGCCTTTCGCCGAAGGAGCTGTCGAGCCTGCTGAGCATCGTGTCGGAGGAGGCCGGCGGCGGCACCTTCGAAGGCCTCTCCACCGCCTTCCACCACTACTTCGGCAAGGCCGAGCACTTCCGCGTGGGCTCCGTGCTGGTGCTGCTCCTGCAGCAGCCCGACTTGCTGCCCACGCCGCCGCAGCGCCTCACCGCCCTCTACCTGCTGTGGGAGATGTACCGCACCGAGCCGCTCGCCGCCAACCCTTTCGCCGCCATCTTCGCGCACCTCCTCAACCCCGCGCCGCCCGAGAGAACCACCGTCAGCAGCGCCGCCGCCGCCGCCAGCGCCGCCACAGGCCCGGCTGGGGGTAGTGGTGGCGGCGGCGACGACGGCGAGAGGCCTCCGCTCTCAGGTACCGCCCGGCGAACGATTCTCCCCGTGGGGGGAGAAGAGCGGTTTCTCCTCGGCAGCAGCGCCTCCTTTCCGACACCTTAGTTGTACGTTTGAATCGGGGTTGGGGGAAACCCGTGGCCGTCCGGATGGTGCTGGGCTCCAGCCCCGGTGATCATCATCATCATCATCTAATACTAATTACTACTACTAGCTCCCACATCTGGAGGGCCGCAGGTTCCTCACCCCTGGCTTAAAGCGGAATAAATGCATTTTTCCTTCTCCCCCATCCACCACAAATATGTCAGGATTTACGGTGTTCTATTTGAACTCCTTTCTTACCATTTTCATTTAAGTTACTACTTGTCCTGTGCATGTTGATTCAAAAGCATGTCCCGTTGAGTTCAGTCAGGCTTGCTCCCCTCAGCCTGTGAATGTACCTATACAGTATAGGATTGCAGCTTTAGCCCCAGTGATTATTATTATTATTATTATTAATAATAATAATAATACTTAGAGCTCCCACATCTGGATAGCCACAGGTTCCTTACCAATGACTTAAAAGGAATAGATGCATTTTTCCTCCCCCCCACCACAAGTATGTCAGGATTTTAAGGTGGTTTTTTTGAACTCCTTACTTACTTGTGTTCCCTCCACCCACAGCATTTTCATTTCAGTTACTGCTTGTCCTGTGCATGTTGATTCAGAAGCATGTCTCACTGAGTTCAATCAGACTTGCTCCCATGAATGTACCTGTATAGGATTGCAGCTTTACTCTCTTGTTGTCGTAACTTTGGTATTGCCTTTGGATGTGTGTGGCATGCTTTTTTGGGTGGCCCTCATTTAATGGCTGTCATACTGCCTTCCTAATCATCATTGTTTATTCTCAAGTAAACAGCCTCCATCACTTCCCTACTCAGTCAGTCACATAGCATCACACATAAGTGGGCCAGAGCCCCTGGGGGAAAACGCCCTTGTGAAATATTATGAAATGTTCATGTTTCTAGCATGCTGGCTGTGAGTAGGGAAGGGTTTTAGAGGGGTGTAACACTTTTGTGTTAGGTGATCTTGAACCCATTGGGTAATAGGTACCCATCTTGCAAAGTGACCTCTCCCTGGTTGCAGTGCACAGGCTCATCTAAATTTAGGTGAAAACTTGGGATGCTTACACAGATTGGAAACGAGGAACACTTTTTAAAAATGCAATTAGTGTAAGCTACCTTGAAAAAACATTCCTGGCGTGCTCTGGTCCATGGGGTCATGAAGAGTCGGACACAACGACTAAACAACAACAACAACCTTGAAAAAAACATTTGAAAGGCTGGTTAAAGATGGATTAAATAAATATATTTACCCAATTTAATATTTTCCTTTGTAAGGAAAAGTGTGTATGCATTCACGCATGATGATGACAGTGATAGCCAGTCATGCCGTCTCACTAAATTCACATGCAACAAAATACAGTAGTATCTTGGTTCTCAAACTTAATCCGTTCCGGAGGTCCGTTCCAGAACCAAAGTGTTCCAAAACCAAGGCACGCTTTCCCATAGAAAGTAATGCAAAAGTGGATTAATCCGTTCCAGACTTTAAAAACCCCCTAAAACAGCAGTTGAACATGAATTTTACTATCTAACGAGACTATTGAGTCATAAAATGAAAGTAATAATCAATGTACTGCAGTCACACAATCAATCAGTAGCTGAACTGGGTTCCACACAGTCACATAAGCAAAAACAAAAGAGCGGCAAAAACAAAAATGCAAAATAAATAGCAAAAACAGACAGACCTCAGCGTAACACTCAAAACAGAAGTGTGGCACTCAAAATAGAGCATGTACGGCTTCCGAAAAAAGTTCACAAACCGGAACACTTCCGGGTTTGCAGTGTTTGGGTTCCAAGTTGTTTGAGTAGCAAGGCGTTCAAGAACCAAGGTACCACTGTAGATATTTGTGGGATCATAATAGACCCTTTTTTGTAAACAAGAATTATATATGTATGAAAATCAACCAATTTCAGTAGTTTATTAAAGCTAGAACTTTGAATTGTGTTTAGAAGCCAGGGCTTGACTTTGGCAATACTGCCTTCTGTCATAATTAAGTCTCTTATTAAAAATATAAGAGCCCTGCTGGATTAGACAAATGACTCATCTAGTCCAGCATTCTGTTCCCACAGTTGCTAGTCAGATGTCTGTGGGAAGCTCACATGCAAGATGTGCATACAGTAATCCACTTCTGCTCCTGCTCTTCAGTAGGTTAGAGACTTACTGCTTCTGAAAGTGGAAGTAGTACATGGCTGTCATAACTAGTAGCCATTGATAACCTAATTCTCCTTCTCCCAAGTGAGGTGTGCCTGGCTCATTGACTTTCAGGACAAATTTAAAAACAGTCATGTTTACTTAGGTATTTGATGGCTAAAAGACGCTGTTCCTGGTAACCTTGAGATCCTTAGTTGAGAATGTTCTTTTAAAAACAAATTTTTAAAACTGTTTTATCACTGCTGCTCTGGGCTCCTTTGAAAGAAAGGTTGGGATATAAATAAATATGTTACTGTTATTATTAGTAACAACAACAGAAACCTGTAAAACATGTCATGAGTTGGTTAGATGAGTAAGAAAGTATTAATTCCTATATATAAATTGGGGGGGAATAATGTTTGTGACCCTAATTGTAATTGCAAAATATGAGGATGTGTTTGTTGATGCCAAGGAAACGTGTAAAATGTAAGGACAATGTAGCAAAAGTACCAGTTTAAAAGGTTATTTTAAAAGTCTTTCAGAATATGTAAGTTGAGGTGAGGAAAATTCATTTTAAAAATACTGTACTAATTCTGAGTATTCAGTTACAAACAGATGCTGTTTTAGCTAGTTTAATTTACAGCCAAACAAAACTTTCTGTTTTTGGTTGTATGTTTATACATAAATCACTTGCATTTCATGTAAACCCAGTTGTTAAAGAAGAGTGCAAAACATTTCTACCCATTTGTTACATCAAGTTAATATTTGTATTTCACTATGTATAAAATACTATTTTTAGCACATGAAATCCTGAAATGATGTTGCCTTTCCAGGTTTTCTGCCTCCTATAACCCCGCCAGAGAAATTCTTTCTTTCCCAGCTGATGTTGGCCCCACCTAGAGAGCTCTTCAAAAAGACCCCAAGACAGATTGCATCAATGGATGTAGGAAATATGGGCCAATCTGTGGATATCAGTGGCCTTCAGCTGGCTTTGGCAGGTAAAAAATTATTGTTCTTGCTGAGATCTGCTCCTGCTCTAGAATGAATGACATTTGCACTACCTTTGTTCTTGTGCTAAGTGTGTGCGTAGAAGAGTCTTAAGAGAGTGGCTGTATTCTTGTGCTTGCAAGCTAATGTTTGTATTTTTATAGTACAAGTTTACAGTACTTTGCTGAATTTGAACATGAATTCGTCACACTGAATTTGTCAGTGTGTGGCTTTTAAGAAGCAATTATTGGCATGCTGAAAGGTGGAACAATGATTCTTTCTAGTCAGCGGTTGTATATTCTGGCTGTGCTGCCTCTAAGATGTGGGCAAGAAAAGCTATTGCCAGAAAGAACAAGGAGAGAGAACAGTTAATTTAATTGTTCCCCCTAGAACACTACTAAGGTGAATAGGCAAGGCACTCTGCAGGAATCAGAATGGAACTTCCATGTTGCTAAACAAAGAGGAACAGAAAGAATGATTCGAACTTGATTTACACTTGGACAGTTCATGTTAAGGGATGCGGGTGGTGCTGTGGGTAAAACCTCAGCGCCTAGGACTTGCCGATCGCATGGTCGGCGGTTCGAATCCCCGCGGCGGGGTGCGCTCCCGTCGTTCGGTCCCAGCGCCTGCCAACCTAGCAGTTCGAAAGCACCCCCGGGTGCAAGTAGATAAATAGGGACCGCTTACCAGCGGAAAGGTAAACGGCGTTCCGTGTGCTGCGCTGGCTCGCCAGATGCAGCTTGTCATGCTGGCCACGTGACCTGGAAGTGTCTGCGGACAGCGCTGGCTCCCGGCCTATAGAGTGAGATGAGCGCACAACCCTAGAGTCTGGCAAGACTGGCCCGTACGGGCAGGGGTACCTTTACCTTTACCTTTAGTTCATGTTAAAACAAACTTCCTAACTTTTACAGAGAGAAGTTGAGCTAACAGTATATCTTGATTGCATTTTGCTCTTCACACTGCTGGGATAATTTTTCAAATAAATTCTCATTTTGTGCTTTTTGTAGCTAGTTTTGTCACTAAGCTTCTTGCCAATTACGTGTCATATGTTGCTTTGGAAAAGGAAAAGTATTCTGGCAATGTACTGTGTTAAGTACAAACTGTTTATTTGATGGAAGACTTAGTTGATTAAGGATCAGTGACCTCTATTGAAATCAGATTTTTTCCAGCACCCTCCCTTTCAAATCAAAGGAGACTTCCTGGAATTGACGAACAAGGGGAAAATACTGCACTAAAATATCTCAATTTGTTTTCAGTTTGAATAGTGCGTAGTGCTTTTCCCTCTTAACTTGAAGATGTTTCTGAGGTCATATTTTGCTATTTCTAGAAATATTTTCAGGCATTATTTTACATACTTGTTTAGAATATGATATAAAAAGCTGATGTATGTACACATGAGTAAGAACAGGCTTCCTCAACCTTGGCCCTCCAGATGTTTTGAGACTACAATTCCCAGCATCCCTGGCCACTGATCCTGCTAGCTAGGGATCATGGGAGTTGTAGGCCAAAAAACATCTGGAGGGCCAAGGTTGAGGAAGCCTGAGTAAGAACTGTAAAATACACCCAGAGCTTTTACAAAAAGCCTTTGCTGTGTCAGTTTCCAATTCTGAAGAGGAAAGTATATTAAAATATGGCTTGTGGTTCACAGCTGTGCACACAAATTGCTACCTAAAATTCCAGTCAAGGGACCACAGATTCATACTTAGCACCAACCCTGCCTCCGCCCTCATATTGTGTTTCTGTGTGGTCCTCTCCTTGATACTGTGCTGAGCTCTGGAAGCAATTGGAAAGCACTGCAGAATTAGAGAGAGGCTCTTCCATGCCTAGAGAAGAATGACAATTCTCTCAGAACTTGTGCTTAGCTCATCTCAACCAGTGTTGATCTCACAAGTGCTTTTGTGAGTTCTCGATCTTAGACTTGAGACTTAGACTCTTAAGTTCTCAGACTCTTCCAAACAGTGCCCTTGAATTACAGTAAGCCATATTACCTTATTGTGAGATGGGTGCATAAAAAAGTAAAAACAGCCTCTGATCAGATTTATAGTTCATGATGTCTGTTCAAACTTCTGAATCCTGATTCTTGAGGTTACTCATGTTGAATATGGGTTTCATCCAGTGGTGTTGCTCAGTTGACAATTCTGTTTGTTTTACTCAAGATCATATGCACTGAACATTGTGTTAACCATTTTCCCTTCTAGAACGTCAGTCTGAACTGCCGACACAGAGTAAAGCGAGTTTCCCCAGCATTCTCAGTGACCCTGACCCGGATTCTTCAAATTCTGGTTTTGACAGCTCTGTTGCCTCCCAGATCACTGAAGCTCTAGTGAGTGGACCAAAACCACCTATTGAAAGTATGCATTACTTTCTGTAATCTTTCACCCACTTACAGCAAAAGATAGCTATAACATTAGTTACAATCCCACCACTTCATTTCTGTATGTGATTGTACTGATTGTAGCAAGCTTTAAAACTTGTAAAAAAAAGCCCTACTTGATTGCAAATGAAGGAATGAATGCTTTTCTCCAAAGCAATGACCAATAGGATGTGCCACAAAATAGTTTAGGTTGATTTCTCCTGCACTTTCAGTTTATTAGAATAGCTGAGTTGGTCTGATGCTTTTAACTTCTGCAGGTTGAGGGTCATAGACTCCTGTTATATTGCAAACATACCCTAAATGAAAATAGTTTCTGTACATTGGCCTGGTTTGCAGGTCATTCTAAGCAAAGCCATCTTTTAGCTCCCAGGAAGGAGATTGTGGCTGCTTGGCTCCTCCCTGGTCATTTTGTAGCTGCACTGCACTGAGCTAAACCATGGTTTGGTTTGGTTTGGTTTAGTATGTTGTCCAAATCCAGGTTTGTTTATGGTTAGTCTCTCCACACTAACTATAAACTAACCTAGGTTTGTAGCCTTAGTTCTAATAAGTAGTACAGTGGTACCTCGGGTTAAGTACTTAATTCGTTCTGGAGATCTGTTCTTAACCTGAAGCACCACTTTAGCTAATGGGGCCTCCCGCTTCCGCCGCACTGCCGAAGCACAATTTCTGTTCTCATCCTGAAGCAAAGTTCTTAACCCAAGGTACTATTTTTGGGTTAGTGGAGTCTGTAACCTGAAGTGTATGTAACCCGAGGTACCACCATACTATGGTTCAGTCCTGTGCTATATTCTACCATTATTCTAGCTATGAACGAAGAACTAGAATATACCTAGGACTCATCTGCACTGCACATAAAGCCGTATCATCTCTGTAAAACGAAGTCACAACTTCCCCCAAAGAATCATGGGAACTGTAGTTTGTTGAGGGTGCTGAGAGTTGTTAGGAGACCCTTATTCCCTTCACAGAGGCAGAGTTCCCTGGGAAGAGGAATTGATTGACAAAACGCTATTGAGAACTGTTGCTCTTTCAGGGGAATAGAGTTCTCTTAACAACTCTTAGTACCCCTTTATAGTCCCCAGAATTCTTTGGGGGAAGCCATGACTGTTTAGAGTGGTAGGAGACTGCTTTGAAAGAATAGTGAAGATGGGGCCTTATAGTCCAGTTTATACTATCAGATTTCTGAATGGATTTGTAATTTTTCATCATGCATTAAGTGTCGCCGTAGAATTCATCCGGATCACCATGTGACAGATTGCCCACAGGTTTTTATGGTGGTTTATCTATTACCCTGTTTTGGAATTGGAGGTTTTAGGAAAGTTCTCAGCTGCAAACATTGCACCACTGTCGTATCTGAACTATCACAATTGTTTCACGGAGCCTGACAGTATGGCATAGTGTATTTCATTATGTGTTCAGAATGTAATGCTTAGGGAGAAGTGAGCATAATATTTAGTAGGCTTTCTGTACCAGGTGCTTTCAGATTGATGATATGAATGCAAATTATTTTTCCAGGCCATTTTCGTCCAGAATTTATACGACCCCCGCCTCCACTTCACATTTGTGAGGATGAGCTCGCTTGGTTGAACCCGATAGAGCCAGATCATGCCATTCAGTGGGACAAGTCAATGTGTGTGAAAAACAGTGCCGGAGTGGAAATCAAACGAATCATGGCCAAAGCTTTCAAAAGTCCTTTGTCATCAGCACAGCAAACGCAGGTGTGTGTAGTAGTCAGGTGGTACATAGTCCAATTCTATTACTGTGCATTTTCTAATGTAAGCTTAAAGTATCCTTAAACTTGAAAGTGGTATATAGTATTGTCACCTATATTTTGTTGTGCCCTGTTAAGTCTTAAGGTGTCCATTTATTTATTTTCCCTCTGCAGCTCCTTGGAGAATTGGAGAAAGACCCCAAGCTTGTTTACCACATTGGCCTCACTCCTGCCAAATTGCCTGATTTAGTGGAAAATAATCCTTTGGTTGCTATAGAAATGCTGCTTAAACTTATGCAGTCAAGTCAGATAACAGAGTATTTTTCAGTCTTGGTCAACATGGATATGTCTCTGCATTCAATGGAAGTTGTCAATCGGTAACTATTTGTCTACTGTAGATTGCTTTGTTGGCATTTTTGAATGAGCTTGATTTCTAGTATCCATGCAGCGTTTGGTCCCATCAAGGAACAGTATCCTGGGTGCCTGTATCTGAATGTTGGTGTAGTTCAGTGTTTTGCACTCAGTTCTACGGACAAAGTACATGAGATACAATCAGAAACAGAATTGCCGGATTGGTCCAAAGGATTTGGACCTAATCCTTTACAATGCTGTCATTAAGGGTAGGTTTAATTCCAGCCCGCCCTTTTCCTTTCCAGTATAAGAGAATGGCTGCAATGGGGTGAATTGGCAGCGTTAATTTTTCTTCATCTCCCAAATTTAGTGTTTTGGCCTCCAGATTCAGGGACTACATAGGGGCAGGGAGCTATATTGTGTTCCTATGTACAGAGCATGTGGATGAATTGCATGTGTGCACATAAACAGGAATCCCTACAGCATTTGGGCTCTCTATATACATGAGCCCCCTTCCCATTCCTGTCCTAATTTTGCTAGTTTTTAATTAAGCTCATGAAATTGGAGAGAATGTCATGACAGTGGACCTGTGGATAGTTCAGTGGGGAGCAGCTTTAGGAGTATTCCATATCCTTGGATTCTTCTTCCTTTTTGTCTTCTTTGACAGCCACAGTCATTGGAAAGAGCCAGTGCAAGGTCAGAGGAAGATACCCATCTATGCACTTTCAGGATGGTAGATACCAAACAGCTGGCTGGTTGTAAATGTTATTGAGCCTCTGTGTCCATTCCTATGAAGGGACAGATGGCATTTTAAATTGGGGTGGTGTAGTGGGAAAGTAAACATGTACAGCCACTTCATGTTCAACAAATGTATAACCATCCACAGTGAAAGAGGGTCGTTATCCCATTAGTTGTGATTGACTAGTTCTTAGTAATAATCTCTTAAACAATAATTCCTCCCCAACTTCAGTACAATGTACTAATTTAATGTGCTTTAGTGATGCATTGTTAGCTACCATGGGCATTTCTTGAAACAAACAAGGATAAAAGGTTTTATAAATGTGTAGCACGGCAATTGACAAATCCATTAAATCAAAATCGGCTCATTCTTTCCCTCCCACTGACTTCATTCTAAAGACTCAGGCAGAGAGATCAGTTCAGAATATATGCAACTGTAGAAGAGGGATATAAATGAAATGAACAATCATACTGTACCATTAAAAAATAAACCATAAGATCAGGGTTGTTGTTTTTTTAAAATTTTAAGCTGACTTGTGCACAAAGCAGCCCAAATGAAGCATAAGCCCTACATTTTGAAAGGATAAATTCTCTTCCTGATCTTTTCCCACCTGCAGTTGTATATTTCCTTTTCACACTCCACATAGGTTAATATCACACCATAAATGTAGGAGGCTGTGTGAACATTTGCGAAAATTCATTGTGACTAAATTGTAGTTGCTAAGAAGGCGTGGGGTCAACTCCCCACCAACCCAGCATAGAATTTATGGGTGATCTGCTCATAGTTAATCAACTATTTTCTGTTTCCAACAGTCTTACCACAGCAGTTGATCTTCCTCCAGAATTTATTCACCTTTATATCTCCAACTGTATTTCTACTTGTGAGCAAATTAAGGACAAGTATATGCAGGTAGGTTTTTGGAAGCATTTCAAAATGAGAAACTATTGAAATCCCGGGACTGGTTCACCCAGGCTTGGGGCGGGGGATGAACATCCTTATGAAACCCTGTACAGAATTTGTACCTGGGAATTTGAAATATTTGCCTTGCTTATGGAGCACAGTATTTTGGTGTCTTACTGTTCTTACTATTCCATACTTTTAAAGTAGGGGTGGCTAATCTATGGCCTTCCAGATATTGCTGGACTCGTCTGCATTGCCTCCAGCTATCTTGGCCAGGGTCCAAGGATGAGCAACACCTGAGCCCGGCCTTGGCTGGGGAGGGCGGGGTATAAATAAAAATTACTACTATTATTATTATTATTATGGAAGGCCAAAAGGTCCCCCACACTTATTAAAGGTATATAAAAGGAACCAAAAGAAGAAGAGGAGGAAAGCACAATCTATTTTTTAGGGTTATTTTCCAAGCAATTAAAATGAAATACTCTAATTCAATCTGTGTTTCTGAATTGTAGCTTTTAGTAATAAGAAAACCATTGGATGATTGAAATTGACACCTGGGCTGGGGGTTTTTTAAGCAGGCTACTTACTGCAGAATTAAAAAAGTGAGTCCTGTAAATTTTAACTAACTTATAAAATGAAGAGTTTTGATCTTCTTAAGAGATTTTATTTCCTCGAAGCTACTTTGTGAGCTGCTGCTTTGTTGGGTCAGCAGTCAATATATATAGTGTTACCATAAGTTTGTCAGCTCCATTAATTTCAGTGAGCCTACTTTGAGTAGAACTAACATAGATATAACCCATGTGTCATCTATGTTTCAGAACCGGCTAGTACGACTTGTGTGCGTCTTTCTACAATCCTTGATTCGGAACAAAATAATTAATGTACAGGACTTATTTATAGAAGTGCAAGCCTTTTGTATTGAATTCAGCCGGATAAGAGAGGCAGCTGGCCTTTTTCGATTGCTGAAGACACTTGACACTGGTGAAAATCCTTCAGAGACGAAGACTTCAAAATAATACTTCATTTGGAAGAATGCTTTATATCAGATTAGGATTCTGTATGATTTTTGTATAGTTCACTATTTGCTTGCAATTAAGATGCTATTTGTGCTGTATTAAATATTGCTTTTTCTGCTGGAGAAGTGTGAATGATGTTGATAAGTCGATGATGTTGAACAAAACCTACTATTAGTGTGGCCTGAAGTCTTCATTGGAGAGCTCCCTGATGCAGGCACCCATGACAGGCTTCAGTAAATAATCTGTCACAAACTCACAATGCAGGAAACTGCTTGCTCTCCTTACTGTTTCTGTTTCCACTGACTTGGCCTCAACATTGAGCACTCCTCAGAGATGCCTCTTTGATTGGATGCCAGGATTCTGAACAGAGAAGAGGTGCAAAGAGATTTCACTAGCCTCCACGGACCTTCTTAAAAATTCCACTGCTCCATAGCAGGCCAGCCATGTGAGATAAGTATTGTATTGCTCAGTTTGACTGGTAAGATACTCGATTCCAGTAAGCAAGTGTTGTGTTAGCATCTTAATTTACTTGCTTATCGGAGTTACAAGAAAAATAATCAAACCTATCACAACACAAGTGAAGGGTACTGTTTGTCTTACAAGGCTGAACCAAGTTGAAAAGCTGCAGATTTTTACCTAAGAAGCAACGGTGAGAAATATTTTTGGGACGCTGATAACTTCATCTTCCCAAGAACAATATCTGAGGTAGGCCACTCCCTAACTGGCTGCTATCAAGGACCCGCTTTCCCCAACAGTTTCCATAGGCTGCAGCATCCCATGCCTGAAAAAACCTGAAGGTTAAAAGTTCCTCAACTGCATTACACAGAAACCCTTCCAAATTATTTCTGCTCAGCTCATTTTAGAGTTAAAAAGGGCTCAACTCAGAGGATTCTGCAGAGGGGGAGAAATGTAGCTCTGTAAATGCTTTGAATTCAAAAGGGCCTATATTCCATTTTAAGAATGACCTTGCTCAGCAGATTCAGAGCTACTTCTAGACAGCAGACAAACAGTGGGCTGGGTGAATTAATGGTCTGTTTGGTGGAGTCCAAAGCCTAAGTTCTTTTTCTAATGGTTTCAGCCCAGCCCTTGAGTCCAAAGGTACCCTTTGCAGAGAGCGCGTAAAATTTACCTTTGCAGTTGGGTAGAGGATCTGGTAAATTCAAATAGGGCATGATAGCTACTTTCATTGTAGCCCCAACCAAGGCAACAAAGTGCCCCACTGAGCCAGGTACCTTGTTCTCCTTAAATCTATAGAAGTAAACATTTCCAAAGCACAATGAAGTGAAAAGTCCCTTTGCCTTCACCTTAATAAATAACAAGACAAGTCACATTATAAGCATTCAGAAGTTGACTTTACAGTTGCATCCAGCGTCTGAACTGATGGCTTGAGGCAGACCTTCAACTCCCACAAGGCATCCATGGATTGCCTTGAGATATGGGCAGGGGGCCCCACCTGTCATCTGCCTATTGTCAAATTTGAGTTTGAACTCAAGATCCCCAAGGAAAGGAGTTTTCCAACTTCAAAGTCCACATTTGCGTTGGCAGTTCCCACCTCTAACTAATCCCAGCAAGGCTTACATTGGGTGTCAAATTTAAAGGTATAATAGCATGCAAGCTCCTTGGCCCAGGACAAAACAAGAGCACATTTATGTGTTCCTTTGCAGCAGCACCATTACCTATCTTAACACCTGGTGTCAGGTAGGCACAGCTTGAGGAAAGGCCTTTTAGGTAAAATAAGGCCTAGTTTGATTCATGAGCCAGAGGATTCCTATGTCTGCTTTACCATTCTAGTTCATTTTTCCTGACCATAGGGAAAACTTGAGCAGTCTCAGCTAGAAAAATCCAGTTGCAACACTTAATAGCTGAAATTATGCTAAGGGAAGAATTTAGAAGTGAGGCTCTTGAACATCTATGTTTGGGATAATTCTCATAATTTCACTTACCAAGCAAATGTTGATCTACAAGTGGCTTTTAGATGCAAGCTTAAAAATCAGGAAGGGGAACAGGCTAATGATAGAAATACAGAATGAGCTAAGTACTTTCCACATTTTTATTTATTTATAGACTGTTTTATCCTGCTCTTTAGCCAAAAATGGCTCCCCACAAAGCTTAAAGATCGATGAAGACAGTCCCTGCCCTCAGGCATACAATCTTAAAAGACATGACCAAACAAAAAACAAAAAAGTTGACTAGGGTGGTAGAGGTAATAAACAATGGTAACCAGTTATTCATTGGAAATTTCAAGGAGAACTGATTGACTGAATGCTTACCAGGTAGCAGCTGACAAGATAAAAGAGGCTGGCTCCTTCACTGAGTTGTCCTGCTCCTGTCCTCCCTTTGTCGTCAGCTGAAGGAACTACCATTTTTATTTCAGCTCAAGCAAAAGCTTCAATGTGCCCCTCACCCCACCACTAGAATGTTCAGCTCGAAAAAGGATTAAGCACATTGTACCCTGGCAAGATTTTTGGTAACGAAGGGTGCCATGTTCAATTTTAGTCTGTAACAGCAACCCTCCACAATAGAAGTATTCTAAACAGTTACACCGTTTGTGCAGAGACTATGTAGGCAACTTGCTTTTTAAAAAAGAAAACTTGAATTTTGCTTTTAAGAGTGTGTAGAGATTGTTTTATACATTAAACTTGAGCCACAGAAACTGCCTTGTAAAATTAAAACCAGGCTCAAGCACAAAACCCTCAATAACCTCAGTTTTGTACAGCAACAAGTCAAACTGTTATCAGTAGTTTTCTGTTCAGGAATAATATTAAACTACTTCCAATAAATGGACACACAGGCCTTTTCAGCTGACGGGACACCACTATAGCAGAAGGGCCCACTTGAAACAGGGCCAGTCAGAAACACTTTTAGTTTGTTTTGCTGCCAACTGTCTTAAAAAACTGGACACTCAAAAGGAGAAAAGTCAGCTTTCGTTATTTCCAATTGGCTTATTTTGGTTTAAGGCAATTTACCTACTACTGTACTTCAAGCCTTTTTTAAGGTGCATTTTCACACACACATTTTAAATTAAACCCAGTGCCCTATATACAAAATGTCCATGTCTGTCATATGAGACAACACCTGCAGGCAAGTCAATCTTTTTCAGACCACACATGGAATCTTTCTGCCTTAAAATAGTTGAAAGAAGGGATGTCTCACAGATAAAAATTAAGAATGTAGCAGCAGTAAGTCAGTGCCGAGTCCGTGTGGGCAAGTTCCAGAAGAGTTTGTCCGGGGGGGGGGAGGGCGGGAAACACCTAGATGAGAAAAGAAATGAGTTGTCGAAACAATTTCCGTACCACAAGTTAGCAGGAACAATTGTTCAAGCACATAGATTGTCCAAAGTCAGGGCTGAACGATGATCCAGGGAGCTGTGCTCAACACACAGAAAGGAGAATAAGTGATTTTCACTGTCCCCCACACAGCTCCCTGAAAATTTTGTAAGAAAGAGGGGGAAATCACTTCCTCAACTTCTGCAGGTAGGAACCTCTGCTAGATCGCAGACCTCTTCCATTCACAGAACAAGCTACAAGGTTTTTCAACTCGGTGCCTGAAGAAGGGGACAGGGAAACCTGTTGCCCATCAAAATGTTCCAGGACTACAACTCTCAACAATGCTATCAATGGCTACAGGCCACAAGGGCTATGCTATGCTTCCACCAGTGGAGATAGGATGCCTCTGAACACCCTTTTTGCTGGGAATTGATGGCATTCAGGCCCTGCTTGCTTTGACAGGCACCTGTGGGAGACTCTCTCACACAAGATGGCAGCTGCAACTTGCAAGCCTGCAAGCCTGGTTTGCATAGCCTGGCCTATAGGAGCAAGTTGGAAGCCCATCCTATTCGAGGATGTCCCCCCGCCCCTGCCCCCAACCACCAATACACTGCAAGAAAGGAATTTAACACAGCTAAGTCCACTGTTCTAACCTCTGGCCATCTGCCATGCAAGCAGGGACTGATGGGAGTTGGAATCCAGCAACTTTTGGAAAGCCGCAGGTTCCCCCCACCCTTGTCTTAAAGTAGTATATTGCCAGCGACAACTAAGGAATTGCTCTAGGCAGACATGTCTACAAAGAGTGCCTAGGCACGGGTATTTTAGAAAGTTAGTCAAGGCAGTCTAATCCTTGGCTTGAATCAGTTGTGGGCCTAAAGATGCTGCTCAAACATAATGGCACCATCCCACATGCAAGGAGGGAAGATTTGTAAGTTTCCATTACAGTGGTGCCCCGCAAGACGAATGCCTCGCAAGACGGAAAACCCGCTAGACGAAAGGGTTTTCCGTTTTGGAGGTGCTTCGCAAAACGAATTTCCTATGTGCTTGCTTCACAAGACGAAAATGTCTTGCGAGTTCCTGCAGGGTTTTTCCTCCCCCGTTTCCCAAGCCGCGAAACTGCTTATCCGCTGAGCGGCTCAGCCGCTTAACAGCTGATCGCTAAGCCGCTTATCAGCTGATCGTTAAGCCGCTTATCAGCTGATCGTTAAGCCGCTTATCAGCTGATCCGCTAAGCCCGCTAAGCCGCTAATACTGTAGCGCTAATCCGCTAAACCGCTAATGGGCTTGCTTCGCAAGACGAAAAAACCCGCAAGACGAAGAGACTCGCGGAACGGATTCTTTTCGTCTTGCGAGGCACCACTGTATTGGGTTTCCCCAAACTAAAACCCCCAAACCAAGTTTCATTGTTGGCTTGCTGACTTCAGACTTCTCCCATTTAGCGAAAGGGAAGGAGGGAATGCAGAAGCACAAGGTCAGATGCAGATATATCTGAATGCAGCATCTATCCGTACTTAGGCGATACTGACCATTTGCAGGCAAGAGATAGTGTAATTTTAAGGTTCACATAGCTCTGTCATTTTACTTTGTGTGACGTTACTGAGGTCAGACGAAAAGGTCGCTTCAGGAGGTTTTGTCATCATGCCTTTTAGAGAGAAAACTGTTAGCAAGCACTGCAATTCGGCCTTTTTTGTCATCACTCCTCAGCAGCACACAAAGCCATACAGAAATCGAACTATTAGCAGCCCATCTCCGAAAAACAAACAATTCTAATTGTCCAAGGTCAGATGCTGTGTTCAGATTATATAATCTTCTTACTTATAATTTACTTTAGATAATTTACCTATATAATTTGCATAACTGAGTCTGCTTCCAAGATGCCTATTTCATTCCCTCCAATATTGGGCTTTGGGGTGGGGATGGATAAAGACATGGGAGAGCAAAAAGGCTTACAGAACAGCTCTAGGATAGGAACTAAATTGCACATAACGCAGCAATCATACCCTGTTGCCATGGGAAACTCTTCTCTTCCCACCAGACACCACCTGCATGTTTCTACACATCTACCTACAGCCAAGTTTCCAAGATGCTATATTCAGAGAGGGACAGGTAAAGCACATTTAGTGCCTAGCAGCTAGATGTGGATTCCATATTCCAAAATTCTGGTTCACATGCTCCGTTAAGTTTTAATATGCCTATTATTGGCTGCTTTCCCAGACCTTTAAGAAATAAACCCAGGAAGAAAAGCAATCATAAACCCAACTCTTTTTACAGGGGGAAAATGTAGTTGGTACTCACCATACTGCTTTCTCCAAGGCAGGTGCTACATTGCAAATGTTAGGAAGGATCTGGAGACTTTCAAGGCACACAAAAAACAACGTCCTCCTTTTTCCGCGATGTTAAGCTGGAGTTGTGATGTGCTGAAAACAACTAACCAAGTAACACTTCCGCTTTGTGCTAAGGATGTAGGGAAAGATGAGTGACTAAACAGTTCAAAGGCAGTTCCTTTTTGAAAGCAGCATCCATATTGTTTGAAGACACAGGGAGTAGTCATGGCATGGTCCATTCCATTAAGTGCTGGCTGTAAGATGCAGGCAGGTCTTGCAGAGGCCAATTTTAATGCATGACATGTTGGCTGGGTTACTCTCATCAGAGAAGGTGGCGAGGTCCCCAGAATATTTTGGTAGGATTTCTATCAGAATCTTCGCCCTGTTTCTTCCTGCATCTGCCCCCACCCATGTTTGAATTTCTCTTCCTCAAACTTGAAAATACTGAAATTAAATACTGATCCAATTTAAGTACTAGGTTGCATATTTTCTCTGACATTAAAAAAAGCACCTTACCAAATATCTAAGTTTAAACACGGTGCAAAACGTTTCTTACAGACTTGGCGGTATGATTCCGTACATTCATTTATAACTATTAGAATTCTAAAATGTTCATCCAACGCTTAAGAGAACTATAAATACACAATTCACCATTTTCCTCTAGAGCTTATTGTATATAGATTTACCTGAAGCAGAGGTAAAAATTAAACAGTGCAATGGTATCTATTTTATACACTTCAGGCTTAGTGCTTTTCAACTACTCTAAGGCACAATACTGCTAATCTAGAACAGTAAAAAAACCAGTAACTATATTGTGCAAACCTCTACTTGGAAGCATCTAACAATCCTTTGCATAACAGAAACAATAACTTTACGAACATCTCAGGAATGAATTAAGGTAGAGAAAAATCCAAAAACAGCATACAAAAAAACAACAGTGAAGGGAAAGAGTGGAGAAGAGTTAAAGTTAAATTACTCTCCATGTGCAACATGAACAACTGCTGCACCACTGTGTTTCACAGTCCAAGGTAGCTCGTTTGCGTTGCCCGAGGCACTAATAGATTGCCTGCCAGCTACAATAACTGTGTGGCACACCTTAAAGTTATTGACCTAACAGGCAAATGAAAAAGTCATCAGGTTTTTCGGCAAGCACGTGGCAGAAATTCTCGCAACTACTGGAATACTTTGCAGGTCCATACTATGTACTCAAAACACAATTTTTAAAAAGTAAACCTCAGTGTTGCATATGTGCTATATGTACATTTATCATAAATCACCCACATTTATCTGTTAACCTGTGCAATTTGTACTCCTAGTATTGATCTTGTAATAGCTGTTCTGGCACAGAGGTTACTTCTGAACTTGTTACTCTTTTTCCAGGGGGAGTTTTCACTTGGGAGCTCCCTTCCTTAACTCGATTTGTGTCCCTACAAACCAAGGGACAAGGAAACCAAGCAAAGAAAGAGAACCTGTTTCTTACAAAAGAGTTGCAAAGGGAAATCTCCATGGAAAAACAGCAGCAATCTCAACAAGTGCCAAATGAGCTTTTAAAAAATAGGCCAGTTTTCTAAGTAGCAACAGATATTTTTCCTTCTGGTTCTCACCAACCCTCATAAATTTGTCTCATTTCTCAACTCTCATTTTTGGTCAAAAGAAGGAACTCATACTAGAGTTATTGCATTTTGTATCGGGTATTACTCTTCTTACAAAGCAAAGCCTCTAGTTATTAGCCCTTTTGAAACGTGAATTAGAAAAGTAACACATTTAAGCTAGACACAAGTCCACAGCATTTAAACAAAACAAAATAGACATTTCGCTCCCAGTTCAAGCTGTCAAGCTTTCATACAGTGTTTCCATTAGACAGGTGTTCTTCAAGTCGATTATCTCTGCCATCCGTTTCTAGAAAATACATAACATGTTTAATACACTTTGAGTTCCACTGTCTATATTATAGAAATTATAACACATGCCTAAAGTGCATCATTTAATTGGGAACCAAGTCATCTAAGTTAAAAACAATTTGCATTAACAAAAGCATCATGGTTTAGCCTTGAAGGCAAATGAATTTTGAATTCCCAAAACATTTATCATCACAATAAACAAACACTATTCAGGGTTATGGGCAGTTTCCTAGAAGAAAATATTGTTCTTTCAAGTCAGCCTCTCCTCATCTAAGTTCCGCTTGAGTTTCTATCCTCAAAAAGTGAAACATATATCCCCCCCTTCAGTATCATTTCTGTTGATCCATGTATACAATTGTGTTATGCTCTTCCTGCAGAATGACCACAGCAAAGACCTTCATAAAGTATGCAAAAGAGTTTGGGATTAGTGCTCTGATCTACAAAAAACAGCATGGGAACCTCCTTTGATTTGCCCAGCTGAGTGAGATAATCAAGGTTTTTAAGTCTATCCACAGTTCAACTGAGATGCTGAATCTGACATCTGGTTTCTAGGATATCAGTTCCTACAAAAAAAGAAACACGATATAAGGTTACATACCAAGTAAGGCTGTTCTTTCACTTGCATCCTCTTTTAAACCGTTACTACTTGATGCAGATCCGTTAGCAGAAGATGCTGATAAGTCACTTGTTTCATTTCTGTTCTCTTCTGGCACAGCAATACTCCAGCTCTCGGCCAATATGCTGCCACTTGTTGATTCAGGCATTGCAACTTCTTGTTCATCTGCAGGCCCTCCCTTTGAAGTTGAAAGGGGGGGGGGAGAAGTGTTAACCAGCAAGACCACGGGTAGGCAAACTAAGGCCTGGGGGCCAGATCCGGCCCAATCGCCTTCTAAATCCGGCCCGCGGACGGTCCGAGAATCAGGATGTTTTTACATGAGTAGAATGTGTGCTTTTATTTAAATGCATTTCTGGGTTATTTGTGGGGCATAGGAATTCGTTCATTCCCCCCTCCCCTAATATAGTCCGGCCCCCCACAAGGTCTGAGGGACAGTGGACCGTCCCCCTGCTGAAAAGGTTTGCTGACCCCTGAGCAAGACTGTTATTGAAAAGGGGTGGGGGAGAAGGGAAAAGAGGTCAAGCTAATGTACCAGGAACACACACACACTCTCTCTTTTAAACCAAAACTTATAAGCCAATTTCCTAACTCTTTTCACACTGTAACATAGCCAGGAGGCAGGATGGGGCACAACACAGGTATTTCGGTTGATATTTGCCTGTCTTGGGACAAAATTGGGGCGTGTGCCTTTGGGGGTGAGGTCAAACTGCTTTCCCAAGCCCACATGTTGGCACACCGAAGCTTTGACCACCCCCACACTTAATTCTGAAATCAGCAAAACTGCTTTGCCAAATAAATGCACCACCAGGGGCAGCTTTATACACATCTCAACAGTGGCAGCCACTCATTTATAGAAGCACATCCGTTTTCAGGGGACACATCTGAAATTAGCAACTGAGCTGAGCCAAGCTGCTTTTAGACAACTGCCTGTGGTAGCTCAGCAATCACAACACACACATTCCATCTCAGATACCCAGATAGGTGAAACTTCCCAGGGTTGTCAATCAGGGAGAAAAAAACTTCCACAGGCCTGCTAAATGAGATGCTATGGACTGAGCCTGAAGAGCTCTTCAGGCCAAACATGGATTCTGCTACTACAACAACAATTTATTTTTTGTACCCTGCCCATCTGGCTGGGCTTCCCCAGCCACTCTGGGCAGCTTCAAAAAAAATATCAAAATACCATAATACATCAAACATTAAAAGCTTCCCTAAACAGGGCTGCCTTCAGATGTCTTCTAAAAGTCTGGTAGTTGTTCTCTTTGACATCTGGTGGGAGGGCGTTCCACAGGGAGGGCGCCACTACCGATAAGGCCCTCTGCCTGGTTCTCTGTAACTTGGCTTCTCGCAGCAAGGGAACCGCCAGAAGGCCCTCTTCGCTGGACCTCAGTGTCCAGGTAGAACGATGGGGGTGGAGACGTTCCTTCAGATATACTGGACTGAGGCCGTTTAGGGCTTTAAAGGTCAGCACCAACACTTTGAATTGTGCTCGGAAACGTACTGGTTCAGGCTCACATCCTGGATGGCTGGAAGAGATTGTAGCGCAGCGGACCTAACTCAATGAGTCTTCTCACTGAGGAGCTGAACGTCTGCCCAACTACGGTGATTTAGGAAATGAGCCACTGGGACAAGAAGGAGCCTGAGCCTTTCTAAAAAGATTTGGTCCTACACAAGGAGAACATATGATGGGGGTGGGAGAGGCAAGCTGGTACTTTGCAGTCAGCAGTATTGAGTTTTGATCTTGGTTTGGTTGCTCTTGCCAGATTGTTTCGTCAACATGTACCTGTCAGTATATGGAAACATCGCAGTTGCAAACCGCCAGCTTGTTGACATCACATGATGCGGCTAACTGTGGGAAAGAATTTCCCAGGAAGTTCACAGGCTGGAAAAGGCTCTGTGAAGAGTGTAATTTGAAACCTTCCGTTTGCGCATGTACAGGAAGTTTGTCTGACTTGCTAGAAGAACTGAACTGAAAGGGCGTGTTTTTCTATGGTGCTGTAAAGTCAGAAATAAAAGAATGTAAATAGACGTTTCTGACTTATCTCCTTTCCCTGCTAGGGAAGAAGCAGGAGGAGGGGGTGTGCATTTACCCACGCTGGGAAAATGTCGCCTATCAAAATCTTCCTGGTCTGTCTGGGATATCAGCCAGAGGTGGTTACCGGTAAGCAAGCTCCGAGAGCAGTGAGAGGGGGACTTGTAAACCAACAGTACCTAGTTTTCACTGGTGAAGTTCAACGAGACAGATTTCCGGCTTCTGATTATGCAGAATTGAATTGACCATAACAACAGGCACCTTCTCTAGATAAAACCAGCTTGGGCTCCTCCCTGCAAAAAGTAATATGCCGTGGCTGGCTGGATGCTTGGCTGGCGCAGGTATTACCTGGCCCCAAACAGGATGCCTAGAGCCTTATCACAGATTTAGTTACACATTTCCAACCTACCCAATATCCGAGAGCTTTGATGACATCTAGTTTGCACATTGGACACGTTCTGTGTTCCAGCAGCCAGGGATCGAGGCAATGCCTGTGAAAGACGTGCCTGAAGAGACATCATAGTTTTTGAAATCAAATATAAGGGCTGTTCTTTTATGCAATGTAATTTGGCAACATTAAAGGAACAAAAAGCTTATCTAAAGCAAAACTTCGATAAGGCAGCATTGCAGCGTTTGCTGAGCAGGCCGAAAACAATCCCCACCTTGACAAGATCCAGGGTAACTATGCAATTCAATCTTCCGCACAAATTAAATCTGTAGTTAATAGTGGCGCACGGACCACTGAATGACTGTATGGGGTTACACCTGGGGGATGGTCTGGAAATTTCAGCTAGCACAGAATGCTGTGGATCGGCGGCTGAATGAGGGCCCGTATCATCAGAATATAATGCCCCCCTTTGAAGGATCTACTCTGGATGTTAATTTGCTAGCAAGCAAAGACAGATATTGATAGATATATATATATATCCCTAAAAAAGTTAGGACATGGTAATTTGAGAAGCTGTCATCTCCAATACTGCCCTAGTCAGTCCCCGAACAGGGAAAGACCCTTCTGCTGGCAGCACATGCCCCTGAGGTTGGTTTTGACAATCTACCCGTAACGGGGCATTTCAATGTGGTGGCACCCACTTCATGGAACCCACACTGGACAACTTGTCAGGAAATGCTGTCCAGCAGCCACAAGTTCCTCATCCCTGTTTTTAGGGCACAGAAGTTGGAAGAAATGAACGAATGCCTCCTTATCGCTAGCATTGTACAAAACCTGCGAGTTCATAGGCTTGAATGAAAAATAAATCAAAAAGCTACTGTGCACTTATCTTTCTCCAATCTTAAAAACACTGGGGACTCGATTTTTTTTAATGCATTTTGTTAAATAGTTCCCAAGTAATGATACCCCACTGAAGCAAATTTAAATAAGCTTACTTGCAAGGCAGGATTCGAACGATATCCTTTGGTTTGTAGTTTTCAATGCATACAGCGCAATTTTCAGCATCGACATTCAAGCCCTGTAGAAGAACAAATAAGCAGGGGAAAATAAGCAAGGAAGCAATTCAGATACCAGGACAAGAATTTCTAAAGAAATGCAACATTACAGAGCACACAAATGATACAAAAAGACTAACTTAATCTGAAATACCATGTTAAGAATATACAGCAAGTATCTTTGCATCTGCAAAGCGGCCAACTCAAATTCTAAATGTTGAAATACCATAACAGATTACAAAAATTGGCTGGAAAGTAGTGAGCTGATCAATTTCAAGCCAAGTGAAAATACAGCAAGCTACATGAGGTATTCCATACAGGTCTTACCTGAAATTCCCATTGATACTCAAATAGAGTGAGACTTAAGTTAGAATATTTGTAGTTTCTAAGTCAGGAGCAGAAATCAAGTAAACCAAATTATTCAGAACGCTGGACTATAAAGTTCAGCCACAACCAATATACCATATTTTTCGCTCTATAGGATGCACTTTCTCCCCTCCAAAAATGAAGGGGAAATGTGTGTGCGTCCTATGGGGCGAATGCAGGCTTTCGCTGAAGCCTGGAGAGCGAGAGGGGTCAGTGCGGACCGACCCCTCTCGCTCTCCAGGCTTTAGGAAGCTATCTGCAAGCCTTCGGAGCATGGCGGGAGTGCCCGCCGGGCTCCAAAGGCTTGCGGATAGCAGCCTGCAGCCCGAAGCCCAGGGAGCGCAGCACTGCGCACCCCGGGCTTCGGGCAGCTATCCGCCGGGCTCAGAAGGCTTGCGGATAGCAGCAAGCTCCAGGAGTAAAGGCGAGGTTGCGCGCATATATATATATCTGCATTTATTTTACGCAATCTCTTAAGCCACTCATATACGGTTTTCGTGATGATCAGGACACTTGTTGCTAAAATACATAGCTATAAAATGGTTTAACTCAGCCAAGTAGCAACAGCAAGACTTTTGCTGCTATTGGCTCTGCCCAGAGAAACCTATTAACTCTGCTTGGGCAATTATGAACACTCTGCTGTAAGTATCCAGGCGTGGCTCAGTCATATTAGCATTTGGTATCAGTTAGATCATCTTCACAAATTATTGCAAATTCCAACTGATATTATTATATTACTGTGTTACTGCCAGAAATTCAGAGCAGTTCCCATAACTAAAAACAATTATGTACAATTTTGTATTTGTGTGTCTTCTTGTACAATTATGTGGTGCACTGAACAAATTATAGACTCATGACCTAGGGTTTTAGAGCAAACAAGAACATGAGACTCCCTTTCTCAGAAACAGCGTGGTGTTTTTGTTTTTTTTAAAAAGATACTTTTGGCATGCTTAAGACCTTGGGTTTGCATTCTGGAATGCTTGTTCTATTATTATTGTTCTGTTTTTGCCATATCACAGACTTTTTAAAAAAAAGGTCATTGGTTTCAGAAGCAGCTTACCATGTGTCATCACAAGCTGCTATTGATTAAGTTCCCTTGGGTGTATGGAGCAACCAACGAGATTCTACATACACCTACCTGTGTATGTAACCAGGCAAAGGAAGTTCACAGAATCACAGAACTGATGAGTTGGAAGGGACCATGAGGATCATTTAATATAATAATAATAATAATAATAATAATAATAATAATTTTTTATTTATACCCGCCCTTCCTGGTTCAGAAAACCGGGCTCAGAGCTGTTAACAACAAATTTAAAACACTTAATTGATGCAACAAAAAACAGCATAAAATACAGTATAAAACGTGAATAACAAAATCAGAATTCAAAAATCAATTTGGGGGAAAATCCATCCAATAAACATTAGATGATCACCAGGGCTAGCTGGCTAAATTAGTCCTATTTGGGCCAGCGAGGAGACCAGGGGAGAATTAGCTGTGGGATCCCAGAGCGGGTAATCTTCATAAAAAGGGGAGGGGGAGGGAAGGCTAAGTTCAAATTGAAAGCCAGGCGGAGCAGCTCTGTCTTACAGGCCCTGCGGAAGGAAGTTAAATCCTGCAGGGCCCTGGTCTCAGGGGACAGAGCATTCCACCAGGTCAGAGCCATCACTGAGAAGGCCCTGGCCCTGGTGGATAATCTGATTTCCTTAGGGCCCAGGACCTCTAAACTGTGATTATTCATGGACCTTAAGGTCCTCTGCGGGGCATACCAGGAGAGGTGGTCCTGTAAATACGAGGGCCCGAAGCCCAATTTAGTTCAATCCCCTGTAAAGCAGGAATATTCTGCCCATTTTGGGGCTCAAACCCATGACCCTAAGAATAAGAGTCTCATGCTCTTCTGACCAAGCCATCTTATTTCATTTCATTTTAAAGAAACTCTGCTAATGGAAGACGTTTCCATCTACATTAGTCTGATTGACATTACCTTATCTTCATGCTTTACAATATGCAGTGGAAGCTGGCCAATTGCTTTTATGGTTTCTTCTCTATGGCCCTAAAAAACAACAGCACCATACACACAACCAATTCAATCAGTAGTGCATATTTAAATGAGATTATATGAGAAACTGAAGGAACGGGTTTCCAAAACCCAAAACTGACTGTGCAGGCAGTTTGAAACGGGCACCAAAATCCCTATTTTTCCTTAGCTAAAATCCATTAACTTGAGCTCTGAGTCAATGTATAAACAAAAACCTGGCTGTATAAACAAGTGCTCAGAGCCCTCTCCTTTATCAGCTCGTGACAGCAAGGATGACCTTGGCTGTTCCAGTGGAGTAGGGATGACATGTCTAGGTCTTATCTTATGTCCTGACACACAGACCTAGTCCGGGAATAGTGCCAGAGTGTGTTCCCAAGTTGGTTACCTCTTGCTCCAAGATAAGAGTAGGAACAGGAATACCCTTTTATGGTCAGAAGTACAGGAAGGAATATCCTTTTATGGTCTGAAGTACAGGAAGGAATACCCTTTTATGGTTAAGAATACCGGAGCAGGAACATATGTGATGTCAGCCTGTGTGTATAGGCTGACGTGGTTAGATTCCTGGGGAAGGAGGGAGAGGGTGCCTGGAGGATATATATACTGCATGAAATTTCTCATTTCTTTGGACTTGCTGTGGACACACCACACAGGTGTCTTTCTGCTGTTCCGGAAAGCAGAAATAAAGAACTCTTTCTCTGAACCAACCCTCGGTGTCATTTGACTTCCTTCCTCCTGTCCGGGAGCAATGCAGACCCAATCGGTGAACTCCAGTAAGGCTACAAAACCACCTGAGATGCTGAGTAATCTAACAACTCACTTATCCAAGATCTAAGGGTTCCTTTAACTGAAAGGCACAAAAGCACCTATAATCCTGCACCTATGTTGGCCCAGTGTTAACACATGAAATGGGAATGTGCACAGGATATTGGCAAATGTGCAATATGCACATGAAGGTAAGACTCAGATCAAAACCATTGCAACAGTGCTTCTCTCTATGCCAAGCACAGGAATCGCAGCCCTAATTACAAGCAAACATTTTTCACTACAGAAATTGAAGAAGAAAAATCACCCATGTAATTACCTGGCTTCTAAAATGCGATCCACTATAGAGGAAGCGCTGTATATAAAAAAATATAAGCCATGCCAACGATATGATCATCATGGTGATAAATGCAATCGATACAAATACAACAGACTGTCCACTGATATATTCTTGCATGTGTTGCTTGCCAACACCAATAGACATCCTCACTGGTATCCCTCTTCGCACCAGTTCCAAGATCTCCATGCCTTTGGGATATCCAACCATAATTACAACTGCATTGCCAGTACCTGTCAAGGGAAAGAAAAACAGGAGTCATGTGGGCTCTTGCACAACTTTTTTATTCTCTGTATGAAATCCAGGCAACCTTACATAAAGTACACAAGAAGTAATTTTGCTGTAGTTTTTCCTTCAAGATCCCACCCAGCATGTTGTTGGATATGATGCAAGAATAAGTCCTACATCTGCCATGCTCTCCCCCTTATAATAGGGAAAACAAAGTCTTAAATTATAATAAAATCTTAGAATCCAGGAATCTTTTCACTCTAGACATTCTGTGGCGTTCATCTCCTGACATGTCCTCCTTCTATTTGAGGGTTATCAAGATTCCCACATGCCAATTTGTGGTTGCTGGTTTTTCTGGCGGGGGGGAGGTACTGTCTTCTGTTTGTAATATTTTGTATTTCATCTTATTTCATTCTATGCCACTTTGGTAACTTCTTGTTGTGAAATGGTTTACAAATCTGCAATCAAGAGACATGTGGACCGTAAGAGTGTCTTGATATTTGAGTTTTCCTCTCTACTAAACCCTTGTTGTTTTTGGATTATTGGCTCCTTGTGATTGCCATACCCGACAGCCCAAGCAAGATTACACATAAGGATGAGAGGCCATATCATGCATAAATTTAGCTTGAGATTAAGATTCATTTTGAAAATATAAATACAATGAATGATGGTGAATAGACCTGCGATGTAACTATGTTTACTTGCCACCCACCTGTTCCCAAACTTTAAATAGCATGCACTTGGGCTCAACTTTTACTGTGCTTCCTATATGTATGCTTAAAACCCAGAAGAGGCGGAATAAGATCAACAGCATTGTTTTGCTATAAGTAAGCCAATAAGAAAAACATCCCTCCTCCACATTAAGTTTGTAACTGACAATATTCTGATTTTGCAAATGCTTCAACACTGACTAAAGTGATTGCAGACACTGCAACTGCAATAACTAATTTCACAACACAGAGAAGGGCTGCGTTCGAGAAAAGAAAAATATATAGTGCATATAAACAGTTCCAGTGACCTACTTTTAAGAAGCAGTTTCGTATCTTGGCCTCTTAAGTTATCAGGATGTCAATCAGGATGCTCAAATGTTGCAATCCAGAGATGCTACATGTTTGTTTTTAATCAAAGAAGAAACAGGCCATTCATGATTCAACCACGCTTCTCTTAACCAGTTCCTCCATTTATCAGCCTTCCTCATCTCCAATTTCCATATATGTAGCATTTGGGGCTTGGGGAAGAGAACTTAATACTTCTCTACTCATGAAACTCTGGCCTTAGGGCTACAAGCTAGGCATCAACCAACCACGTGCAATTCCCCCACCCCACAAAAGTCAGGACAGAAGAAGAGGTCCCACACAAAGGCCATGGGAAACAATCCGTGTGTAGACATCGACTCCAGTTTTGCTTCTGGGTCCAATTCAAAGTGCTGGCAACTAGTACACAAACTGCTTAGAGCCACATTGGTAAAGGTAAAGGACCCCTGGACGGTTAAGTCCAGCCAAAGGCGCCTATGGGGTTGCGGCGCTCATCTCGCTCTATAGGACGAGGGAGCTGGCATTTGTCCACAGACAGTTTTCCGGGTCATGTGGGCAGCATGACTAAACCGCTACTGGCACATGGAGGACCATGATGAGTGCCAGAGCGCACTGAAACTCTGTTTACCTTCCTGCTGCAGAGGTACCTATTTATCTACTTGCACCAGTGTGCTTTCGAACTGCTAGGTTGGCAGGAGCTGGGACCGAGCAACGGGAGCTCACCCCGTCACAGGGATTCGAACCGCGACCTTCCGATTGGCAAGCCCAAGAGGCTCAGTGGTTTAGACTACAGCGCCACCCATGTCCCTTAGAGCCACATTACCAGAATCTGAAGGACCACCTCCTCCCATGGAGATCTGCCCGTGGCAGATAATCTTTGAAAGCCCTGTTATATGTCAGCCTACCATCAAAATCCCCACTAGGAATGCTATGCTGCCCTGTAACTTTTAGACTGGAAGCGAAAACATTTTCTTATTTCTCTTGGTGTTTGATCTTATATTTAATGTTTTAACTCTGCTGTCCTTGGCTTTGGATGTTGTGCTTTTATTCTATTATTGCTGTGTAGTTTTCTTTCTTTTCTGAATGGCACCCAAGCTGGTTTTCCTGTGTCCTCCCTTCAACCCAATATGCATCAAAAGTGCACCTGTATGTTACCAGGCTTCTATTGTACATGATGCCCCCATCTGCTCATGCAATCTGGCTCCATTATGTCTTGCTTTCAACAAGCCACAGTGTTTTTAAAATACTTAGGAAACCTGAAATATTGCTGCGATGAATCATACATATGCAGCCTCCTTGAGGCTGTTTTCCCCAAACGATTCTTGCAATCACTTCATATGCTGCTTTCCACTCCATTACACCAAAATGCACCCAAGAAGAGGCTTTATACTTGTCCTCGCAAAAAAAAAATTATGTTAGTTATAAAATCATGCTCAGCATCTTTATGCAGGTCATTTTGAGTACAGCACATTTATTTCTGAATGCTGATGGAACGCTGTGTCCTATAAAAGCGCACATAGTATCTGCCTGCTGAGGCTTCTTTCCTGCACCTCTTGTATAATTGCACAAGCTAGAAAGCCGAAAAAATATTTAGAGGAACTTGCAAACAGGTAGCAGGCATACAGGATGTGGATCCAGGAAGCTACTGTGTTTTGAAATAACTAGATCCAAACAACTTGCTTTTCAGTTTATTTGGTGTTTTATACAGAAGCACTGACCATTTTCTCTTTCAGCTACAGTGGTAGCTCGGTTTAAGTACAGTCCGCTTTAAGAACGATTTGGTTTGTGAACTCTGCAAAACCGGAAGTAATGTCCCGGTTTGCAAACTTTACCTCTGTCTAAGAACGGAAGCCGAACGGTGTAACGGCACTGGCGGCAGGAGGTCTCATTAGGGAAAGCGCGCCTCGGTTTAAGAACGGTTTCAGTTTAAGAACGGACTTCCGGAACGGATTAAGTTCGTAAACCGAGGTACCACTGTATCTGAAAAGTCCTATATCACATTTTCATAAAAGGGAACGATACTACTTTGTAGGCCTCCCTTCAGCATCTTCATTTCCTTGCTCCTCCCCACAGCTGCTCTTGTTTCTGTGTCAAACCTGCTAAACCAAATCACATCTCCAAACAAACCTGCTGTACAAGCTCAGCCCTGTTCCTATTTCCAGAGACTTTGCAAATGATCCCTGAGTAAGGAGTTTACCTTCCCTTAAACCTGGCTTAACTTTTGCACAGCTTCCGTTGCTCCTCTTGGTTCACTGCTAAGAAGTATTATTATTATTATTTAAATATCGTCCTATACCCGGAGGTCTTAGGGCGGTTTACAGTATGCACTCCTGATTATGTAGCTCAGTAGTAAAGTACTTTCTAGTTTGAGGCTTTTTAGGCTTCCATTTCCATGCTAAGAAGTTAATGGGGGGGAGGGGGGGCAGGAAATAAAATTATGAACAGTATACAGAAATAAATTTTTATTCTTGCACAGTAACTAGGACCTGGATTCAGGAGAGACAAAAGGAAGTATTTCTTCACACAGTGCGTAATTAATTTATGGGATTCATTGTCACAAGATGCAGCAACAGCCTACACTCACGGTTAAAGGTAAAGGGACCCCTGATCATTAGGTCCAGTCGTGGACGACCCTGGGGTTGCAGCGCTCGTCTCGCTTTACTGACCGAGGGAGCCGGCGTACAGCTTCTGGGTCATGTGGCCAGCATGACTAAGCCGCTTCTGGCAAACCAGAGCAGCGCACGGAAATGCCGTTTACCTTCCCGCCGGAGTGGTACATATTTATCTACTTGCACTCTGACGTGCTTTCGAACTGCTAGGATGGCAGGAACACTCAAGTTTAGGTGGTTTTACAAGAATGCTAAGCAAGTTATTGGTGTATAAGTCGAATAATGGCTGTAAGAAACGATGGCTACACAGAACTTCCATATGCAAAGGCAATACTGTGTACATACTGCCTTTAAAGCACATTTGAAGCACATTTCTTCCCACAAAGAATTCTGGGCACTGTAGTCGGTTAAAGTTTGCTGGGAACTGTAACTTTATGAAGGAAAAACTATAGTGCCCAGAATTCTTTTGGAGATGTGCCTCAAAAGCGCTTTAAAGATATAGTATGTCCACAGGAGTGTGCCACTGAAAACCAGTTGCTAAGATCAGCAACCGGCAAAGGCTTCATCTCTATTTGTGAACTTCTTGGGAGTCATTCAGTTGACAACTGTGTGGCACTGTGAGGAGCATGATGAGAGGACCAGGTCCACATCCCCACCCTTTAAACCTCACTGGTAGACCTTGGGCTAGTCACTGTATCACCAAAACCTAGTTCACAGGGAAATGATAAAGACAAAATATAGGAAGGGGGGGCCAATCATTGTACCTTGAGCTTCTTGGAAGAAAGAAAAGGATAGAAAAGGATAGAACACAAACCAAGGTGCTGGGCTGCCTTTGGTTTGATGCAACAGGGCTAATTCGTTTTTACTCAAGTCAACTTCTGCTGCTCCACATGTGCACCTGTAGATGTGAGGGATGTTTGGTCCAAGCTAAGGCCTTGCCTACACAAACGAGGTAGTAAAACAGACCATCCCTACAGGTGGGGGAGAGAACTTTTTGAAGATGTTCTCTGAAAACAAGCACAATACAATCTGGGCAGACTTGGCCAAAGGAGTGTGTGCATTCACATGGGACTCAAAAGTAGCATCCACCACCTGCGCACAGCCTGTGGCACTGCCTGCCACATGGCACACCACACCAGCCCTAAATTCACACGGCACTTGCTTCCAGGGAAGTTTTCTGCAGCCTTGTTCCCCACTTTTGATGCGACTACACGATGCGCCAAACCCCAAAGGTCCCCCCACTCCAAGCTTCCCCGAGTTGCCACTTCCCAAACTCTTCTTCCCTTTCAGCATCACTCACCGTAATTATAGGACATGGTCAGGGTGGAGTTGCCGAACCTGGGCTCGTTGTAGATCACCACGGCAGCCGCCCGCTTCCTCACGGCGTTGGCGATTTTGTCCTTCAAGCTGCAGCCCCCGTGCGCCACCAGAGCGATCCACGACGGAGGCGTCCCCGCGAATTGCGCTCCGGGCGGCCTGGGGATCTCGTAGTCGATCCCCGGCGCGCAGCCTTCCATGTGGCGGCCGCTCCCCGCTCCGCCGCCGCCGCCGCCGCGGGGGATGCCCACCAGGCCTTGCGCGCTGTCCTTGGGCGAGCCGTCGCCGTAGCGGCCGCTCTCGGTGCTCTCCTGCACCGTGCGGTTGGTGCCGGGCTCGGTGTACATGGTGGTCACCCAGGCCGTGTACCACACCAGGGACCAGGCCACCCGCGGGCACCCCACCGCCGCCAGCGCCAGCAGCAGAGGCAGCGCCACGCGGCGCAACAGCACCATGGCAAACCCCACACGCGCGCGCGCTTGGCGAATGGAGCGCCCAGACCGCCTGCACCGAAAGGCGGCAGCGCCGGCGCAAGCGGCAACCTCCGCGTTCCCGCCCCTTCCTTCCTTCCTTCCCTGGGAGGCGGCCCTGCTCATCCGCCCGCCCGCCCCGGCCAGGAGAAAGGCAAGGAGGCGGGGACTCGACGGCCAGGCCTCCTTCCTGCGCCCAAGCAAAGCCGCCCTTTCCTTCCCTCATAAATGCAGCCTGGCGCGCGCGCGCGCGCTCTCGTTCGGGAACCGCCCCCTGCCCCTTTTCTTCCCCAGGGGAGAAATCAAAGGGCTGCGCGCGCGCGCACGACCAGGCAACCCCAGCCCTGTCTACTCAGGAGTCGTGCATGAATTCAGTCCGGCTCGCGCCCAAGTGTGTAGGCTCGCAGCCTCAAACTGCAGTCCCCACGCACCTGGGAGTAAGCCTCGTTGAATTCAATAGTCAATGATTCAATGATCAGGGTAAGAAGAAGAAGAATTATTATTTATGATTTATACCCCACCCATCTGGCTGGGTTTTCCCAGCCACGCTGGGTGGCTCCCAACAAAATATTAAAAACAAAAAAATCAAACATTAAGTACTTCTCAAATTGTCCCTTGGGCTGTATACATGATGTATGTTTAAATAATAAATCAATTTTCCCTTTCCCAAGTACAGTATGTTGGGAACTGTAGTTTATCCATCAGAGCTACAACTCCCAACAACCTTTCCAAACTACAGTTCCCAAGATTATTATTCTTTGTGTGTGTGGTGGGGGAGATTTTATTTAGTTATGTGGCGCTTGATTCCTGGCGACTGTCCTTTAAGGGTGCTGGCAATTGTAGCTGTGAGGCGATAACTCTGTTTTCCAGGACTCTTGGCGACGTCGTGTACTTTAAATGTATGGTGTGGACGTATCTGTAACATTTAATTGGGGGGGGGGATATGCTAGAAATGAGTATCTCTAGGTAAGATTATGGCAATGCGTTAGGCATGGCCTGCCTCTGAAAATGTTCGAAAACTTCAGCTGTTGCAGCTAGTTCACTCCATCTTCTTCACAATGTAGACAGTTGCCGGGAAGTGTACGTTAAGTCAGGAGACTGCTGTTGTGCTTGTGGGCTTCCTGTGGGCAGCTGCTTGACCACATTTGTATGGCACCTTGAGAAGAATAAAATCTATATCCTCCCCCTTCAACTATTGGGCAAAAGTTACAATAACGAGTACATTTTGCCTTTATCCCAACACATGGATGGCCCTTAAGACATTTTGAAAGTCCTATTATGTCAAGCAACCTGGAGGCGGGAAGACCAGCAGTGCCTGGTCCCTGCCAAACAATAAAACAGTGCACTGTCCACTGAACTATGAGCCATAGTTAACGTTAGCTATGATGTACTGCAACAACCCAAGTTCATTAACCATGGTTTGCAATTGGCTTGCTTCAATAGACCATGGCTACACTAAGCACACAGCACGTCCAGGTCCAGACATAACAAATCACTGTCCCCTGAAAATCAAAGCAAAAGCTTCTAATAATCTCATACTGCAGAAAGAGAAGGGAGTGGGGTCTCCATGAGCCCAACACTAAGGCTCACAATACCAGGCAACAGTTAAATGTGAATGCAGCCACATTCTGAACGGTTAAAGCAAAGTTAAAGACTTGACTTCTTCTTTGGTCTTCCAGAAAAGCATGTTAGGATACAGAGTTGTCCCAAAACCATATTGAAAGCATCTTAAGAGTATAGCATTTTGTAAGATAATTAAAGACAAATGTGTGCCTAAGGAAAGGTGGAATCTATAATGTCAACTTAATTAAAATTCTGTACATACTTTAAGCAGCTCTTTCCAGTTTCATGTGAACAACTAGGTGCAGTAATATAACCACCATCATATATATATATATATACCAGCCATTTCATTTTGGGTCCCGATTCTTGTCCAGTTTCAAAAATTATAATGAGCACATCCTGTGGTATACATGTTCATAAAAATCCAGGAATATTTAAACACCTTAAAGAAGAGTCCAGTATCATCTGTCTCCAGCCTTAACATTCATTTTCATTTCAGAGGCCCTTACTGTGTCAACCTACTCCATTTAAGAGAAATGGAGCCATTTGAAGTACTTTGCACAAAAATACTGTTAAATAGTCGGTACCATAGAATATAAAACAGTTGCACCTCCCACCCAACCCCCAAAGTAAATATGAAACACTGAATCCTCTTATTTGGAATTTTGATCAAGCTTTACTGGGAACTGCTTTGAAATACTCCTCCACTGCAATGGCGGCAATTCCTCCATACCAATTCTGAAGCCAGACATGTTCAATGTTCATTTTCATAAAGAACCATTCATAATTGCGAGGCCATTTTCTCATTGCTGGGTGCCTGGAAGAACAAAAGGTAGCCAAACAGGTTAGAATAAGGCAGGTCCGGAAGGCTTCTTCCAGCCAATGGTCCCTAGAATTCTTTGGAAATAATGTGAGTTTCAACACTAGCAGTAATTACTATCCTTTAGGACAGCAAATATTTAAGCCCAAATATGTGCATGGCACAAACAACAAGAAACCCTAAACGTTCAGGGATGAATCCAGACTTTGTAATACTTAAGAGTAGTCCTGCTGAAAACTGTGAGACGTAGGAGTGTGTTTATCTTCCACATTTCCGCTTGTCCTTCCTGCTGCTTTGCCCCGGGGAAAACCTGCTGTTTACTGCTGAATTGGAGCAAATGTCAATCAGGTTTTCTGTGGACTGGCGTTTGTTCCAATTCAGGGGCAAACAGTGGGTTTGCCTGGGGAAAGCAGTGGGACAAGCAGAAAACCTCACAGACCCATTCTTTTTAAGCACAGGACAGGTGGAAGCACTATGTATTACTAAGGGAGCAATCCAAACCCAAGGTTTGCCAGGATGAGTGGCGTTTGGAAGAGGTGGCTCTCTAGCTAATGCCCCTAATCAGCGGTAGATACGCCGTTGTAAGTCCTCCATTCTGGCTCAGCTGAACCAAGGCCAGGGTGCGTCCTGAAAACGGGGTGTTATGGGTCATGGGGAGGCAAGAGCAGACTTACTCCTGTTCCAAACTCTTTCAGTTCAGCCATGGGACCCAGCAACCCAACGGAAACTACAGTGGTAAAAAAGGGTGGTGTAAGTAAAACTCTGCTTTAAAACTATTTAAAACTCTATTGTTTTTCCTTACAGGCTCAGACCAGCTCAAGCTAGCGGTAGCCCCACTCTTGAACTGAGTATGCCATAGGGGTAAATTACACACGACACAAATTACCCTGGCATAAATTACCCTTGCTTTCTGTTGTTTGGGTTGCTCTGTTGGGCTGCAATACTAGCTACGCTTACCCGGGAGTAAGTGCCACTAAATTCAATAGGAATTAGTTCTGCATCCTGACATGTGTAGTAGGATTGTGATGTTGTGCCAGCTAGTGTACTGTCGAGCATTCCCTCACATTAACCTTGGACATTATTCAATCAATGCTAAAGCATCTTTAAAACCCATGGATTTCAAATAAGAGAGTTAAGCACTGACCATAAGGATTTACAAGTACGGTACTTAAAAAGTGCCTGGGAGGAACCCAAGTTTTCAATTAACATTTGGCTCTTGCTAGCAGATGCGTTAGGGAGAAGTTCCGTTCTGGGGGTGGGAGACAATGCTCATGTATTATTCCTTCAGTTCTTGGTCCAAATGCCTTATTTTATTTCACCCCCACCCCTCCTGTTAGCACAGTAACATTAGATTCATACAGACCTAGAAAACAATGCTTGCTTGGCAAATTCCATTTCTTCCAGAGGCACCGTCACCATCTGCCCTGTAAGAATAAGTCTGACACACCGTGGATCATCAGGGTCAACGATTGTTTTTCTGTAAGCAAAGAAAAGTGTTTATGCTATATGGCAGCTTAAAGATTAACTAATTTATTATGGCGTAAACCAGTCTTTGCTAACATGGCACCTTCCATGTGGACTACAATTCCCATCAATCCCAGCCAGGAGTAGCTTATACTGGCTAAAGCTGATGGGAGTTGTAGTCCACAAATTCTGGAGGGCACTCTGGTTGGTGAAGCTTTAGTGGACTACAGGCCATTTGTTCAAAAGTTGTGTTACTGCACTTCAGAACCTGTACCTGCAGATCTACATGTGTTAACTTCATATGTAAACTTAAGCAGTCTTCAAAATATGGACCAGACCATACCAGTTTATTGTGAAGGGCAGATATTACACATTTCTGTTATGAGTGATATAGGTATGGGTGTCAGAGGCAATAATATAAGGGCAAATGAAGACGTCTATATCCTGTCTCACAGAAGGCAATGATTCTCAACAAAATTCCATTATCTGTTATAAAAAAAAATAGGGAACCATTGAGACACACAAACAGATGCCCACGTCAAATATTAACCAGCATTGTATTCTCAAAAAGAAGGTATGGATACAAACAATTTGTTTTTAACACTATCACAACCCTTGCTGAAATAAAATAGTTTTATTAATGTTTGGTACAAAGAGGTATTGCTATACTGATCCCCTAAAGATTCAGGTTATCTGTCTTACTATAACAAATTTATACTAAACTCTTTGTTGCTCTTTATGTAAGAACAACATAAACGATTGGGTAACATATAGCAATACCAGCAAAGGAAGTCACAACAGGTTCAGTAGAACTAATACCAGTTTCTATTTATTGTTCGTTTCTACTTTTATCCCTCCCACACGCTTTGGAAGGTTATTACCTATTATGCAGGCATAAATCAAAATCGCATTGTGTTTATTGGGGAGGGGTGTTATTAGATTGTTGTTTTTATTTTGAGTATGTATTTTGTTGTTTTATATTTTGCTTTTATTCTGCGACCCGCCCCGGGACCTCCGGTTATAAGGCGGTATATAAATTCAGAAAATAATAATACACATGAATAAACTTGCATAGGACCGCATCCTTAACTTTGCAGATTTGAAAAGCTGCTCGCAGCAATATATTTCTGAGTAATAAGAAAATGGAATTAATTTCCCCTCACTTGAACTATACTTGGTTCAGGCTGCCATTCTAGGCACACGTTCCTGCGAGTAAGCCCCGCTGAATGCATGTTGCAATATATCATATAAGAAGATGACTCTAGCAAATCTGATTTAGGGAGCTGCAGCCTGTGTGCAATAAAAGCTGTCATTCACCAACCATATATTCTGGCGTAGTTTCTCTATTGTACCATCCAGCTGAAATTTATGCGAGTTCTCCAGATTAAATGCTTTGTGCACTGCATCCCAAAACTGCAGGTCCAACCTCCCGCAGCACTTCACTATTAGCATACCTACAAGAAAGAATAATAGCGTACTGCTTCCGTCTGTCTAGCATAGCTTGTTTTTCTCCTATGTTCTACCTCTTTAGGCAGCTGTAATGTGCCTGTTTTATGAATAGCATTTAGTTTAGTGCAGTGGAGAGAAATAAGCTTGTACTAAATTCTCATAGACCACTGGTACCCATTGTGGTGCCCTTGAAAAGATGTTGGATCTTCCATCACCTTGATGGCTTAGGTTGATGGGAGTTGTAGTCCAAAAGCATCTGGAGTCACCAGGTTGGATACTACTGTCACAGGGCAATGTAAGAGGTGTTTCCGTATTATCCAGGTCTTTGGCTAATTCAACAGTCTGTGGTCTTTTGAACGATGAGGGGCAAGGGGACATTGTTTTTGCTTGTTACAATGTTATGTATTAGGGACCCGGGTGGCGCTGTGGGTTAAACCACAGAGCCTAGGACTTGCCGATCAGAAGGTCAGCGGTTCGAATCCCCGTGATGGGGTGAGCTCCTGTTGCTCGGTCCCTGCTCCTGCCAACCTAGCAATTCAAAAGCATTTCAAAGTGCAAGTAGATAAATAGGTACCGCTCCGGCGGGAAGGTAAACGGTGTTTCCGTGCGCTGCTCTGGTTCGCCAGAAGCGGCTTAGTCATGCTGGCCACATGACCTGGAAGCTGTACGACGGCTCCCTCGGCCAATAAAGCGAGATGAGCACTGCAACCCCAGAGTCGGTCACGACTGGACCTAGTGGTCAGGGGTCCCTTTACCTTTACCTTTATGTTATGTATTTTTGTGCTTTTATATTGTAAACCACCCTGTGATTGTCGGATGAAGGGTGGTATAGAAATTTAATTAATAATAATAGTAACAACAACAACAACAACAACAGTCCTTATGTTTAAACTAGGGTGCTTCCGGTAAAAACAGGTAACCTGTTATTGGGCATTCATCCCAGTTTGATTGCAGGGTGGTTAGATTACATTAGCCAATTATTGAGCATGCATTCTGAATTTGCAGAGGTGGTGGTTGGGGGGAGTTACGCAACATTGCTTCAAGCAAGTGTTATCCCACATTTTGCAATGCCTTTCCCCAACTCTGTCCTTATCACATGGGGGGGCAGGGGCAGGGAGGGAACCAGTTTGTTGTGCACACTCTTCAAATCAGCTTTGATTGCCAACCTGAATGCGGCTGGGATGCGATTGTGAATCTGCACCTGAAAAGGCAACAGTCTGGAAGTGCCCCCAGTTTTAAAGCATAATCCTAGATGTATCTTCTCAGACGTAAGTCCTGCTCAGTTCAGTGGGGCTTACTCTCAGGTTACAAAACGGCAGCATAAACATCTGGATAAATTCCAGATTGTGAAGAAACGCAAACAAAACAGTTGTGTAATTCTAGGTGGAGGATGTGTTGAAAAGCATTGTTTCTTTTCCACCTACTTATTCCTCTTCTTTCACACATGTGAATTCCCAGTTTGAGAATGACTCAGGAAAGGAGCCTGTCAACCTGCTTATTAAAGTCTGTGCCTACACGAGAGTACTGTCAACATCAAATTTATTAGTGTATGCTGGAGTTTCACTGAATGTTTCACCTGATCATTCATAGCTGTCATGAAACAGTTCTAAGATTATTTATGCTGGTGCACTATAACAGAAGGGACGCGGGTGGCGCTGTGGGTAAAACCTCAGTGCCTAGGACTTGCCGATCGTATGGTCGGCGGTTCAAATCCCCGCGGCGGGGTGAGCTCCCGTCGTTCGGTCCCAGCTCCTGCCCACCTAGCAGTTCGAAAGCACCCCTAAGTGCAAGTAGATAAATAGGTACCGCTTTATAGCGGGAAGGTAAAAATGGCATTTCCGTGTGCTGCGCTGGTGCTGGCTCGCCAGCTGCAGCTTCGTCACGCTGGCCACGTGACCCGGAAGTGTCTTCGGATGGCGCCGGGTCACGGCCTCTAGAGCGAGATGAGCACGCAACCCCAGAGTCAGACACGACTGGCCCGTACGGGCAGGGGTACCTTTAGCTTTACTATAACAGACCTCAGCATGGAGGGCTGCACCAATAAAAGTGGTCCATGAATCTCTGCATTCCTTTCTTGGCCATGTTCTTCTACTCCCCACAACTTGGTCCCTCTCAAGGTTGACATTCCCAGGATTTTTGGGGAGAAGCCGTGATAGCTCAGTTTCAAAATTTGCACTGATGTCCCGGAAATGACAAGGCAAGCAAATGGATGGGCATGGATTGTCATGCAAGCTACAACCTGAAATTCCTTCTTTTACACAACTTTTGCACAGACTTGAGGCAGGCCAAAAACCAGCAGTGTGGCAATGCAAAAGGAAAGCATGGTGGTAGCTCTCACCAACAAATGGCTCAGTCAGAGAGATTAGGAAAGGGATCAGATACTGGAGTGTTATATCAAATAATTATATACGAGTCCCCAAGAGAGTAGGGCTAAAGAATGGTGTATTAGTTCAGTATCCTAGTTCAAATTGCCCTCTAGTCAGCAGACCAACTCCCAAGCCATCTGATGGCAGCCCTGTATGGGGAGGTTTTTTTAATGTTTTATGATGTTTTTATATATGTTGGAAGCTGCCTAGAGTGGCTGGGGCAAGCCAGTCAGATGGGCAGGGTAGAAATAGTAAAAATCTTCCTCTTGTTGTTGTTGAATAAAGGTAAAGGGACTCCTGACCATTAGGTCCAGTCATGGCCGACTCTGGGGTTGTGGCGCTCATCTTGCTTTATTGGCCAAGGGAGCTGGTGTACAGCTTCCGGGTCATGTGGCTAGCATGACTAAGCTGCTTCTGGCGAACCAGAGCAGCGCACAAAAACACTGTTTACCTTCCCGCCGGAGCGGTACCTATTTATCTACTTGCACTTTGACATGTTTTCAAACTGCTAAGTTGGCTGGAGCAGGGACCAAGCAACGGGAGCTCACCCCGTCATGGGGATTTGAACCGCCGACCTTCTGATCGGCAAGTCCTAGGCTCTGTGGTTTAATCCCTGTTATTGAATAGGACGTCCTTATTTTCATCAGAGAAATGTTGGAAGGTATGCTGATAGCATAGGGAGCAGGAAATTAGCTCCTAGTTTGAGCCTTTTGAAACACTTCTGTGTAATTTTTTGTCCTACAATTTTTCTCTTCCCATTTAGCCTCTTATGGGTTCAGACCCAGTGCTAAGCAATCTTCACTCCGAAATAGATCAGCATATGTGGACAAACAATGGCTGGCATGATATGGGTGTCTTCAAACATGACTCAGCTTGATGCAAACCAGGTTCCCAAATATTTTGAATCCCCTCCACCACCACCACAGCAGTACAGAAGGCAAAGCTATATTAACAGATAAATACTGCAGCTAATTTATCAGAAACCCACATCACATTCATTTTATGTTTTGAAAAGCACAACTGCATACCTTACATGCATCCTCTGTGGCCCATAAATCGTAACACACCCTTAAAGGATATGAGCTAGTAAGCATGTATTAGCTTTACTAATCTGTGTGGTACGGACATCAAACTAAATCTCACTTGAAAGCAAAATTCATAATCTGAAAAGCTTCTCTTGATCTTTGGCTTTATGCTTCCGGGCACTGTTAACTTCCTTGCTGCTGCAGCTTTTGCGATAAAGAGCTTTCTCTTTCTTACACACACACCACACTTCAAAGCTCGGAGTTAAAATTCCAATAGCTTCTAAAAATGACATGCCTGTACTTGATTGAATTCCCTTTTCTAGTTGAGTTCACATCCACTTGCATGCTGCAGATGGAATTGTTAAAGAGTTTTGAATCTACTTGTTTCTTCATCTGCTAATTTCTCCTTGTTGCTACGTGCTAAGATTTCCTCATATGCACCCTCTGAACAGATGACAGTTGTCTGACAGCAATGATCACCTATTTGGGCAGAAGACGGACTCTGGATTCCGTTCCTCCCATATGCCCCGAGGCATTATGTGCACTTTCAAAGCTGACCGCAACAAGCATCAAGTTGGGTTACTCGCGTGAGAAGCCTGCCTCTTTCCTCTTGACTCTGGCCCAGAAGGATGCCTTCCAGACTAAGGAAGACCAGGAAACAGAGTATCCTGGAGGCCGTGGTGATGCTGGGGGTATGTACCACCACATAATCAATTTTGACAAACTATATCATCCTGGTTATTTTGAAAAAGTTGGTATGAGACATTACCACTTGAAGAAAAACCAGCACCTCTGCCCTACAGTGAATCTGAATAAGCTCTGGAAACCTGTTAGTGAGCAGACGGGATTAGCTCCAGTTATTGATGTTGTATGCTCGGGTTACTACGAAGTCCTGGCATGAGGAAACTGCCCAGACAGCCTGTAATAGTGAAAGCAGAATTTTTCAGCAGAAAAGCAGAAGAGAAGATCAAAGAAGCCGATGTGTTAGTGGCGTAAAAGTGTTTTTGTATGTATCCAGGCATAAATAAACACAATTTCAGTTGTGCATTGAAAAATAAAATGTTATATATATACATACACACACACACACACACACACACATACGTAAAAGGTTGGGTTTTTAATCAGGCGGTATGACAACTAGATCCAGGCACATGGAACAAACTATAACTTGGACTTTTTTCTAAAGAAATTCAGCTTTGGGAAAGGAGGGGTCCATTACTTTCCCATTGGCTGCTGTTGACGCTCCCAACTACTTTTTCACCTTGCCTCACAGCATTCTAGATGTGCGTTTGCTCTTGAAAGCATGCCTCTGGCACGCTGTCTGATGAGAGCAGCTGAGGAAATGACTTGGGGAAGGAAAACTGCAGGTGGAGAATGAACTGCAGAAAGAAAAACTTCCCTTCAGGAGAAAGGGTCAAGACAGTCCTTCCCTTTACGATCGCTTGTCCCCCAAGCTGCTCAGCACTTGTCGCATGACGGAATGGGTGAGTTAGGGCCCATCTGGTCCTATAAAACCCAGGCTGAGCAACTGGTCACGGTCAAGCTGCTCTCAGAATGTGTTTGGCTTCTTGCCTTCTGGTTCCGAGTACTTGTCAGAGCTTGCTTTGCCTCCAGGCCTCAAAACCAGACGGGTGGGTGCATGGACCCAATCTGTGTCGATGACAGCACATACAACCCCGTGGTGCTCCATGTGTATATTTTATCTGCTCTGAGATCAAACATATAGTCCCTCTGGGGCTAGACCAGAACATTGTCACTTAAGTATGACAGCCGTGAAGTGCTTTGCTTCAAACGCAAACAACTTTCTTAAATGTTAACAAAATGGCATAAGTATGGATGTGCATGTCCTGGTACTTGTCAACATCAGTGACGTCCCAGACACCATCTGATAGGTTACACTTAGAATATACAAACTCGGGAGTTGGAAAACACCTTTTCTCAGCAAACAACAGCAATACAACTCATTTCAGCTTCAGCACTGGGAAAGTCCAACATCCACACGCTAGAAGAAAATGTAAATCTCCCACAGCAAATGAATAAACAGCACCATATTTGTTGTGATTTAAGCTGAAAAGAGCCTTCATGTTATGTAACACAACCACCTAATGCTCTCGTAATCATTGTACCTGCAGATATCTCCTTCTGCCTCTGGCAATGTCAGGGAAGCAACGGAATTTTTCATCAGATCAGCTACTGTGTTGTCCTTTGGAGTCACATAAAAAAAAGGAATTCCAGTGCTATTGTCTGTGGGGCCATCGCTAATAGATAAGCAATTCCCAAACGGTGCTCCCCGGATCTGAAAAATTCCAAGCAAGTTGTGCTTAGAAAGCGTTGCAAATGTCTTCTACAAAGATGCTTGCCAGAAATTAAAAGAACCAATGTAGTATATTCAGTTCTACTTCCCTGACTACCACTGGTTTGTACTTCATTAAATTAGATTTGTTGATCAGAACTGATAACATACACACACATACAGTATATATCTCTCACTTGCTCAGGTAGAAATATATATTAAAAAATTGTCCAGTAGCACTTTAGAGACCAACTAAGTTTGTTCTTGGTATAAGCTTTTGTGTGCAGGCACACAAAACTTAGTTGGTCTCTTAGGTGCTACTGGACAATTTATATATTTCGACTGCCTCAGACCAACACAACTACCTACCTGAATCTAGAACCTTGCTCAAGTAGATCGTTCACCTGCTTTCTCACCTTTCAGGTTAAACCAGACTCAATAAAAAAAACCCCAGACACTTTACAGAAATAATTTAAAAAGGTGTAGATATAAGTAGGTAGCCGTGTTGGTCTGCCGTAGTGGAAACAAAATTTAAAAAATACTTCCAGTAGCAACTTAGAGACCAACTAAGTTTGTTATTGGTGTGAGCTTTCATGTGCATGCATCAGGTATCTGAAGAAGTGTGCATGTACACGAAAGCTCATACCAATAACAAACTTAGTTGGTCTCTAAGGTGCTACTGGAAGGATTTTTTTATTTTGTTAAAAAGGTGTGTTTGTACTGCAAATAATAAAACACCCTCTTTAATAATAAAAAATGATGTTTCTCCATGAATCACTAAGGCCTGTGGCGATTTTATAAAACTGAATATATATACCATAAAGATTCATATTGCTTTGAGGACTGTAATTCTGTGAAGATGGCCTAGAGATTTCTAACACAGAATTCTGAGCATTCTCACCTAACTATATTTCACATGATTCACTTGGGAAAGTAATGAATGTCAGTTAAAAAAATTAAATAAATAAGAGATTTTTATGGTGTAGTGGTTAAGAGCGGTAGTCTCGTAATCTGGGGAACCGGGTTTGAGTCTCCGCTCCTCCACATGCAGCTGCTGGGTGACCTTGGGCTAGTCACACTTCTCTGAAGTCTCTCAGCCCCACTCACCTCACAGAGCGTTTGTTGTGGGGGAGGAAGGGAAAGGAGAATGTTAGCCGCTTTGAGACTCCTTAAAGGGAGTGAAAGGCGGGATATCAAATCCAAACTCTTCTTCTTCTTCTTCTTCATCCTGCTTTTCCACTGTGCAATGCCTAAGGCAGCTCACAAAAACCCCCACAAATACTTCAAAACCATTTAGTAGAAAATAGAAATTTGCTGTGCAAACATATACTCCTCTGTGTGTGCATCTCATACATAACGTGCTACTTCTTATATATCTAAATGCAATTTGTCTTCCACATAAGGAATGAAGAGGAAACGTTTCAGATTAGTAATGCACTGCAATCAATTTTTAAAATCTGACAGTTGCTCAGAGATATATTAATAATCTTACATCGTCAATGCTCATTTTTTAAAAATGCAATTCATAGCAAACGTGTTAACCCATTGTTTAGAAATCTGATGGCAAATTATGCTTTTTTGTAACTTACATCTAGGTTTCAAAGAACTGCTTTAAGTTCACTCTGAGGCAAGAAAATCTCCAGTTTTAAAGGGCACAAGTCCAAAGTTTTTTTGTTCTTTTTTTTATCATGAGCTATGTATTATAATTGCAGGCAACCGTTCATCTAACATCAAGTCTGCACTTCTACTGAAAGACCTTGCAAGAAAACAAATGATAATACCTGAGGCTTTATAGTCCAATAATGTTATCGGAGACCTAAGATGGTATTACAGACCTCTGCTGCACAGACTTCTATTGTACAATGGGGAATATTTTATTTTATTAATATTTCATTAATGACCTTTTGTTACCAACTAACCCGCTGCATTTCACAGTCACACTGAGAGAAGGTTGCTTTAACAGCGCCTTCTAGAGACCGCAAAGGCTGATGCTTATGCACGTTTCCCTTTAAAAAAGAAAACACCAGCACGATGGAGCCAAAGTTAAGCAAATTAAATGCCACTGACATCAATGGGGATATTTAAGGCACACACTAAACCTTTCCACTGTATCTAACATAATGTTTAATTTTATCTGGGAGAATATAGCTGGGAAGTAGGGGGAGAAAAATAAGAAGAGCATATTTTGTTTTTTGCATATAAAATCCTTCTCTGCGGCGACACTGAAAATATTCACATTAACTACTTATGTAAACCAATGTATTTCAAAAGCAAGAGCTTTAAAATATACCCCATGAAAATAAAACAATGATGTCCTGCTGTTACAAATAATGTTTGTACATAACGTATTATCATAAGGCGGCTAACTGGCAGCCTTCCCAATATTGCTGTATGACAACTCCCATCACCCCTAAATATTGACCATGCATCTGGGGCTGATGTGGGCTGGTCTCCAACAACATCTGGAAGGTCAGGCTCCCTCAACCTCAGCCCTCTAGATGTTTTTGGCCTACAACTCCCATGATCTCTAGCTAGCAGGACCAGTGGTTAGGGATGATGGGAATTGTAGTCTCAAAACATCTGGAGGGCTGAGGTTGAGGAAGCCTGTCATAGGTTAACCACCCCTAGTTCAGTAGCAAGAGTTCAGTTTTTAGGTGCTGTGGGGAACCTTCCCTCACCCCCAAGTTTAGGAAGAATGCTATATTGGAAGTCACATCTATCATAACTGAAGCAGCATTCCACAAATATCTGTTTTAAATGCTTTAAAATTTGATAGAGACACCTCAGCGCAACGTGGTCCACATACAACTTTATCTATTTTTTGCAGCCACATTTAACGCACAGCTAGAAACAGTCCACCATTGCTATCCACAAAGGCCCAGTGGTTTAGAACAGTGGTTCCCAAACCTTTTCCCTTAGACTACTTGAAAATGGCTGACGGTCTCAGTGGATCACTCAATTATTTTTCTGCCTACCGTGGCAATTTGCAGTGCTCTGTGCTAAATGCCGTACAGTGTTTACTTGTATATTGTTTACTTGGTATATAGACGTGCCACAGACTACCTGAAAGAAGATCACAGCTCACTAGGAAAATCTGTGTCCTTCATGCGATGGAGAGCTGTTGAGTTCTTTTTAGGAAATCAAAGCTGTTGAGCTTTTCTTGGGGAATCACGGGCATGGGGGGGGGGGGCAGGCTTCGGCTGGGGGAGGTAGAACCTCAGATAATTGAGTACTTTCAATGCTTTTCAATAATACTGAAAATATTTGGGTACAGGAGATGGGGAGGAAATGAAGCGACAGCCAGCCTTTCATGTAAACAGCTCCAAATCCTTACCTACTTTGGAGTGAGGCATCACTTATTTTTGGACTACTCTTTTGTGCAAGCATGGTAGATCACAAGAGGTGTATGTGCACATGTAAACAAATACCCGTGGATCTCAGGTTTCCTGGCTTGGAGCAACACACAAACGCACACACAAACGACTGCTGTTTTGTGCAAATCTGGGAGATTAAAATAAATAAATAAAGGTGTGTGCTTACAGGTAAACAGATACCAGTGTGCATGCCCATAGTGACCTCAGGTAAGGCCAGCCCACCCATGAAGTAGCTATCTCAGACAGTGGATGCCCCCGAGGCAGCGCCCTCATGAGTGCCTCCTGCCATGCCCTTCTCACCTCTGCCAGAGAAGCGGTACCAGGATAGGTGCTGATGTCCTGCAAGATCTTGTGAGATCTCATCGAATTCTTGCAAGACGTCAAGGAGAGCAAAAGATCTCATGAGATCTGGGTGAGATCTTGGCAAGCTCTTTCAGGGCATTGGCGCCCATGCCGGCACTGCTGCTCCACATGCGGCGGTGATGACACAGCTGGTGGCACAGCTGCAGTGCCACCGGCAGGTGGCGCAGCGGTGGGCAGTGTCCCATGGGTTGTGGTGGTGTGGCACTTCCTGTTTTGCCTCAAGTGGCAAAATGGGACGTACTACCCCTGAACTCAGGATTCCAGCACTTACAGCTGTCAGTTCTGAGAGAAGGCAGGCAAGGACCCACAGCCCAGGTGGGGCTGGCTACCTTGGGGAAGAGATGTGTGATTCCTTAGCTGGAACAGGCATTCAGGAAAGGTGAGGGTCACATGCCACATCAAGCCCAGAAGGTATAACAGGCCGGTGTCCTGGCCAGGCTGGCAAATAGTTCTCTTGACAGATGACTTGGACAGATGACTTGTACTCAGATAATTGAGTACTTCTAATGCTTTTCAGTAATATATGTGGACCTAGGGGAGAGCAGCTGCCCCCTCCCCCAGCTACACCCATGCTGGTACAGCAAAAGGCAGTATGCAAGGGAGCATTGCTGGACCATCAGGGTGATGGACAGAGCCTTCTTACTCTGGCAAGTGACTGAGGTGATCATGAGGCTTTCAAGTTTGTTTGCATGGAGGGTTCGGAGAATGAGGAAAACAATCAAGAAGAGACACGCTAGCAGTTTAAATGTTAGCACTTCTTTGTAAGATTGTGCGTGCCTAATTGAAAAATAAAGGATGAATTTAAGATGGCTGGAGATTTTTTGTTAAGGCTCAGGGTGTTTTACAAATTAAATCCATGCAGTAAAACCTAGGAGCTTACTCCCAGGAAAATATGCATTGGATTGCAGGCATTCCGATAAATTTGGCATTATGCTACGTATGCTCCTATGTGTGTAATGATAGATCAACTCAGCTATTTGCATTTTTGGACATTTCTTGGGGGTGTGGCTGTGGGGACTGTTGCGATAAGCTCCTGCGCTTCAAAATTTATCACTACACTAGACTGTAGTGTCACTGTAGTAAACTAATCTTGCATAGTGTACACCTTTTAGGAATTTGGTCCACATCTCAACTACCTTTCACATCGTTTTAAAAATACTCGACTTGCAATACCAGAATTCCTCTGTTGTATATCCTTAGTTAAAATATGCAAACTTCTCCTCTACGTTTACAGTCAGATGATGCCCCTTGCAAATGGCTCCTAAAGATGTAAAACAACACCCCCCACTCTGCAATTTCTACAGTGAGACAGCAACGATCCATGAAAAGCTGTTCCATTTATATAGCTAGTATCGGAAGGTCTGTCACGGAGCAAGAATAATCGCCTATCGCAGTGACAAGATGCTGTTGGGAGTGCACAGAAGCCTGGATTGAAACAGCGCATCCCAAACAGCATTCCTGTGCTATCATCATTATTCCCGTTTAGCAGACCATCCTTCAACAAGAGTTCTTGGGATGGTGGAGGACATTCACAACAAAATACAAAACTGCAGCATCATAAAATGAGGCCAAATATATATATTATATATATATATATATATATATAGCCTCATTTTTATGATTTTTTTAAATATATAGCCTCATTTTATGATGCTGCAGTTTTGTATTTTGTTGTGACTATGGCATATATGGAGGATATATAAATATATATATATAGTTTCTAGCAGAGGCGTGGTACCTTTTCTTGAGCGGATCTCGTGGCCAGGAATCCCCAGCTGCTGGAATGGATCAGGAACCGGGCCGCCCTGGCCGCTTGCTCGTGGGGCGCGAGGCTCTCCGTGCCCCCTTTGGCGCTCGCTCTCCGGTAGGAAAACATGCGGGAAGGGGACGAGTTCTGCTTCGGCCTCGCCGCCCCCGGCCTGGACCTCATCTCCTCCTCTTCCTCCTCCTCCACCTCTTTGTACACCGAGGCCGGGTAGCTCTGCTTCCAGATGCCCGTGGTGTCTTCCAGGAGCGCGGGGAGAACCTCCTCGTTGGAGGAGCTGTGCAGCTCTTCCTCCACCTCGTTGGTGACGGACCACGACACCGAGTTCACGATCACGTAGCCGCCGGCCGGGGCCAAGGCCAAGCTGCACCACAGCAGCGCCCACGAGAGCCAGCCGGGGCACGCGGCGGCCCTGGGCACCGGCGGCGTCCGGCGGCGGCAGCAGCACGCGGGCATTTTGGAGCCAAGCCTCCCCGAGCTGCGTGCGCCCAGCTCCGCAGCCCGGAACGCGCAAAGCCCAGCAGTCTGGAGGGAGCTTTTGGCTGCGAGAGCAGCGGCCCCTTGAGGCGGAGGAGAGAGGCTGGCCTGAGAAAAATGCCTAAGCTGGCAAATCGCCAGCAGCAGGGGATCATCGGAATTCTCTTGTTTGCTATGACTCGGCATCCCGCCCTAAAGCATCCTTCGCGTTACTATTTCTTACATTTTTAAGAACCCTTAATCGCAGCTTCAGGGGTTCGAAACCTCACCTTGGGCAAAAAGATTCCTGCATTGCAAGCGGGTTGGACTAGACGACCCTCGGGATTCCAGACCCTCCAAGTGTCCCTAATTTTCCAGGGACAGCCACAGATTTATAGAAACCGTCCTGGTTTCTGATTTTATCCTGGAATGTCCCGCTTTTCCTTAGGACGTACCTATTTTCATCAGAGAAATGTTGGAGGGTATGCAGTTATGCCACCCCACTTAAGCCAAGGAGATAAGTAACTATACAACCTTGAGAAGACATCTGAAGCCAGCCCTGTATAGAGAAGTTTTTTGTAACGTTTAATGATGTTTTTATATATGTTGGGAGCTGCCCAGAATGCCTGGGGCAACCCAGTCAGATGGGTGGGGTATTAACAACAACAAATTATTATTATTATTATTATTATTATCAACATCCCTATTTTCATTTCTATGATTCTGATTCTTACATGGAGCACAGGCCAGGATAGGCAGCTCCTTCCCTCCCATTTATTTCCACAACAACCCTATGAGGTAGATCAGGCTGAGACATCGTGACTGGACCAGAGTCTCCCCAGTGCAGGTAGGGCACTCTGTCCACTGCATCGCACACGAGTGTACTTAAACCTATGGGGATAATGGCCTTGACTGCTCTTGTACAGCTGTTGTAAAGATTATTGAGATGGAATCACAGAGTTCGAATGGACCACAAGGATAGTCTTGTCCAATGCCCATTCAATGCAGTAATTATTTGCGCAGCGTGGGACTCGAACCCACAATCATGAGGTTAAGAGATTCACACTCTACTGACCGAGCTATCCTAGTGAAGCCTTTTTAACTCTCAAAATGCATAATGCATAATGTTGATGTCAAAGTAATTTGACTGATTGATTCAATAGTCTTATACCCTGCCCTTCCTCAGGGCACACTGATGACAATGTGTTCCAAAACTCTGCATGACCCTACACAGCAGTCTCATGTACTGTAGATTTAAAATAGCATGAGGAGGCAAGACCACACACTATGTACTACCTTCTGGTCCAAGTAGGCATGGAACCACTTCAAAGCAGGGCCCCCTACACCAAACTCACACAGTCTCTCCCAGAATGGTACCATGGCCAATAGTATCAAAAGCTGCTGAGATTACCTGACACAGGTAATCATAAAGGGAGACCAAGGCAGCTTCTGTGTCAAGCCAAGCTATGAATCCTGATTGAAATTGATCCAGAAAACCAGTTTCTTCCAAGACTGCTGGATCTGGTTGGCAACCACTCACTCAAAGACCTTGCCCAGGAAGTGGACATTTACTTTAAGTCGAAAATTAAGATCCTCCAGGTCCAGGGTAGGTTTATTCAGAAGTGGTATTACCACCACCTCTTTCAGGTGTCTTGGGACTAATCCGTGTTAGAAAACACTTATCAAATAGCTACTTCCAGGATGAAAAATTGAGTAACAATTTGGGGTAAGGGTTCCACTGAATATTCCCCCCTCCCCCTGAAAGTTTGAAGATGTTGAGTCAGAAGCACATGGGGTATATTGGACTGAATACATTTGGATATCCCCAGAGAAGTCTGGTTAAGAAACATGTACATCTACACACATACAGCTTTCATAGTAAGATTTTATGTAAACTAGATAACTAAGCAAATCTCCAGCCCATTCACTTTGGAATGGCATCACTGATGTCAAATGAACTACCCTTCTAACCTTACAGCAGGCATAGGCAAACTCGGCCCTCCAGATGTTTTGAGACTACAATTCCCATCATCCCTGACCACTGGTCCTGTTAGCTAGGGATGGTGGGAGTTGTAGTCCCAAAAAACATCTGGAGGGCTGAGTTTGCCTATGCCTGCCCTACAGGTATTGATCTGAGGACTGCAGGCAGCAGTTGACATCTAATAATAATAATAATAATACCAGGTCTTGAGTCTGCCTGGAAGCCACACATGCTTTGATTTTGAGACCCCTGTTTTTTAATCCCTGATGTGTGGCTACTCTGCAGTGAACTCTGCACAGACATCTGTTTTATTACTTCTTTACCTGCTCCAGGACTTTAAAAAGTACCAGGGCTTTCTGGTTCAAATTAAGTCCTGACTGCCACCTTGAGGAGACAGTTCGCTCAGATTAAAATGCTGTCCCTAAACTGCTGGGCTTTGGAACATTCTACATATACAGGATTTGTAGTAGGACTTCTTGAAACTCAGACTCCTGCAGGGACATGAACCACACCTGGTAGCCTTAGGTACAGAAGGCATAATTCTGGGACTATTTGTATTGGCGCAATGGCCTTTCCTTGTTATTAAACTTTAGATTGCAAGCTCCATAGAACAGGGTTTCTTGTGGGAGTGGGTGGGAGGAATCGTTTATACTGTAAAATGCCATGTACAGTCATGGTGCTGTATGTATTAACATTATGGGGCTCAACCAATACATATTGTCACTGGTTTGCATTTTTCAGCATTACAATTGCAACTGACGCAGGAATGTCACCTGAAATTTATTTACTAAACTTAACAAAATTGTTAGTGTTACTTCCTACAACAGCTATAGAACGTAAGACACCAAGGAGGGGGAAATTTCATTAACTATGCATGCTAGGCAGCTAAAATACATCAGAAAAATGACACAATTTTAAAAATGTATGCATGCTCTTCATAAAAACTACTTACTTCCACAGAATATACACCGAGGCTGTGCAAAATCTATGTTCAAATCAACTATCTGCAAAACACTTTTTTTTTTTTGCAGATGTTCGTCAAACAGTCTTTCAGATCTGCTTTGTTTCCTCCCAAGCACTGCTGCAGTCTTCTTGCGGGTCAGAGGTATGAATGATAAATTTCTGCCCATCTCTTAGAGTAACAAGTGCTTCCTGTCCAACAGGAAGATTCATTTTAACTGAACATTTAGATGCTTTGTCTTCCAGAACTACCTGGATAAGCTGCACATAAGAAAAAAAGAAAGAAAGAAAGATGCAATATCACTATCATTGCTGTGGGAAGACAGGATTGACTCAGGGCTTACTATCACTTACTTTCCCCCCATGCTCACAGTAGGCACAGGCCAGTGTTTTAAAGCTCTGCGTTCAAGCACGCCTTTTTTCGCTCTGCCACTTTCCCTAGTGGCACTTTCCATTCATTAATGCTGAATCAGAAAAAAGGCAATTCTGGTTTTCCACAGCTTAGACACTGAGCTTTAAAGCACAGACCTGTGCCTAGAAACGCAGCACAAAATGAAGTCTGGACGAGCCCATAAACACAATTCTGTTTATTCTCTCTCTTTCTCTCGTGCTCCTCTGAAAAACTTTGAAATGGAAGTGTCCAGAGCAAAAGCAAGGCAGATAACACCCAAGAGCAGCAAGGCAGTATGTCTTAGTCCTCCTAAAACCAGCCCTTTTGCTGCTTATAAAAGCTGGGGAACTTTCAGAGCTTTCACATAGTCAGAAACCTCCAAAGGACTGTAGCAGACAGAAGGATTTATTGGCTGAAAGTAGTAATCTGAATACTTGAATCCAGGGGAACCTGTGGCAGATGTTTTTTGGACATCAACTCCCAAAATCCCCAGCCAGCATGGCCAATGACCAGGGATGATGGAACACCAGAAGTTCCTCATGGTCTGGTATAAAGCCCATCAGGGTGGCCTACTTCAAAGCTGAAATGAAATTCACCTACTCTTGATCATAGCTGCTGGGAATACCTTTTGATGTTCACAGATATCACAAGCACAGATAGAGCCCTGTGTACATGCCTCAAGCATGCATCCATTTCCAACAATCTGATTTTCCACTTCTCATTCAGAAGCAAATATGAAGAACTGGGTTTTTACCTTGTTGCCTGTGTCAGCATCTACTAGGCAGCTGAGGACCTTCAGAATAATGCTACTTAAGTTAATGTCGCTTTGACTCTGGGTCAGAATGATTCGAGTTGGTGCTGCCTCCCCACCATCAGGCTGTTCAGCTGCAAAATCGTCCAGAAGACAGACTGGTTGAAGAGCCAAGGAATCCTGCGTCATCGTCAATGGAGCCCCATCTCCTTCCTCCTCCACATGGGTTTGAAGTATGTGAATAACATATTCAAGCAGAAGCAAATTGAACAAATGCCAGGAGCCTAGGTTTAAAAAAAATAAAAACAGATGGGATAAATTGTGGAGCCATCTATTAGACCTTCCTAGTCAGATGAAAAGGCAAAAGGGGTGCATTGGCTAGCATTGAGATAGGAATGGGGAGATGGCACTCAGCTCTAAAAATCAACCAGTGACCTCACACTTGGAGGGTATTTGTGTTGTCCTTTACATACAAAAGTACATGGACACTTTTGCATAGTTGCAAAGGACAGAACTACAGAGCCATTTCTCCCACTGCTTTGAACTTCCCCAAGCAGGTCCTGCAAAGGAAGGAGTTAAAACTGCATGGTTTGCAGAACAGCAGGGCTTTTTCCCTCTTAGCTGCTCTCTGGTGAGGAGCTGTTGGGTGAGTCCCAGAGCTCTGGATGAAATCAAGATGTAGTTAAGAGAGGAAGTACATCTCAGAAAACCTACTTATCAGCACTATTGTAACAGGCAAGGAGTTGCTGACTCAATTTGTATTTCCAGAGGGCAGTAAATGAACTGGCAACAAACCTCCCCTTGTTTTGCAGGTGACTGTTGTATGGATTCGAAGTGCCCCACACCTACAAACATCTCTGTCTAGAAGCACAAAGACTGACTTTAACTGATTTTAAAGTGGTCATCCTGGAGCAAAGAAACTTCAAATGAAAACTGCACAAGTTTGCACCGGGACAAAGTGGTTGGGGTTTTTTTGTTTTGTTTTTTCTTTTGTAATAATATTTTATTCTTTTTCCTATAGAAAAAGTAATTTGTTGCTCAACAATTATATTCCAATTTAACAAAACTAGTGACTTCCCGCTCACCCAACATCAATGTTTATAACTCAAATCACGAACAATTGCATTTTAAAGTTTCCATCTTATCTAATTTCATACTCTCTAACATGTTTCTTAATGTATTCTGCTGTTTTCTTACACTTCAAACCCCGCTGTGGTCTTTGCATATGAGAAATAATTTTACATATAGACTAGGAATGGTTTCCAGTCTTCTTTAAAAGATTCTAAATCTGTATCTTTTATCAAGTGCTTTGTTTTGTTTTTGAATCACACTACATGTGTCAATCAGCTTACCAGTGCCAGAATGCGTTACCATCAAAGCTGTTTTGTGGTCACTGTCTGTAACACAGCTATCACTGTCTGTACTTCCTGCATTTCATTTCCCTCTTGCCTTACTGTTTACAACAAGAATGTGGAATCTGATGCCCTCCAGATGTACGTAGTTGAACATCAACTCTCAGCAGCCCCAGTCAGCATGGCTAATAGCCAGGGACGGGACTTGGGAGTCCAATAACATCTGGAAGTTCACAAGAGGTGCATCTTCAGCCTTCACAGGCAGTTGCGTAATGAACATGCCAGACACACCTCTGTGGTGAAGAATTTCCACAACTTAGAGGCTGCCACCCCAAGCTTCTGAGGGCAAAGGAGCTACCCCCTCTGCCAGTCTTAGCACCCAAAAGGGTCTGTAGGGAAGCAGGTGGTCTTTCAGGCATTTACAGTATGTGCACCATCCGTCATATGCTCAGAGCAATGTACAATGCCTGCTGGATTGAATGGCCTGGGTTGCCTGCCTCTCTTTGTTCAGTTACTAGACTTTCCCAACAATGCATCTATTTTACTTTTGGGGAAATGTGGTTAGGCAGGAAGAAGAAGAAGAAGAAGAAGAAGAAGAAGAAGAAGAAGAAGAGTTTGGATTTGATATCCCGCTTTATCACTACCCGAAGGAGTCTCAAAGCGCTAACATTCTCCTTTCCCTTCCTCCCCCACAACAAACACTCTGTGAGGTGAGTGGGGCTGAGAGACTTCAAAGAAGTGTGACTAGCCCAAGGTCACCCAGCAGCTGCATGTGGAGGAGCGGAGACGCAAACCCGGTTCCCCAGATTACGAGTCCACTGCTCTTAACCACTACACCACACTGGTTGCCCAGGCCAGCAACAAACAAGTATCACTGCTGCCGACACAATGTCTGAGAAGGATGGGAAGGTCTACTACTGGTAGTAGGGCCAACATTAAGGGCAGAAATTGAGGTTCTAAGTATGGCAGGCTGATTTATGCCATGCCTGACTCTGAGCAATCCATATTGTTCTTAATTGCATGGCATAAAGAGGGGGTATTTGTTGTGGGATCCATGCTTACGATGCATGCAAGCTTTTTTTTGAAGCTTCTACGTGACATAGCTGCCATCCAAATGCCAACCCTCCTCATTTAATCTGGATTTACACTTTCTGGAGGAAATCCGATCGGCCCCCCCAAAAACCCCTCAACAATCTGTTTGCAATATCTCCACAGCCCTTTTGCAATATGAAGGCCCCCTCCCCACCTGAAAGCAGACTCCTCTTCCATCGTGGGCCTCAAGCGCACAAGTCATAAGCACACACTGAGGCAGGTGGCTCATTAGATAAGAATCCCGCCCTCATGGCATAAGGCTCCTTGTTCAAGATCCCAAGTTCTTGACCACCAAATATGTTTCACAGCAGAATACGACCTACAAAAGACCATCGCAGGACATCACTGACCAAAGCTCTCAGTGTGGCAGAGGGTCATTGCCCTGCTGACAGACGTCAAGAGGAAGTTCCACCTCAGCTGGAAATTAGCAGCGAGCTTTCTGAACTCTTCTTGATTCTTGCTTGGCTGCAAAGAGTCACACAAAGACATTTCATTGTAACATGGCCCCAAAGACTGCATAGACAAATGCTTCAAACCTATACCAGCCTCCCTGAGAGTTAAGTCCCATTACACTCCAGTGAGCTCATTTTTTATATGATTAGGAGTGTGGGAACTCTGCCCCAAAATCCACGGTGGAAGAAAGTTGGGATATAAATGTAGTACTTTTCTTCCACTATGGATAAATTTCTTCAGACATGGGACAGCTGTCTAGTGGTTTCTGGCATACCACCAGGATGTGCTTATAAAGAAATAGGAGCTGCTTTAGTGAATGAGACTTTGGGAACAGGGTTGAACGTATACGTGCATTTATGTTACAAGTAGGTAGCTGTGTTGGTCTGCCGTAGTCGAAACAAAATTTTAAAAATCCTTCCAGTAGCACCTTAGAGACCAACTAAGTTTGCTATTGGTGTGAGCTTTTGTGTGCATGTGCACTTCTTCAGATATTGCATTTATGTGTTTTGAGATCATACTGAAAGGTCCCTCTATTTTAGCATTGATCCTCACCCACACTCCAAGCACACAAGTATTTCAGTTCAACTACTTTCAACTAGTGTAGAAACTTCTCATATGAGTGTGTGTGTGTGTGTGTGTGTGTATGGGTCATTGTACAAAGTATGCAGTGGGGATGGGATGACCTTCTCCAGACCAAGGGCTATGTTTCTGCTAATCAACTTGCCAGGGACCTCATGCCCGCAGTGGGCGGAGCCAAATTGACACTGGGAGGAGGGCAAAGTGGACAAGTCCAGAGCTGGCAGTGAGCAGGGTCACCCTATTCTCCCTCCTTCACCTTTCTCTCATATAAATGCACACACACCAGCTTCATTTCAGGAGCATCACCGTCTCTCTCGTGAAATAAACACAGTATCTCTAAGACCGCCTAATTTTGTACCTGAATCACGAAAGCCTCAAGGTCCGAGGACAAACAATTTAGCAAAACCCTAATATCTGTCGAAGTGTCCAGTGAAGACATCAGATTATTCAAGCCTATAAAACAAGTGAATATGCACTGGCTCATAGATGGCTCAAGGCTGTTCCTTAGTTTAAATCTCTTTATACTTAACAGAGACAAAAAAATTTTAAAACAACTATATGAAGACAATATGTTTTCTTATTCACTTCTAGTTAAATAGGATCTTGTTTTTATGGCCTGTTGATTCCAAACTTCACTGCAGCCTCTACGGAGAACTAGGGCTTTAGTCAATCAATGTGTGTTTGTTCTTATATGTGAAAAATACTGTGCACAGAGCAGCTGAAATTCAACATTTTTTATGTTCAATTCATTTGAATGAGATTAAGAATCAACTTAGTGTTCCTACTGAATCCAGCTTGGGCTGGACTGTGTCAACTGTTTTTGTCACATGAAAATGTAAGGCAGGGAAACCATGAAAGTTTAGTCAATGAAAATGTTATTCTTTGATGCAAAGAATCATATGATACTTTGATGTGTAGGACTGCATCTCTGTACTAAGGTTACAGTTGTTCAAGACACACATGTCTTGTGTCCGTTGATAAAATTATGACTTCCCCATTCACATACAAGCAAGAAGCTTTGCTATGAATATTATCTACTTTGATCAGTTAGGTCTTCTGATATTAGTGTCCAACAAAGGGTGTTAGTTCAAGTAGCAACATATAACTTCAACAGTGATGTGGCATGAAAGTTTTCCTATTTTGTCAGTTCCTTAGTAAGAACGCCAAAGGCAAACACAGTATTAGAGCAAGCTTGTCAGTTTCAAAAAAAATCACTAAATACAGGTAAAATGGACAAGAGCACTTTCTAGGGCATGAGAAAACTTTCCAGAGCAAACTGAAAACTTTCTGATGAAAATTGCCCTAATTTGCACAGGAAGTTCTCCCAAGTGCTAACTTCCTTTCATCACAGCCATGCCCACTGTAATTAATATAAAGAGAAACCTTATTAGTCATATAAAACTTCAACAAGAGTCCAAACTAAACCAAATGTCACAAAAGAATTTGGAAGACGGACATCCACATTTGAAACTAAGAGCAAACTGTGAAATAATCCTCATGTGATATCCACATAAGAAAAACATTTTGTATCAAGGAAAGAGGAAGAGGTTCTCTATCATATTCTAGCAGAAAAAGTGAACAAAGTACTCCATCAAATAGGAAAATAGTAAGAGCCTGTGCTGCTACATTTCAGCTCTGTGCCACTTTCAATTTCATCCACATTTCTAAATGCAATATGCAGCGAGCTTCCAGGAATGTCCGAAAACCCCTGAGTAATGATTGCGTTCATGTCCGATTTCAAAACATTGACCCTCCTGCTGTTGTTCAAGACTATTCTCATGGTCTGTAAATGAAGAGAGAAAAAGTGCACATTATTTATGTCTTGGGGAAAGCAAAAAGAAGAAGAGTTTGGATTTGATATCCCGCTTTATCACTACCTGAAGGAGTCTCAAAGCGGCTAACATTCTCCTTTCCCTTCCTCCCCCACAACAAACACTCTGTGAAGTGAGTGGGGCTGAGAGACTTCAGAGAAGTGTGACTAGCCCAAGGTCACCCAGCAGCTGCATGTGGAGGAGCGGGGAAGCGAACCCGGTTCACCAGATTACGAGACTACCCCTCTTAACCACTACAACACACTGGTTAACCCCACTCACTTTCCAAGGGTTTAATCTCAGTATATAGCTAACACTGGATACAACCCAGGCTTATCAGATTGCTGATGATCCCTCTCACCTCCTCATAACACACAATATCATCACCATTATCATGATCAATTAATAACTGGTAATACAGTCACTATTATTATTAGCATTGAACCAGAATTGGGGCTTGGAGGGGTTCTACGGTGGCAGCGGTGATGATGCTTTGGTACTCAGCAATGAACACAGGGGAAATGATTTTCGTACTGCTCCATACCTCTGCATTACAGCTTACTTTCCCCACCAACCTGCCCAAGTCCTCCACCCATTCCACATTCTGTCCAGAAGGAGGCAGCATCTCATAACTGCACTATGTCCAGCAACACAACATAACTGTAAACATAGGCCTGTGACTGATCCATCCTACAGAACGTTTTTGTCAATTAATTCATTGCAACTGACTTCAGCTTTCACCTTTGGGATACATACCTTTGCCATGTTAGCAAGGTAAGTCTTCCTCCGAAGTCTTTTTATAAACAAAGTCACCTCTGAGAGGAAAGGAAGAAACAAATGATAATGATTCACCACCACTTAATTCTAAACGACTTGTGTTACAGCCTGCATTACTAAACAGTTTGAACAGCTCATATCTATGAATATTGACCCTGCTTTTCAAGTTCACAATACTTGAACATACCTTTGATTTTAGAGGTGCCCAACAACGGTGGGAGGTCTTCCATAGTTGCGAGCAGCCAGTTTTTAATATTTTTGCTGAATAATCTGACCAGTTTGAGGTACTGTATAGAGACATCTTCCAGAAAATCATGAAGCAGAATCTTCTCCATTTCCTAAAAGTATTGGATAGTTCTTACCCAAAGGCAAATGCAATGAACACAACATGAAAACAGATTATTTCCCAACAGATTGTCCCAAACCACTGAAGGGACTAGGAATTACTTTCCTCTTGAGGATTAAATACAGCGACCCAGTTCAGACAATTACTTCAACCATGGTTTAGGTTTACGAGATTAGGAATGACCACAGTGAGCCCCTTCTCCCTTTTAATGTGCAAGAGAAAAATGAAAGCTTCTGCTTTCACTTTAGTAGAAGCCGCAATTCCGCATTACATTACAAACAGTTCTGCATTACAAACTTGGAGAAGCGTGGTTTCTTGCTGTAACAAGGGTTGGACGAGAATCCATTTTGCATTTAAAGCTGAATCTATCAAATCAGTACCTTCTGAAACAATATGCAAACCAACACACATCTTTCCTTAGAAATCTGCACTTACCCGAATTTTGCAATGAAGTTCTCCAACCACACAATGTTTGCCAAAAATATGTATGCATGTATTATAAATAAAGATGTTAGTGAAAATAACCTACAAAACTCATATTGTTCAATAACATACAAAAATATGTGTGTTAGTCATTAGGAGAAATTCTCACTAAAATGCTGATGAATTTTCATGAGGATATAGAAGGCAACAAGCAGCTGAATAAAGTTTGCACTTACAAATTTGTATGTACAGATGCAAAATTAGAAATGATGACTACAATTTAAATAGAAATGCAAGTAACATATCTCACCATGATGGAGAAGACAGTGATTAGGTAACCTGTGTGCCTGTATAGTCTTCTGTCTTGGTGCTAACTGATTATGGGCAACTACAGAGCCCTTGATGTTAAACCTGAAACTGCTTGCAGGAGCTTTCAAGTAGAGGACTCCTTCAAACTCTCCACTGTAAAGTAGGACACATGGCCACACTAAGCAGCAAAGGGGCTCATAATAAGGTCTCCTCATAAGATCTCCTCAGAAAATCTCAGTGCCAGTGTGGCTTCGTGGTTAGGATGCTGGACTAGGTCCTGGGAGGCCAGGATTCAAATTTCCACTCAGCCATGAAGCTCACTGGGTGACCTCAGGCCACTCACTGTCTGTTCTTAGCCTAACCTACCTCACAGGGTTGTGAGGATGAAATCGGGAGGAGAACCATGTACACTACCTTCTGAAAATCACAAATGAGCACCAATCATTGGAATAACGAGAGCAGCCCTTCTAGGGTTTCTTTCTCCCCAAGTGAGGTTGAGATGATGAAGGACTAGGAATGCAGCCATCCCCACAAATTCTGTATGAATATACAAGGTTTCTCTGTCAACCAGGGGACATTCAAGCCATACATGTATTAGCTGCAGAAGCAAGGAAATGCCCACCTGGTTGAAGAACTTCGCTTTTATCTGCACACTTTTGCCCCACTTCTCCCAAAGAAGGTCTGACTCAAAGTTTGGGAACCTCTGGTCTAATATATGAAAAGTGGTACCTGGAAGAGCTGCCTGTCATAGCACTGAAACAGCTGGCAAACATCTGCCTGGGACATGAACATTATTGCGTCAGGCTTCAGAGACTTCCAGAAAGAAGTGAAGAGCTCTTCCACCTAAAGGAGCACATACTTAATGAATTTTCACTGCAACATTGAAGTCATTTATTGTTGGGAAAAGAAGCTTAAGGACATTTGCTCAGCCCAGAACCCACCATGTGCTTCTGCTGCCTTCCCAGATGTTGGGAATCCCCTGGAATGCTTCCTTCCCCTAATGCAACGGCTACACTGCTCCTGAACATGCATCTCCACATAATGGTGGTGGGCTGGGGGGGGGGTAGAAGAAGACTTGCTCTACTCATGTTTGGCTTAAAAAAAATTAATCCAACTGGCCCAGAAGACGGAAGTAAAATATCGGTAGTGATCCCCATTGTTTCCAAAAAGGAGGCAAAATAAAAGTCTTGGGAGTCTAAAGCGTGTAATATTAGCAATGAAATCTAGGAAAAAAAGAGGTTACAGGACTGTTCGTTTTGCCTGCCTGTATATCATCATAATCAAGCACAGATTTAGGATAAAGTAGTTGGAGTAATGAGATTTACGGGAAGGAGGAAATTCCATTAATGGCTACCATCTTACATACAGTGGTGCCTCGCAAGACGAAATTAATCCGTTCTGCGAGTTTCTTCGTCTTGCGGATTTTTTCGTCTTGCGAAGCACGGATGCACCCTGGTACTGCATTATAATGGGATAGCGGGCAAAGCACAAAGCGGGTCGCTCCCCAGCAGGAGGAGTTTCCCCAGCCTGGAGGATCTGTTGCCGGGAAGAGGCAAAGACACCCCCTCCCACCTCCCCATGAAAACAGCACCCCTTCCTCTGTCGCCAAGCCTTGCCGCGTCTTCGCTCCGCCAAACCGCGTCCCACATCAAAGCCCCAGCCCACTCCTCTCCCTCTCTCTCCACGAGGTGCCAAAGGAAGTTTGAGCCCAGGAACCGAGGGCGGACGCACGAAGCGCCCGGCGCGGACTCTCCCTTGCTCCCCCCGTTACCTTGCGCCACGCCGCCGGGCTCCCCACAGTCTTGGCAGCTGCTCCCGGCTTCTTCCCACCCCCGCAAAGGCGCCTTCGGGCCGCCCAAGCACAGTGGATGCCTCCTCCTCCTCCTCCTTTGTCCCGCCTCCTCCTGCCTTCGCGCAGTTAGAGCAAAATGAAGCAGCCACGTGGGGAGGGGGAGAGAGAGAGAGAGGCAGAGGCAGAGGCGGCACAGAGACCCAGCCAGATCCGCTGGATCCCAGCTCACCTGCCTCCTCTGTGCCCTCTCCAGAAGAGGATCCCTCTGGAAAAGGTAGGTCGCTCCCCTGCTCGCTCCCTGCCAGCCCAGTTCCCGCTTCAAAAGGAAACAAACTCGCAAGACGGAACGTCTTGCGAAGCAAGCCCATAGAGAAATTCGTCTTACGAGCACCTCAAAAACCGCAAAACCCTTTCGTCTTGCGAGTTTTTCGTCTTCCGAGGCATTCGTCTTGCGGGGCACCACTGTATATGCATGTTTCCTTGGGAGCAAAGGCATCCCCCCCCCAAAGCGAATAGCATCTTAAGAACACGAGAGCCCTACTGGATCAGACCAAAGACCCACCTATTCCAGCATTCTGCTCCCACAGTAGCCAGAGTTGCCCAAGCCTCTTTCAGAGGAGGTGTTTTCTTCAGGACCACAGCACAGAAAGAAAGAGTTGAATTCCTCCTCCCTGCCTCCTGCAATCCTAATAATGATCAGCCTCTCTCACCATCTGATATTTGCATTTAAAAAACTAAAACAAACCTATATGGCAATGGCAAAGACATTAACCTCACATCACTTTTGGCCTAAATACAGCCAGAGAAATGATATGGAACTTCCTATCGAATAAACATGGAAGGAAGGTTTACGCAGAGACCTACCACAAACATCACACCTACCTGGTCAAGATCCTTGTTTTTTACATTCTGCAACACTTCCTGGCAGTGGGTGCAATACGCATCAGCAAATAAAGAAACCTGGAACAGATACAAAACGAGGCAACATGAAAGCACCATGGTCAAGAATTCATAATTGCATTCAGTCTTCAAAGCACCATGCAACAATCTACAACCAAAACAGGCCCAAACAGGTCAACCCTATCACAAAAAAATCTATTCAGTAACCAGAAGCGGACTATTGCAACTCAGAAGTTTGGGATAATAAAAATAGAAGATCTTACTTGTCAACCTTAAAGGGACAAGGGTGTAGGTTTCCCTTTGGGATAATTTCCACACTATGGGGGCTACCACCAAGAAGTCCCTGCTTTTTACAATCTTGCTGTCCTTGGTGGCAGTAGCCACAACAGGGTCTCATCACTTGATTTGATCTCAGCTCTGGAAGGGTTGTTATGCTATCAAACATACCATTTTACAGGAATATTTCTTTTCTAGCTCCTGCTCCCATGAAGAAAATCTCCTGAATTCAGGAAGTGGATATCCAACTGCTTCTTGGTCCTTCTGCAAAACGACAACAGTTTATTAAGTTTACAAGACACACTTACAACTATGTTTATTACTACTGGGTGGCACAACATTGGGAAATAACAGAGTGGGGTCCTTTGGCATTGGTGTGTATTTGCAACAGCCACATCGATCTGGGGCAAACTTGACATGAAGGATTTTTTGGGTGGATTGGACTGTCATTGTGCTTTTACAGAGTATTTCCAGAGCCACTCCTATCCAGTAATCCAACTCACATTCCCATTAGCCTGATCAAAGGATTCTCACACTTGGTTTGATACTCTTACACAAAATACACGGGCATCACTGTCAGTTGAGCAGTGCACACCCATGTATGGCTAGCTCCTGCTTGTTCCTTTGCTAAACTGCTCCAGGGCTCGAACAGAAAGGTTTATTGGGAACATGATGTGGGGCAGTCAATCAGCACTGCACACAGCCGGCTTCTGTTTCAAACTTGCAAATCTATCCCCCCCCACCCCCCACCGAATTCCATCATGGAGTGGAAAAGAGACAACTGGACTGAACACAGAAGAGGCAGTTTCAGAGTGAACCTACAGCTCTAAAATTGTTACGCCTGACTTCACCTTTAAAAAAGTATGAGCAGCAAGTCACACTCATGTATTTGGTTCTATGATTCTATGGGTCTATGTTTCACAAGTGATGCAGCTGTGTACTTAAAGGTAGCAGCAGACTCTTCCCTGAGATCGACTAACACAGCAGAGTACATGGACTGAGGTGCAATAATGATCCTTCCAGGAAGCAAGCAAAGAAATGGGTCACCACACTTAAAGTCTCTCGCATACAGGATTTAATTATGCGCTTACTGATTCAGTGCCATGGCTCCTGCCAAGTTCCTACAGCAGAATCATAGCCAGGAAGAAAAATGCTTTTTTAAAAAGCGTTCTCGGCAGGTTGCATTTCACTGATCCATCACAGATGGATGTTTTAACAGTCCTTGGCTCATAGCCACCTCGTATTAAATCTGCTTTGAACAAATACTCACTGTCTCTTTTCTGCAGCCACTGCTCTGATAACTTGCCGCATTCTCAAAACTGCAAACCTCCCCACTGTGGTAGGATAGACAACAACAAAACCTACTTTGAAATAGCTCTGTTTGGTTAACTATTTCTCTACAATGTCTGAATCAGGAGAGGTTGCGAGTGTATGAACCAATGCCCGGGTGTTATGATGGGCTAACAGTCTCTCTGAATCCTTGGCAGCAAGTGATTCCTGGGTTCAGGAATTAGGTTGTTTGCCTGTTTTGGGCAGGGTTGCACTCCTTCTGAAGGAACAGGTACAAAATTCAGAAGGTGCTCGTGGAACCATCTTTGCCACTAGAGGCCAAGGACATCTTAGTGGCAAGGAGTGCCTATTACCATCTTCAGCTGGTATGACAGCTATGTTCTTTCCTTAACATGGGTAGCTTAGCCACTGGCAACCTCACAATTAGATGGCTGGCATGTACTGTCTGTGGGGCTGCCTTTGCACCTGGTCCAGAAGCTGCAACTAGGGCAGAATTCAGCAGCTAGGATGCTGAGAGGAGCACTTAGCTATTTCATCCATGCAGAAAGAACTGCACTGGCTGACTCTTTGCTAGCTCACCAGATTCAAGAGCTTGCTGCTGACATATTATTTCATTTATTGTCTATTAAATTTATGCTTTGCTGTTCTTCCCCACATGGCAAACACATCCCTGGGGAAACCCAGCCAGATGGGCAGGGTATAAATAATAAATTATTATTATTATCCCTGATAAAACAAGGCAATTAAAAATGAAATAAAGACGTATTTTAAAATACTTTAAAACAATTTAAAGCATCTAAAAAGCACCACAGAAGTGGTGGCACCTACGCTCTGAGCTTCATGCATGGATTTTGCTAGGTCAACCTTGGCCCCTACTGACCAGGGACAGCCTCTGTTTTCTAGTTCCTATCAAACGATAAATCCTCTTCCTATTTTTGCCTTTGGGGAAACGCCTTGTTAACATTTTATTAGAGTGCTAGAGCTGTCATCCTTCAGGATTCAGTTATTTATAACTCAAAGCTCTGTGGGATGGTGGTTCCATCTTGTTTGGAGCACATTCATATAAATGGCTTAAGCACAGGGTGATAGCCAACCAAACAGTTCCAGTAACATAAAGACTTGGGACTGAGCAACGGAACTTTACCTCCCTCTCTTCTCCTCATGTGTCCCCTATGTCTGAATTGGGGGAACGTCCAGAATTTACTTAGGGGGTACATGGGGGCACACAGAGAGATGAGAGTGAGTGTCACTGTACAACCCAAAGTGTTTGTGCTAGCAGAACTGTTTAGTTGGATACCATGGCACTAAACGCAGCCTACCATTTCACACACCACAGATCCCGAAGCAAGTTAGCATTGTAGCACGAGGGTTATGGTTTCGTTGTTCAACATTAATAAAAAGAAAAGTCGCCCACTTGGCTTTTAAGCTAGCAGAGCAGGGGACCGCTACAGATCAAATGAATGTTGCTGCAACATGTAGAAATGCACAGTGGAAGTGCGTGATCCATGTTATGAAAACAGACACAAACATGTGTGTTTGCGTGTATGTATGTATGTATGTATGTATGTATTTATTTGGTGAAACGTTGGCAGCGCATGAGCTTTTTTGGCTTGCTACTATAATTCCCATCATCCCTGACCATTAAGAAGCCATCTTGTCTGGGGCTGATGGGAGTTGGGACTCTAAGCACAGCTCAAGGGTCACAGGTTTCTGATCCCTGGCTTACTGTGAACTTCTAAGAACTTGAGGGCGCAGTTCTAAAGGGTGGCAAACGCCAGAGCTGTTAAGATTTATGCTTGGCCCCCAAGTAGTTTTCAATGCAGCAAGAATTATTTAAGCAAGAAACAAAAAAAGAAAACAAATTTGGCCGTAATCAAATTAAAGAAGGCCTGCACAACTGGTGACAAAGGCACTCCAGTACTCCTCTATTACAGCCTGCCAAGTTTTTAACCACCATCCTGTTTTTGCAGTGCCAGCAAACAGCAGCTTCCATTGGGGTGCCATATATAACCAGCAGGCTGTATTCAGCTTGGTGGACAATAGCACGGCTTTTTTTTGCAGCCAGAGCTCACCAGAATTCAGTTCTGGCACCTCTCAGGTGGGACCCATTGCTGTTATACGAGAACAAGGGAGTTGTTCATGGTCAGTTCTGGCACCTCTTGTTGTAGAAAAATAGCGCTGGATAATAGGTTGTACAGGATGCATAGGAGCCAACACATAGGGGCCGAGGTTCCTTTGGACCCCCTCAATAAAATATTTGAGGGGCCACCGCTCCGCCAAGTTGATGGGCATTGACATTCAAATGGTGTGCGTGTGCCGCATCATGTGATCCATTACGCAAGGTGGGGCTTACCTGCCCCCCCTCAATATTTTATTCAAGTTGGTACACCTGGCAAGCTGGGTATAAGTTGCTTTGTGGGCAACACTTATTGAAAAACCAGGTTTTCAAGACTCGGACTTTGCTTTCTTTCTTTTTAATAAGGCCTTGGAGCAGCTCGACTTGAATTCTAGGATAAACTGCCGGGAGTGTAGTAATACGTTTCCTGAGAATTCCCAGCCCCTGCTACTCTGGGAAGAGCACTCCACCCAATCGAATGTTGTTACTATAGCAACACGCATGGATGGTGGTCTCTCTCAATAGGCTGGCTGGCATAGCTTGTCAGCTCTCAGGCCGCCATCCTGCTCCTCCTCAAGAGCCAATTGAGCTGTACGCATGGTCTTGTGGCTGCAGCTGCTGCCTAGAAACAGGGAAGCAGGAGAGCTCATCCCTCTGTTCGGTGATGTCAGCACCCTAAACATGAGCACCTGCTTGAAGCTTGCCATATGTAGTCACAGAACACTAGCAAACATCCATCCCGACGGTGCTCAGAATACCCTAGAGAACTGAACAAAACAAACCATATTTTTTTGCCTCAGAGTGCTTACAGTCTGAGTCAAATGAGAGAACTAAAGAGATGGAAAAAGGATCATGCTTTTACAAGCAGGGATGAGGGAGCAGGACTCACAGAGAACATGCCCTCTGAGTCCAGTGATCACCCTGCAATGGCCTCTCCCTGCTGCCTTGTGTGAGGAAATTTGTGTGACGTGTTTTGTTTGTTTCCTCCTGAGTCTGAGGAGAAAGCTAGAGGAGCATGCTCACACCACGCTTCACCTCCGAAAGTCACTGTGAGGGCATGTGCCTCCATGGACTCCGTGATTCCTTCCGTCACCCACATTCCCTCACATGCATCCCTAAGACCCATTGGCTGCTTCTTCCCTGTCAGCACACACACACACAACCTTCCGCCATACCACACTGGGGGCTTTTGGAAACAGGCAAAGCCCACCCTATCACAGGCAAAGTAAGGCAACTGCCTCAGGTGGCAGATGCTGGCGGGTGGCAACAGCCCTCTTGCTGTTCCTCTCTGTTGGACAGAGCTGTTTACGTTACACGGCATGCCTTGCTCCGCTTATTATGTTGTCAAGAACAGCTTGCAGAATACAGCCACAATAAATCACCAGCCTGGAGGGACCCTTTGTTAGTTGCCCTGTGATGCTTCCCAATGCATATTTGTGTCTTCCCATATAAATCCTTTCCGGATTTCTGTCTCCAACCAGGGATGCGGCCTGTGGTGAGGCAGGAATGGCTTCGGCCTGTGACTGCGCTGTGATCACTGCCATACGGAAAGGGACTCTTGCACTGTAGCAAGTCAACTGAACCCCGAGATGTTTGCAGGCACAAACACTTCTGAAAGTGGGCTCATTTATAACCACTCCAATAGCATCATGAGCATGAATAATCATGAATTCACAATAAAAAGGGCATATGGAGGGGCCCTAAATTGAGTGGATATTATATTGCGATGCCTACCCCAACAAGGAAAATGGATGCAACCAGTAACTAGCTGTGAGTCATGTCAGGTGACACTGCACATCCCCATCATGGTTAAAGTTATTTTTCCACAGCCTACCCGAGATTATATGTTCATTTTTTCCCCAGCTCATTTTTTATTTTGCTACATTTTAATGGCTTTATTTTATTGTGATGGCCGTTGTCTGTTTTTGTGGCTGCCCTGGGCTCCTTTAGGAGGAAGGGTTAGATAGAAATTTAAATAATGAATAAATGAAATGAAATTCTTAAGACTGGTATTTTAATACGTTTGCTGACTTTCGTAAAACACCTTGTAGGTGCCTGGCTACATACTGCTTAGGGCCACAGGAACAAATCTGGCTATGCTAATTTTTATGTAGAAACATCACAGTAGGCAAGACAACTAATTTCCCACCCTAATCAGCCCAGGTAAATTTTTCCAATGAATTTGCACTCCACTGCAGTTCACACCAAACTAATTTCTCTTCAATTCATTAATCCCCCATTAATTTCTCAGTACATTATCCTCCAAAGCAATTCAACTCCCCTTAAATTATCCCCCATTCATTACCTCCAAATCATCTGGACAAAGTCATCTTAAATTAGTTTATTTCCCCAATTTAAAACCATACCCAGTATGTCCTAGGTTCAATTCCCCCCAAATTCATTGCTCACCCTCCAGATTTGGGGTCACCTTTTTCATCTATCACTAATTCAAACACAATCATTCCAAGAGCAGAAATTGCTTTTTGCTAGTGGAAACACACATTTAGATTCAACCCCATGAATTTTCACAAGTAACTTGTCCCCCCCCCTTGTGTAATATGAATGTAGAATATATGATTTAGTCTCCAGGCAGAATCTCCATGCTGCACAACTCAGTTAAGTGGATCATTTTGAAGCAATTTTTTAAACCCACACTTCATCCATATATACTATTGTAGGCATCTGCATCCTTCTACTGTGATGTGTAGCTCATTGCAGAAGATGTGTGTGTGTGTGTGTGTGTGTGTGTGTGTGTGTGAGCAATGTGCGACAAATCTGATTTTAAGTTTAATTAGAACTTGGCAGCAGTAGTTTTGACATTTAAGAGTAAAAGCTGACGAATCGAATCTTGCTCAAACAGGTTATAACTGACAACTAGAGCTTGCAAATATATTCTGTTTGCTCAACAATGGGCATCCAAAATTTGAGTTAATTAGCAAAGAGGGTCCCACTCTGATCCCTCAGCTGTTCAAATAGCTGAATCAGTAACTGGAAAGCTATCTGAAGTCCTCTTGCCTGGGACTTCATTAAACGGTCTCAGTTAAACCAGCTGACCTTTGCAAGCTTGGTTCTTCTTATTTGTTGACCGTAAAACTAAATGTCACCCATTGGACCTGGGATTGGACCAAGACATTTTGTGAATAACAAGATCACACTGGGATAGCTCAGTTGGTACAGCATGAGACTCTTAATCCCATACTGTTTTACAGCTTCTGTTGCAACTACACAGCAAACTGGGACCCCCAATCCTCAAAGTGCCAGGGTTATCATTATCCAACCAACTGGCGTAAATTCACTGGAAATACAATTTCAGCTATCCGTACCCACATTTTGTCATGAAACATATTTAAGAACCAAACCTGTTCTCCCTTTTCTCAGCCAAAAGATAGCAATAGTAGGCGTAGAAGGGTGAGCTCTTCTTTATCTGTATTCCATCATAATGATACCTGAAGAATAACAGACAAATTTAAGAGATTAATGAAGAGGCCAGTTGCGTGGCGAACTCTCAGCCATGATCTGTAAATATCTGTCAGAGATTCAAAATATATAAATAAATGGAATACTTCCTGTGACACCTTTAACCACCTAATATGCTATGTACAACCTTGTTGGAATACTTCCTGTGACACCTTTAACCACCTAATATGCTATGTGCAACCTTGTTGATAATCAACTAAGCCAGTGCAACCAAAACTGTGGGTCCTGTTGGGTTGCACCAGGCATAGGCAAACTCTGGCCCTCCAGATGTTTGGGACTACAATTCCCATCATCCCTGACCACTGGTCCTGTTAGCTAGGGATGATGGGAATTTTAGTCCCAAACATCTGGAGGGTCAGAGTTTGCTTATGCCTGGGTTGCACAATGAATGACATGCTCCCTTGCCCCATTTCCACAGGTCTTAGGTTCTTCCTTCCTTCCTTCATCAGGCAGACAGCACACCCTTCCTACTGGGTGACCCCATTAAATAAATAAGCTCCTTCCATTTATGACAAGAGTGGGGAACCTGTGGCATTTCAGGTGTTATTGGACTACAACTGTGAACCTCCCTGGCTGCTGGCCAATGCTGGTTGGGGTTGATGAGGGATGAATTCCAACAACATCTGGAGGGCACAGTTTCCCCATTGTTGCTCTATGTCACAGCTTAAATTCTATTCCAATATGTACTGCCTAGAATATGGGTAACCAACGTATGTATTCTGATGTTTTAGAATACAACTCCCATCAGTTGTAGAGCGGCCCCTGATGTTGACCCAGAAGCTGCAGCTTTAAAATGCAGGGATGCCGCTGCTCACTGGGGCAAACGATCACCATTATGTTACATTGCTGCTGAAAGAATTACACTGGGTGCCAACGGCCTACTGGGCTAAGTTCATAGTGCTGGTAAAGGTAAAGGTAAAGGTACCCCTGACCATTAGGTCCAGTCGCGGTTGACTCTGGGGTTGCAGCGCTCATCTTGCTCTATAGGCCAAGGGAGCCGGTGTTTGTCTGCAGACAGCTTCCGGGTCATGTGGCCAGCATGACTAAGCCACTTCTGGCGAACCAGAGCAGCGCACGGAAATGCCGTTTACCTTCCCGCTGGAGCAGTACCTATTTATCTACTTGCACTTGATGTGCTTTCGAACTGCTAGGTGGGCAGGAGCTGGGACTGAACAACGGGAGCTCACCCCGTCGTCGGGATTCGAACCGCTGACCTTTTGATCGGCAAGCCCTAGGCTCTGTGGTACTGGTGCACAATTCCCTATGCAATTTGGGACCCAGAAACCTAAAAGACCCAATCACTCCTTATGTAACCCAACTGATCACTGTGCTCTGCAGGAGAACGCCAACTGCAGATACCACCTCATCAGGAGGGCTTGTTCTGCAGGACAAAGGAACTGGGTTTCTAGAGTGGTGTAATCTATTCTTCGGTTTTGTATCAGACAGCCACCCTCCCACCTACTGTATTGTCGTTTTGATGCCTTCCTCTTTCAACAAGCCTTTTAAGGGAAACTTTTGTCCCCATCTGTCTCGGATTTGAAATTGTTTTATATATAGAACTGTGTCAAGTGTTTTATATATGTTTTCACTGTTATGTTTCCAGTGTTAAATGACTTTGCAATGTCTCATAGGAAGCAATTAACAAGTGGAAATAAATAAACAAAACAGCCCCAGGAAGCATGTTCAATGGTCAGTGATAATGGGAGTTGTAACCAAGAGCATCTGGAAGACACTACATTGGCTATATACCTATGTCGTCATTAAAAATGGATATAAAATATAAACATGTGCAGTTTTGACTACTGATGAGATATTCTTCAATATGTTCTGAAGAGAGAGGAAAAATAAAATTAAAGGTGGGTCCCACTTCAAAATGCTTGAGAAGCACTAAGCTACAGGCCAAATTTTTATATGCTGCAATTCAACTTAAAACAAATAGTTTCTCTCCGATAATCATATGAAAACTGCTCTAAAGATCACCATGTTTTCCAGTGTGAAGCTCTGCCCCACTATTTCAAGATTTGCCAATTTGTGATAAATGTAATTCTGCCTATAGACTAATGTCACATGAGGGTGGGTGGGTTAAAAACCACAAGCATTGACTGATCTTTCTGTTCCATCTTAGAATATTTATGAACATTAGCACCATTCAGCAGTCAACTGCCACCAGCAGAATATTAACAAACCGCAGCTACTATAAGGAAAGTAAAAAATTGAATTTAGTGTGAATGCACACACACACTGCCTGGAGGGCAAGAGAACAGGTGTGCTGTTTTCAGAAAGGAAAAGATGCCAGGAGGTCAAGGACTGTGTGAACAGCTGGGGAAGTGAGGAACAGAGACAGGGATCTTAGATGCGAAGAAATTGAAGAAAAGAGTACAATAAACTGGGCAGAGGGAGACTTGGGGATTGATGGGGGAAATGATTTAACATCCACAGAACATTTAAGGGAAAGAGATACAGAAGAGGGAGGGAGTTGAAGATTTCTCTGTGAATGTATTTCACTGTTTACAGATGTTGCTACCATGGTTTTGAATGAAAGTTCACCTTCCATATTACTGTACCCACGAACTCTTAAATGCACAAATAAGCAGCTGACTATAGACTTTTCTAATAGCCTCTAAATCTTCAATTAATACAAATTAAATGATAATGTACCTTGCACTTCCCCTTGTGCCCAGTCTTCTGGTTCCTAAGTCTGGGAACACTAACCGAACAAGCTTAAAAGAAATGCAAATAAAAAGAACAGGTTTTTTTGAGTTAGTCGCACTGGTAAAATATTTGTGCGCTTCCTGTATCATCTAAGAACATTTTCAACCCATTCAACTTATCACCAGGTGATGTACTCACCTGGTATTTACTGAACTGAACAGCTAGTAATTCCCCCCACACTCCGTCGATCTATCTGGAATATTTTACATGTTTTACAGTGTATTCCTCAGTACACATCATCTACTCAGAAGTAAGCCACATTAAGTCCTCCCAGGAATGTGTGTTTAGGACAGCAGCCTCATGCCATTTTTCACTCGACAGTTTATATCCAGAAATACGAAATGTTTACTCAAGTATACATTGTGTATGTCTCACAGCAGTTGTGAGTGGAACACATATTAAAACCACCATATTGAATCTCCCACTGGGTCTAATTTGAACCTAAGGCTGCCATTGTATGCAGATTTAATAGGGAGTTAATTCCCATTGAAATGAGCTGTACTGAGCAATTATGAATAGGCGTGTCCTGCACATGTCTCAACACAATATACAATACCAAGTGATTACTGAAGAGAAGGGAAGATTTGTTTGATAAGTATGTACAAATATAACACCACTGATTCTCTATGATAAATGAATAGTAGTTCTACTAAAATCAGCTCCCAGAGCCCACAGCTTCTAGTGGAGCAGAAACTGGTACAGCTCCATCCGAAACCGATAACATTTTAAGGTAGCAGCAGCACACTGTGTATACCTTTCCAAATGTAGCTGGATTTACTTGAGTCTGGGCCTCCTGTCTGCAGTTCTCCACATACATTTCGTACAGCAGACAACGTGGCACACTGCATCCTTCACATACAAAGAAATTGTCTGCTATCCTTGGGGAGGGGGAAGAACCAAGAGGAAACAAATGTTATGCCTATTTATGTTCAGAAGATGCGGTTTGCCACGTTTACTTTGAAGGACAGAAGGTTTGCAGTAGGTAAAATAAAATTAGAACTTGGAATTTCTGGGTTTACAAAGCGTTTTGTGAAACAAATTTGAATTCCATAAAATTGTTAATTGCTTGAATACAGTGTCTCCATATCTCAAGGTTGTTGGTTTCACTTTGGTTGCATTCTGCAGCTATTTTAATGCTTTTGTATTTTATTATTTCATTTTATTTCAATCTGTTTTAATCATTTAACCTTCATTTTGCCTACAGAACTTCAGTTGTTACGTGGCATTAAAATGTAGTAAATGCATATATTTATGCATACTAGATCATCTGGTCAGCTATTGGGGGGAACAAAATGCTAGATTTGGGGTTAATCTAGAATGGCTCTCTCTTCTTATGCTTCTTACTCAGTAATCTGCACACAATTCAGACTAACCATACCTGATACCAAAAACAGAAAAACCCTATTTAATAAATAAACAAATATATATATATATATATATATATATATATATATGTTCCATCATGGAACTTGTGGCATCTCCCATTCAGACACTGACCAGACCAAAACCTACTTTGGTTTAACAAGCTGGTTTCCTCAGACATCATACTTTTGCTCTCAGCTTATGCCCAATCAAAGATATTACACAATAGCATGGGTGTCATTAAAAGCAGGTTTGAAGGATGCCATTTGAGGGCTATCTATTCAACAACCAAAACAAACAGCACAATTATTTCCAACTTCCGAAGCTGGTGGGAACACTGAACCACACGGCAAATTGTCTTAGGTGTTTTTGTGTGTTTCTTAATGCAGTGAAATGCCCCTTCAGGAAACACTGTGACGAAATCCATGCTTGCAAATGTATTAATTGTGAGGGAAGGGCCACAAGCTCATTGGCAGAGCAAAGCATCTCAAGGTTGGGCTGGGAGAGAGACTTTTGCCCAGGACCTCGGACAGATGCTACCCCTCATCAAAGCATGCAAATTCTGAGCTGCACAATACAATGCTCTGGAGGCAGCTGTAATACTTCACTGCTCAGAGTGTCTTGAAACTTATTTTTTGGGTGGGGTGGGGGCAGGGCCAGATTTAGGTTTGACGAGGCCCTAAGCTATTGAAGGTAATATGGCTCTTTACATGTCCAGCTGTCCTCTGTCAACAACAAATTGTTGCTGTTTTTTGTGTTGAATATATGCTATATGGTAATTTATGCATGCAACCAGTCCATGCAGAATGTAGGCACCGTATATATAGAAATGTGCAAAGCAGAGATATTTTAGGCTGAGCAGGCTAGCAGGCGGGGCCCATTACTTACATCATAGCAGCCTACACAACACAAAACACTGTTGCTGTATGTAGGTTTTATTTTATTTATCTTATATTTTGGAAATGTACACCCAGTTGTTGTTTTTTTCCTTTAAATTTTTTTGGAACCCCCAAGAAAGTGGGGCCCTAAGCTGTAGCTTGTTCAGCTTATACGTAAATCAGGCAATGGGTGAGGAACGAACTTATTCACCAATTTCCCTCTCCTGACACGTCATTTATCGGGTCGCTCGCTTTCTGTCCGCCCACTCCAGAGCCAAGCAGCTCGGCTTTCCCTTCAGCTGCTGCTGCTGCAATGAGCAGCTGGCGGGGCTAAAAAGCAGTAGGGCTGCTGATAAAGAGACGCCTCTACCTCCAGGAAATGAGGTCGTGGTGGTGCTGAGGACACCTACCACTGAGTAATGGGCTGGTATATGTTACTACAGCCGCCGGGGAAATGCTCGGCCATCCCGCTGCGCACAGGCGTCCCGAGCCGCCCCGTCGACGGCTCCGCGCGCGCCGCTAGTTCCTCCGCTGTTTATTTTTAGAAGCCGGGCTCTAGACATAGCGCCCGTTCGCGCCCGCCTTTGGAAAGCCGCGCCGCTCGCTGATTGGACGGCAGCAGCGCGTTGCAACTTTCCATAGATCACTGTGGGCCGCTCGAGCAAACCTCGCGGGGAGGGTGGGGGAGGGCGGCCGCCGCTTCTCACGTCTGTTGCCGCAGCATTCACACGAAGCAGCAGCTGCGTTCGCTCCCACCCGTTGTGTGGCTCATAAATAAAGCAGCCGCCGTTTGAGGGGGTAGTAAATTCCACTGAGCTCAATGGGACTGACTTCTGAGTCGGCTTGTATAAGGTTGCGTTGTGGGCCCTGTCCCTGGAGAAAATATTATTGTGAGAGTTGGACGGGGTTACTCTATAATGATGCCTGAGTACCTTCTAATCCCCGGAATTGTGGAGCCAACAAGAGTTAATATCTAATAGAGGCAGAGGTGCCGACTTAAATAAACTTGCTGGTTGGTCTGATGCATAGTTTCTCAGATCTAAATACCACTGGGTATAAATAACAGCCTGATCCCATGGTATACTCAGTGCTTTTTTTCTTTAAAAAAAAAATGTTTAGGGGTACTCTCATTTTGACTCGAGAAAACCACCATTTTATAGTTCAAATCGGGAAAAATCAATACAGTAAATGGACAAAAGTACAAAAATTCACGAAATGTTTAGGGGTGTGTGTACCCCCAGAAAAAAGCACACATATACTAATGCATTTAGCCTGCAATCCAATATTAGCACTTAACCTGGGAGTGAGCTGGGTTGAATTCCTTGGGGCTTACTTCTAAACGTATATGTATAGGATTGGGTGGTTATGTGCATAGGGCCAGGTTACATGTGTCCTCAGCACACTTAACTTGAGAGGAAGGTGCATTTTGTTACTTCAGTTATGGAAATACACTATGGGAATTAAGGAATCATACTAGGGACGCGGGTGGCGCTGTGGGTTAAACCACAGAGCCTAGGGCTTGCCAGTCAGGTGGTCAGCAGTTCCTGCTCCTGCCAACCTAGCCGTTCGAAAGCATGTCAAAGTGCAAGTAGATAAAGGTACTGCTCCAGCGGGAAGGTAAACGGCGTTTCTGTGCGCTGCTCTGGTTCGCCAGAAGCAGCTTAGTCATTCTGGCCACATGACCCAGAAGCTGTCTGCAGACAAACGGCAGCTCCCTCGGCCTATAGAGCAAGATGAGCGTCGCAACCCCAGAGTCGTCCACGACTGGACCTAACGGTCAGGGGTACCTTTACTAGGCTCTGCAGGGGCTGGGCTACTGCTTTCAGGCAGGATACCAATTTCCATTGTAATTTGCTTTCCACCTGGGGAGGCATACAGTTCAATTGCGTTCCCAGTATATATGTTGGCGTTTTGGAGGAGAATTTTCTGAACAGGGATTGAAGAAGACAACATATGGCTATGTGCGGATTGCTGAAGTGCCATGGCAACCCACTGCTGTGCCATACATACATACCTAATAAAAGATAAAATAAAAGTTCTGGATTTTCTCTTACTTTTGCATAAATGCAATCTATATATAATTACAATGTCTACATGGGCATAGCCAAGGGGGGGCAGCTCCCCCCCAGTCAAGTAAAACAATAGAAATACTTAACTAACTGACCACTCACGTTGGTTCTACCCCCGCCCCAACAAAAGTCCTGCCTCACCAACAAAAATCCTGGCCACACCCATGAATGTCTAGGTAACAGGACAGGTTTCATTCCTCTTCCAACTGTATCACTAATGGCAATCCACTTTCCATATTAAGGATTTTTTTCACCAGGGGGTGTTTCTGAAGTCTCCATGGCAAGGATAATGTGCAGGACCAGACAAGACATTTCAATGCCTGAAGCAGCAAATGGTGTGTCTCCTTTCACCCCGGTTAAGGTGCATGCTACCCAAATTATTTTGTCATCAGAAGCCGAAGACTCCCTCTCCTTAGCAGTTAAAACCACTATGAATAATAATGAAATTTGCTAACTGCTTCTCCTTTCAATATTGTCAAAATGGGCTTGCAAATGGTAGGGCCGGCTCCCGCAATGGAGTACTGTACACACACACACAGAGCCATCATAATGAGAGGGTCTTTTGCTTATTGCAAAACAATGGATTGCTTGGGGGTGGAGGGGGTTTAGGAGCAAGCAATAAATCAGCTTGTAAAAAGGATTTCAAACAAAGGAAAATCCCTTGCTGTCAAATTATCAAAAGGAAAGCAGAAAGGAAGGCCGCTTTGTCTCACGTGAAGATGAAGAGTTTAGATATTTAATTGAACTTTGCTCTGTGTAGAGGCTATAAGCCTTGCTCTCCGTGATGTATGTAGGCTTTGCCACTTCTTCCTTGGAGCCCCAACACAGGTAAAATGGGATAGTGATAGCAAAGTAGCAAAATGGTAGTAGGAAAAGTGCAGTGGGAAGAAATTAAAGGGCACAGAGGAAAAGTAATCCCTTGCTAGCATATTGCATGCAATTGACAGGAAGCCTTTGCTAACTTCTTGTACTCCAGGTATTTTAGACTGTAACTCCCATCAGCCCCAGTCATTGCAGCAATGGTGACTGGAGCTAATGGGAATTGTAGTCTCTAAGTAGGTGAAGGCTGACTTACCTGTTGCAGACCAAAGTTTATGGGAGGTTATTAGTTGAGCTGTTTCATTTAGCTTGCATATGTTACAATATGGATGCACCAAAATATACAGTGGTACCTCGGGTTAAGAACTTAATTTGTTCCAGAGGTCTGTTCTTAACCTGAAACTCTTCTTAACCTGAGGCACCACTTTAGCTAATGGGGCCTCCTGCTGCCGCTGCGCCACCGCCACGCAATTTCTGTTCTCATCCTGAAGCAAAGTTCTTAACCTGAGGTACTATTTCTGGGTTATCGGAGTCTGTAACCTGAAGCGTATGTAACCTGAAGCGTATGTAACCCGAGGTACCACTGTACTACTTTTTAAATATATTAGTTTTGATACTGTTAAGAGTGATTTTTATTGTGTTCCCCCTTCTCCCTGCCCCTGGAAATCATCCATGTACTTATAAATGTTTGCTGCTCTGTGGAAGTGTTATGTATCTAACAACAACAACAGGATTAATTTTTTATCATGCCAATATCTTAAGCTTCACAGAGGCATCGCTCTGTGGGAAGCATAATGTTTTTATACTACCTGGAGGCTGGTGCAAGCATATATTTCAGCGAGGGAATATGTTGTCAATATCTGGGTGTAGCAAAATGTACTGTTTGTGTTTTACATTTCTGTTGTGCTATTCTTTTTTTGTAAACCACCCTGGGATCATGAATCAAGGATGGTATAAAAAATACCTAAATAAAGAAACAAGTTCAGTTCCACAGAAAATAACTTTTGGTATTTATGATCCAGTTGTCGCAATTAATTCATCCAAGGAAACTTATCAAGTATCCACAGAGTCTGTTTTGATTCCAGCTAAGGCTCTCTTGATATGTTCAGTGAATACAGCACAGCAATATTGCAAGCATTGGTGTGGCACTGAGACAAGAGTGGTCTAAACAGCAGAGGAAGACTTCCGTGTGTCTGACAAGAGTACTGAAGACCGATGGACTCTACAGAAGATATTGAATCTATTAAGCCCCTGCTTCAATACAAGTACGGATGCCTAGTCTCAAAGGTATGATTTGTGGGTAATGTCTATGAATAATGAAACTCTCAAGGGTTTTCTACATATGAATGGTGGTGCAATTAAAATTCCTGTCTTTTCTGAACATATTTGCTTCCCCTTTTGGAACTTGGCCTAGTTTTGATGTTTCTTTTTGTGGTAACATAAAGTGAAGGCACTTCCAGACTCTTACTAATTTGGGGTGGGATTCACATAAAATACCAGCAAATGCAGGTTACACAATTACACCTGATTCATTGGGAAGTTTTGCACAACAATCCTGCTCCCCCCAAAGGATGGATTTGTTGCAATAAGTAAAGTCATAGGAAAATGTGATAGGAAAGGGTGAGATAACATTTTCTTTGACATAGTGCTATCTAATCTCTCTGAAAACAATAGGAATGAATGTTCAATGAACATGTCATCTGGAAGCACCCTGAGAAAACGTTAATGTGGGTACAACACGTTCATTATAGCAAAATTTAATACATTTTAAAAAATGTTTCATTAAATGTGCATTCCAACTAGGTCATACTAACTGAGGGCATGTTTGAAAAGACTGTTTTTCCATGGGCATAGTTATGTTGGGGGGGCAGGCTTTATGTTAGTGGGGGGCAGAACTTCAGTTAGATAATTTTATTTTACTTGATTTAGGGAAGGGGCAACTGCCTGGTCAACTCCATTCCACATTTCACTATTTTAATTTCTGCAATGCCATTTAATCACAGTTTAAAGGATGCAATGCTAACAATCTGCTTCCAATATATGAAGCACTGAAGCAATCAAGATCTGTTTTCCTGCTCTTATTGCATGATTTGTACACGGGAAATAGAAATAGGGAAGAAATACCAGATTCTCCATTTATTCTGTTGGAACGCGTGAGACTTGGATAGGCTAGACAAAACACATTGCAGCCGATGACTGTCACAAATGCCTAGCTTCACCCAAACATATTGCGCCACTCTGAATAAAAAATACAAGGAACTCGTCTGTTTTCTCGTTACTTTTGCCCTAGAGAACTTCGTACAGAATGGCTTTACGTTTTCAGTGTCAAAACTAGGCCAGATTCCAAAATGGGAAGCAAACATGTTCAGAACAGACAGGTACATTTTAATTGCACAATGTCAATAGTCAGGTCTCAGGCTTTTGTGTTCAGGCATAAACTAACACGGCAATCCCCTATTGCCAGAGGTTCGCAAACTGTGATCTGCAGACCACAAGCAGCCTGTGAGCTTCAGTCAGGTGATCTGCAATTACTACATTCATTTTTTAAAAGTTCTTTGGTTCCACTTTTCCTTGTACATTCAAGGTAACTAACAACAGATGTAATACAATGCAGCAGAAACCAGTAAGCTCTATATTTTGACTCTGTGTGCTCCAAATGAGGTTGCCCAACTGTGCATGTGCAGTGCAGACTGAAACGTACACACCGCCGCTTAACTGTGTATTTCGGTTTTAAACCAGATGCAAGCTGGTTTGAAAGGAAATGCATCAAACAACAGTGTTTCTCAAAAAGCTACAAGATACAGATGGATTGTGGTTCATGTCATGTGTACTTGACTTTAAACACCAGAGGTGGAAGCGTGCTGGAGCCAGCGTAAATGGTAATGTGTACACAGCCTTTGTGTCTCAAAAACATCTTCTCTCAACATCCTTTCTTACTTCATAATTGTGTATCAGGGATGGGGAGCCCATGATCCTCTAGATATTGGACTACATACAGACTGTGGCTGATGGGGAACACAACAGCTTCCAGAAGTCCATGGGTTAACCACCACTATGTAGATGGCCACAGGTTCTCTATCCTTGCTGTGGATGACCTGGATTCACTTTTGTAATCCCCACCCCCATTTATTTCCAGATTATGTTTACTGCTGCTGAGTTGGGAGTATTTGACCTGCTTTTGGAATCAGGCAAACTCCTGCCTTCAACAACTATTACTGAACGTCTGGGCACCAGCTTCACTGGGATGGAGAGGCTGTTGGATACCTGTGTGGCCTTAAAGCTCCTGCGAGTGGAGAGGACGGGCAGCCAAGGTAACCACATTGGAAGGAAGAAGCAACTCAAGTTGTTTCAAAATTCTGACACGTGTAGCTGAAGATGACTGTTTTCAGCCATCTTATCTGCTAAAGTGTGCAATGGTGCCATCAGGACGCAACTTCAGGACAGATGCCCAAATGGAGCAGGTCTACCATAACTGGAAGCAGATGAAGTCATGAACATTGCCATCTAAATAAGGGAGACACCTAAGAACCTAGAGGCGCAGGAAGCTAACATTGGTCTATCTAGCTCAGTATTGTCTCCACTCTGACTGGGAGTAGCTCTTCAGGGTTTCAGATGGGGTCTTTCCCAGGAGGGCTTGTGAAAGGGGTGCACATGCCAGCAGGGGCCCCCAGACTTTTTTTAAAAGGAAAACCGGACGTTTCTGAAGAAAGTTAGAGCACAAAATGCAGAGGTAGCTCTAATGCTTCAGCACTTGGCAGGCAGCACCATTGCTGAGGATGCTTGATTACTTAATCACTGTTATTATCAGAGGCAGGAATGTTGAGCACCCCCACCTGGGACTCTCCTAGAGTAGCAGTAGCAGAAGCCAGAGGAGGATGTAGGAACAGGAGGATGTTTGTTAAAGCTCTGCCTGGAAGCACCTTAAAACACAAAGCACTCTCTGGCTAAAATCTAAGTTGAATTGTCTTAAATAATAAGCTTTTGAGCTCACCCATTAGGAAATGAAATGGAAAGGAATGTCATCACAATTATAGCTAATGAACTTGATGCTTTGCTCATTTCTGAAGAATTACTAGTTTGTGTAGGAAAGGGATGTTCACTTGGCTTCATCTTACTACTTTCAGGGCTTTAGATAATTTATTTGTGAGTTGTTGCTTCAGACATTTTGTTCACACAGTTGCAGTTAGGGAGAAAAACTTGCCTTCTACAAAGGTGTGAAAACATTGATTTCTTTTTTCCCGTCTATCAGCTCTTTATGGAAGCACAGATTTTTCCAATCTCTACCTTGCTGAATCGAGCCCAAAGTCTCAGTATCATCATATGATGTTCTTCTCTGAAATCACATTTCCGCATTTGAACTACTTGACAGATGCAGTAAGGTAAGAGGATGGGTGTGGGTGTCTAGCTCTGTGTACTCATGTAGAAAATGGCTCTGTGCAATGAAATGCTGAACTGCCTTTGGAAGATGATTGCCATGAGGGAAGTCAAGATGCCAACTGTTGAAAGTGATAAAGCTAAGACTGTGTAGACATTTTTAGCTTAGAATGCATCTAAGTTGTTCTTTTTCTCAATTCAGATAAAAGCTGGTTTGGGAAAGAACCCTGTGATTTTTACAGCTACAGCTTAAAAGTGTTACTCAGACTCTGGTCTCTGGCTGTTTCTGGACTCCAACTCCCATCTTTCCTTGCTAGCAAGACCAGTGGTCCAGGATGATGGGAACTATAGTCCCAAAACAACTGGCAACCCAAGTCTGGGAAACACTGGTTTAAAACAATACATGTAATGTATTCTGTTTTCAGGTGGTGGTGGGGAACATCTGGAATTTTCTTTGGTCATCATGCTACCTAATTTTCACTCAATTACAACAAATGTTCTGTTTCAGGCAAGGAAAAAGCCCAGTTGGGAAAATACATGGCGATTCATCTAGCAATTTATTTGATGTCCTTTTTAGGTAAAAGCAGGTTGTTTTTTTAGAGGCGGGAGTTCTTACCTTTGAGGGAATGGGTGTTTGTGTGGACAGGTGGAGTCCCCCCACCCCAGGCAACCCCCGAGTGGAATAATGACTCAAGACAACGTGCTATGGGATTTAAACTGGCCACAACTTTATTAAGTTTCAGATGTAGGGAGACCTTGGCTCAGGCATTGGGCGTTTATCCTTCCCCGTCCCCAGCCAAGGATCTGGGAGACATCAGGGTTATCTAGAGTGCGTGGGGATTGGGCTGGCTCTGGAGAACATATGTTCAAGCAGAGAGTCCGCCCCCCATTTCGCCGCCGTTGGAGGGGAGAACAATGACAACCTCTCGGCGTATGGCCAATGCCTCCCCTCAACGGGGAACCATGGGATCACCGCCGCAAGGGGGGTGTGGGTCACCGGTTCATGCTCCCCCCATTTAGGAAGATAGACTAAAGGATTCCGCCCAAGGCCTGAAACCACCAAAGTTGTGATGTTTTGCTACGGGAAAGGCAAAACCTGCCAGTGCAGGAAAATTCCTTTCTGGCCCTGACGTAGCAGCGCCTGCACACCTGTGGAGAAGAGGTTAACCTGCAAAAGAAGACTTGACTGAGGGAGGGGAGGGTGGGAGAAGCTCTGGAGCCGACTGCCGCTTCACAGGTAAGATTCACCTTCTGTTGTGTGGGCAGGACGGTCCCTCCCCTTACCTGGCTGATCCCCTGGCAACGCCTCCCCAGGCGGGATTGGACAATTGGCTGAGGTAGGCGGAGACCTCCAGGTATCCAGCCTGGGGAGGATGAAGCCAGCCTGAAATACCAGGAGCCGCACTGGGACCTGGGGGGCTGCGCATGACCACGCAAAAGGTGGCCATTTGATGTGGGGAGCGGTCATTCTTGTCAGACTGAACAATTGTGCAATTGTAGGAAACATCTCTGGGAATGTGCATACAATCCAGACGTCCCCCATTTCCCCCCTTTCTAGCATTTCTAGTATTTCTCCAGCAATGCTGGGAACAATGTTTTCAGTGGCCTTTGCCTGGGATTTGCACATCCTGGGCCAGTTCTGGTTGGATTTCAATCACAACTGGTTAGAGCACTTCAGTCACCCAGACACCATGGGACCGGATGCCATGGGGCTCTTTCCTATTTATTTGACCTATTTATTGAGCACTTCGGTTGTTAGGAGCATTTCTGTTTGTCTGGTTGTGGGGAGATTACCGTATTTTTTGCTCTATAAGACTCACTTTTTCCCTCCTAAAAAGTAAGGAGAAATGTGTGTGCGTCTTATGGAGCGAATGCAGGCTGCGCAGCTATAACAGAAGCCAGAACAGCAAGAGGGATCGCTGCTTTTGCTGCGCAGCAATCCCTCTTGCTGTTCTGGCTTCCGAGATTCAGAATGTTTTTTTTCTTGTTTTCCTCCTCCAAAAACTAGGTGCGTTTTATGGAGCAAAAAACACAGTATTTGACAATGAACATTCTTCCTGCATCCTTCCTGATTTTCTTGCAGGCTGTTCATACATCCTTCCAGATAATCAGGTTATTCCTTCCACACATTTCAGTTTATTTCCCCATCATTTTCCAAACTGCAGCAAAAAATCAGTTTCTTTTTTAAAGTGGGTCTGTTGCACTGGAGCATTTTATTTCGTTTTAATTCCTTAAAACTGAATTTCCCACTATGCTCTTCAGTCCCTCCTGTAAAACAATGACAGTCTAGAGGTGGCAATAAGTCATATATAGCTTCAGGCCTAGAATTTCCTGAAATCATTCCTTCCAGCACAGCAGTTGACAGAGCAACTGGGGCTTCATGGTGTTTGCCCAGAGCGTGATTGTGTGATTGAGAGTCAAGCCCTAAGTTACAAATCAGGCTGCATGTGGGTATTGTTTCCACTTACCTGCCAAAGTCATTTTGAATCTACAGGTCAGAGGGCGAGATGAAAAGGTTCTCTCACAGCATGAATTCCAATTGGCATCTGTGGGGCAGAGATGTGATGGCTGCCTTCGATCTTTCTCACTTCCCACTCATTTGCGATTTGGGAGGTGAGTTCCAGAGAGGAGCAAGCTGAAAAGGCCTCAGCTGTCTTTCTTTTTCTGCCTGTCAACATCATGTGGGTGTCTCGTGTGTGCCCTATTCTGGTACAGTTTAGTCATTAACAGCAAAAAGATTCAAAACAAGACCACAAAAATTCCAAAGATGGGTGATAACAAGAAGGAACATATTGTTTCTACTTTCCTTTTGAAAACATCCTTCAGTACTATTATTCTATTTGCCTCCCAGCTGTTTTCCTCTATTAGTTTTCATATGTCAGGACATGTTGAGTAATTTTTTTGGTCAAGTTCATCCTCTTGTCCTGCAGTGTTCTTCTCCTTGACCTGTCTCTATCTGTTTTGAATCTGTTCATTCTAACCTAGTATTTCGCAAACTTGGGTCCCCAGCTGTTTTTGGACTACAACTCCCATCACCCCTAGCTAGCAAGACCAGTGGTCAGGGATGATGGAAATTGTAGTCCAAAAACAGCTGGAGACCAAAGTTTGGGAAACACTGGCTCTGTCTCCTCCCCAAACTTGACATCGAGGGTTATCCTTGCTAATCATTTCTGCCTATCCTTATTCTACCTGCAGTCTTTCCCCCCGCCCTCCTTGTACGCAATGAATTGTGGTTGCTTTCCAATGCAATATCCTAATCTTGTAGTTTAATTTTGAAATGTTCTATTCTATGCTACTCCAAGATATTGTGTTACGGTGGTGGGGGGGGGAGGATATGGATGCCATAAATAAATAATAAAGTATTCCTCCAATGTATTGTGTTCACATATTTTGATCTGCTTATATCCTGAATAATCTGTGCCACAAGTTCAATCCTGTCAAATCCCTGAAGCTACTCAGGGTGGTGACGTGTGTCCCTGCCCATGAAACGGTTGGAGAGGCACTTACCTGAGGTGGTGTCCTGATATTTTGCACAGGAGTGTTTGAAAGAAGCTTTGAGAAGTTTTCATTTTTGTTTTTCCTTGTTCTCCCTTGAAGGAAGTGGCTGCGGCTTGGCTAAAGAATGCATTGCATTGTATCCAAACTCTACGGTGACCATTTTCGACTTACCCAATGTAGTGGAAATGGCAAAGAAGCATTTCGTATCCCCAGAAGAACACCGGATTACTTTCCATGAGGGTAACTGTGCTTGGTTCTGATGTGTCATTACCAGGGATACCATGTCCTAGGGGCTGAGTCCTCCCCCCCCCCCATATTTTTGGGGAGGAGGGTGGGATTCTCCCATGCTCAAAGGAGGAGGAGGAAGGAAAGAAGAAGAGTTTGGATTTGATATCCCGCTTTATCACTACCCAAAGGAGTCTCAAGGCAGCTAACATTCTCCTTTCCCTTCCTCCCCCACAACAAACACTCTGTGGGGTGCGTGGGGCTGAGAGACTTCAGAGAAGTGTGACTAGCCCAAGGTCACCCAGCAGCTGCATGTGGCGGAGCAGAGAAGCGAACCCGGTTCACCAGATTACGACTCTACCACTCTTAACCACTACACCACACTGGCTAAGGGAGAGGAGGAGGTGGAGACGGAGGAGGCTAAGCACGGCACAGCTTCAGTGACTAATTCCTTCTCCTCCTCTACCTGTTGCAGAGAGGAAGGAGCAGCGAACCAGTCGTGCTGGTAGGAAGAGGGGGAGGATCCCTCCCCAGACATTGAAGCTGCACTGCCACCATGTTTGGCTCCTCCCTGGCTCCTCCCAATTTCTTGACATCACACGTGCGACATTGGGGCATTGCCCCCTCCATTCTTGCTCACATAGGTACCAACGCCCTGGGACCTTGGGTGCCCAAGCACCCACAAAATTACCCATGAAGGGGCTGGGCACCCACAAATTTCAGTGCCAGGGCCAAGCTGGTACTCCTGTTCCCTCAAAAGTTGGCTCCTCAGATCATTAGATCATCTTGGAAAGGAAAGGAGGTATGGTTAGACATAAAACATCCCATATTCACCTACTAGAGAGTAAAATGGATTCAGAACAAAATCCAAGTGTGGTTGTGCTTTGAGCGGTGAATTCTGCTTCATAATTCTGCTTATTCCTTTGTGTTAGATAATAGTCATATCCATGCCTTACATTTAAATCTCTCTTTACCACTCTAACAGTCAAAGAGTCCTGGGAGCTTAGTTTGTTCAGGCTGCTGACCTTACATAACTACAGTTCCCAGCACTCTTAGCAAACTGTGGCGTCCAGAACTCTTTGAGGGGAAGAATGTCCTTTGAACGTGCCTTGAAGTTATGGTGTGTAAAAAGCCTTAGAAATCAAGAATGACATATTCTGCTGGCACCAGCTTTATAATCAGGGTATTTTTGAAGGGTAGAGCTCAACTATTTAATTGAACCCCTTGCTTTAATTTACCATCTACCCATTTTATTACAGGGGATTTTTTTAAAGACCCAATTCCAGAAGCTGACCTCTATATTTTGGCTAGGATCCTGCATGACTGGGACGACGAGAAGTGTGTGCAGCTGCTAACCAGACTCCACAAGGCCTGCAAGCCTGGTACGTGCGCTTATAAGGCAGGACTGGCCAAAACTGGAGCTGTGGTGGGCAATAAGTGCATACCCTCCAACATTTCTCTGATGAAAATTGGGACGTCCCATTCCATAACGATAATTTTACTATTTATACCCCGCACATCTTACTGGGTTGCCCAAGCCACTCTGAGCAGCTTTGAATATATATAATAACATAATAAAACATTAAACATAAAAACCCCTTCTCTATACAGGATTGCCTTCTGATGGCTATGGGTTGGATAACTCCATACCCGCCAACATTTCTCCAATGAAAATAGGGACGTCCTAAGGAAAAGTGGGACATTCTGGGATCAAATCAGAAACCAGGACAGCTTCTCTAAATCAGGGGCGTCCCTGGAAAATAGGGGCACTTGGAGGGTCTGTAAGTGAGCCAGAGCTCACTGTATGCATTGCCTACAGAGAGGTTTTAAAACAAGTCTTGAATTGGGTCAAGATTGAGGTTTCATTTGTAGGTGCTTTGAGTGTCCTGGATGAACAGAAAAAGTAAAAGTGGGACTGAAATGTTTTCAAAAATATATAGAGAGTTTGGCCCAAAGTTGGGAAACATGTATGTGCACAGTCATGGCTTGGGCCTTGGAACAGATAGCCCAGTTCAAGTCCTAGTTATTCTGAGCAGTCCAGAGACCAGAGGCCTCAATCATTAACTCATCTGTTGACACATTGGCACCTACAGTGAGATCTCAATGCTTCTGATTATTTTCTGGTGCTTGACGCTCCATCCCGCTACCAGTCTGCCACTATAGTCCATTGGCTCCTCCTGCCCAGGATAAGAAAATACCAGTAAGATCTGGGACTTGTAGTTGTTGTTGATGATGATTTTATTATTTATACCCCGCCCATCTGGCTAGGTTTCCCCAGCCACTCTGGAGAGAGTGTATATATGCTAGGGAGGCATCATGTCTCCCTCTGTAGCTCGTACTACAAATCTTAGCATTTGCTGCATAAGTGCATTCTTTCTCTTATAAAAGAGCACCTCCATCACAATCTGACTAGAATGTCACTTCTGTATCAGGGAATTAAGTTTGTGCTGTTAAGGTTCTGTTGTTGTCGGTTTTTCTCACGGTAACAAGGTTCCTGTTTCATTTGTGCCACCCCTGCCCATGTGTGTTCCTAAGCTAGGAACTCAAGGTGAATAGTTGTAGCAACTTGCATTATCAAAATTCAGTGACTATAGAAAATGCTGCACCTATGCTGAGCACATTTCAGGCAGGCTACTGGAGCGAAAGTGGTGGGGAAAAGAACATTCTATGAATTATAATTCACAGCCTGCTTTGGTTGCCACATAGATCTTCCATTTTTATACAGTAGGGCCACTCAGGTTAAACTGCTTTTCGTTTGACTTGAGCTTCTGATCCCAGGATGCTTGGAAAGATGAAGCTGAGCTCTTTGAACATGCTGTCTCAAAAGAAGTAATGGTCTATCTTTCGTTTCCCTAACTTAATGAAATATACTTTGAAACAGGTGGTGGAGTGTTAGTGGTAGAAATAGTTCTCAACGAGGACAGAAGTGGGCCATTGGAAGCACACCTCCAATCCATGATGATGTTGCTTCATACCGAAGGAAAAGAGCGAACCCCTTCAGAGTACAATGCGCTCTTCAGTGCTGCTGGCTTCAAGGAGTTTCAGCTAAAGAAATGCCAACTCTATGATGCCATTTTAGGAAGAAAATAATGTTTCCCCTGCATCATTCCTGTGCGTTGTCCAGAGAATGCTAGAACAATAAAACTTGTTGTTATATCATCTATTTATCTTTCAGCTGTAGACACCCGTTTATTTCAAAACACCAAAACATGACACTTTTTATTTCATAAACTCCAAGGTCCCTTGCAGTAGAGTTTGAATATCAAGATACTCTTTTGAAGTGTGGTTGAAGTGCTTGATTCCAGAATGTTTGCAAATCTTTCCATTTGGTCTGTTCAGGGACAAAAAGATTTGCAGTAGTAGCCATCCTAAATGACAGGTAACACCATTTAGACGGCGGCTTGGGGAAAAATATGGAATAAAGATCTAAAGTTCACTGCTTGTTATACATTAAAGGAAAACTTCATGAAGATGTTTTATAGATGGTACATGACCCCCAGCAAATTCGCAAAAATGTACAACACAAATTCAAATATATGCTGGAGGTGCAAACAAGCTGAGGGAACAATGTGCCACATGTGGTGGGGCTGTAAAAAAATTAAAAACTTTTTAGATACCATCTATGAGGAGCTTTAAAAAATGTTCAAACAAAACGTTTGCAAAAAAACCCCAGATAGCTTTCCTCCTAGGCATTTTGTCAACAGACATCCCAAGAGATAAGAAGAGGGCATTTTTACAATAGCTGCGAGAATGTTGATTGCCAAAAATTGGAAGGGAAAGAAAATTCCAACGAAGAGGAATGGCAGATAAAACTATTTGAGTACTTGGAACTTGCAAAGATTATTATATTTTTTTTACCAACCACCAAAACACAAACAGTGAAACCCCCCAGATAGCTGGGGGGTATTGGGTATACATATTCAATAATATACATATTCAATAATATTCAATAATAACATATTCAAATCAACCATATGTACACTTCTATATACCTTAACACGCCTCCTAACAAAAGGTTTATTTAACTTTTAACATTTTAATTGCCCCAAATTGTTCAAACCTACCCAAATAATTCAATATCATCTCAAACCAATCCTCCTCTTTCTCTCTTTTTTTAAAAAGATTTTTATTGATACAACAAGAAAAAAGAAAACAAGTACCAAATTACACACAAGAATAACCATAGACACATAATTTTCTTAGCAAACAATAAAACATATATTGGTCTTAAGACTAAAGACCCGACCTCCCGTCTATTCCATATTTCAATTTCATATTACTTATTGCCAATACACACTTTTATCATAATTAAACTTATTCTTAATAAATCTAATTTCTTATATCTACCAATCCTCCTCTTTCTCACTGACCTTAAGCCCTTTCATTCTATGTGTCTTCACAGTTAACAGTATTCTAAAATTATAATATTATTCAGTTTTTTCCTTCATTGGTTCACCCCTAGCTCTTCTGCATTTTTCCAATTACTCGCTATAACCTGTCTGGCTGCAACTACCATCAATTTTACCCATTTACATTCCTCTTTTGTTTTTAACTTGGTACTACTCAGGGTAATAAGAACCACTAACTTAGATATTTCCACATTCCTTCCCACAATTACCGATATTTCTATACCAATCTGTTTCCAAAATTCATTAAGTAACAGACAATCCCACCACATATGACTGTACGTTCCCATCACTCCACATTTCCTCCAGCAATTCTTACTTCCAGATTTTGTAATATGATATAACCTTACCGGTGTATAATACCATTTTTGTACCAGCTTCAACCCCTGTTCCTGGATTATCCCAGAGGTCGCAACAAAGCGTGGTTGCCAAAAGATTCTTTCCCAATCTTCATATAAAATCTGTTCCTGAGTATCTAACTTCCAATATTCTTTCAAACTTTCCTTTGGTGATTTCCCTTTGTTTAATAACACCTTATACAATTTTGAGACTATTTTGGCCCCCTCTGTCCTATATCCTTTCACTAATTCTTCGAAGGGTGTAATAATTCTTTTACTACATTTTTTAACTTCTTCTTTTAGCAGAGAGGAAATTTGTCTTTTCTGTAACCAATTAATTGTATTCCAAATAACACTTTCCTGTTCCAATGTACCTTCTGTTATATTCTCCATCTCCTCAATTGAGATTTCCTTTAATTTATCCCCTACCCCCTTTGGGATGAGCTCCCTTAATGGGGCCATTTTACCATAATGCCACATTTTGGTAAGGGGAGAGAGGTCAGAAAAAAGCTCCCTTCTCTACTTCTCCCATACCCAGATGGACCCCATAAATGTTGATATTTTATCTACTTCCCTTTTCCTTTTCCTCCTATCAAATAATCTTATTTTCCCTCCTACTACTTCCAAATTCTTCTGCTCAATACACCCCAAATCTTCCCCCTGTTCTCCCTCCAACCAAATCATAAGATGTCTCAGTTGGTAAGCTTCGTAATATAAGACCAAACTGGGAATCCCCATCCTTCATCTTGGATCCTATGATACCTATATCTACCTGCTGTCCTTGGTTTCTTGGATGCAAAAACAAACCTATTGATTTTCCCTTGCCACCCTTTCAATATCCGTTCCGATATGTGCCAGGGTAATACATTAAAAAGATACGTTAATCTGGGTAACAAAAACATTTTAACTAATGCAATTCTTGTACTAATTGATTCCTTCCTTTTCTCCCATATTTTCAACTTTGATTGAATACCGCTCCAAGTTTTTTTTATAATTATATTCAAATATTTTCTTCACATTTTTAGTTATCCTTGGAACTTGCAAGTACTTGGAACTTGCAAAGATGACAGAAGTAATCAGGAATCAAACAAATCAAAAGTTTAAAAAAGAGTGGGAGTATTACAGAGTGTATTTAGAAAAACATTGTTCCCAAGTAAAATCCTTAATGTGCTTCTATTAATTTTCACAAATTATACGACAGACAGATAGTGTATTTCCTACAATACTGGTGAATTACAAGGTAAAAAAGGAAGCAGTTAAAAAAGGAAGAAAGGACCCGCAGTGAGGTAGTTGGAAGTCACATTTAAAGAGTAGGTTATTTATTGGTAATTTAATGTATAGGTGACATACGATGTTGAATCTTTTTATTATGAATTGGTGTTTCTCATTTTTTCTCCCTCCCCTTTTTTGTATTTTAGTTTATTTTGAATAACAAATGGAATAGCTGTAATACTTAATAAAATCAATAAAGAGCATGGCAAGGGGGGGGGGGGGTTGCACCAAGAGAAAAGAATGATTCCCTATGAACTCCCATCAGACCATCTTAAAAAAAGTGTGTTAGTTGAAGAAGAAGAAGAGTTTGGATTTGATATCCCGCTTTATCACTACCCGAAGGAGTCTCAAAGCGGCTAACATTCTCCTTTCCCTTCCTCCCCCACAACAAACACTCTGTGAGGTGAGTGGGGCTGAGAGACTTCAGAGAAATGTGACTAGCCCAAGATCACCCAGCAGCTGCATGTGGAGGAGCAGAGACGCGAACCCGGTTCACCAGATTATGAGTCCACCGCTCTTAACCACTACACCACACTGGCTTTCATAATAGTGTTCTACTTGGAGTGAAGATGGCGAGGAACCTGTGGTCCTCCAACTGTAGTTAGACTACAGTTCCTGTCACCCCACCAATGACCATTCTGCCTGGAGATGATGAGAATTGGATTTCAGTACCTAGAAAGACTCAATCTGAGGTCCATTTTATACCCCCAAATCCACATTCCTGATGTCGCTCATAGATAAAGATTTTGCAAACTAAGGAGGACTTCCAAGAACTGAAAAACTGCACATCTTAACAAGATAATGGGAGCAGTAAGATTATACACACAGATGCGCCTTGAAGTATTTATTACCTGTAGATTGGGACTGATAATATAAACTACCATAAAGAACCATAGATAGCAGAGATTGCCATTGTTGCACAATTATTCTACGCTGACCAAAGGTTCTTTCAGATGTATGGCCTTTAACACCAAGAAAATAGAAGAGACAGCACAGCTAACAGAGGGCTAAGGAATTAGGGAGGGCTAACATTCCTTTGCCCACATAGAATGAGGCTATAAAAATAGGGTTGAAATTGTGCAGAACCATCCGACTATCCTGCTTTGTTTTTGCTTCTTCCACTTTTGCAGGTGAGCAGCCACATGCCCTTCACCCCTTCCACCCCCCCCACATTTTTCATTTCCCTCCCACTTCAGCCTCTTTCTTTCCATCCCTATCTTCCCATGTCCTCCTTTACCTATCCTGGTTTAGCATCACTTTTGCTCTGGCAGAAGGCAAGGAGTGGGGAGGGGTGGGGAATGGCTCCCCAGGCCCCCTACCCTCTTACAAAAGCAGCTGTCTGCCAAGAGGCGGCAGTTCCTGTGAGACACTGTACAGTGGTACCTCGGGTTACATATGCTTCAGGTTACAGACTCTGCTAAACCAGAAATAGTGCTTCAGGTTAAGAACTTTGCTTCAGGATGAGAACAGAAATCGTGCTCCGGTGGTGTGGCAGCAGCAGGAAGCCCCATTAGCTAAAGTGGTGCTTCAGGTTAAGAACAGTTTCAGGTTAAGTACGGACCTCCGGAACAAATTAAGTACTTAACCCGAGGTACCACTGTATAGCAGGATTTGGCTTGGCTGAGGCTGTGTTCCACCTGCTTGATAAGCTACAGCTGCCCAGGACACACCCAGGCCAGCAAACAGGAGAGGATATAAACCAAACAATTTAGGGACCTCAGAGGCAGCAGAAGGAGGTGAGTGGGAGGTAGGTGAGCTCGGAGGAGCAGGGAGAGGTAGAGAATTTAAAACCTAGTCCTGTGTCCTATTCCAAGAAGCTTCTGGTTCTGTGAGTTATTGAATATCACAATGAATTTGTTTTACTGTGTGTGGCAGTGTTATGTAGAAACTGAGATATGAAAGCTAGGAGCTAAATGGCACCTTAAACCTAGGTTATGGGTGCCGCAACGGAATATCTAGGCACACTTTTTTAATAACAAGAATGCAAAGCTGAAAACGAATGAACTGCAGCTAAAATCTTATGTTCATTTTTCACGTGGTCTAGTCCTCATCTGAAGATTGCAAAAAAACAAAA